ATCGGCATATCTTCAGCCGCTCTTTGAGGTCAGGGTTTTCAGGCTCTGATTGACAGAATGCTCTGTTTGCTCTTTCTGGCATTAATCGTGGGCGCCACCGCTCAAGACCAGGAGAACATCTTCCTCAACCCGCCGACAAACGGGGTCAACAACGATTTCACGCAAAACCCCACCTATGTCCAAGGGTCGACCATCACGCTTCAGTGGGAAACGACGTACCCATCAACGGACCTGGTGATCTGGCAGAATGGCAATCCAAACAGTCAGCTCTTGACAGGTGAGAAGATTACCTTCCCTGAGACTCCTAACGCACGAATCTTGGGATTGGCTATACTAAGTTGCACGACTGAATTCTATAGCGGGCATCACGACAACGAAACTTAGCTGGACCGTAGGAGCCGGGGCAATCCCGCCCTTTGACCTGAGCGAGGGCAATGTGTTTTTCTTCCAAATGTACAACTCATCAACGTCCACTTTTTTCAGCAGCCATTACTTCAACGTCAGCAATCCGTCGCTAGCTTCGACCACGTCCACCAGTCCCTCGAGCACTACGACACCGCCGACATCCACATCGACCCGAGCACAGAGTTCGTCAGGGAGCAGCTCCTCTACAACATCTAGAGCGACGCCCACGCCAACCGTATCCCCAGAGTCATCTAATGATGGCAGCAGCAGCAGCAGCAGTAGCAATAACAACAACAAGCTTGGAATTGGGCTGGGAATTGGCATCGGGGTCTGCGCATTCCTCATCCTGGTTACTGGGCTAGTGTGGTACTTTTTCAGACGGCGCCGACGGCAGCAGGAGGCGAGAGGACGACCACTGCCGAAAGCAGCCGAGGCGCCGTCGTCAGAGACCGCGTCGGTTTATCCCATCGCCATGGGCTACGGTCACCCACCCCTAGAGCACAGGAGGTACGAACTCGGCTCGATCGCGATGGATCGGACACAAGCGGAACTGGATGGCAGTGGCGTTGGCAGTGGCGGCAGCACCAAGGCTGTGTAGTATAGCGACATCACATCACATTGCCGCACTTCACATCCTTGGGATGAGTGAGGCATGGACACAGGCAGAATAGTAGATATGGGATGGCCCTGTTATGTGTGTACATTATGAGTGGTTTCAGCAGTTCATACCAATCACGCATGCAAGGATATGATAAGACAGCGTTTTGTTCTTTTTGTTCTCTCTCCGACGGACCTCTGAATTAGATATACAGTATAGTTTGACGTTCGCATTCTTCCCTTTACACAGGTTCGAAAACGATCTTTCACACCACCTTTTTAACCACCCCCTTTTCGTAGTCGGAGATGTATTCGGTACATGTACTCTATACCCAGAATCATCTGCACGCACTGGTTTAGTCCAAGTTCATTGGGCACCTTCCTACTGTACGTGGCCTATCTACGTCCGGCTGGGGTTGGATATGGAGGTGTGCCTCCTCAAAGTAACATGGCACGTGGTGCATAAGTGATAGAGACTCCGTCAGTTGCGTACATATATAGCATAATGTCTGTGTTGTGTTTGAATAATCAATCAATCAATCACTTCCTTACGTCAATCATTCATTTCCCATGGGATTTGTGCCTTCCATCTATCTCTTATTGTAGTGTTACACAGACTTTTTACAGTTCAGTCTTTGGTCTGGAGGAGCTCGCGCTCTCGGGGAACTGCACAGTCCAATCCACGCCAATGCTCGTTCCGGGACTCCTGATCACGGCCCAGGCGGCCTTGTTCCCCTGCGCCGCATGATAACTCATGTCGACCTTTCGGGCACCCTTGACCCCGTCCTCTGACACGGTGAGCTCTGTGGTTGACGACCACGCAGCAGGCGCGTTGACCACGATGATCTTCTCAATCTTGACTTCCTTCATCGCCTTCACATACCCAGCAGTCTTTGGTCCTTTCGTGCCAATGTCGCGGCTGCGAAGAGCTCCATCCCCGAATGAGAACTGGCGATGGATATACGCCCCTTGCTGATACTCAAACGTTTCTCCGTCGTCCACGTACAGCGTGCCCTCTGCTGTCTCACCATGTTTATCCAGAACAACCACAAGAGTGTATGGATCCCACTTCATCAACCCGGAGCTCTTTCTCGGTCTGTCTTTGCGGGGAATTATGTGGCCACCTTGCATGAGCAACGGAATCTTGTCCAACGGTGCATCGACCTTGTGCGTCTTGGAACCGCCAGCGTAGATCGTGAAGTCAAAGTAGTCATAGTAATTCTCGTCATCCGACAGGTAGATGTCCACGCTCTCCCCTCCTTCGACGGTGACGGGTTTTACCAACAAGCCAGTGGAGCCGAGGTACATCTGATCGTCAATGCCAAAACCTCGTTCGTCTGATGGATGAACAAAATACTGGGCTCGCACGATAGGGTGTCCATCTGTGGCGGCCTCATGGAATGCTGTATACCATGCCGGCAGGAGTGAATAGCGTAGTCGCAAGGCCTGGGTCATGATACCGGTGTATGGCTCCCCAAGCATATAGGGCTCGCGTCTCCGGGTGTCAATATGTGCATGGCCACGCATGAACGGATAGAAAGCCCCAGCTTGATACCATCTCGTCTGCAGTTCTTTGCTTGGGTTACCAAAGAATCCACCGACATCAGCCCCGGCAAAGGGAAACCCGCCAACCCCTTGGTTGAGAATCATCGGAATCGATGCGGCAAGATGTTCCCAGTTGGCCTGGTTATCACCAGTCCACATTGCCGCAGATCTCTGCGAGCCTGCATAGAACGATCGAGTGAGCACGAATGGCCGCCGAATCTCTCCCTTTTTGCGTTCCAAGAGAGCGTGCCAGGTGGCGTTGTGAAAAGTCATGCCATTGAGGTTGTGTAGGTCTCGGTGCTCCCAGTTGCCGTGGTGTAGGTTATCCCTCGGCATGGTGATTTCCGGGCCATTAAAGACGGATGGCTCATTCATGTCATTCCACAGCCACACATTTGATTGTGTGCCTTTGAATCGATCGAACGTAAATAGTGATTTCCACCAGGCCCTCGCTGCTGGATTGAACGCATCGATCCAATGAGAGCTCCCAGGCCAACACCATCCCTCAAAAATGTTGTTCTCCTTGTTCTTCACCGCCAAACCTTTACTCTTGAGTTCGTCCACGACAAAGTATCCCTCCTTGTTCTTGATGTGTGGGTCGATAATGACAACCAGCTTGCGCTCAGTCTCATCAAGCTGCTTTTCCATCGAGATGGGATCTGGGAAGTTCAACGGATCCCAGGTAAAATACTTCTTATCGTCTGTATATTCAATATCAAGCCAAATGACATCGTAGGGGATGTTGAATTTGTCGAACTTCCGATCAACATCCTTCACGTCCTCGTCGCTGACGTAGTTCCACCTGCATTGATGGTAGGCAATGGCAAACAATGCTGGCATTGCAGTGTAGCCGGTCAGCTCCCCGAATGACTTGGAAACGTCTCCAGGCGTTGGACCGAGCATGACAAACACGTCCAGCAGACCGCTTTCAGACATCCAGTGTGTATGGGTGTCTACGACCCCGCCTGTGAGGCCCAGGGTGAGCGGGTTCGTGTCGTGTTTCGACTTGACAATATCCACCCACGTCTCAGCCGCGTTCAGCCAGAAGATACCAACTGTTGAGTCCTTTTTATGAGCATGCATGAATGGTATCGATCCGTACAAAGTCATCGGAGAGTCGAGCTCGTATTCGAAAACGTCACTGTTGTACATCCGGTACGGTTGGTCGTAGTTCCCATCTCCACCACGGGTTTCCTTCAACGACAAAGGCCCAGCGTGCTCTGGGAGCCCGTACACGTGTCCGTAGCCAGGGAAGGTGATGTCCACCGCGACACTTTCCGGTCCCTTGGGCTTCGAGTCAGTATTACCCCCGAAGCTCTCGTCCCACCAGGTACTTTCATCATCCGTTGCTTCGATGGGCTGTGCTTCGGTACTGTTCTCATCCGCAGCAGGTTTCTCAACCTTGGGCCGCCAATGCTCAACATTCAAGAAGCCTCGTCCATTGAACACGACATGTTTCTCTTCACCGGACCAAAACTCTATTCCAAAGGGTGCGTGTCGGATAACCGCCTTTAAGTGGCCGTTGGCTCCCCACGATACTTCTGTCACATCTTTCGATACCTTTTTCATTGAAGCGGTCGTCTGAGGTTGGAGACCGCCTCCGGTAAGGGCCCAGGCAGCGGCTTCATTGTATCTCTCCTTCCTGGCGACACTGCCATGCCGCAGCTCAATCTCACCTTTCCTCCTCTTTTCTTCGTCGACGGTGACACGAACGTTTCCGTGGTCAAGGAAAGTTATCGTTAAGGGCAATTTGACTGCGTCACCATCGGCCAGCGATTTGATAACGGAGCCATCCATGCGGCCATCCTTGAACTTGATCGAGGCCGCATCCAGTTGGTAAGGAGAGGATTCAGGGTTGCCCTTCTCTGTCATGGAATCCGCAAGAGCTCTATTTCTCTTACAGAAGCCAGATTGGTCACAACGCTTGAAGTCGTGGTGTTTGACCATTACTGTGATCTGTCAACATGTATGTCTCACCAAACCGGTTCGCATATAAACACTTGCCTGCGGGAGAAACAAAGAACAACAAAAGGAGAAAGGAGAGGCATGAGATCGACCACGACGTCGACCTCCTCGAAGACCGAGCCATTCTTGTGACTGAGACTTGTTGAAGGGCCCAATCTCGCAAAAGGTACCTGAGTATCCAAGTCAAGGGTTGGGCGTGGTCGTGAGATACTGTGCCAGCAACATGTAAATGTGTCCAGTGTCAATAGGCCCGAGATGTGCCTGGGACTGGTTTAGCTTCGCCTAGAGTTCCTCTCACTAAGCGGACCCCTGCATTGACCCAAGGAGCCACAAGCCTTGCCCCTCCAAACATCACCACTTTTTCCCCCACTTGATGGAACAAATATTTTTGTCCAGTTCTCTTTTCCGTTCACTACACTGCCTTTCTCTCAGTCACTCTACCCTCAGAACTACGCATCTTGCCAAACTTTTCAAACGTGCACATCAAAATGTCTTCTAGCGAACAGACGTAAGCACACCACACTGTCCTGTGGCTCGGGTCCAACACTAACGTTGAGCAGCTTCATTGCTGTCAAGCCTGATGGCGTTCAGGTAAGAAAAAGCCGTCCTTCGCATCAGTATGGTCTCGATATTGACAATGTTCACCAGCGTGGCCTTGTTGGCGACATCCTGAGCCGATTCGAGAAGCGCGGGTGAGCGAAAATCTCCATACTGAATAACCAAAAAGAGAAGAGCCAGAGACTAAAGAGCGGTGAAGATACAAGTTGGTTGCCATCAAGATGGTGTCCCCTTCCAAGGAGCACCTCGAGAAGCACTACGAAGACCTCTCGGACAAGCCTTTCTTCAAGGGCCTCGTTAGCTGTATGAAGGCTCTCTACAAGTGGACATCGAATGAGCCGGCTGATAGAATATCGCAGACATGTTGAGCGGTCCGATCGTAGCCATGGTCTGGGAAGGTCGTGATGCTTGCAAGACTGGTCGATGTAAGTTGCCCAAGACCTTGTTGAAGGATGCATAATACTGACTGCGGGTGCAAGCCATCCTCGGTGCCACCAACCCTCTCGCTTCTGCCCCTGGAACAATTCGAGGTGACTATGCTATCGACGTCGGCCGGAATGTCTGCCACGGCTCCGACGGTGTTGAGAGTGCAAAGAAGGAGATTGCACTGTGGTTTAAGCCTGAGGAACTCCAGAGCTGGAAGTCTGCCCAGCATGACTGGATCTACGAGAAGGCATGAACAACCAGTCTCATCAACTCGCACGCGAACTGTAACTCCGAGCTTGGGCCACTTGAATAAGGCGCCTACAACGATGTCAGCGACAGTGATGAGTCCCGAGCGAAATCAAGAGATAGACTTACCGGAGTTGAGAAATGACACAAAATGATGATTGCATACAGCGTTCTGTTGTTTATTCAGTGTCACGCCGGCTACCACTCTATAATCAAGTCACAGCAAGGTATCATTTCGTTGACCTTCGAAACAGTGTTTTCGTGGCATTCCCAACCGGAATGATGGCGATCCGTGCAAACCATGGCGAACCCCAAACGCTAATGAGGAGGCGCAAAGGTAACAATATTTTCACCAAGGTGTACGCGGTCGCGAACTCGACTACCCATCTTGTGGCGCTTTCTCCTCGATTGAACCACCGCGAGACTGTTTCTTTGTGGCTTTCAAAACTGTGTGCATTGCCCTTCTGTGTCTCCTCTTCGACTCTGATCTCGTCTTTTTCAGTGATCCATCCTTTCTTCCGAAAATATCGCGCAAACTTCTCCACACCTGCAGAGATCCAAGCCCCTTCAGCAAAGTAGGGAGGGAGCCAGTTCCAGTAGTGGAAAGCCCCTGCGAGCCCGAATAGTGGTATGACCGCTGTTATTTCATGAAGGATAATGAAGGCTGTAATGTGTGACACTGGCGCCTGTCGCAGGCCAGTGACTGTCGGTCGGAGGAACCTCGGGGTGCGTTCAATGAAGCGATCGAAGCGGGTTCTGAGGGCAGCTTGGTCGTCTTTGAGCTTCGGTGATGTAGGAGGGTCTGTTTTAGGGGTGGACAGCCAACGCCGCAGAAGAGGATTTCGGGTACGAGGACCGACGGCCCTGCTAAGCGAGTGCTTGAGCATCGTGAGGATGCCAGGTCGCAGTGAAGAAAACCCAGCAACCAGCAACTCATGTTGTCCCTGCGCCGTCCTCGTTGATGGGAATGCACCACCGTAAAATAAACGGTGGATCATATGTAGTAACCCCTCTGCCCCTTCATGTTGAGATCTCCAACTGTTATCAGTAAAGTCGCTCTCATCGCTCTCTCACCCTTTTAGACGCCGCTCCTGTCATCACTGGGACATCCATAGTCCTACCCACATCTCGCAGGCAGCCCAGATACATGTCTGGTATGTCCACGCAAGCGACCGCGTAGATGGACAGGCTGAACACGACGAACTCACTCCTAGCGGGAACATTGGCACCAGGCTGAAACGATTCACAATATATATGTTCGATCCGCTTTAGAATCATCACAGCTGTCCCCTTTGGCCCCTTTGGGCTTCACAAGTCGCGGAATTTTGGAATAAGTACTCTCATCATGGATCAGCTCGTTGCCGAACTGGTGGACCATCTCTGTCTGTTCTTGGATCAAAACTCCCTGTGCTCGTTCCGCCTGACTTGCAAGGCATTTGGTGCCATTGCCGAGGAGCATCTCTTCCGTGACTTCGAGTTTCGTCTCTTCCCCAGTCATCATAGACTTTACCAGCTGGAGCAACTGGCAGCTACACCCTCGATAGCCTCCCGCCTACGTTGTGTCTCTTTCGAATCTGGTATCCAGCTGGAATACGCCGACTATCGGTACTGGCAGGCCGAAGTGTATCACGACAAGCAGAGAGCCTGGGAGCGAAGCCTTGTTGGTGCCACCAGGGACGATTACACGCAGTTTCATGAACGTCTTCAAGCCAGGTTCACCACGGACCTAGCTCGTCGTTACGATCTGTACCGCTGGCATCTCGATCAACAAGCAGCATCCATGGCTGAACCCCGTGTGAGAAATGTCCTCATGCGGGTAATCGGCATGCTCGGGGAGTCAAACTCGGCCCTGCGATTCAAGCTGATCATGGCCGAGCCTCAAATCCGGTTGGAAGAGCTCGAAGCGTTCGATCCTGAACAGTACGCAAACGACAAACCCTATGATCCCGATCCGCGGCGCAGAGTTGCAAATCGTCGCCAACACTGCCTGGATCACTTTGTCAATTTCCTCCAGGCCGCGAAGCTTTCGGGATGTGAAGTGGCTGACCTCACTGCAATCGACATCCCCCAGCAACTTCTTGCCGTGGGTCCTCTTCATGGATCCCATGTGCTGGAAGAAACCTTTCAGGGTCTGAAGAAACTCCGCATGAAAATCAGTTCCTTCCCCCATAGTGACTGGCTTTCTCGTAGTGGAACTGGACAAATCTATTTTGGCGGGAGGAATGTGGCTGCAAAAAGCCTCAGGGTGTTGTTGAACCAAACCTCGCAGCTGGAGCACTTGGACTTGGAATTCCCAGCTGGACTCGAGGCCGAGTATTCGTTTGATCTTTTTGATAGGACCAACATCGACCGCTTCCCTCGGTTGTGGCTCCCACATCTCAAGTCTCTGACACTCAGTCTTTTCAGGTGTACTTGGACAGACTTGAAAGCTTTTTTGGACGAGGGCAGGAATCTTGACTCATTGGTGATGAAGGATTGTCGACTTGAGACAGGGTCATTGATAGATTTGCTCGAGTATCTGCGCCGGAGACATCTTGGGAAGGTTCAGCTTCTTGGAAGCTGGTATGTCGATGTAAGTTGGCCCCAAACCCTGGCGCAGTTGGATGGTCCTTTGTGCCAACGACTCTTGCCATTTTGGAACCATTTTGTTCAGGCTGACAATGTTATAGGAGGACTGCGGTGAATGGCACTCGCACAGTGAGGAGGATTTCACAAGTTGCTTTGCGACGAACTCATACGAGGGCCCCTATGCTCATTCAGGAATGCGGTCGAGGATAGAAGAGTTCATCACTGGCAAAGGAGAGTGTCCCTTGCCACGGTGGACAACAGAAGATGACCCTCCTCGACTGTGGGAAATCGATTCGGATACGAGCTGGCACTTTATTCCGGGACAGCCTCATCGCTAGATACGCATACCTGTCCAGGCGGAACTCCCCTCGGGCAATGCAGGCTGCGAACACGTCGTAAGGCTGTTCTTCACTGACTTCTCCCGTGCCGCAGAGAAGACAACCACATTCATGAATACTGCTCGCCAGGCGTTAAGGTTGCTATATATTTCAATTTTCACAGAAGGCCCGCTGTCATTGAAGTTCGTTCTCCCGTGCAAACTTCGCCGATCTCACCAAGCGACTGCTACCGTGGCCTGCTTCTACCACCTCTAGGTCTTGGGGATCATCAATTTCCTGCCTTGTTTGGTTTGGGTCACACATGTACGAATGCTTTGGCACAGGTCGATCGCTGCTGCTGGGTGTTTGACTTCGTCGTGAGTCCATCCCATTCAGCCTTTTGAGACAACCGTTTCAATGAGATTGGATAACGAAATGTATTAGGGACTGCTCAGCCTTATGGAGCGCAGTCTTGGAGGATTAGACATAGCACGGTCGGTATCAATATACCAAAGTCCATATCCGTTTCCAGACTCGAGCATTGAACTGAGTCGCGACTAAGCCATGGTGAACTGTGGCTGTGCCGACCAATCATGAGATACTGGTGACATGGAGAATCACGTGCATTCAGTCACACAACTCCTCATGACAACCTGCCTTGCCTGCTTGCTTGGTACTCGTACTCATACTCTACTGTCTTATTGTTAGTTGTCGCCCGTGGTCAATCTCTACTGTAAGGTTATGTTCCTAGGAAATAAGCCTTGCCGACTCGCTGCCTTGGCTTCTGTGGATTGGCCGTTTCGGTTACGAGCAGAGACGGAATGCGCCGCCGCTTCGACGCCTATCAAAACACTATCCCCTCTCCGGACGAATGTCCCCCGAACCTGTGCGAGTCGCACATCGGGCACATCGACAAATACCGAAGACCCCCTTGGACATGAGGCAAGTGGTCGAAATGTCTACTGATCCTAGGTAGAGGCGTGATTTGCTGCCTCGCTAGTCGTGAAGTAGCAGTTACATTCAGATGCCTTGTCTTATCACCCTTGGGCAGGCATTCTGCCTTGAGTCCTGGGCAGCACTAGCTTAACAGCGCCCGTTTCGAGGCTTGGATGGCAGTCAACCGGCGTGATGTCGCGTACCTAGCCCGTCACTAGCCTTGCGGCGGTTCGCCAGGTTGTCTTGGTTGCCCTCCCATTGTCACTGGCTGCAGAGGTGTTTGTGTTTGTGCACACTGTGCACTAGAGGGGTGGAAAATGCAAGAACGCAGTACTCCAGAGTCCGACCCTTCCCGGTACAAGCATTGCGGGCGAGGCTCAGGCGGGGTGTAACAGATTAAAGACGGTGGTCTGCCACTGTTTAGTGAAAGAGGTGGGCTTCTCAATTACTACGTTGCCTCGACTTCGAGGTCCTGCTGGGAACGCGCAGTCTTTGTGGGATTCGTACCACGATTCCGGGTCGAATAAAGCTCAAGCAGCTTCTCCAGATGGCGGCAGGGTCTTTTCTTCATTCCATTGCCCTCCTGGCTACCTCGACCTTGCTGCTGCACCAATCCGTGGCGCAAAATGTCTCGCTAACGGTCGACCTTGATGCCCTGAACCCTTTAAACACATGTAACCGAGGGTATGGAAAAAGTAAGCCCGTGCCCAAGATACTCGTCAAAAACAGACTGATCAGATTCTAGTCGTGACCGTGGACAACAAAGTCTATATCTACGGAGGAGTCAGCATCGTGTCAAACGGCACGACAAATACCTTGTGGATACTCAGTGAGCCCTGGCCCTCCTCCCGTCAAATGGCCTTGAAGTGATGTGATGGAATTTATTGCAGACCGGTACCTTCGCACTGTGGACTTTTCAAGCTCGCGCGATTTGTCCGATCCATCTCTGATCACGGTCGAACCTCTTCCCGATTTTGTGCCAACTTTTGACGAGGGGGCCTTCTGGGAAGATGGTCGGAAGCTCTATGTTGTGGCTGGTTTGCAGGGATGCTGGTATCACCTCACGGACCAGGGAACGTTCGTGGACTCGGACTGGAGCCTCGCCGAACTGTCGGGCCAAAGCATATACTATTATGACGTCGAGTCGGGCCAATGGTCGGTGGACACTGCACTGCAGAATAATTCGCAGACGGGTCTGCCGATAGAATCGCCATTCTCTTGGAACTATTACGGGTGGAACTCACGTCGTGCAATAGGTTACGTCCACAATGGCATCAGGGCTGCCGGGCACAAGCGCCTGAACCCCAACACCGACGTCTACATTCTCGACCCGGGAGTTTACCAAATTGGGGAAAAGTTTATCGCGTCCTTCGATACCATTGACTGGACTTGGACCAACAAGACTATCTCGTCGGACCTTGTGGAAGAGTGGAGTGAACGTGGCAACTTGGTGTTTCTCCCTGGGACCGAGTCAGACACGGGTGGACTAGCCGTCGCCCTGGGAGGTGACACAAGACCTGTGAGTGCGTTGCTGTTGTCGCGAGACTCTTGAACCCCTGATTGACCCACGTACCGACGCAGAGCACCCAATATTTGAGCTTGAGACGAATTCTCATGTACGATTCGGGGGCAGACGAGTGGTTTGAGCAAGACACCACGGCCGAAGGGGGAACGTATCCTGCGCCACGTGGCTCCTTCTGTTCTGTCGCCCTGAGCGCGGCGGATGGCAGCAGCCACAATATCTACATATATGGTGGACTGCAAGCCAGCAGCGACGACGCGCTCGGTGATATCTGGATCCTCACGCTGCCGGCGTTCCATTGGATTCCTGTCAGCACAAGCTCGGTCCCGCGGTCTGCCCCGGCCTGTGGCGTGGTGGCGGATAGGTATCTGGTCACATATGGCGGGATGCTTGAGTCGATCAAATGGCCGATCCCGTCGCGATACGAATGGCCATGCGATCAAGAGCAATCTGGTCTGAGATTGTTCGACATGACACACCTGAATTGGACATCGACTTATGAAGCCCCGCCTCAGGTGTCTTCTGGGACGTCGAACTTATATGCCATCCCCAGCCAAGTGTACGGCATCATCGGCGGACATGCAAGTGGCGGTGCGACCGTGACGACCCCCAGTGCCGGGTTTGGGACGAACACCGCACTAGCCTCGATCTTTGCCAACGCCGTCAAAGTTTCGAGCACTCCTTCCAGTAGCAGCAGCACAGCTTCGGGTGTTACTCGCACAGGTTCGGTGACAGCTTCGGCCACCACCAGTGCCGCCACAACAGCCGGGTCATCACATTCGAGCCATTCCCATGCCGGAGCGATCGCCGGTGGCGTGGTGGGTGGTGTCGCCGGCCTTGCGATTATCCTTGTCGCCGGATTCTGGTTCCTCCGGCGGAGAAGAAGGAAGAGGATCATCCCTGCCGCCCCCGAGGCGAGCAAGGACCCCGGTCCACATGAGACGGACGGGATCAGCTTGCGCAAGGTCGACAGCAGTACGGGGAAATACGAGGCTGACGGAAACGCGATGCACGAGGTTGATGGGACTGAAAGGCAAGAAGCTGATGGAAACGAGCGGTACGAGGCTGATGGGACGGAGACGACGGCGAGAGCGACTGGTCTGGGAGGGACTCATGAGCTCGAGGCGCCTTTGAGATGAGTTTCCTGGTTGTCGGTTCATGTTATCACGCACGTTATGAAAGTACCTCGTATAGTATAATTAGTTCATGGTCTGGTCATGACACGTCTCACCGCATAGTGTAACCCAGTATCGCTTCTCTACCCGTAGTGATCAGCCGCGGGTCGTTTGGTATTAGTACCTTGGGTAGCGAGAGTGGAAATGGAGATGGAAATGGAATATGGGGAACTGACCGTGTATAAGCGTGTTAGAACTCGGCCAGATCTATCGGCTTTTCGGGCTGCTTTTATAGTCACCTCTCCAACTCCCACCGGAACTTGGTCGCGCTCGGCTAAAGCGGCCACACAGCTTACTAACAAACCAACCATCAGGCCGGAGCCACGGTGCCAATTGCATCTCCGGGGGTCCCAGGTTCTGACAGAACGCACCGAAAATCCAACCTCGTAGTATTATTATTCACAAGCCTCGTCTAACGGATATCACAGGGTCTCATAGGGCTCAGCAAAAGGACTAGGTGCTTACAAGAGCCCCCACGCAAAAACCTGACTCAACATTCGCCAACGATCGAGCCTTTCCACTTCGCGCAACTTTCGCCTTCTTTCGCAGCTAATCAGGTCCTGAAGCTGGGGGAGTTGAGTTTCGTCCCAAGAGTATTGTGCCAAATACCAAGTTGCTAGCACAGAGGAAGAGCAAAAGGAGTAGGTGGTCGATGGATTTGTGGATGGCCTGATAATACGAGTTAGTAACGAACCAACCGACCAACCAGGAAGAGGTATGAATTTCTGGAATGGGATATGGTATGATATGATATATTTTGTACTCGGTATGCTCTACCCGACTCGTATAAAGAGCCGATACAGTCTCTCTTTTTTCTTTTCTGACCGACCCTTGGCTCTGCAGACAGAGAGAAGGACCTTGTGATTTTTGGTCTCGGAATATATTAAACAGCTTGACAGTTTGACAGACAGACGCACAGAGTTCTGTACCTGGCAAGTCTAACCCGTCACAGACCCAATGTTCTGTATGATGCCATAATCACATCGAGGCTAATTCTGCACACTCCAGATATTCTTCGCTATTATTACCACCACCACCACGACCACCAACACCAACTATTCCATTCCATCCACACCCGCGCGGCTTGAGACGGCAACGAGAACAAGTCCTGATCGTCCTCATACGTTTTGGGCTGCTACCCGTTCAGGAGCGTGATTGTGGTTGTGGTTGTGATTTTGATTGTGGAATCTGGCATGATCGTGCGAGACACTCGCGCCTCTTGATTTGTCGTCGTCCTGTTGGTGTCTCGAGCTATTGTTGGTTTCAAACTTGGGGTTGCCCCTCCTTGAGGATCGGCTCCGCCGCCAAACACGACAATGTCGGACAAATCGTCGTCGTCGCCGTCACCGAATTGGTTGGCGAAGCTAAGACGGTCGCCCCGTGAGTATTCAATTTTTCTTCCTTTGCTCCCGAAACAGGCAGTCGGGTGTGCATGGATGCGTGTCTCTTGCACACATACCTAACTGAGGCGGTTGATCACAACCTCGTTGGATGATTGGATCAATGTCAATGGATCATGAATCAATGAATCAAACCAGAGTTTCAAACGCTAGCCTGCCATACTAGCTATGCTCTCCATCGTTGACATGCCCGATCGTCCCCTCTGCAGCTCGAACATGGACTGTCTACCACCAAACTAATTGTAACTAATCTCTTCCAATACCACCAGTACCAAAAGCGGCCGAGAAGACGAAACCAGCCGAAGGGGGTGATCCGGAGCCGGATGCCAAAGCGAGAAGACGTGAGCAAGTCAGACGAGCGCAGAGGTGAGGCCATTTTGATTGTCATGCACCACCATTCTTCCAGGGACAGCAGCGACACCAATGCATCAGTGGCTATCGGGATATATGACGTGTTTAGATGATCTGACACGAATCCCGACATATAACAGAACCCATCGAGACCGAAAAGCCACATATGTCAAGACGCTGGAAGCCGAAGTGGCCAAACTGCGAGCCCGCGATTCGGCGCACGAGGCCCAACTCCAAGCGTGTCGCCACGCCATCCGCCGCCTCAAGGATCTGATCAAGTATCACAAGATCCCCCTGCCGTTGGATTTGGCATCAGATCCCCAGATCCAGAGCCCCCAGGCCACCATCGAACTCCTCGGCTTTCCGGATTCCCGGACGCAGCACATTCGTGCCCACCTGCCGCCCGAGACCGAGTTGGGATTTGTCGCACCACAGAATATATTAACCTCGTCCGACCTCTCCCACTACGGCACCCTCCATTCCGGCTCGACCAGTTCTTCCAGCGATCTCTTCTCGGGCTTGACCATCAGCGACGCTCCCACCAGTCTCCACGCACCCAGCATCTACTCTCAGGCCACGAGCTCTGGTCTCCCGCCGCCACCCCCGATTTCCACCTCCATGCCGCACCCGCAAGGTCTCGGCGCGACGCAGGTGGGAGTCGACTTTGTTCTTGCGCTGGAACATGTCTGTCTGGGCCACCACGCCGCACACGCCGCCGCGGACGACGGCTCGGGCCACGAACTGATGCTCATGTCGCCGATCATGTGGCATTCGCCCGCGCGTGGGCCAAGCACCACCACCTCCGCACAACATCCCACGACAGCACCAGACGTCACGACCGCGACCGGCCTGCCCAGCGGAACGAGATGGAGCGTCCCAGCCGTGGAATTGGAAAAGTTGCTGGACTTCTCGGACAAGCTCTCCCTGGACGGGGAGATCACACCGGTAGAAGCGTGGCAGAGGGTTCGCCAGCATCCGAATTTTGGAGACTTGACCAGAGACGGACTCGAGGCGCTCAAGGCGACGTTGTTGCCCGAGGTCCAGTGTTATGGGTGAGCAGCCCCCTTTTTTCCCCGTCCTATTCCCGCCCGATCATCTCCTTCATTGCTGGGTGTTATTGGCAAGCCAAACCAGTCCGCGCCCCCAAATCTCTTCTAAGAAAACCAAATAAAGAGACTGTATAAAGCGGACCTGATAACACCATCTATCTGTCTGGATTTCCTTCAAGAGCGTGTACTGTGTCCTGTGTACTGTGTATTGTTTCGCCTGGTGCGGCACCACAAAACGGTGATGGGTGATGGTTATCGCTCTGGCTATGGTGATAGATGACACACGATATTCTTTCCCCCCGTTCCAAGTCCTTGATGGTCAATTAATTCGTCTTTTCGCGACTCTTTGCAGATTCGGCGCCGTCATCGACGAGGTCTATTTCGAGTCACTACTCCAGCAAGCGCTTGGGAGCGGGACGAGGACGGGGGTAGGGGCAACGACAGGCACGGGGCCCGGTTCGTTGTAACTTGGATGGATCTGGATATGGACGCGGAGGTGGACTTGTCAGTGGGTCCTGTCCTTGTCCTTGTCCTTGTTTAACAGTCGCGTTCTCGTTCCCGTTCCCCTTCCCGGTCTCTCTCGGTCTCACTCTCGCTCGCGCAGTCACGCTCGTCTACCGAGAATCGCCAATCACGTTATATCTCCACGGTACCCCCTGCCTGACACGTACGAAACAACCGGGGATGAATTAAGGGAGAAAGTCTTACAGTATCCTTTGACGAACGAATCGGCAGCAGATCAACAGACTAAGTGGCCAACCAGCTGACCATGCAAGGTAAACCAGATAGATACCTGTGTTCTTCGACTCGGCTATTTACTCACTCACTTACTCACCTGTCTCTCTACGTACGATCCCCCTCCTCCGGACTCACCTAAGCACCGCCACCGCCTCCACCACAGCGATGACCTCCTCCTCCCGCGCCCGACCACCACACAAGTAGACATGTCGCACGTACGTACCCGAGGCTCGACATGTTCGAGTACCTTACGGTACGGCACTTTACGGCACGGCGGAAAGGTATGAGGTAAGAGGTAGAAAGAAGGATCGAATATTTCGATATTTCCAGGTTACACGTCTCCAGAGGATGAGGAAGCATACTGTACATAGGTCCAGCCTGGAAGATTTGTCAACGGGAAAGGGGTAAATCGCCAACGGGACCGGGGTGGTAAGAGAAGCCAATGGAGGGCGTGGTAATAATGGGGAAACGAGGAAGAGAGGAACTCTGGTAGAGAAATGAAGCGAAGTGAGATGAAGGGATGCAAAGGTCGGAACAAGGACATGCGGTACGAGGTATCGTGTAGATGTGCGTCTACCGTCTACGTGCATATCTGTTTTGTTTCTGTGTGTCGGTATGAGAATGTCTGTCTCTAGCGTATATACGAAGTACCTAGTATCCCCACCCAATTTCCAGGCCTGTTTGATCACATCATCATTCCCACACCATGGGCCGCTCACTACCTAGGCCACTAACTAACCAAGTAACTAGCTAGACACTGCTAGGTAAGGTTATCCAGAACTCGGTACTCGGTACGAGGTAGATATCTCCCAGTTCAAAACCGTCTCTAGTCCAGGGGCCCCGCCCTAGCCTTAGCCCTGAAGTATAATAAAGGGATGATACGTCGAGTGTGAGACATAGTCATACTCGTATGTTGTAGCATGAAGAAAACAGTGATGCTCCAACGTTGAGTTTCACACGACCAAATACTGCGACAACCAAATCTCGGATTCAGGATATCAAAAGGTCGCCGTCAACAAATATATCGACCCTGACAAGGTACTCGGTATCATACAGTCACCGTCGCAAGACGCAGGCACCCTCGGGTTTCCATTGCACACCAACGCCGGCTCCACTGGTTCAGTCGCGATGAAATGTTTCCTCCATATTATCCAACAATAAAGACCGCACGCAGCAGCGGCTAGTCAAGCACTCCATTCCCCCAAGTTCATCAAATCCTCCAAGGCGTGTTTGATTGTTACAATATCCAATCCCCGTCTCCCAACTTTTGCATATGTCCCTGGGGTTGCCGTCAGATTTCCAGATCAAGGCACATCTCAACAAATGTCTCGTCAAGATGTCCAGTGCTCACATATCCCATGCGCTATTGACGCCTCCACCCGGAGCAAATGGCCCCGTCATATTCTCCCAAGTCGCAGATCCAAATATATCCGCAACATTGTAGTCCATGTTCCCCCAAAACATGGGATCCGAGTACTCTTGTAAGTTCGTGTTGCTTCCGTCACCTCCCATAGCACCAATCCCCGATTGCCCTGGGAGATTCATGTTCATGGTTGATTGCGCAAACGCCAGGTCCTGCGGAGTAGCATATACAGCGCTGCCAATACCAGGATTGAATTGAGGCTGTGTGGTCGGTTGACCGCGGTCCCAATTCGAAAAGTCAAACGTGGAGAGGCTCCCCGTTGGGTTGGTGAGTGCTGAGGGATTGCTGGGGTCGAACGTGGTGGAGGGTGTCCATGTTTGCGTGCTGTTGGGCGTCGAAGCTTGGGGCTTTGGCCGCGACTGAGAACTGTTTCCAGCTGCAGTCGAGGTATACCCTTGGATCGGTGAACTGGTCGTGGATTCGGCGACGGAGGACTTTCGCGGACTTGCGTCTTCGTTGCCACTGGTGGTGCGCGGCCTTTTTCGAGATGGCTGATCAAATTCGACAGGCATACTCTGCGGCGATTGATCCGGCTTAGGAACGGTCAGGAACCCATTGACCGACGCTTTTCGTGATTGGATGTTGATGAGGAGGAGGCTCAGCACCTTGTGGCAATTTTGCACCGTGTACCATCTGATATTCATGCTTTCCAGCAGATGCAAGCACGCTTGCATGTCACTCAGTGCTCGTGCTTTGGCGTATTTGCCCAGTTGGCAGGCAAAGGCAATAATGAGACCAGACATCCATGCTGCGGACAGCAAACCAGGCAGAAACATGGACTGGCCGTGTTTTTTATGCGCTCTCAGACCAGCTACAATCCCTCGCGAAGCTCGAATGCACACCTGGAGACCGTGTTGGAATTCAGGGGTTGACTGGTCCAGGGAAAGGCGAGGGCGATTCACCAAAAGGAGTAGCCGGTGGTACAGGATCTTGAAAAAGCTTGCAAGGTGTTGCTGTGGAGGAGGGAGAGGAGACGAATCGGAGCCATTTCCTGTAGCCCCATTATTGCCGTTAGCTGCCGACGCGGCTGGATGGGCGTTCACGTCGCTCGATTCATGGTTGGTCCTCTCGTGGCCAGCCTCGACCTCTCCACTTAGAAACCCAGGAAGATCATTCCACCACGTCTCAATATCACTGGTAAGACGGAGAATTTGTTCGTGCTTGGGAAAACGGTGATTGATACTTTTGTGGAAAACTTCGATGATCTGGCCTGTCAACTTGCCCCATTGCACATAGGCAGTCAGAGCAGCCTCTCGTAGTCGCTTCTCTTGAGCCTCAGGTCCGTCATTGTCAGCCTGCGCCACGCGTGGGTCATCCTGGACCGCACGTGGAGGTGGCATGTGCATGCTCATGTCCCCCTCGGGATTGGGTATTAGATCTCGTGCATGAGCCTTGTGAAGCTCTGGACCGGATAAACAGACATCAATGTCATCGTCTTGTATCACGTTGGGATCGCCCAGACTCAAATTGCAATGTCGGTCCAGAGCATATGCCGACCAAAATATCCGTTTGCGGATCTCACACTCTTCAAGAGAAAGTTGGGCATAGCGCAGCGGACATCGGTGAAGGCCAGCATGATAGATTAGTTTGATAATGATTCCAGCAACCGTGCTGGCCTGGCGAATAGCCAGGGTTGCGGTCAGGTAGAGTTCGGCAGCGAGGATGGCTTGTATAGTAGCCAGATCATGGTCCATCGCCAAGCACCCCGCCACTCGACACACATCGGCGGTGGACTTGACGCGCGATTCCATGGGAAGATGAATATCACTCCGATCCAGGGAGGCGATATTGATAATCAACTGAAATGTCAGTAACTTCCGCAGGTCCGTGTGAGCGGGACTGTCCTTGGTCGGTTTCGAAGGACGGCGCTGTGACGCATATATCGTCTCCATGTCTTTGATAAAACTAGGTCCGTGGAGAAAGGGGAAAAGCGGGTGCCAGACGGTAAAGAAAGAGGTGACCAATTCGATGGCGATCTTCTTTGCCGGGGGCTTACCCAGAGCCGAGGCCAGCGTCTGAAAAAACTGATCGGAAGAACTTGGGCCCTCATACAGTGGACCATTGTACGAACGACCCTCGGCGTCCTCACCAGTGAGAATGTCTTCGCTCGCGGGGACGGGGTTTGCGCCTCCTAGATTCGAAGACGCAAAGGCTGCAGAAAAGGCTCGCCGCACGGTGTTGACGAAATACACGCCGGAAGAACTGCCCAGCCAAGCAGTGCCATGATTACCGAGCTTTTTCAGAGTGCCAATCTCTGAGGTGTGAGTTGGACGCTCTTCAGGGTGAGCATCGCTGTCCGACTCATTGGTGACGGCAGTTCCGGACGTCGACGAAGGCACCGCGGGAGGCGTGGGCTGGCCGACGCTGGGGGACGGATTATTGCTGACAGTCGATCGTGGAGTCATTTTAGCTGGCGTCGAAATGGACCGAGATTAAAGCTGAAAGACGATGATGCTCTACTGCAAGATGGGATTTTGCGCCGCCATGGCCGTTGCGCTGATTGATGGTCACAGAAAGGCTCGGCCTGGGTCGATGGCCGAAGATTGGGATATGGACAGGACTAGATCAATGATGTTGTCTGCGAAAGTGGCAGAAGTGCGCGCATGTGGGTGTGAGGCCGGATATGCGGTGTGTGATGTGTTATCGGGAGGGAGGGGCAGGAAGAGTCGCAGGTGGCCGGCGATAATGAGAATTAGTAGCAACAGTGGCAGCGACACTGACGATCGACAGAAGACAAGGTCAACAAGTACTAATTAGCAAGAAATGCGGGCGTTGATCTGTGGTCGTTGGGCGAGAAAAAGCTAGGGTGGAAAATTGTGAGGGCGAGATTGGGATGGCGGGAGTGGGGAGGAACTCGAGGTCGCGCGAGAGCCGAAGGGCAGCAGCTAGCTAGAGAGAAATAGCGAATATGAGAAGAAATAGATGGTGGGAAGAGGTGGAAAGAAGACGAATCAGAACAGCAGAAGGAGGCTGATGGAAGGGCTGCGTGGCTGGCCCAGAAGTTTAGTAACATCAGGCTTGGGAGGTGGGAAATCGAGGGGGAAATAAGCAGTTTGTCTTTTGATTACTTTTGTTTTGCTGTTGAAGAGGAAAAGAAAAATGAAGCGAAAAGTCAGTCAGTCAAGGTCAGGGTCAAGGAGGAGCAAGAAAGGGAAAAGGGTCGCGGACAGTAGCGCGGGTGGTAGCCAAGTCAAGGAGTCCAAGGGACTCGTACTCGTAGTTCAAGGGCCCCTAACGGAGCTCCCAGGCACTCACTCGACCTCTTCAACCATCAGGCTGGTTAAAGCTCCCGCCCCGGATGTGACGCCTGAAAATCACGCAATGAAACCTCACGCCCTCGACCACCTCGAGGCAATGATTGTGTCAGACAGGAAAATGGCATTGACACCTCTGCACCTCGAGCGGTGTACGTACTACTCCTCTGCGTCAGACCGGCCAGTCCCAAGCATGACGTCGGCTGAGTAACACTCTTTTGCCCTCGCCGAGGTGCCTGTGGTGCCTGCGATCACTGATCCCTATCCGTCTGGGGTTTCTTTCTTCCTCCAGGCAGCTGAACTTGACTTATCAACCAAGTGTTTTCACTTCTCCCATGTGCAGTTTTGTCTGTGTTTACATCATCTACGTGCGGAAAGCACCGAATACCAAGTTGTCGCGTTTCCCGCATATCCAGATATTCTCAAAGTCCTGCATCTTCCCCTCCCTTCGGCCGTTAAAGTGGTGCGACGGCGAACATGGACCTGGCTCGACCGACATCTGTCTTACCTGCGCCCTCCGCTTTCAGTCTTCGGTCATCAAGAATATTTGCCTGAGGTCATGGTCGCTCATCGATCGATCTGGGAATTATCCATCTGGCACTCAGTAGAAAAGAAAACGTGTAGTTAGTGCTCAGGCTGGAAATGGAATGGTCATTCGGGCATATTACCACGCCCGAATGGAAACAATCGCCTAAACCCGCAGGACAATAGCTGCATCCAAGAGGCCGCATCAATCGGCTGAAGTCGGACATGCACACAGGCCAAGACGGTCTCGATGACTCCCCTCTGTATCCCACTGCTTCCCTTCACGGAACGCAGGAGGAAGGCAGGAAAAGGCACTAGTGGGAGCACCAGCCAGCCTTGGTCCTAATCATGACGGGGTGGACGGATCTCTCTCATGGAGCCGCTGACACTCATAATAGGCGACTCAGGCACGCTCGTAGTCCGACACATACCGTAGACCGTGGTTATTCGGGTTGGTGTATAAATTCTTTTGGTACTTGTACATGCCCTACCAGGTCCAGATCTAGCATCGAACTTGCTCACAAGTTTTTGCCTTTTTGCTGCCCCCTACCTTGCAATTCCAATGACTCCGTCACCCTCTCGGATATCTACCGTGGAGTCAATGACATTAGCCGTCTTGAGAACATCTACGACACCTCCCATGACCCCTGCATCTACCCCTCTCGTCCCCTGCACGAATTTCACATCTTTCAACCACTCCCTCCCATCTTCCTCGGAATAGTGGCAACCCGCCTCACCTGTCCCAAGCATTTTGATTCCCGCATCCGGATCCTCATTGAACATCTTAATTCCCGCGTCCAGAGCCTCGAAGATCTGCTTCAGGGTCTCGTCTGAGCGTGGGTCGGGGAATGCGTCAGTCGACGCAGCAATATGCCAGCTGGGCCAGGGCGTGTAGATCTCCCCAATCTTCTTCAAAGGCGTGTCATCCCCGTGGAAATAGGGTTTCGTAGTGAAATGCTCCCACATAAAGAAGTCGGCCGTGTTCCCTGTCACGCCGTCGCGAAGATCCTTGAACGGCCCCAGTGGCACGAGGGTAAGCCCCTCCGATTTTTGATCCTTGGTGTGCTGAAGCCACCCTTCCTGCTGGGCGAGAACGAAAGCCATGATGTGACTCCCACTGCCAATCCTACTCACGCCTACTCGTCGATGTTGTCTCAGATCATCCACAGACGAGATATCGTCTCGGTTGCGCCCGGTGACAATGGCCCATCGAAGTGGAGTAGACACCCATGACCCGACAATGGAATATCCCTTCTCTTGTAATGATTGGTTCTGGACAGAGGGGTTCAGAAGCCCAGCGACCCAGCCTTCAGTTAGACCAATTGCGATGTCGATCTCCTTGGAGCGCAGGGAAGTTATCATGTGGCCGGTCCCCGAAGGGAACGGGACGAGATGGACCTGGAGCGAGGAGGGGAAAAGGTTGTTCTTGTTGCTGAAGTGAAGCGGGAGGAGGTAGTGTTCGGGCACGAAGCCAATGCGAATGGCGCGGGTTGCCATGTTGGCAGAATACGAGAATGAGAGGTCGGGACGCTATCGCACAAGGGCTGTCAACTTCCTGCAGCCAGGATGGATGGAGATGCGGGAGGTTGAAGATCTGAGCGCAGCCGATGCTTCACCCCGCGCCCGCCCGCATCGTTTCACGTCGTCATAGCGACACGGAGCGTACCTGTATAACGCCGCTTTTAACCACCACCCCCCTACCATCATGATCAATGTACCTCAACCCTTCCTTGTCTGTGTCGTCCCCTCAGTCTATAAACGGCTTTGCTGCCCCGTTTGCAACACTCTCCACTACATCAAGACCCATTATAGCGTCTCTATGCGCTCTAAAACAGAAATACTGATTAAGAATCACAAGATTGTAGAGCCATCTCCAAGTAAATGATCAAGTTGCGTCGATTCTGCTCGGATGATCTGGCCATCGTATCTCCGGCATTGACCTTGAATTTTGTTGTAGTCATTAGGGGCACTGTCTTCCCACAATATCCCCCGTGGATCGCTCGGAAATATTGGTCCTGGCAAGTCTCTCTGGAATGAAGCCAGACGATCCAAGGCCTTTTCAGGGCTTCCATATGAAGACTATTTTGCGATCTGAGAGTTTGACCGCTTTGTTCACTCCCAGAGTATGCCGAATGACATCCGACTCACGAGAATGTTCTAATAGTTTAAAAGGGGTTTCATCGACAAGATTTGTGTAGACCATGTTGAGAAGGTCAATGGGTTCCAAAGGTTTGAGTATAGAGCGGCATCACCCTCGTACCAAAGAGGGGTGAACTAAATGTCGAGATGCATACAGCAAGGTTTTATTGACCCCTCCCCCGCAAAAACATCAAACATCAAACACGCCCGAGCCATTCGTGCCGTGGCACTCGTGGTCATCTACCAGCCGCAATCTCACCCCTACCTCACTAGACTGAGGATGTGGCCTCGACTCCCTTGCCCCGGCCCTCGCTCGGTCATTCGTGATGATCCCTCTGAACCTCCAGTGGGGCGGCTCGCATGCATCTTCGGAATGAGCTCCGCTGCTGATTTGCGGGGTTTCCGCACTTGTTTTATAAACAGCTCGGAATGGTCAGATGCAGCACGAGGAATCTCAGCAACTTGATGTTGGCATTGTCTCGGAACTTCTTTTAAAACGGGCATCAGTTCTCGTCGACTGCGTTGGCCGCCTGCTTGGTCCGTGATCCCTCCATCTTCACTGGCCGGCAAAACGTTTAACAGCCCGGACAAGGCTTGGGAATTGCAGTGGCCGAACTACGACCGTTACAACATCAGAGACAGGGGCCGGAAGAGACAACCCGTTTCATCCTTCCATCTCACCTCCTCCATCTTGCATCTCGCTAAAGCAGATCCCAACCCTAGATTCACTAGTGGCCGCATCAGTCTGACAGGCTAGCTTCTGATCAGGACCAGGGAACACTGGGAAGAAGACGGAGCAATTCTGTCCGGCCCGCACTCGTCCCTCGACGACACTCAAGCACAAAGCGCAACCCTTGAGGCCAAGATGGTCGAGAAATCGACGTACAAGTATACCTTGTACAGCTACTTCCGCAGCTCCTGCTCGGCCCGGGTTCGCATTGCGGCCAATCTAAAGAACGTTCCGCTTGATTACAAATATATCCACTTGGTCAAAGGCGAGCAGCATGACAAGAACTACACAGCGTTGAACCCAAGTGAGTCTGTGCCTACTTTGGTTGTGAGCGACTTAGAAACGGGCAACGAAATCACCAGAATCAGACAGTCGGTTGCCATCCTGGAATTCCTGGAGGAAGTCGAACATGCGAATGGGGTGCAGCTGCTACCGGGCCCGGATGATGTTGTGGGAAGAGCCCGGGTGAGAGAGCTGGTGAACGTCGTTGCTTGCGATATTCAACCTGTTACGAATTTGCGAGTGTTGAATTTCATCAAACCTCACAATATCGAGACCAAGGAATGGCAACAGCATTTCATGACCTTGGGATTTCGCGCATATGAAGGACTGGTCAGTGCCTATGGTGGCAAGTATAGTGTCGGTGATACAGTGACCATGGCCGACTGTGCCCTTGCGCCCGCCATAGACGGAGCCCTCAGGTTTGGCGTGGATGTGCAAGGCCAATTCCCGCACATCTGGAGGATCTGGGAGGAGATCAAGCAGTTGGATGCGTTCAAGAGTGGCAGGTGGGATAACCAGGAAGATACTCCGGAGGAGTTGAGGACAAAGGCATAGCAGAAGACGCATGCCTTGAACCACTTGAGCGATGCAGATGCTAGTGGCCTTTGGGATAGCTTGAATTCAACATTCGATAACAAAGTAAAAGTCTGCACTAGATCTAAGCTTGACATGGATGACTGAATTCACTGGACCTAGTGTGTTGTCCTCATCCATCTTCCCTTTCGTTGAGACAGACAATCAATGATAAGGGGAATCGTGAAGCGCAAGGCTGAGCTCCGGCCATTTCCCCATGACGTGTGCCAATGTTACAATGTGACAATGTGACAACCATCAATGGATCCGAAGCTTCCACGCTGCACGGCTTCTTGCTCTTCTTCTTCCCACCGTTTTGACCGTTAAATTCTCCTTGTCGTCCATAAACAGCAAATCTCTAACGGTCCGCTCTCCCTCTTGTAAGTCCTCTGCTGCCACGCTACATTTCCGCGGCCCTTCATACAATATGGAGACTGCCGAGCTGGGCCTCAACATCTTTCAAGTCATCCAAAACGAACTTATTCAGCGTGAGGGCAACCGATCTACACTAGGTCTGGGTGTTCGCCTTGCCATAATTGAAGACAGACTCAAGAACCAAGACGCACGGATAAAGAATGGTTTAATATGGAGACCGTACCACGCAATCTGCCCCATTTCTGCACCTACGCCAGAAGCCAGAGCCGCCGTCGAAGCACAAAGGAAACGTCTCCTGGAAAGAAAAGGTGCAAAGCCAACAAAGGATGACAAAGACCCGACGATGCATATCCGAGATGATGAGCTTTGGGCGGTTCATCGTCACTTTCCGCGGACTGTGCTCGAGTTCAAGGAACTTCAATTCCACCGTAAGTAGCCTATCTCCTGTTGTTACCAGAGCTTGCTCCCTGATGTGTGAAAATAGCTGACTGGGTACGAAGCTTACTCGAATTCTATTCCGTCAAGGTCTACCGGCCAGACATCAGGCCGGTAGTCATAGACCCGGTTGACCGGCTGATCGACGTTCAACAAAACCTCGAGACGTGTCTTGAGGAATTGGCCATGACTTGGGGACTCAATTGGTTCCGAATAGGTGGCCTGGCTCTACCTGGCCAAGCTCCTCCTTTTCCGAATCCTTGACCAACTCAATGCTACAGAAAACATGTGAGGAGCAGACACGCAAAGCAACAGCATGGCATGAGCCCCGTGAACAACGGATGTATGCACCGCCTACACCGAGGCAAGCTTGATCCACACAAACGGCCTTTCAAACAGCGCTTCCAATCTCGAAGACAAAGCCTAACAAACCTCTATACAAAGATCTCTGTTCTCATTTGAGGAAAGGAAAGTTATTTTAGGGCTGCCGTTCATTGTATAGAAACAATGTGGCATTGTGTCAAACAAGAGATAGACACTGTCAATGGGTTTTCAATGGAGAAGTCGAGATATGTCGTACTACATTAACCCAGCATTGACACACCTTTGCAGAAACCTTCTCCATACCGGAAAACTCGACATATCTCGATTGAGGATATTTCGAAACAAGAGTATTTTCAATATATCTCCGTCCCAAAAGTTCAAAACCAAGTTCTCAGAACACACCGCTCTCCTTACCTGCTTCTCCAGACCTCGACTCCCGAATCCACCCATCCCTTTACGCACTTCCATTCCAAAGTGCCAACTTGAAACAGAAATGAATCCTCCCGCTGGAGACCAGGCACCTGCGACGCAGGATAACTCTGGTCCTACCCCCCTCGATTATCTCGCCAACGAAGCCACAAGAAGACTCTCGGAGTTCCATGAACAAGCTAGAGTTCAAAGAGCGAATGACCGGCTAGAGCGAGAACAGCAAGTTGCCGAGTCAGATATGAGAGATGTTGAAAAAGTTGCAGAGAGCAATCCTGCTGCCGCTGCAAATGAAGTTTCTGGCCACAGCCCCAGAACACTAGAGGCTGCGGAAATCCTCCTGAGCCTTCGTCACGAGGTACTAGCTCCTCTGCCATCAACATCAAATCTTCAAGGAGGAGAAACTAACCGAGAAACAGAAATATTTGACCGCGGATCTCTGTATCAGCAACCTCCAGTTCTCTCTGCTACTCCAGTGGATGAAGTCCGAGACAGAACCGAGAACATAAAGAACCAGCCCACAGAAGCACATCCGGTAGGTGAGCAGCACCACGGACTTTCTGAGAATGAGAATGGCGATCTTCCTTCCAATGAGCAAGGTGAGGATTCTAATTCCCAGCTGGGTCCAGCAGACGCTCAAGATGAGAATGCAGTGGGATCAGAAGACGAAGAAGTCCCTGCAGAGAACCGAGAGCGCTTGATCCAAAGACGCCTGCAGCTTCTGCTGGAAGTCGTGCAGGCCAATGAAGGACCTGGCCCAATAGAGAGCGATAGCACTGGAGAACGCGTGCAACGAGACCTGAACTACATTGCCGATCCAGCTGATTACACCCTGTATCGCACTGCGTCGGGTCAAGAGCGTCGCATCATACACCATGAGCGTCGCAATCCACCTTCTTCTCCGCCCAGGGCTGAAACGTACACGAACAACAGCCAGGCAGAACTCGATCCCAATTTGCACTACTGGACAAGTCCCGACGGCTTGAAACATGACATGAAGAAGTACAAACCGGACCCGAATGCAGCTCCCCCCGCCAAAAGAAAGTGGGACGATGTGATTGCCGCGGCGCAAAAGGAGCAGCAAGACGCTGCGGAGCCTGGTGTGAAGCCGAAGCCCAAGCCTGGGCCAAAAGGCAAAAAGGGCAAAGGTCGGGCAGGTGCGAGTAGCTCGAGTGCGCCGGCGAAGCGGGCAGCTACTACAGGTACACCAAGACGTCGTCGAGCAGCGAAGCCTCCACCCGTTGCGGGAACTCCGAGGCGAGAAACGCGAGCTGCAGCCAAGAGAAAGAGGGATGAGGCTGATGAGGCGAAAGAAGTTGACAGCGGTGAAGACGGTGCGGCTCCTCCTCCTCCAGCGAAGAAAAAGCGGTTCATGATCATCCTCAGAATGCCGCCCAATCCCGCAGCCGGTTCTGAGTAATGGTTGGCCGGAAAGGAGGTGTAAATGGTACAATGTAGTGTGGGTAGAGCATAGGGAGTGACAATGACAGGATTGAAGTGAGTTGCACAAGTATCTTCATGACCAAGTAACATGCAAGTACAGAGTCTCTGTAGTATTACAACAATACCGAGTTCCGTTCTCACAGGATAGGGAAATTCGTTTTCTCGTATCATATCAATAACAGACACCAACCGCGTCAAGGTATCTATCTACTCGAGCATCAGATTAACTCATGGGAAGTAAGACGCACAAGGAAAAAAAAGTCGCTTAGCCTTCCACTAACTCGTTTATTCCTTTCATTCTATCTGTTTAATCCCCTTCCATTCCTTTCATCCAATCTACCCATTCCATTGTTCATTCCCTCTCGTCTCCTCATTTCCTTTTCACGCTATTCATCCCTTCTCATTCCCCCAAATTCTCGAGAATCAGATCTACCTCGTCGCCCGCCGTGTCGAGGATATGTTGTGCGGGATACCGCGGTTTCCAGCCGAGTGCTTCCTCGCCGTGGCGGGGGGTGAATGTGCATCTGTGGGCGTGGGCGAGGAGAGTCAATGGGTATCTCTTGAGGTGAAGGTGGAAATCGAGAGTCGAGAATCGGGAACGAGGATCGTGAAAATGCAGACAGGGTAGGACAAGGGGGGAGGATGAGAAGAACCAAACAAAGTCATGTCACTTGAAACAATGGCTGAAAAGAAGGAAAAAAAAAAACACATACCGTCCACCAAGCTGCAACGCCACAAACTCAGCCGGACACCCCAACGCCTTGCCCATGGCTTCCAGCGTCTGCGGCGTCGCGCGCTCGACCTTACCTCCCTCATCGACCACGCCACGCTGCGCCAGCCGCGCCGCCATGGCCGCGTACAGGCTCTCCCACGCCACATGGCCCGACGAGGCGAGGTAGTACCCATTCTTTCCACTTCCGGGACGATTTGTGCCGCCGGCGAGGATCCCGCGGAGGAGGGCGAGGTAGAGCGTCGTGTTGTCGTGGACGTGGCATACGGGCCAGGCCTGGATTTGAGTCGGTCAGTGTCAAGTCTCCAGTCTCTGGTGCCTGGGGTCTAGAGCCCAATGTCCGGCGTATCGTGTCCAGGACAGGCGAGTTGGGAGGGAGGGATGTAGGGATAGAGTGCTTTGAATCTTTTTCTCACTTGGGGGCCAGGGTGTTGGGGTTAATGAATCAATACGTACAGGACTCCCGTCATCGACACTGTACACGCGCCTCAAGGCCCGAGCAGCCTTTACGATGGCGACCGTTTGGATCGAGATGCGGTTTCCGAACCCTTCGCCTCGCCCGTCTTAGGAGGTGCAAAGATTGGGTGGTGTTAGTTGACAAACAGCATGGAACAGCTCGCGTCAATTCGAATCTAGAGGGAATAGAGAGGGGGGTGGCCCGTTCATGGTGTTTTGGCAAAAGCAAAACTTACACACAATGCACGGCACAAATATGTAGCTGTGCACGCCGAGCGACTCGGCCTGTTCGATGACTGTGTTATTCGTGTTGACGGCCTGAGTACATCATTGATAGAGGTATCAGTTACTGACATGAACAAATACAAACAACACTGAATACCAGGGAGTAAGGGTTCACTGACAGACTGTATCAGAGGGATCGGGGCTTTCTGCGCCTTTTGAATCTCGTATAGGTCCGGGTCTGTGTCGAGTAGTGGGCGATCGGTCGGGGCGCCGGCGTGGCTGGAGAAGATCTTTGCGCCGCTGGTCTGGTTATCGTTGTGATCAAGGGTTAGTATCTCGTACGTACAGATCGAGGAGCTCATATATTGATGCAGAGAAGGACCAGATGTATGCTCCCTTGAAACTAGACCTAGAGTGCAAGATACCTACATGCAGAAAATGGACATCAACCCCCGTCCTGCCCTTCAGCTCCGCCAGCGCACTGATAAAATACCCCTGCGCCTGGGCCGTCATGGCATCGACCAGGAAGAACACGATGCTGATCTGGTTGTCGAGCACGGCGGCGCGAACGGCCTTTTCGTCCTTTGTGTCGAAGACGATGGGCTCCGCCTCTGCGCCGTATTCTCGCTTCACGGCCGACGCTTGCTCCTCAGTCCGGACGAGTGCTAACAAACGTTTGTATGGCGGGAGAGAGGAGCGGGACCATTGCGCGAGGAGACTGCCGCCGAGGTAGCCTGATGCGCCCGTGATGAGGATCGTGTGTAAATCGGACATGGTAACGCTGGGTAAAATGGACGCTTTAGTGTCGATGTCAGTGTCGAGGTCGAGGTCGAGGTCGAGGACCAAGGAAGATTGGAAGAGGGGAAGAGGAAAGGGATGTGAATGGCCCTATATATGCACACACATACACATATACAAATATACATAAACGTATTTATATATTGAACAGTCCGTTAGCTTAAAAACCACACTTGAGATGGCCTGAATGGATGCTTCTCCAACTCGAGATCGGATGTGGTTCCTTCAGAGGATTGGAGATACTCTCCCTCCTCCTCATTGTCATCTCAGGGTACCTAAGGCATGAGTGTGGGGTTTACAAGGCTCCCGTCGAGTGCCACATGCTCCAGGTACGGCGAGTATAAGTACGAGTATAAATACAAGTATATGCAGTGTAATGTGATATAATGTAATATCGTGAGGTACAGAGGCAAGAGGCAGAAAACCCCATGTAGGAAACCCCAGCAAATCGATCAATTGGTCAGCCGTGGATGCGTAAGCTGAGGACGAGGACTAGGATGAGGTTGAGGTTGAGTATAGCGAGAAAGCCCCTCTTCAACACACCTCACCTTGACCTACAGACACTCCGTATCTAGTTGTATACAACAGAAGTGTCCGTCTTCAGCTACGAGGAAAAAACAAGCCGTAAATACCCTCGACGCCAAACCGAGAACAAGAACCCATTGAAGTCCCTCCAAAAGACAACACTGGTGGCACCCTTCACGCCGAAGCCGGAACAGCAGCTTGTCTCAACGCGCTAACCGAAGATACACTGTCCACCTTCCCTAGAGCACGACTCTTTTCCTCTTCAGCCTCGGCGTCCAGGTCGTCAACGTCCTCGAGATCTTCTCTCCTCAGTGCCCGGCACACTCCGTCCTTGGTACAGATCATCACCTCTGACACGATCCCCCGTACCACCGTCCTTCCCCAGCCCTTCAGCCTCCTCAGCTCACTCTCTTTGGCCGTCATGGGCGCAATGATCGTCTTCACCCCGACTTGTTCCATGACAGTTGCTCCCAAGAGCGTGACGTATAGGAATGGGTGCTGGATGATTTCGACGGCGAAGGCGTCCAAGATCGCACGCGCCCGAGACAGGTACACGGCCGCTTCGGAATGGGATTGCGACGGGTGTTGGGATTGGATGTAGGAAGAGAGATAGAGCAGGTTGGTGCAGATGACGCCGTTGGGAGACGGGAGGGCGTTGTCCGTGCCGGGCTTGAGGCGGATGATTTGTTCGGGCGGCGAGGAATCGCTGGGCCTGGGGCACTGGAAGTATCCACCGGTGGTGCTGGCGTTGAATCTCTCGTCCAAGCAGGACTGCAGCCGAACGGCCCAATCGAGGTATGGTTGAGACAGGGTCAGGTCGTACAAGGCCAGATTCGCAAGGGTAAGATATGCGTAGTCGTCAACAAACGCAATGTTGGTTGTATCGGCATCTTGACTGCGCTGCGACGCTGGCAGCCCTACTACTCGCGCCAGCTGTCCTGTAGTGTCATCATACATGCTCTTCCGGATGAATGCTGCTGCTCTCTCCGCGGCATCCTGGCATCGGGCAGCGCGGTGCTTGTCGATTGTCGCTAGAGTGTTTGCTGCGCGGGCGAGGGCTGCAATGGCAAGGCCATTCCACGAGGCGATGATTTTTGTGTCCACCTCTGGCTTTTCGCGTTTCGTCTTGCGGTGCTCGCGTAGTTTTGCACGGCCGGATTTGACGATCCGCACGACTTCCTCCTCTGAGATGCCAAATTCCTTGGCCAATATGGACGGGGTGGCATGGATGTGCAGCACGTTCTGGGTCAGGAATTCGTCGTGCATGTCATGCTGCGCGGGCACATTGCCATCCGGTTTGACGCCAAAGTGCCGAGCCAAGATGGCGGCGTCACCCTCACCTAGAATCGCCTGGAACTCTTTGAACGTCCATACATAGAAGGCGCCTTCCTTCTTGTCATCCGACATTGCTCCATTGCTCATGCTGGATAGAGTGGTCCGCGAGTCTGCGTCTTCGCTCGAGTACCAGCCACCCTCTGGATGGACGATTGGGGACTCGGGATTCGTAAAATATTCGACGAGGTTGTAGATCGTGCCCAGAATCTCGGGATCCCGACCTAGTGCCCAGGCATCGCAGTAGCACCCTAGAAGCTGTGCGTTGTCGCACATCATCTTCTCAAAATGCGGGAGATTCCAGTCAGCGGTGACACTGTACCGATGGAATCCATACCCCAGCTGATCTCTTAGACCTGATCTTGACATGGCCAGCAGAGTGTGTAGAGACATCCTTGCAGCGGTGAGGCATGACTCCCGGCCCAGAATTCCTGGGACAGGGCTGAAGAAGCCAAAACGTGTATGGGTGGAAGGCAGTGCGATGGCTGCTCCTATTCGAAGAAGAAAGGTGAGGTTCGAGGGAGTTGGGAACTTCGGCGCCGTAGGGCTGGGGCTAAACCCTCCGTACGTCGAGTCGTAGCGGGAACTGAAATGGCTCAAGGCATCATCCAGCAGGTCCAGATCCAGTGGCTCGGGCGGATCCGATGAACTGGGTTCGGCTTCTCGAGTTTGACTGTCGGATTGGGAATGAATGCCCTCACCGGCAAACGCCAGTAACTGGTCCGTAATTTCCGACGACGATTGGAGACACCGTTCGCGCTGTGATGCCCAGACATCTTTCATCTTCTTGAGAATCCCAATGAACGTGACAGGCGCCTCGTCATGAGGAGTTGCTGGTTTCAGATTTGTTGTCGGTGAGGGCCCTGGCCAGTATGTACCACCAAAGACAGGTTTGAGGTCTGGAGTCAGGAACACATTCAAAGGCCAGCCACCGGAGCCCGTTGTTGCCGTAACATAGTTCATATAGATATCGTCCAGATCAGGCCGCGACTCCCGATCCAACTTGATGGGAATGAAGGAATCGTTAAGAATCTCGGCCACGTCGGGAGAGCTAAATGACTCTCGTTCCATGACATGACACCCTTAATTCCACAAGTCAAATCGAGCACATTAAGCGAGCTTGGGTATCTTACAGTGGCATGCATTGTAGCCGATACTCAAAAATATAAGTTTCTGGTAGCGCTTTGCGAGAGACAGAGTTTTCGGCGTCCATTCTTGCCAGGCTACGGGATTGTCTTTATGTGCACGGAGCTGTTTCAAGTCAGCATCGGCAGATTCTGACAGGGCTGGCCTGGCTCACGTAGACTGATGCACTACTCGCCAGGGCGTTGTGCAGTCTGAGTTCAGGCTCGCCGTCGACCATGGAGGATGGTTGTGGGCCGATTGGCCGGGTGATTAGAGGTGTTGGTGATGTTTTGGTAAGAGGGCGGGATGTGGGTGAGGCTGACTTGGTCTGCGCGAGACACGCAACTGATATCTTCCCGACTCTCAGGCAAGGGCAAAATATGGAAAAAGAAAAGTCAGATGTTGGATGGGCACGTGGGTCAAGTTGGACAAGGCTTTGCAAAAAGTTTGCGGTTGGGGTCGGAAATCGCCGGCAGGAACAGGGCCACCCGAGATATTTCGTGCGTGAGGAACCAGGTTCAAATGCAGAGCAGGAGACTTTTCTCCAAGTGGCGAGATGGAGAAGCAGAGATGAGATGGAGGAGATGGCGACAGAAGAAATTTTCAGATGGGGAGGTTTAAAGCGCAATCAGATCAATCACCGGGAAGAGGAAAAAGGCAAAAAGACAAGGTGGGAGGTGGCAGGGCAGCCAATCACAGCCCAGCATTTGAGCATATCAGTCTATCAGACCTGCTTAGCTAATCTGGGGTCGGGCACGTGGAGCCGCGCACAGCCACATAGCCTGATAAGAAGGCAAGGCTGAGTCTTTGTAGGAAACACGCAAGCAAGGCTGTCCTCTTCGCCTTATTGCTCGTCCGTGGCCATCTTCTCCAACACCTCTTGCTCTTCTTCCTCCATCAACGCTCGGAGTTCTGCCTCCTCTTCCTCTGTCAGCATCCCTAGTTCAGTGTTGGGTTCAGGTTCCTGTTCGAGGAGCCGTGGGTTCTTGGCCTCCTCAACCGCCTTGTTTAGATCCGCAGGAGCCAGGCTCCATCTTCGAAGTGTCGCGTCAATGCTAACACTAATGACCAAATCACCAGCCAGGGACAGTCCTGTTACTTCTTCGTAGTGGCCGGTGAAAACATGGTGCAAGTCACCCGTCGCTTTGTTCCATACACGTACATTCTCGTCTCTGCAGGCCGTTATGACCCAGCCATATCTGTCGTGGGTAATCACATCTCGCACAAAGTCAGGGTGTGTCAGTGTTGTATCAGCCCTCCAACCCTCTTCCCGCAGGAGGTGCTTGGCTGTTTTGTCAGCTGAGGCTGTCCATAGATCTCCGTCTTCATCAAAGTGTAGCTTGTACACACTTGTGGCATGAGCCAGGATGGGCAAAGACAGGTCAAGTTTCTGCGTGGTGTTTGTCGATAGTGCAGGGACAGCAAAGGAGAAGATTTCTTGTTTGGATGTTGAGAGCATCACGATAGGTAAATCGGATGAGGATAGCGGATCGAGGGCAAGACATTCGATGCCTCGCGCATTGGGTTTGAGGGAACCAAGTGGTCTTCCGTCGAGACTCCAAAAGCGCACATCGCCATCAGCTCCGCCTGAAATTAAAATATCCTGATTGTCTGGAGTTCGGACAACTAGAAGACATTTTACAAAGTCTTGGTGAGCAGGAAATGAGGATTGATTGATAATTGTGGGGCCTTGGAATGAATAAGTCCATATGGATTTGTCCCAGCAGCCAGCGAAGACATGCGTATTAATGGGATGTCCCGTGCTGGGTCGCGTGGTGTGGAAGGCCAGGCTTGTTAGGGGTGCCTGGGGGCCTCTGGGAGTCGTAGAAATCTCATTTGTGGATAGTCGTAGGCCTGTGACCGTTCCTCCAGCTTCGGCAACAAAAGCCACATCTCCCGTAGCATCAAAGTAGTGATTCACGCCAACGGCTAGCAATTTTGAGGGGAATTTGACCGGATCCCCCAGTGTATTGGCTGCTTTTTGGCGTTTTCGATCATTTTCAGCCAAGGATGCACTGGAACATGATCAGCATGGCTCTGCCAAAATACCGCACTTGGTGCAGACACGCACTCGGTCTGAAAGTAGTTGCCTGCCTGGTCACCTGTATTGTAGCTGGTCATGGCGGTGGATAGCAGAAGAAGGCAAGAAATGTGAGGACTACCCCCCTTGTGACGAAAGGGCCGAACATTTTGAGATTGCATAAGGGGAATTAATGATCCACCTTACTACGCCAAGACGCCAAGGATAGGTTGAAGCATACAGCCTCTCAAATGCACCATATTTTGTTAGTTTGTCACTCTGGCCTTGACCTTTACCTTGCGCAGCTTTCTCAAGTCAAATTCGTCCTTTTTGCTTCTTCCATCAAACAAACCACTCCTCAATTCCTCACCCTCTACCACCTCTCCCTCTCTCTCATACCCTCGGATTTCCTTCCTCTTTATGTAACATTAGTGTCTGCTTTATTGCGCTCTCTTTCCGTCATCATGGATATGGATCATCTCATCGGTCAGCGTTTCAACCTCATCTCGAAAAGTGAAATTCGGTACGTGATCCTCCTTTGTATCTCTGAACTCGCCCTAACAATTTTGCCTGTCACAGCTATGTTGGTACTCTCCACGAGATAAATCCTGAACAGTCCACAATCGCGTTGGAAAATGTCTTCTCCTTTGGTACCGAAGATCGCAAGGTCGACAAATTCATCCCTCCTTCACAACAGAAATATGGTTTCATTGTCTTTCGTGGAAGCGATGTCAAGGATATCAAGATTGCTGAAGATGAACCCTCACAACCATCACCTCCGCAGAGCATGCCCAATGACCCTGCCATCTTGGTATGTCGCGTGCCCCTTCGTTGCTTGACACCTGTCTTTATGATGAGATATCGGATGTAAATTCACAGACCTGTTCTGAAAGCGCAAAGCCATGTGGATGTTTCCGTTGCCTTCCTTCTGATCTTGACTTCCCCTGTTCATTCTCGATCTCAATCCACCACTTTTCGAGTAGCGCTGACTGAAGTCCAAACTCAGAATGCCTCGCGACCAGGCCCTCCTCCAGGAATGCCCCGTGATGGCCCTTTTTCTCCCCAAGACTACCCGCACCCTCCTCCTCCTCCTTTTGGTGGTTACTACCCTCCCAATCAATTCGGTAGAGGTTATGGCCCGCCTCCAGGAGCCTTTGGCCCTGGTCCCGGATTTCCTCCCTATGGAACCCCGCCTCCCGGATATTTTGGTCCCCCTGGCGGCCAGGGCTTCCCACAAGGTCCTGGTCCTCACCCGTTTCCACAACATCCTCAACCCCCTATTGGACCTCCCGGCTTGCGCGGCAATGTACCACCACCTCCTATGCAGTCACAACCTCCTCCTGACTCCGCCATGTCCGCAGCACAGCCTCCTCCAAATCTGACATCTGAACTACCTGGTAGTAACAAGGCGCCAGAGGCAGATGCTTCCCCCTTCCCCAAAGAAACACAACCCTCTACATCGCTGTCATCACAGTTGTCTCATGCTCAGGTCGCTGCCAAGGCTGCACCCATACCTGCTCCTGCACCCCAGGCAGCAGGGGTGGCGCCTCCAAAGACAGCCCCTACAGGGCCGAAGAACAACCGTGTGGCTCCCGCAGTCCCTTTCACTGTGAATCAGAAATCCTTCACCCCTCCAGTCGCCGCCACGGCGGATACTTCTGCAACAAATGGTACCGGTGCTAAACCTCAGAAACCTGCCCCCTCCCAAGCTGCCATGGACGAGGCGGCGCGACAAGCAAAGGAAGCGGTCGCAGCGGCTATGGCAAAATTGAACCCCCAGGCTGCTTCGGCACAGCCCAAACAAACTCTTCCAACGGCGGCAGTAGATGCTTTGACCAAAAAGGTAGCCGAGATGTCCACATCAGCCACGAACAACGGAACAGCCCGTGGGGGCAGGGCAGGGTTCAGAGGCGGACGAGGCGGCAATTACCATCGCGGAGGCGGTCCGAAGAAGATGGAAATTCCAAAGTCTGATTTTGACTTTGAATCCGCCAATGCGAAGTTCAACAAGGAGGACCTCATTAAAGAGGCGATTGCTTCGGGATCACCTCTTGAAGAGACGCCAGCTCAGGAAGAGGAGAACGGCGAAGCACGTAAACCAACCCCAACCAGAAAAGACAGCCTAACCAACACTGTCCCCGCCTACAACAAGTCAACCTCTTTCTTTGACAATATTTCATCGGAAGCCAAGGACCGAGAAGAAGGCCACGACGGTCGCGCACATGGCAGACAGGTGCGCAGCGAAGAGTTCAAGAAGAATATCGAAACTTTTGGCCAGGGTAATGTGGACGGAGGTTACCGCGGGCGCGGAAGAGGTGGTGGGTATGGCCGTGGAAGGCAGTACGGGGGATCATATCGAGGCGGTTATAACAACCGTGGATATGGTGGCGGATACAATTATCGCGGCAATCGGGGACGAGGTGGGCAAGGACAGGGGCAGGGGCAGACGCAAGATGCAACTGGACAAGCCGCTGTGCAAAACTAGATCTGGATGCCCTTGTTTTCTTCTCGTCTCACACGCTATGAAAGGCGAGGTACATATGTTTCTACCATGTCTTGAATTAGTCGCCATCACTATGTCTCGCAAGGGAGTTGGGAAAGATCCGGACTCGGAACATCATGGATGCGAATGGGAGGAATGCAATCTGAACAACGGAACGGGATGGTTATGCATGCTGAAACGAAGAAGCGCGGGCCATGGCCGTCGTGATCACGAATGAAATGCCTTGCACATGGGATCGGAAGGACAAATGGGGGGCCGGGTCAGTTGGTTAACACCAGCAATTAAAGCCATGGCAATGTATGAAGCGAGGGCGCTTTTTGCTGCGGTTGACGGTTTTACTCACCTTTTGCGGATACAACTTGATAGGGATTTTGCAAAAGACCAATCCAGCGCGGTGCTGTAGTGGATTGATTACACATTGGTCTTCCCACTATGAGATTCTGGGCGACGCCTTTCCTGCTTGGTGTATTGACCTTGACCAACTGCTGTTACCGCTTAGTGAGCTTGTCAGCGGTCTGGGCGCCAGCACCACAGCGATGTCTCTGATATATTTCGTCGCCGTAGGGCTGGCTCTCTTCAAAGTCCCATGCTATGCCTTGCCGCTCGTCAGCTACGATATTCCCACCGGACAGTCTCATCAGAGATGGTGAGTCTGTGACGAGATCTATGGTGAAGGCGGTTGACCTGACACCTCGCCAACTGCGCCTTCTACAACTCATACGCCTATCCCATTCACCTCATGCCAGGAACCTACCAAGATTGACTAAGCCTGCAGCAGAAATCGCCTCTGCGTAAAGGTATGTCGAATCAGCATCACCGACACCATCCGATCCAGCCTCCGGCAGACAAATATCTGTTCGTCAACTACGATTCGAGCAGCTCAGGCGGCTCCCACGACCACTCACAAGTCCTCTCTCATGTCCGTCAGAACTATCACGTATGGCGCCGCAAGCAGAGTGTCAAGCATCTTCGAGACCTTATTGTCGTCCATCGCACCTACAAGGAGAAGCTGCCGCTTCCCAGTGTTAAGAGACACAATGTTACAGACGGACCAGATCGTACAATGCCTGTGACACCAAAAAAGGCCGACTCAACTCGACGCCCTGGTGGCGCTTCCGGTACAATGGTCGGCACTCGTCTCTGCTCCTCCTCGATTCAGCTGCACAGGGGAAATTCGGATCCTTTCCACGCTTATCCAGTCAAAATCAGTCCCCAAGTCAACGAGTTGATCGCCTTTTACCGTGACTTTCTTCTTCCCGCCCAGTATCACGTTCCTGCCACAGCATGGGTCAGCTCTGCTAATGCGAGATTGGACTGGTCCATCTGTGTCTCCACGCTTCAAGAGCCAGCTTTGGCACATGCGTTTATTGCTCGTTCTGCAACCGTGGCTGCCGTGCTCAACCCTGCTATGCGGACGCTGGCTATGCGTTATCGCCTGCGCAGTATACAAGAGTTACGACTGCGATTGCTCAACGATGCGAACCACACCTTTAGTGACGTGAATGTGCTCCAGATCATCATGCTTCAAAAAGCTGATATTGTCGACAAAAACCTGTCAGCCGCTATGGCGCATGCTAAGATACTGCAAAACATGTTTCAAGAACAGCAACGGAGAAACCATACTGTGAACTTCACACTCCTTCAATATGCCTTATGGAGCGACACCCAGATCTCTTCTATCTTCATGACTCCTCTCGCGTTCGACGTGAGTCCCGGTGGCTGGATAGAGAAAACGATGCAGCCTCTCTGGGCTGCGGCTCTCGAGCAGCTCCAAGAACTTCCACAGTGGACAGCGGCCCAGGAGGATGCGGCGACACTTCTTGACCCGTCCGTCGAAGGGGAAGAGCTAAAAGCATTTTTCATCTCTCGGAGGACCACTCTACAAACCTGGCTACTCTACGGGCTTAATGGTCTCCCTACGCCACCTCTAATAATGCTTTGGCTCACTACAACCGCATGCCTACAGCAGGGGAGGATGATCAAACACTATATTCGCGCCATCCATGAGGTGATACATCGCACATCTTTGTCACCAGCGAAAGCCGAAAGCGAAGATGGCTCCGCCGAACAGATGGGGTATTGGTATACCCAACAATATCTGATCCTTGCAGAATTTCTCTGGACACATCACTCAAGCTACAAAGTCGAGGTCTGCGGTATTAATCTCTTCGATATGGTGCCAACACAGCTGAAGAACCTTCGGGCAGCCTTGCAGCATGCGGAAAACTCTGGGCGGGGTTCAACACCTGACGGTCCATCAAAATATCGGAATGCTCGCCTCTGGGCACTGTTTATCGGCGCACATGCCGAATTGCTCAAGTCCAAGCAGGAAACGAGGAGCTCGGCAACACCGTCGAATAAGATTCTGCACAAAAGCCGTCACGGGAAGGAGGTGACCCCTGGCTTCGCAAAATGTTCCAGAAATGTTAAATATTGTGACCCGGAAAGTCAAGGAGCTGTTTACGATCGCTGGTTTGAGATGGAACTGGCTCGCCAAGTCCGGGAGATGGGTTTGTTGGCGTGGGAGGAAGTATACCTTATATTGAGGAAGTTCAACTATGCCGATGTAATCCAGCCATTCGGAGAAGAAGTCTACTGGAACGCCATGAAGCTGTTCTAAGATTCGATGGGAGTGCCACCACCTTACCCAGCACGAGTAAAAGAGAAACGGACATCTTGTTGTGGGAAATCCCATTGTCTATCAACCAGATGCTTTATGAGGCAATGATGCCAGCCAAACAAGAGAGCTAGAGCAAGCAACCAGGTTCCAGCTCTTAGAGCTCAGCCGACCAACTTCTCTCCAACCATAACGGCCTTCGACTCTACAGCCTCTTCTGACGATGCACACTCGCCGTCCTGAACCTCTAGCACCTCCCCCTCAAGCAACCGGGGATGGGGCATCACGCCCAATTCCCTTGCCTCCTCTACTGTGAAAGTGGCGAACAGATCTTCCGAGTCGATCTCCCCAAGACCCGGTACCGGGAATAGTCGGTTCAGGACATAATGCACAACGAATGCCAACGCAAAGCCCTCGATGTATGCAAGATAGAAGATCTCCTGTGCGCCCTTGGGCACGTGAATTGCTGGATTGACAGCATTGATGAATCCAGGTAGCGCGGGCGCCATGCCGACGAGCCACGAGGCGTAGGCGCGCCAATTGAATCCCCGATTGTACCAGTAGATGGACGATTCGTTTGGAATGTATAGATCGGAGAGCTTGAGCTTGCGGTCGCGAATAACCCAGAAATCGCACACCATCATGCCCACCATGGGGCCGAGAAAGACCGAATATCCATCCAGCACATTGATGAATGTATTGGCAGTATCAGCCAGTTGCCAAGGGTTGATTGCGATACCGAGCACGAACGTGATGACTGCCCCCCGGCGTATATTGATCCAACGAGGAAAGAGTGCCGCAAGGTCGAAGCCACCCGGCCAGGCATTATCGACGGTGTTGATGCTTAGTTGGGAGATGAAGAATCCAAGGCCAGCAAAGAAAGCTCCCGCCCGGGCCTTTGCGGTATAGCCGTCCTCCATCCAGCGGATAGCGAGCTCCGCAGGCGACCAGAGCACCTCTCCATAAATCTTCTGTGCCGCAGAGGTCGACAGGGTACCCATGAGAGTGACAAGCGCGCCGACGATAATTGTGGAGTAAATCTGACCGGGGATTTGTGCGCCCGGGGTCTTTGCGAACCGGTTGAAGTCACTTTGGTTGGTCAATGACACCGCGATAGCCCCAATGACGGTAGTGATACCGCGGATAATGGCCCAAGCTTTCTCACTGGTCGTGGTGAGTGTGCTGTTCGCGGTGAGCAAAGGCCCGCCGCCATGAGCTGCCGACAGTGCCCACACCGTGACCGAGAACATCGTGGCAGCAGTGATGATATTCGCATACCGGAACAGGATCGCGGTCTTCTCGGGAGGAATCAAGAGACAAGGAAGCTGGAAGCAGAGGAAGACGATGAAGCCTACAAACTGCTGCGTTGTCATATGGGCACTGGCTGGGAAGGTGTTGGGTATGTGCCTGTAGCCGGAGAAGATGCTGTAGAGCATGACGCCCGCCATCTGGCCACCGATCCACGCCTGAACACCATACCAGACCAAACAGAGCATGATTCTTTGTGCGAGAGCAAGATATGAGCCTCTGAGGCCCCAGACGGCACGGTTTCCCACAGAGAAACCGACGTGCCAGACAGCTCCCCACCAGCCGTTCGTGATGGCCACTCCAGCGATGAGAAACTAGATATCAACGCGGGTCAGTTGCGAGCTTCTGGAGGTCAATTCGACCATGGGACGATACTGACTTTGGCAATGATGGTCACAATCATGGCCTCCCACACACTCAACCCCAGCGAGATCAATGAGCTTGCTGTCTGCCAGCCTACCGTGTTCAGTTGGATGACAGACCAGAATCCCAAGAAACCCCATACTGTCCACGTCCGCCTATGTGGGGGGAGGGGGGCAAGATCGCGGTTGTTCCATGCCGTAGCCCTCTTGCCGTCCAAGTGCTCGTCCACGGGGACTTCGAGCTTCTCGCTCAGTCGAGCGGCTCTGCGACGAAGAGAACTCATTGTTCTGGGTGGCGAGCTGTGTAGACTAGACGGTCGGTATGAGCAGAGCGAGACGAAGGCGGTCGCAGCCTTTGCAAGACTGCGCTGGCGAACATGTTTATCATATGGTTGAGCCTCTGTTCATGCCCCGACCGAGTCTGATATCGCCCATGCCCGTTTCCTGGATCTGCCTATCGCTGATAAGAACTCAGACGAGCCACGTGGTTGGGCCGACATGGTACCGCTCATCTCCACGTCGTCGACGGTCACTTTCCGGCAAGTCGACAACATGTTGTGTGACGAAACAAGCGCACAAGCCTAGACCCAGAGATGCTTGTTTGAGACAAGAAGCGACGCCGAAGTCCTCGTCGAGGGCCCACATCAGAGGCGGCTAGCAACATCAGAGTTTGATATCCCCGTCAATCTAAGGCAAAGCGATGTGTGACAAAGCAATATCCACCAGAATAGGATCTGGCCATGCACCATCATAGAGACACTTGGTATGTTCCGCCATTGTCGTTATCAGCTGGACCCCGAACGAATGGCAGAACCTCCATGTCATTCGGGGCAAGCATTTGACTAGGGCACCGGGAAATGTCGGTTTTGGGAATGATACCCAGAAAGGAAAGTCAGAAAGGACTCGCCACATATCACAATCCATGCTCGGCAGAGCCTTCGGGCAAAGAACGGCACGGCAAAGCCGATGAATAATGAGGCTGCGCGTACCTCCGTCTCTCAACTCCGATATTACTCGTAGGGTATCCGATTCCTGTTGACAGCACAGCTGCCCCTTCCTGTTCGTATTTGATATCGAACCTGGCCTGGACGATCCCCTGATAAGCGATTCGCATTCTGAAAATCAAGCTCATCATTGTTCTGGCAACTCGGCCCCATCGAATAACACCATGTCACAGGTTACAACGGCGACCGAGGAATTCAATCCTCTTGTCATCAAGCTCCAGAATGGTCAGACTCTTCATGTAGAATCCAATGAAGCCATCGACGCGGACGAGATCCCCATTATCGACGTAACAGGAATCTACAGTGATAACCTGGCAGATCGACAGGCTGTGGCCGACAAGATTCGCGAGGCTGCCCATCGTATTGGCTTCTTCTACGTGGTCAATCATGTGAGTTTGTTTTTGCTGATGAGACTTTGTCCATGGCTGATGATCCTTTTCCTTCAAGGGCTTTGACCCTAAACTGGCAGATGGAGTGTTTGAACAAGCCAAGCGCTTCTTTGCATTACCACTAGAGAAGAAACTGGAGGTTGACACAAACCTCGTGCCAAAGGAGTATGTGGGATACCATGCCCTCGCGAGTTACAACAGGAATGGAAGGAAACATCATGGTAGGGAAATCCATGGCGAGAACCCAGCCGTGAGATCGTATTGATGCGGGATCGCAGTACTAACGATTGTGCACTTCAGATCTCAGCGAAGCTTTCAACCTAGCTTACTCGGCTGAGCAAGATCCGGAAAACCCAGACAATGACCCAGGTTCGTCAATATGGCCAAGTGATCTCCCAGGTTTCAAGGAAGCCATGTACGCATATCACACGCCAATGCTGCGATTCGCCCGCAAGATGACGCGGATCTTCGCTCTGGCACTCCACCTCCCAGAAACGTATTTCGACGAATGGACCAAGCGACCTGAAGCGGGCCTGCGCATTCTCCATTACCCTGAACAGGAGGCGACGGTAGACGAGCAGAACGGCATCGGTGCCCACACAGATTTTGAGTGCTTCACTATCGTCAACCAAGATATGTCAGGTGGCTTGGAGGTTCTGGGTAAATCTGGACGGTGGATCCGAGCGAAGCCTGTGCCAAACTCGTTTGTGATCAACATTGCCGACTGCTTCATGAGACAGACAAACGACTATTTCGTGTCGACGGTCCATCGGGTCATCAACAAGAGCGGCAAAGAGAGATACTCCATCCCGTTCTTCTACGGACTGGACAGGAAGATGCCCATGTTGCCGATTCCGTCGTGCATCTCGGAAGAAAACCCGGCCAAATACCCTGTCATGACTGCCGGGGAATATTATCTGTGGAGGGCGAAAAAGGCCAAGCAGGGCGACAGTGCCGGTGAAGATTAGAGAGCAATACAGAATACCTGGGTTATGCTCTAGCGAGCGGAGATCACGTTGACAAAGATGACGACTTATGAAAGGGAGTATATTCGCAACAAACTAGAAGAACATCCGTCAACACAAAGTCAGTGAGGTCCTGTCCCCGAACCATTTGGACATTCAAAAAAGGACGGAATATGACATTACTATTGGACTTTTCCTCGAGGCTCTTATCCGCCTGTCATTACTCCCGCTGCAGGCAACAGATACCCATGCTCCTTCGAATCCGTCAATGTCTTTGTGTCGAAACACAATCTTGATTCCAGTTTGGATCCTCTCACTCCATTTGCCACTCGCTGTCCTCTTCTTGTTCCTTCTCGGCCTCTTTCTGCCTGCTCTGGGCTGGTTGCAGCGGCTTCTGCTGTCGCTCTGGCCGCAGGTCCTTCTCTTCCGCGATCACTTTGATCTTGATGCCCCAGCCTTCCTTCCCTCCGATCCAGTGCTTGCGCTTGCCCACCTTCTCGATGACGCGCAAGGCGTGCTGCATGGTATCCTTGAGGAGGAACGGGTCGCCGGGGATCTTGGCCACCCAGAGAGTGAGTTCGATGCCGTCCTTGCTCGCGTCCCCACCCAGCCCGGCCGCCCAGCGCGCAGACATGGCCACGCGGGGGTTCGTCTCGTCGATGATGCCGGCCGGGTACACCCGGGCCACGACCATGGCGACCCGGCCGATGTAGCGCGCCCACCACACCTGCTCGGGCGTGAGCAGGTGGCGGAGTGATTCTTTGTAGTCGACCTCGCGCGGCGGCAGCTCGCCCTCGAACCGCTCTTCGAACATGAGTGCCAGCAGCGCGCGGTCCGTGTGGGAGACGCCGTGCGCCGACGCCAGGATGCCCGTCGAGGTGCTGTACAGGGCGGCGCTCGAGGACGATTCTTTGGAGAGGTCCGAGTGTTCGAAAAAGACGTTGGCCAGCGATCGGATGACCTCGGTCGAGATGGAGTGCGGGAATGAGCGCGGCTCGCCGCTTGTCGATGGCGGGATCGCCGACAGGAACAGGTCGCCCATGGCCAGCGCGGACGGGCGCGCGAACCGCGCCGTGGCTACTTCCAGCGGATGCTGGCGTCGGATGTGGTAGGGTAGTTCTTGGAAGAGGAACCCCTCGCGCACGCCCCCCTGGCAGAATTGGGCTTCTTTGACTCCAAACGGGATCGCTTCTGCTAGGACGTTGACCAGGAACGCGACGGCGGGGACCTGCGCGCGTCGGCGGTCCGAGACGCGGAAGATGCGGTGCGCGGTGCGTGCCACTTGCTTGAGCGTCTCGGTGTCGGTGAAGCTGGCTTTGTCGGCCACGAAGCCGTTGATGATGGAGATCGGGTAGTGGTGGCCGTGCACCTGGTTCTGGTAGAGGAGGAGGTAACCCCAGCCGCGAAAGCCCCCGCCGCAGAGGTACAGCTGGAAGCCGCCGTAGAGCCTGGCGGCGTCGACCAGGTCCTGGGGGATGTCGAGCTCGCGGTACGCGGCGAGGAAGTTCTTCTTCATGTCGGCCCTCAGCGCCGCGACGGCCCTGTCCGCTTCGTCCTTGGACTTGCCCGCCCGGGCGGTCTCGAGGGCGCGAGTCAGCGCCGCCGCGCCGTAGGGGAAGCTGAAGGCGCCCTTGGGGCTCATTTCGACGCGCCCCTCGCGCGACACCATCCACCCGATCTGCGTGCTCCCGCCGCCGAGGTCCATGACCAAACCCTTGACGGACGTGAAACTGCTCGCGATGCCGAACGCCCCGATCCGCCCCTCCTCCTCCTTGGGGAGCATGTGCACGGCCAGCCCGGTCTCCTCCTCAATGGCGGCGAGGAACTCGGCCGAGTTGAGCGCCTCGCGCGTCGCCTCGGTCGCCAGCACGCGGATCTGCTCCACGGGCACCCCCAGGTCGTCGCAGATGACCCGGAACCGCAGCAGCGCGGCGATCACGGCGCGGATCACGGATGGTGGGATCGGGATCTTTTTGTTGGCGTCGTCGTATTGTGCCTCGTACAGCGAGATGTTGGCTCGGTGCGAGTATACGGTCGGTAGGGTCCGGGCGGTTGGTGGTGATAGGTCGGAGACGGAGAAGCGGATCCCGTTGCTGGAAGTGAGCGGGTTAATCAGTCATTTCTCGAGAAACGGGGCTTTGAGGTAGAGGGGGTTGAGGGTCTTCGTTGGGAGGAGTATTTAGAGGGGGGGAGAAGGGGGTCTCAGCAAACAAGTATACAAGCAAGCAAGCAATCACGAGTAACCAGATAAGATCAGTGATACCATCCATCCAACCATCCATCCACATGTACTCGTGTGTATAGGGGGTTATTGACATATATGTCTCTCTGTCTTACCTTCCCATATCAACCAGACCGCGAAGATGAGGCCGTCGACCACGCATCGTGAACTGGACTGGAGCACGAACAGGAACTGGTGATCTCTCGTCCATCTCGGTGCGCATCATCCGATCTTGTCGCTTCTCATTGACAAACTCCCCCAGCCAGTAGATCAAGTCAATCAGAGGAATATGTCGTTATCTCTGCTTTCTGGATGTCCCCCGAGTACCCGCCAGCGGGATGGAATGGGTCTTGGTAGTGGTGTGATGGTGGTTGATAGCTTCTTTATACAAATAACACTGCTGATAGATACCCTAGGATACCCTAGGATACCTAGCCAGGAAGATAGGAATATCACAATAAAATCTCGACACCAAGCAACGACGTAGACCTTTGTAGAGCTCCAGCCGTCCGTCTGCCTCCGAGTGCCCAGCAGTGCCAGCGGTGAGTGAGTAAGTGAGTAAGTGTACTTTCAATCTCAGCTGAGAGGAGTAGTTGGTGAGGTGATCGTAATACCTACACGCCGAGACTACCAAGAACGCGCATGGCGAAACTCTAGCTTCTCTTGTTCCCCGCTTCCGCGCCGCGCAGCTCGTGTAAGTTCTTGGGGGGTGGGGAGGTGGTGGTCTCATTGGCCCAAGCGTCATGGTCCTCAGCTCCATCGCTACCTTACTACGGAGTGGGTTGCCAGGTAAGAACAAAGACCTTGTAGGCGTGGCGTGGCGTGGGGTGTAAAGGGCCCCCGGAACATCACATCCGCCATCGGCCGGGATTGACATCGATGTTTGGGAGAAGGTTCAGGTACGAGGTACTGACCGAGTACATATTCAATTATGTCCATTCTTCAATACTTGTAGGCGGACAGTGATCAAGTGCCTCCACCATCACACAGCTTCCACCGCCTTGGGAAGTTGCTGGCCCAGCCTCTCCCGCTCAGCATCCCAGTCTCGATTGTGTTCGGTCCCTCGACTCAGCTTGTACGACTCCTTGCCCTTGTACTGGGCGGTGTTCCAGTTGTGTGCGCGCTGCTTGACCCATTCATCGGCATTCAAGAGCCTCTCGCCCGACGACGCCTCAATCCTGGCAACGTCCTCGTCCGTGGGGTGCTGGAACAGATCGCGCAGCTTGACGCTCGAGTTGGGCCGCGAAAAGTACACTACACTGTGGCGCATGCACTCGCCCTGTTCCCCAGGAGGCACCACGACGCGGTGGACCGCGCTGTACAGTCGTCCCCCGAGCAGCTTAATCAGGCTGTCTCCCAGGTTGATCACGGCACAATCTGGACGAGGCCGCACGTATTCCCAATCCCGCTTGTTTGGCGCGAGCACCTGCAGCCCGCCGAGCTGGTTGAAGAGCACCGTGACGCTGCCAAAATCGGTGTGCTCGCCCAGCGTGATGGTCTCGGCTGGTCGGACGGGAGGAGCGCATGTTACTCGAGCCTGGTCCACCGAGGGCTGGTCAAGCTTGTGCAGGGATTCGAGAAGTCCGTCGGGTAGACCGAGTGACTTCCCCAGGGACGTCGTGATGCCGTAGATGACATTGTGGCATGACTTCATGAACGTCTTGAGCTCGTCGAACCGATCTAGCACCACTTGTGGGTGGTGGCCCGACACTGTCTCGCGTGGCTTGCCATCTGGTCCCGTCTTGGGCTGCGGAATCCCCAGCACCTCGTCTTTGGAGACATTGTAGAACTCGCTGTGATCTCTGGTGCCCTTGTCGTCGACAAACATGGCCCCAGACCGCTTGTATCCATAGTAGTGGCCCGTGGTGCCCATGTCATATTTGAGCTTCTCGTCTAGCGGCAGGGAGAAGACGCTGTCCGCGAGGTTGAACATGAATCGCGAGTCGACATGGTGGTTGGACAGGTAGAAGAAGCCATAGTTCTGGCACGAATGCAGTAGGATTCGGGCCTGTTCGGCGTCCCCTTGGGACAGCAGGTCGAAATCCACCGTCGCGATGTCAGCTACGGGCACGTCTGATGGGAATGGCGGGATGGTATTCGTAGACATTTTTGGTAGTAGCTCTTTGCTCAAAGTCACGTCTGTGCGGTGTGAACGATCGTAAGGATATTTGATTCACCTAGACGGGCTCAATAGGTTCATCTCGTTGTACCATTATATGATGTGAGTGACCCTCCTTCGAGGGATCGTGGGTTGTCGAGCATGTCCGTTGTATTATATCTAACAATATCCCCCTTCTCAACTCCGTGGATGCCCCGAGCCACTCACCCCGCGCGTCATTCGTCATCCCTCCATCCAAGGTGGGGAGGCTTCATGAAGTGCTCGGCCATCTCTCGGCGAAAAGGTGTAAATTGGAGATGAGTGAGATGAAGTGACGATCCGGGCGATCAGGGGTGAGGGGGCAGGCATAAGTTCGGCAGTGCTGGCTCGCGTGAGAATCAGCACAGGGATGATTTCTTGTGTTCTTGGGCTTGCAGCTGGGCATGGTCCTGTGTGACAAACTTGATTGAATTGGATTTCGCAGGTGAAAGTGACTGCGTGGAAACTTGGCTCGGCTAACCTGTCTAACAAGGATAGGGAACAGCTCCATCCTTGACGCTGTTGTGGCTCTTTTCTACCTGCGCATCATGAATGTCTTGATCTAGTCTCGCTTGAGTCAAATCTATGTATGCAGACTTTCTGCGAATCAAAGGCGCTGTTCATCCGATATGTCTAGCCTGGCAACGCACTGTGTAACAGCTGCACTGCTCCAGAACATGTTCTCACGACTGCACACGCTCCACCTCAACCTGGCTCTGCTCCTTCTCAACCTCATCCTCCGAAGAGTTGCGTCTGTCCTTTCCATTCTCCTTCTCCGTAATAGCCTTGGATGAGTCTGGAAACAGAGCACCAATTTCCTCGAGGGACATCATCTTGGTCTGCAAGGTCAAGAACGTCAGTCTCATAACGGCAGGCATACATCTGGCGGAGAGTCTTACCTCTGGAAACTTCCACCATACCACCACGATGATGGCTGATGTAGCGCAAATGCACACCAGGTAGTATTTCCATCCAATATTCGCAAAGCCGGTGGGAGCTCCCTGCAACAAAGCCAATGCTGAGAGGAACAGCCCCGAGATGGATAGCGATAAGCCCTTTGCTCTCACGGGCGTGGGGAAGATCTCGGAAGCATAAATGTACGATGTCGCGTCGATGGTGCTGGCGAAGACGGCGACGTGCATGAATAGAAAGAAGACTGCGGCGCTGGCGGCCCCATTTCCTCCGTGCTTTTCGAACTGGGAGAGTGTGATGACTTCGCCGACGAGAACGAGCACACAGCCAGAAAGGCCGATTACTGACAGTAGTTAGAAATCTCCGACGAACTGACGGTAGCAAGCTGGTACATACGCAGCATTTTGACTCGGCCGACTCGATCGACAATCAGAGCGTTGAGGCCATTGCCAAATGGTGACACGGAAATCCATCCCGCTTGGATGATGAGTTGGCGGACGGTGTCGAAGCCGAGGTTTGCATACAGCATCGGCCCATAATCTAGGCGCCGTTAGATCCATCTCGAACAGTCATCATTGAGCTGAGAATGTAAGTGGGACTCACTATTGATGATCTGTGTTCCAGTTGTCTGTGCGCCAACCATCATGATGAAGCCGATTCCCACTCGCTTACGGTACCCGGGCAATCTGAACAAGTCCATGGTTGAGAGTTGTTCCTTCTTCTCTTCCAGAATTTGCGAATGCAGCAGAGCGAAGTCGGCGCGGATGGCATCTTCGTCGCCCAGAAAGCTATCGGATGTTTCCGCTCGTACTTGTTTGAATGAAGAATATGCCTCGTCGAAGCGGTCGCGGTCGAGAACTGTGCCAGCCAGGTCAATACCCTCGATAATGTTTCCTTAAGAGGTAAGAAGATGGGACACTTACGCCACCGCGGTGACTCGGGCAGAAACAAGACCCCCATGGCCAGACATGCAGGCCAAACGGCTTGCACTGCGAGAGGGATGCGCCACTGAGCGCCCGCCGCTTGAACAAAGTAGAACGCAACGCCGATCCAGCTGGCAGAGGTGTATCCGACACAGATCATCACCCCGTGGATGCCAACCAGCATGCCGCGGATCTTGGGCGGTGCGACCTCGCTCTGATAAAGGGGGACAAGAGTGACCAACGCTCCTATTCCCAACGTCAGCATTGATATTCTCGATTCTCTCGACTGTACCAGAACAGAGAGATTGTATTTGGTGCAAGGAATACTCACCAATACCGAGCCCTGTGATCAGGCGAGCCACGATATACATGCCGATGTGCACGCTCCCGGCCTGCAACGCACCCCCGATGGTCGTCACGATACTGGCCACGAACAGGGCTTTCCGACGACCCAGCCAGTCTGCGGACTTCATGCACGACAGCGTCCCGAACAGGCCTCCGACTTGAAATAGACCGTTGGTGGCGCCGATCAGGTCGCTCGCATTTGGTCGGGTGTCGAGCTCGAAGTAGGAGATGAACGAGGGTTGGCCGAGTGTGGTGGCGATGATGCTGGCGCAGTAGCCATAGGTCACGCTGCCGAGGGCGACGAAGACGACAATCTGCGAGGGTTGGTTAGTACGGTCTGCGTTCTTGAGTGTTGACTATGTTTACCAGCAATCGGAGCGTTGAAGCGGAGAGCGCCATATTGACGGGAGCTTGGAGGGCCTGGGAGCCTTTGGAGCCCTTTTCGATCAATTCCTGGGGTAAATACAAGGTATGTAGTTCCGACAGTGAGGACGAACAAGATATACTTCTGTTATATTTTAGAGACAGTGCTCCCTCTCCTCAAATATATACATATCTACACCTATACCACAGCTAGCTACGAAAACCTGGAATCCCTGAAACCCCACGCCCATGACTCCAGATGCAATCTGGTGAGAGGACCTGTCACGACTGTCTGTATAGCTCCATCCCTGAACGCTGAGCACTACCTCGACCTCGACATCCAATTGGTGTGAGTGGAGCGACCAGATTTCCGCCCGTATTCTCATACCGAGCATCCACTTCCACTTCCGCTGGCATGTATCATGTCATGTCATGACACGAAAGGGGGGCGGGCTCCGTGACTCTGTGCCCGTGCATGTGTCTGTCTGCACAACTCCACATCAATCCACTCCTCTCCACTCCTCTCGCCTCGACTCGCGGGATAAACTCTCTGGGGACTGGGGGATGGGGGTGGACGGAGGTGGGAATTATTCAGCGGATTTTTTTCAACGTAGAATGCTCGTACCTAGGTCGGCACGGAGGGACAACAAACAAAGCCCGCAGGTAGGTCCACCAGGAAAGGGGACTGATGCTAAGTTACTGTCATACACTGAATAACCTCCGCTCCGCCTGCCTGGCTTTGTCCTCAACACCAGACTCGAGTGGCATTGCAGTTAGTCTGGTCTAATCTGGCGAGCAAGACGATGGCTGGCGGGGATATCGTCTTGCCGTTCGAACTTTGGATATGTCCCCCTTCTCTCGGTCTTGTCTATGCTTCGCCTTCTGCCTAGGGCCGGATAATGCATCTTGTGCGTCTCGTTGATTCACAGCATAGTATTTACGACAGAAAGGAAACCCCCGCTCCTGGAGCATTGTGCCATTTTTTTTGATCTCGGTGAGTATTGTATGATTTCATGGCTCTTGATCGGCGGGAGTGGGATTTACGACTCGATGCGAAAGTACCAGAACAAAAATGAGATGACTTCCAAGTCTCGTGGTAACTAGAATATTTCCGCTTTTGGCATCTACAGACAAAGCGTTGAAGCCTTGCGCCACATCTCTCCTCGTACCTCCATCCATCTACCTCCATGCTGAGTCCTCGCCCCCGCCCCCCTGTCAGTCAACCTTGCCACCTTGCCAACTTCGTCCTAAACCCTAGCCCCTCCCCAGTCCCACTTTCAACTCAGCTCTGTAACCGTGCCTCCAAGCCACTCACTCACAACGGCTTCAACGCGTGCAAAAACTTGGGCTTGGGCGGCTGCGCCAGCGCGCCCGAGTTGGCAAAGTCGACAAACTCCTTGGCGGCCACGTGCGCCTCGAACGCCTTGCGGCCCGTGTACCGCTCAAAGACGTGGAAGTGGTTGGGGTTCTCGTCGTCGCGGGCGATGGCGTACTCGAGCACGCCCGGTTCGGACTCGGTCAGGCGCTTCAGCGCGCGGAGGTAGCGCTCCAGGTCGTCGCCGCGGCCATCTTTGGCGTAGAGCTGTCACGACAGAAGACGGGGAGTGTTAGCTACGAGGTGGTGTATATGAAACGAATGTCAATGGAACTAGGACCCTCACTCACATCGGCGTAGAGCTCGAACTGGCCCTCAGGGATGGGTGGGAATTCGACCGACATTGTTTTGCTGGTATCTCGGCAAAGCTGATGTATACTCGTACTACCGTGCCTTACAGGAACTGTGTATACCTAGGTCAAGACCTGTGCGACCGGTTGGCGAATGGATGGCGACTCTTTATGTGCTAATGAGGATGTTGGTTCGACCGACTCCGCAATAAAAGCGCCGTGGGGCAAATATGGGGAAAAAATGGCCTCAACCGAGGAAAGGGGATTGAATCAATGACGAATCTCCACAGTTTTGGTCTGCGGAGTTTTTTTTTTTTGTAAAGTAGGATGTCGTAAACCATGAACCCGGCGGTTCGTGTTGGGCTCGGAAATGGTTAGATTGATGGACCTGCCATTGTGACATTTCGTTCATCAGGTAGCGGAGTCGGTAGAAAGTGGCATTTACTTCCTCTTATCCCCCTTCCCATGCCGCATCGAGTGTCTTGAAAGTCCTGCTTAATAGTATTTGCGGCTGGCGACAATACCACCGTGATTAGTTTCGTTATCGACATCAGGCATCATGTCGACTTCCAGCACATCGACGCTTGCACAGCGTGCAAAGGCCAACTGGGTAACAACCGCGGCCGCGGGACTCGGAGTCCTCATCGTGGCGCTGCTGCTGGCCAGTCCTACCGCCATAATAAACCGGTCTCTGGGCCGCGTACAGATCAGGGATCCCAAAGACCGGTACCTTGGTCATGGAGGACTCAACAACGAGCACTGCTGGACAGATCCTTGTGAGTGGAAGTGTCTGCCCGGGTGTTCTTACATACCACTCAAGCATACATGGCGCTAATAATTCCAAGCTGGAAAAACCTGTGAAGACGTCAAAATCCATCATGAGACAGACACAGCGTTTCTTGGTAAGCTGGTCCAGCACCCCGTCATTCGTTTGAACGTGCTGACTTGGACATGTATAGCTTGTGGAGACCCAGTAGGCCGGTCACAGTTCTACCCGCCGATCAACAACCATTGGACGTCCAAACGTAAAGACTTTCGTGAGTATTTCCTAAAGTATGATATCAAGGTAAGTCTATCTTTGCGAATGTACAGCGGTAATGCTTTCTGGTTGCTCACGGCGATATCAAACAGGGCAACAAGACGACGAGGATGGAAGTCAGAGGCTGGGATGGTGACTTGGTACTCCACGGGATCGATATTTGGCGCTTCAAAGACGATCCGTCAAAGGTAAGGAGAACCACCAAGACGGCCATACGTGCGTTATACTGACCGTCGCTGTCAAGATACACTTGTTCGCCGTAAACCACGGCCGCAAGGGCGAATCCATCACCATCTTCTCGCACAAACTCGGCACAAACGTGCTCGAGTTCGTCAAAGACATCAGCCACCCAGAGTTGAAGACGCCGAATGCAGTCACGCCCTCTGGTCCTCTGTAAGTTCTCCTTACCACATGGACACAGACTCGGTGACTCATTGGGGCACAGTTCATTCTTCAGCACCAACGACCATTACTACTACAACGGACTCTTCAGATCGCTAGAAGACAAGTACGCCCCGTTCCGCTGGGCGTCGTGGGTTATTCACTGCGACGGCTCCGGGTCAAAGACGACGTGCCGTAAAGTATCGGACGACCTGCAATATGCGAACGGGGTTCTTTTGACCGAGGACGGCAAGACGCTGCTAGTAAATGACCTGTATGAGGGCACGACGATCGTGTACAGTGTTGATCCTCAGACAAAAGACCTGATCTTGGAGAGGAAAGTGGTGAGTCAAGACATTATACAGCCATAGTATCCCGTTCAACGTACTGACTATACGGAACAGAGACTCGGAGGAACCCCTGACAATCTGGCCGAGATCCCTACCAACGGAGACATTGTTGTGCCAGGTAAGTCACCAAGAATTATCGTTTTACCCGCTCGACGTCCTTTTCACTGCCAGCCTCTTGCTTCTTTTCTTCTTTTTGTAAGACTCCCCCGCTGATACCACTCTCACAGTCTTCCCCAACCAAGTCACCTTGTTCAAGCGCGGCTTCGGCCCCGGCGGCCTCGACTACGCGACCCTGTGCGAATCCGCCGTGGTTCGTCTGGTCAAGGCGAAAGGCTACGCCCCCGAGCTCCTCTTCTGGGACGACGGATCGCAGCTGAGTGTCCTGACCGGGGCGGCCGTCGACCCCTACAACAAGCGCCTCATCGCGGGCGGCATGTTTTCCAAGGCGTTTCTGGTCTGTGATATCAGCAATGACAGGACGGGGGTTGTCTTTGGGTGAGAGGCCTGACTCTACTTGACAGATGGATGGATGGATGGATGGTATCGTCACCTCCAACTTGACGCATTCTATACCCACGAGTGGGGGATAACTAGCAATATCTTGAATGAGGCTGGTAAACTGGTTTATATACCTTCTACTCCGCGCAGACGCTGTAAACCTGTCATGACGAAGGGACCAGTCTATAGAGACAAGTTCCACTTGAGTTATCGTTATCTCGACGGTCTATGTAGACCCTGGCCTTCTTATTCTTGTTCTTGCTCTCGTGCAGACCCTCTCAAGTTTATACAGGGGGGGTTTCGAATTTGATATCGCCCAAGCTCCCTTTTTCGTTCTACAAAAATACAGGTGTCAAACGATCAAGAATCCACTGTGAACGTTAGCGCCGCGAGTCTTTCTTGTACATGGACCACCACGACTCACCCGTCAACAGGGATGTCCTGTCCAGTCACGTAGCTGGCCATCGGAGACGACAGGAAGACAATGACGTCGGCAATCTGTCAGTCAGCGTCAGTGTCACTTACAGGCATGTATCGTCCAGTGCTATTTCGCGCAAGCCTAGGCGCTGGCTGGGGTTTGGATCCATGTGTTCTCGACAATCCACTCACCTCTCGCGCCTCCCCTAGACGACCCATCGGACAGGTCTGGAGATATTCGTCCATCCCGACCGAGGAGCCCGCACCTGGCATGCGGATCATCGGGGTGTCCGTGAACCCAGGACACACGGCGTTGACGCGGATGCCACTTTTGGCGTAGTTGGCGGCGTCCTGGCAGATTACTCATTCATTAGTTTGATGATACTCGTGGGGGATTCTCATTCATTCATCCATAAGGGTGTGTCCCCGGCAATTCCACCCCCCCCCCCAAAAAAGGTGTTTTGGAAGGGAGGTTTCGTACACTCTTTGTCATCCCAAGAACGGCATGTTTGGCCGCGCAGTACGAGGTCGTGTTCTTCCCACAGGTGTGGCCGTAGATGGACGAGAGGTTGACAATTGATCCTTTGGCGCCTCTGTAATGACAGCGATGTAGCGGTCAGTCAGCCACCTCGCTATATCCTTCAACAATTGATACAGCATAAACAAATGGCGCATGAAGTGATTAGAATGAAAGGGGGGATACCTCTGATTAGGCTGCTGAGAGACCATCAACTTCAACTGTTCCCGCTGACACAGCCACACGCCGAACAAGTTGATGTCGATCCCAAACTTGAATTGCTCGTAGGTCGATTCCGAACTCGCGACCATGTGTCCCGGCGTCCCGGCGTTGTTGACCGCGTAGTCGATGCGCCCGAACCGGTCGACAGCGGCCTTGTGCGCGGCCACGATCGACGACTCGTTCGTCACGTCCATCTGGATCGTCTCGATCTCGACCGCCGGGTAGGACGCGTGAATCTCGTCCTTGGTCTGTTTCAGCCCAGCTTCATTGATGTCGGTCAGCACGAGCCCTTTGGCTCCGTAGTGCGCGAACTGTTTGCCAGTGGCTCTGCCGATTCCTGCGCACATATGATGATATTGTCAGCCCATTCGACTCTGAAGGCGTCGTGATGACGAATTCGACGACGGAGAGACGGCGTCCCCTTACCGGAGCCGGCGCCAGTGATGAAAGCGATGCCGCCGTCGAGTAATGAAGCCATGATCGCCTGCCTTTGAAGTGGTATGTCCAACGTCTTTGGCTTGGTTGGGGTCCGGTGCTCAAATTGAAAAGACTAGAATAAAAATCAGTGTGTATAGCCGATCTCAAACGCCACAAGATGTCCTCTTCGTTGACAGCTGCTCTCTTGCTCAAGCATCAACTCATCTCCAATAATATATGCCCATACCCGCTCCAAACGGTATGCGGGGAATCGTCTTGGTATCTGGCGGGGATTGTTACAAGGTTTCCATATACGAGGCGGGAAAGCGGCGTGTCTGCTGCAAATCTGTTACCCGAGGCAGTTCAAGCCGTTACGAACTGGTCAGTAAGTGGCTTTACGCAGTCAAACTAGACGAACGACCGGATTCTCGGAGCGAGGGACTATGGCTGTGCTGTGCACTATCCTCGACCCACTCGAGAGTCTATTTCATCGTTGACACAGTGAGATGGATTTCAATTTCTCCATTATCATATCATTTGTGATTTGAAAGGACCAATTCATGCATTCTATATCTCGGGTCACAAGTTGATTCTTTCACGGCCCAAATCACTCCAGAGTAAACCCAGAGTATCCCGACTTTGCACTGTCCCAGATCCTCCGTCTATACTCGGGCAGTCCTGCCATGTAATTCAGCGCCTCCTTGGGCTTTCCCGGGATATTCCCCCCAAAATACCAACTGTCCGCCTCAATCAAGAGAGTCTTACCGGTCACGTCGTTGACATGATCGCGCCACTGCGTCTCCGCTTCTCGCGTCGGCTCGATCGACCGCAAGTTCTTGCTTCGGAGGAACTTCAAGCACTCCACGATCCAGGCACCCTGGGTTTCGGTGCATGCTGGGCCCGTCGCGAACGCGGTGGGGGCTTGTGGACCATACACAAAGAAGAAGTTGGGAAAGCCGTGCGTGGTCATCCCGAGGTGCGTGTAGACTGCCTTGGCCCATTTCTCGCGGATCGATTCTCCCGTGCCGCGGATGTTGATCTTGGTCATTGATCCTGTGATGGCGTCGAAGCCCGTCGCGAAGACGACAACGTCGAATTGATGTTCGACGCCGTCCTTGGTCTTGATCCCTGCCGCGGTGAACTCGGTGATGGGATTTCCCGTTTTGCTCGCGTCGATCAGAGTGACGTTGTCGCGGTTGAAGCATTCAAAGTACCCCTGTTCGAGACTGACTCGTTTGGCACCAAAGGGATGCGGCGGTGTCTCTGGGGCGAGGATCTTGGCTGCGTCTGGATTCGTAATTCTAGCGAGAGCTTTCTTGCGCCAGAAGCGATAGGCTGCGGCGTTAACCTCGCGGTCTTCGAAAAGATCCAGGTAATTGCCTAGCCAGAAATGCAGGCCACCACGGTAGAAGAGTCGCTCCCACAGCTCGTTGCGCTCTTCTTCGCTTGCGTCTTTACCATATGATGGCTCAAAGTCGTAGAGAAAACCGGCATACGTGGTGCCAATCTTCTGTACGGTTTTTGGAAAGTTCTCTTTGAGGCGCTGGTTGTCAGCCTCCTTGACTTCGTCCTGTCCCATCGGAAGAGCCATGTTGGGGGTTCTCTGAAAGACAGTGAGATGAGATGCAACCTTGGAGATTGCCTGGACAAGCTGCACTCCACTGGCGCCCGTCCCGATCACGGCCACGCGTTTCCCCTTGACGTCAATACTGTTGTCCATTGGCCATCGTGCTGAATGTGTCTTGACTCCTTGGAAAGCCTCGACATTTTGATACGGCGGGACATACGGCTTCGCAGCAAACCCTGTACCCATGATGACGTGCTGTGCGCGGACGATCTCTCCTGAACCGCCGCCAATTTCCACCAGCCAGGATTTACTGGAAGGGTCCCATTCTAGCGACGTGACCTGGGAGTTGAAGGAAACATCACGATCCAGATCCCACAGGCGACTGACGTGGTGGAAGTACCGCTGAATCTCGTCCCGGTCGGGGTACCGTTGCGTCCAGTTCCACCCTTTCACCGACGTCTCCTCGGTGAACTGATACACTGGAATCTCCGTGTCGACTCTCGCGCCGGGATAGCAGTTCCAGAACCAGGTCCCGCCGTAGTCGGAGCCCGCTTCAAACACGTGAACCGAGAACCCTTCTTTCCTCAGGTGGTACAAGTGCCACATGCCGCTGAAGCCCGCGCCCACGACGACGACATCATACGACTTGGTAGGATTGATGGAGCCCATTTTGCTGACTGGTCGACGATGCCAGAAGTGGAAGAGGGTATCTATCTCCAGGACAAAATATAGATAGAAAATATTGTCAAGAGGTTGCCTTGATCAACACCCACGAATATTTTCCCGTGCTTTAAAACTAGCCTTGAGGGTGATGTTCACTGTCAGACCGTGGCCTGATATCGTGCGAGATGTGATTGGCCAGAATTCCCCACAGGGCCCAGGTCGAAAAGGGGTCCTTCAGCCTCGCGCTAGCGGGGTTTATAAACTTGGCCCACCAAATGGGCTGAGGGGGTTTTCGGAGTTGAGAGAGGGGAAGGGAAAAGGCTGCAAGGGAATGAACAGGGAATTGGAGTTTGCGGTGGCACCACCATTGTGGGCGAGTGATGCTAACTTTTTTGACGGTTATTCAAGGTTGGTTGGGGCTTTTGCTCTTTGGTAGTGAAGGGACATGATGCAGGGGTTTCTTCGACTGCAAGGCACGGACGGGTGTTTCTTGGCGAGGCCTATTGGTGACTGGGTACCTTGAGAAGAAAATGACGACTGAATACAGCAGGAAAACACGCGAAATCCCCTTCAACATCTAGCCCTTTGTACGCGGACATACACATGTACAGACAGGGTTAGAGCCTTAAAGCCTCGAACGCGGGTTCGCCATGTCAATCAACCGCTGATACCCCTTCCTCATCTCCTCCGGCATGCCCCCTTCCACAGGCCTCCCCAGGTTCCCATCGACCTGCTCGACAAAGACGTGCGTCGAGCCCCCTACGGCCTTGACGTCGTCGTCACCTCGTCGAAAAACCCCCACCTCGTACATGACGCTCGCGCGGCCCAGCTTCACGATCCGCAGGCCACAGTCCACCACGTCCGGGTAGCTGACGGAGCCGAAATAGTCAAAGTAGGTGTTGGCGATGATGGCCGCTTGGGGGTGTTTGGCCACGGTGTACCCGCATTCGCGGATCATGTATTCGTTGATGATGCTGTCGGCCAGGACGCCGTAGTTGGGGTTGTTGACGTGGCCGAAGATGTCGTTGTCGTTCCTGCACCAGGCCGGGTTTCAATCAGCCTTATGATGCGGACTTTAATGGAAGAATGCAGTGGGATGAAGGTCTAGGTCTCGCAAAGTCGCTTACCATCGCAGTCGGTATTCCAGGTGGTAGCCATAGTCGGAGCGTTTGCGCTGCCGCTTCGACGCCAGGTCAAGCCCGAGACTTGCCATTTCTTGACCCATTGACCACCAAGGACAAGATGTCTGGAGAGTCGGCAGTTATTTCTGAGAGATTTGCGCAATATAACTGCCAATAACACTTCTACAGGAGGCCTCCCGTCGTGATACCGTGCTTATTGGTCTGGGTATTGCATGAACGGAGCCACGAGGCTGAGTGGATACGAGCATCTACACGCACTTTGTGGATTCATCCACCTTGTGTGCTGTGGCGGGGATAAATCTATCCTGCAAAGTAGAAATTCCAGATCTCTGAACTGGAGCGAGTTTGACAAATGGATACATACGTCTATAACCATTTCGACGGAGAAAGCAATAACTCCCCACTGAATCTCCATGCTGGAATGAAGTGGCCAGAATAGGGTCACAGAGGCTGAGACTCTGGAGCGGTCTATTGTCCGTGCACCGCGGGGGAATTCAAGATCGAGAGTCAATCAAGTCCCGGTGGATGTGAATATTGTATCCCAGGCATGGTGTCGGGAAGGTATGCGAAGCACCTGTCAAGGCTTCTGTGTTTTGGCTATGATAATATTGCTCGTTTAGTTCCAAGAGTTTTATTTCATTTCTGGATTGAATATCTTATCGGCCTTTGAGAATCAATCAGTGCTTGAATACCAGAGGCCACTTTTGAAAATTGCGACCGATAACCCGAAAACCCATTGCAGAATATGGCGCCTGAGTTGGTCTATCTGCCTCCTCCGGGCCTCGAAACCAACCTCGACATCCTTCGCAAGCGAATAAACACAGAGTTTGGTCTGTCCCTGCAAAATTATCATGACCTCCACCAGTTTTCGGTGGACCGGCCCAACGACTTCTGGATGACGTTGTGGAGGTTCATGGGAGTCAAGGCTTCTGTACACCCAACCAAGGCTGTCGACGAGTCACTCCGGATCGACCAGTTTCCGCAATTCTTTGAAGATGCCCGTCTCAATTACGCGGAGAACCTGCTCTGCAGGACAGATGACGGTGTGGCGATCCGGTATCTACACGAGCAGAACCTGGATTCACCGCGGGAGGTGACGTGGAAGGAACTCAACGAGACTGTTCGGCAGTTCTCAGACGCGATGAGAGCGTCGAATATCTCGACGGGAGACGTTGTGTGCATCATTGGGGGAAGCTCGCCGCAGTCTCTTGCACTCTTCCTGGCTACAGCGTCCGTTGGAGCCATCGTCTCAGCCTTTGCCACGGACGCGGGGGAGAGAGTGCTGCTTGATCGAATGGGCCAGGTGTGCCCGAGGATCGTGTTCGCAGAGTCTTCGTACCAGTACAACGGCAAGAAACACGATATTTCCGGCAGGATTGCAAAAGTGTTCAACTCCATCAAGAAATCATCAGACGCAGAGGTCGTCTGCATTGCTGGAACCGTACCACGGGGATGGACTCCCGTGCAAGACTTTCGGCGGCGCGGGACTGGCAGGCCGCTTCACTTCGACCAAGTACCCTTCAACCACCCTCTGATGATCGCCTTCTCTTCAGGCACTACCGGCACGCCGAAAGGCATCGTCCACTCACACGGCGGCCTGGTGGTGAATGGGAAAAAGGAGAGTCTACTCCACAAAAACTTTGGTCCAGATGATGTCCACTACCACTATGCAGGCATCGGCTGGATCCTATGGAACATTATGATCTCAGCCATGTTCTGCGGCACGACTGTCGTCCTCTACGACGGATCTCCGTTCTACCCAACCCCCGAGAAACAGCTAGCAGCAGTGCTGGGAGCCGGGGTAACAGCCTGGGGTGCCGGCCCGCGATACTTCTCAGAGCTCCAAAAGGCCGGCGTCAACCCCAAACCATACGCCAAAAACCTCAAGTGCATCTTGTCCGCGGGCGCCATCTTGACAGAATCCCAGTCCAAGTGGCTGATGGAGGCCTTTGGCCCTGTGTGTCAAATGTCCTTTTCCGGCGGGACGGAACTCTGCGGGAACTTCCTCGCAGGCCATATCGGCATGCCGGGCTACGCGGGTGAGATGACAGTCAAGGAGCTCGGAGCAGACATCGACGTGTTCACAGCTGACGGCAAGCCCACGAGACCGGGCGAGAGCGGAGAACTCGTGTGTAAGAAGCCGTTCCCCAACATGCCGGTCAAGTTCTGGAACGACCCGGGCAAGAAGAGATATTTCGACTCATACTTCTCCACCTTCCCTGGTGTGTGGAGGCACGGGGACTTCACCAGGATGAATCCAGAAACCAAGGGATGGGTGATCCTGGGTCGCAGCGACGGCGTATTGAACCCGTCCGGAGTGCGCTTCGGTAGCGGGGAGATATATTCCATCATCGACCAGAAGTTCCGGGACCGGGTGACCGATTCAATCTGTGTGGGCCAGCAGAGACCATGGGACGAGAGCGAACGGGTATTCTTGTTCCTGAAAGCCGCCAAAGGGTCGAATACTGTGTCGTTGGAGAGAGAAATCCGTGCTCAGATTGCCAGGGACCTGAGTCGTCGTCACGTCCCGCAATTCGTGTTCTGGGTCAAGGAGATCCCCTACAATGCCAACAACAAGAAGCTGGAGATTCCGTTGAAGAAGGTCCTTTCTGAAGGAAGCGCAGGGATCGCAAAGTTGACGTGCCCGGCAGAGGAAAAGGCTGTTCTGGCACAGTATCTGCCGTTTTACGAGGTTGAGAAGTTGCTTGGTACGGAGACGGCCCGGCTGAGTGCTAGACTGTAGATACTGTATAGTTGGTTTGACTACTAGGAATTTAGGCAGATATGGAAATAATTGTTAGCGATGCAGATTACGAGAACATTGATGAGAGTCCATCTCCTAGACATGACCAGGACGAGTGGAGCACAGCCCGCATAGTAACTCTCACATCTTTTGATGCCCTTCATCGCCTTCAGAAGGACACTCGATTCGACCGTCCTTTCACATGAAAATAATATCCCCTGTTCCGCAATAAAAATGTCTCTCCAAGCGGGGAAATCTCCTGTAGGCAGATGCATCCCATCAGCAGTCGCCCAAGTATTTCCCCCACCCGGACAGCAGAGAACTCCGGGCACTGTCTGATCAATCATTCATTAATCTATGAAACTGCCTGTCGTCTTCAATGCGAACAAGTATTGACGTCCTCAAGGCACAGCTCCAGCAACCACAATGGGTGTCCACGAAGCATTTGAATCGCCGCCTCCAAAATGCGATGGCTGCGACGTGACCTTCCCCGAAGCGCATATCATGCTTGCAACCATTAATCGACCCCGGCAGCTCAACTCGATACCCTACGCACTCCATTGGCAGATGGACGCACTGTTCAAATGGTTCGACAACGAGCCATCGCTGCGCGTGGCCATCATCACAGGCACGGGTACCCGGGCGTTTTGCGTCGGGTCAGACCTAATCGAGATGCAACGAGTGAAAAAGTCAGGCGACGATTCGTGGAAGGCCGAGCCGTACAAGTACACGCACCCGACGACTGGCTTTGCAGGGCTGAGCAGGCGGGAAGGGAAGAAGCCCGTCGTGGCTGCGGTCAATGGCTACGCGTTGGGTGGAGGGTGGGAGATCGCTCTGAACTGGTGCGTCCACGCCGTCCCTTGTTAGAAGAATGAAACGCACGGCTAACGTTGGATGAGCGAGTAGTGATGTGGTAATTGCCGCTCGAAATGCCCAGTTTGGTCTCCCAGAGGCCAAGGTTGGGCTGTATGCCTACGGAGGCGGTCTTCCTCGACTCATTCGAACGGCAGGGCTGCATGTCGCCAGCGAGATCGCCCTCAGTGGACGATCCATCACAGCGGAAGAAGCACTCCAGCGTAATCTCGTCAACTACATCTCGAAGAAACCGGAGACGCTCATTGACGAGGCTATCGAGATCGCCCGAGGCATCGCGGCAGTATCGCCAGACGCGATGATCATTACGAGGTCAGCCTTGAGGGAGGCATGGGAAATTCCCAGTGTCGAGAGAGCATTTCAGAACACCCATGAGAGATTCTACGAGAAGATGATGGCGGGTGAAAACTCGAGTGAGGGATTGGCTGCGTTCCAGGAGAAGAGGCCGCCGAGGTGGAAAGCATCGAAGCTGTAGTCTCTATCCTCTGGCCTCTGGCCTCGTAGCATTTCATACGATAGTGGTATAATATACACTGTGACAGGGCTTGCATTGTCGCTGATAAGCCAACCTTGCTGGGCGAGACAATGCTCGGTGCTGGATGGACGTGCTGCTCCGATACTGAATTCCTTCAACGAGGCTGTACCTCAGAATGCGAAAATCTGTCAAGCCAATAATATTGGACACTCAGCTGCTTTGAGATAAAGCGCCAGCCTCACACATGCTTTGGCTCTGGCTAGTCACTAGGTCATTAATGCATTTGACGGGGTGGCGGGGGTGCCTTGACAGTGGTACCCTGCATATCCCCCTTCTGCCACAAGAACCCTTCCCACTTGACAGGAAAGAGTGTCTTTCCATTTCAAAAGCACGCGGGTGAAAGGACCACAACTCCAAAAATGCGTGAGTTTCTCTCAGCATCAGCATACGTCATGAAGAGTAATTTCTGTCTTGGTAAGGGGATCATCTCACGCTCCATTGCCACCAACTCATCCCCCACCAGCTCCTCCCGCGTAAAACCCCGCCACGCCAACCACATGCCCACAGAGTTCTGGAGAAGGTCACCAACTGCACAGCAATGCGCCGAGGGAGGCACGGCAAGGTTTCATTTAAAGATGATACGGTTGCACGGGGCGCGTCGCGTAACATAGGCGCATCCAGGGTTGATAGCAAAAAGCGACAAAGTGACAGCTCATCCCGTCCTACAAGAATACCAAAGTCAAGAATAGAAAGAAAAGGTCGAGAGCCAGAAAATGTCGTTCCCGGTACGTGGAAAGAATGCTGTCGTGACGGGTGCCGGTTCAGGTATGTATACATGTATGTAACGACCCGAGTTCTTTTGTCAAGTCTGCAGTCTAGAACTCCAGAGGCAAAATCCTTTTACTGTGTGTCTGGCGAACCTGTTGACCAGATTGGCCAAACCGCTAACAAACCCGTGTGTCCGCGTGAGGTAGGAATCAACCTGGCATTCGCCAAATTACTCGCCAGCAACGGGGCGCACGTCGTCGTTGCCGATGTCCAAGAGACGCCCGCCTTCAAGGAATTCCAGAAAGCCACCACCACGACCAAGGTGCTCTTCCACAAGACGGACGTGTCGAGCTGGAAGGACCTGGAGAGTCTGTTCGCCTTTGCAAAGGCCGAGTTGGGCCCGATTGACGTGCTGTGTAATGGTGCTGGGGTCTTTGAACCGGTTCGCCATCTCTCTCTCCTTTCTTCTTTCTCCAGCCGACGACTTCAAGTCTACTATAAAGTATCCGTGTTTAGACACTCTGACTAACCCTTGCGGATTTGTCCTGGTGCGGGAAAAACAGGACTGGTCTAGTTTCTGGAAAGACACGGAAACGACCAGCTACAAGTCGATCGACATCAACGTGCAAGGGCTGATGAAAGGCACACGGCTCGCGATTCGCGACCAAATCACCCGATCGAAAGGCCGCGGCGGCCACGGGGGCGAGACCGTGGGCGTGATCCTCAACATCTCGTCGCTGGCCGCGCAGTACGCCCTCTTCAACCAACCCCTCTACGCGACCTCCAAGGCCGCCGTGTCGGCATTCACTCGGTCCCTCGCGCCGCTGCACCAGGAGTTCGGGATCAAAGTCGTTGCCGTCGCGCCGGGCATGGTCATGACGCCGCTGTGGAGCGAGAGCCCCGACAAGATGAAGGCCATCTCCGACGACGACGTGTTTGCCACGCCCGAAGAGTTGGCCGAGACCATGCTCCTGCTCGTCGAGAGCGCCGAGTACGAGGGCGGGACAGTCCTCGAGAGGCTCAAGAGTACGACGAGGAGGGTCTTGGTTGATAGCCCATTGCCATCGGGCCCGGGCTCGACCATGAGTAAGATGGAACTGATCTATGAGGATACCATTGCTCTGTTGGAGGCTGAGAGGAAAGGAGGGGTCACGAAATAGTACAATTCTTGCCACAAAGGAACAAAGAGTTGGACGGATTATAAGACATGAAGATTCGTAAAAGTTCAGGTCATGCGTTCACCGTAGCGTATGAACCAATCGTCTCGATCCCGGCCTGGAATACCCGCGTGAACAAGTGTTCCCAATTAAACCGAAAAAGCGTGTCCCAACGTGGTGACTCCAGCGGTGAGTCCCTGACTGCGCCGTGCATGGATAGACACATCTCTCATTCGCTTCGTCCAGTGACAGTACAGATGCGACTTCAACCTCAGACACCGCGCTGGCGATGCTGCATGCGGTTGATTAAGGGATAGTTGCATCTTCTAAGTGAGTGCTGGTGACGGCTCGTAATGTAGCCAGATATTTTACTCCGGAACGGAATGCATTCACTGTGGCTGAAACGTGTTTGTCTCATGCCGATGGGCAGCCTCCTGTTCCTCGATCTGCAACAGCCGGACAAAAATCTCTGATACGTTCGACGCCATCTGCCACACTTTTAGTCGGCGGGTGATGTCCACACTCAGCTGGAGCACTCGACTCGGCGCCTCCGGGTCTTGAACGTCGCCCACACCCTCCAGAAAGGTCTTGCCGCCGTTTTTGATCCAGTCCTTGACGGCCTGACTGGCGCGTTGGGAGCTGCAGAAGGATGGTTCATCCAACTGAATTGACGGCCCCGTGCGCATCGATGCCTGATGAGGACAAAAGTATTTACAGCTCGCCCAAAGTGTTATGCCCGCCAGAAAGACTGACAGAGGTTCGAGGGGTGAGTTGAATGGGTGGCGGCGTTGGAGGTAGCACACCTGCGAGGCATGCCACATCATCTCCCTGATGATTTCGGGGTGTTCGCCAAATGCTGCGATGGTTGCTGCCTCGTCCACGGCCGCGCCTCTGTTGTTGGCGTTTGAGCCAGAGCCTGTAGTGTGGGATAATCTGGTCATGTCAAACACAGAGGCCCGTTTGCGGGCGACGCGAGTGACGAGGTCGACGATCTTCCCTGCGCCAAATATGTGGCTATAGTGTCCGGCGACACCGATGCGAAGGGCGTGGCGAAGGGTGTAGCGGCGCGGATGATCAGCCCAGCTGAATTCATACACGGAGAGGATAGCTCTTGAGAGCTGTGACCGCACAGCGCGACTCACTTCCAGCCCGTTGTTGTCCTTCCAGAGGATATGGTACAGGCCCGAGTCCATTTGCTCCTGGCAAGCGTACAGCTGCTGGCCGAGGCACCGGATCAACAACCGCTTACCGATGTTGTCGAGGGAGCTGATGATCGATGGGCTGGGTTTCTCTAGAAAATCGTGGATGGTCTGCATGGTCGGAGGTCCTCGCGGCGCCGTCTGAAATGGACAAGCCGCCCAAGAAAAGGCGGTGGGCGCATCCCAGTGTAACTGCTCACACGGGAACTCCGGCGGCAGTTCTTCAAGTTTTGTGCACGGGTTCTGTTTTGAAAAGGCCGAGTATAGACAGTCAAACTCCTGAGATTGGACGGGTGGTCAGCTCATGCTGTAGAGTCGCCTGCCTTGTCCTGGAGAGTGCTAAAATTACAGGCGGATTGATGAGACTCACGAATAGAAACCATCCCAATCTCTTGACTTGCTCTTTGCTCACCCAGTCGAGCCACGTTTGAAATGTGTCTCGCTCAGACGACTCCGTTTCACTACGCGAGACATGTAGTCCTGTGCTGTTCATCTGCCGAGCTATGCTGATGAGGCGCGAACGAGAAGCGTCCGTCATCTCGAAAAGGCGTCGCGAGCCTGAGCCCATGGCGTGGAGATGCTGCAGCAATAGGGATACTCCATAGGAAGGAGACCGCAAGAACCGGGGATCATGCTCGCCCTAGGTCAATCCAGGTTAATTACCCCCATGTAATGGATGACGGAGGAGTGGCGCTAACCATCCAAGTAGACGTCCGCCTGCAGAGCTCCGCAAGTGTGTCGGCAAACTCAATGGACCGATCGAGACCAGAGTAGCACGCCCCAATCTGTTGACACATGTTAGCCCTGAAAACCTGAAATCTAAGGAGCGGCCGCAGTGATGACTCACGCAGGCCATGGTCAGCACCAGAATCGTGGGTGCATCGGATATCTTAAATGTCGGCCTATGTATTATAGGCCAGAGCTGGTGCCAACAGGTCAGCAAAAGCGAACAGAACGTGCGGCAGGAGCTGCTTTCCACTCACGTCATGAAAATGGAGAAAGTATAGATCAGTGAAGTGATGAAGAATGTCGGGACCTGGCAGTGATCGTAGTAAATCCACATCCTCCTGCCAAGGTACTCGCACAAGTGGCAGACTCAGGAGTTGGATGATACTTGATAGTTTCTTGTCATCCAGTTTTCCAAAGGTCCCAAGGAGCTGAAAGTTCTTCCTCGGAGAGCTTGTGCCGCTGACACTGTGGTATTTTTGAGCACTTCTAAGATCCTCAGGATTGAGGACTGGGAAAGTGATCCTTTCCTCCTCTCCTTCAGCTTGGTATTCGTACGGCCAAGTGTTGGCGTCTCTTTCCACCGAGACTGGATCTGGCGCTTCCTCCAGCGGGGTGCCGGCACTTGGATCGTGTGATGCAGATGGAGTTGGTAGTGCTGATGTGTCTATATTCGGGAACGTGGCCACCGAGTCTCCTTTGTCGAGCGAGAGGCTAGTGTCAGTGTTTGCCCCTATGGCATTGTGATTCATGGCTTTACTGTCTCGCATCATCTGTTGGACCCTTGCGGACCTGTTCGGGTCCTCCAAACCTTGCATTGGAACGTCCGGGACGCTCAAGTCTGGTGGCATGCTATAGGTATTCGCCAGGGTCTCCGAGTTCATCCAACTGAGGAGCGAGAAGTTACTGTCAAAATCTATCTTGCGTCAATCAAAGTCTTGGAGAAGGACAAACATATCCGTCGTTAGATGCCATGCATACCATTGAAAGAGTAGAACCCATTATCAAACAACGGCTGGACTCCAGGAAACGATGTCATGAGGTCCGAATCCTGATGGAACGCGTTGGGGAAGTTTGACCGATTATTATTATTGCGGTCAGACACTGGAGCTACGCCCACATTGTGTAACTCGGACGATGTTGCATTCAAAAGCATTTCCCATTGTGAGTCGAGGGTGTCACCGGCGAGCTGAGAAGGTAGCTCGGAAGGAGGCTCTGGGATGATTTGACTGCGCTCGGATGCAGCACTCTCTTGCGGGAAGCTGTTACTCGAGTCGGCGTTGGTCTGAGCCTCGGAATCAGCTGAACTAGCAGACCTTTACAGAGTCAGCTGGTAAGGAGATGCAGAAGGTAGACGGTAAGTACGCCTTGTTTGGAGCTTGTTTCGAGGTCTTCCTCGGTCGTCCCTTCGGTCGCGGCTCGCAATGAATTCCATGAAGCACGCGGTAATGCCGCACCAGCACATCCCTAGGCACGTCAGATCCAGCCGAAAACAACCGCCGCAACTTAGACTGACCTCCTAGAAAACCTCCTGCCACATGCCGTACACGCAGAGTCGAACGCACCACGCTCTGAATGAGCGGTAAGACGATGACGTTCCAGGTGATCCTGTCGAGATAGAACTTGACCGCAGTCTTCACAGGTATGGGACTTGCTCTTAGAACTCCCTGCGCCAGCGGGCATCTTGACACAAAGATTAGGGCAATGTTGGTTTTTTCCTTCTCTGTGGAATTTCGAGCCTTGCCCACTATTTTTGTTATATTGCGCGAAAGGTTTGAATGTCGAGGAGGCTGGCGGGGTTTTTAAAGGAGGGCGGCGGACTTTTTGTGAGCCAAGGAAAGTGTTCCAGCCGGGGCCACGCGGCTTCTCCGGATTTCATGTTTGATTTCAGGGTACGAGGCACTAAAGCGGGATCCCCGCAGTTCCTCTGGCTTGGCCTTGGAGGTGTCAGACCATGGGCGATTGTGAGGTTTAGCGGACAAAGTACTTGTAAGGGGGCGTTCCACGTGTGTCAGTGATGTACTAGGTACTCGGTACAAGTATCGAGCATTTGTAAGAGCTGCCACTGTCCAGCGGCTAGCTTCTCACGTGCTTAGCGCATCACTAATGAAGCGCTGTCACGTGCCCTCGAAGCGACAACCTCGTGACAGAGTTCAGCCTTGTGATATTTGATGGCCTCATGACATGGTTCATATATCTCTATGAATTTTGAGGCCTAAAAGTGATGCCTGGACCAGAGACTCACTAGAACTCTTTCAGGATCCCATGCAAGAGTGAATACCAAGAGGTCTATTCACCTTGATAGTCACTTTGTTCCACATGTTGAGATCTCATGATGAAAGAGTGACAAGGGACATTAACCAGTTTCCGTGAATTACTCTCATCGTTGCTACTGCTATTGCTCACTTACTCTTCACGACTTCGGCCCAGTTTCCTAGTCGCGTTAGACTCTTTCTACCAAGTTTGAGTGACACGGCTTTGCCCAGATATATGAAAATGAAATCTGTTCCTCTCAGTTGTCTGAAACTTTTTTACATTGCCGTTATTTCTGTTTACATTCCCCGTCTAGATTCACCGCTCGGCCAAACATCACTTAACGAGCGTCACTCAGTCACCATAATTACCGCGACACTAAGGAAAGAGTCGCGGTGATGGCTAGAAACATGTATAATTGCGGCACTGGCAGCTTTATTTGGGTGACACCTCTACGCGAACGAAAAGTGCCTGCTCAGTACAACATGGAAGGTTCATTCGGTGGCCCAATCTATTCCCCCCTCCACAATACCTGGAAGAGACCTCTGCAGGTGGAGGACTCAGGCGAGGTGGTCCTGGAGGGAAAGAGTGCCATATCACAAGTCTCACACCTCGGATCAAATATCAACCAGGTCAACAAGGTTTGCTTCGAAACATCCACCCACAACCTCAAGAGTGGCTAATCGTTCTAGGCACTGGAACACATTGGAAGCGTCTCAATGGCAGCCGGAAAGCTCTATGCCACCGTCTGGCTAGGCGAAACTGCAACTTTCAGCGAGGTCTTCATGTCGGGCTTCTGGTTGGATGGTGACAAATTCCTGACCTGCGCCCACCTTCTGGACACGATCGAAGGGACGAACATCTCCCGCACATTGACACTCCTCCAAGACCCAACACCGACTACACGGGCTGCATTTGTCAATGTCTCGAGAGTCTCAAGAGACCATGACTACACCGGTAAGCTACAGGAACTGATCTTCCATTTTGAGGCCGTACTAACTGAATTGAGATGCAAATTCATGGCCAGTTTACCTCATTCATCATGACCGCGCGTCCGATCTTGCTGTTTTCCGTCTGAAACCAGATGCTGGCAAAGAGAAAGGGCAGCCTCCGCATTCCGTTGACTTGAAGTCCCTGGTTTCGATCTATGCCGGGGAACCCTTCAACGAGTCCAACCCTCTGAGCAGCGAAGCTATACTGTACCCAGAGCTCTTCGCTGCCTACTACCCGGGTATGCAGTGCACGGTTACGGAGGCCCACCTGAACCAAGATAGGAAGGCTGGTGCGCAAGCTGCCAATGTCGAGGACGCATGGGATTGGATGAGCCGCGAAACAATGAGCCGGGCGAAGGGGAATGGGAAACATTGTGTGACCAAGAGCATAGTGAGATCCCCACCACATCGACATGACTGATCTGTCACTAACATTGCTACTAGAAATATGCAGAAACGTTCGTTGCCAACACCCGAAGTGTCGCCTTTGGCAGAATCATCACATCTTCCTCTTCCCCAGTCCTAACACAAGAACCCTCGAGCATGACTCACCTCAAAAACTGCGACATCGTGGGATATTGGGGTTGCTCTGGGGGTATGGTCTGCCAGTACCGAATCGCTAGAAATGGTTTCGAGCCAAAGGTCGTCGGATTGTGTAAGTTTCCCACTTAGACTCGTAAGCCTCCAAACACCAAATGCTAACATTCAAAAGTTCATGGCGAAGACACCGAAAATAGCTGCAACAATATCTTGATCTTCACCCCTGCAGGTGTAAGTGAGCTTCAGAAACTGCTGCGTAGTCATGCATAGCTATTCGCTGGCCTCAAGAAATGTCAGGCAAAGGCATTTTCCCATCCTCGAGCATACCCGACAAGTCAAAACATTCCACGACAACGAAGGCCGGTCAAATACTATGAGAATACATCTGTACGTGCGACCGAAGGAATTGAGAAACTGTCATTGACAAGAAGGGAAAACAAATTGAGGCAGAAGTGCGATGGAACGCACACACACCAAGAGACAAAAACAAAGAAAAGAAGCAAAAAAGGAAACAAAACAAACAAGAACAACCCCTCCAAAAGCAGAAAACCAGAAGGGAAGAAAGGAAGGGAAAAAAAAAGCGAAGTGACATTTTCCATTTCGGATACCAGATCACACAGACTTGGATAGTGCCATGAAGCTTCTATTCAATCGGGGGAACTCAACACCGTGCTTTGGTCAGTGACAGCGACAATGGCGATAGATGATAGACCTGCCATGGAGAAATCAAGGTTTGACACCGACCAGTCTCTACTCGACACACCCATCAATGCATCGATTGGCCGGAGTCTTCTCGGTGGCTTTGCTGGGGCAGGCCATAGGAATGCAGGCGTGATCGGGAAAGGTAGATTGACCCCAAAGAAACGCGTGCGTCAAGGCATTCAGCCCGGTGCATTTGACTCAATCTGATTCAATTGCCAAAAGAATAACTAGGTGATTCACGTCATGCGTCAATCAGTTAGGTCAGAGACGGATGGACTTCCAGTCAGACGTTTGGCAATAACTATTAGATCCTGACATGCCGCCCACATAATTGAGCTCCCACGCAAAGATATTGTTTTCCCTCTTTTTTTTCTTTTGCGTAGAGTTTCCTTCCTTTTCTTCTCCTCTCTACTCTATGATCTCGCTCCAAAGCTGGCATCGAGAGCTTCTCTTTGACAATGGTCCAGACCCAGCCCAGTGACGATGGGATATATTCTAACTGGGCCAAGAGCCTGTGAGAATCTTGCTCTTGCCTTTACCCAGCTGAAGAGGAGTCTGACCGGACCCATTCTCCAATCTCTTCCAGTCAATGCACGCGACCAACTGTATCTTGCGCCTGCCAGTGAAGCGTGCCGAGACGAGCTGTCCCTTCTTCCATTCCATATCCACCACGATGCCGCCGCGGGCACAAACCCCTGTGACACGTCCGACGTCCTCCCAGTCGCGCGGTAAGCAAGGGAGGAGATCAACGTAGCCGTCTTCGTGGCTCTGGATCAACATCTCGGCAATGCCCGCCGCGATGCCAAAGTTGCCGTCGAACTGGAATGGCGGGTGGTCGCCAAAGCGGTTGGGGAGGGTCGAGTGTTGCAGAAATTATGGACCAGCTTTTTTTCCTCACTGTTTTAAATACGTGGGGAAATGGAGAGGAACCCTTTGCTACTTTATACGCAATACGGACCGGATGTTCACACTAATAAAGGATGGACTCGATGGAATCAGCCAGCCACATGAATGTCAAATGATGTGGGCAAAATCATAGGTCAAGTCAGCCATTGTTCGATCCAACGCCCCGAGTATGTACTCCAGATGCCATGATATGTCCTCTGCAGGGTCCTTAGCCGTACAAGCATAACTACCACTCGAATCTAGCGCCTAAGCTGTGGTGCATTGAAATCGTCGGTGATCATTTTGTTATAGTCTCCACAGGCGATGGCGACCCACGGTTCAAAGAAGGGATCGAGCCCACCGGCCCGAGGTATTTGACATATCGAGTTAGCGTGGTCCTTGGCCAAGACCGGATATTATGCGCTCGCCTCGTCCTACCCTTGTATGCTCACACCCACGAGGCTGTACGCCCTTTCGGCGTGAGAGGTTATGCCAGTCCGCAAGAGAAATGTCTAGGCTGGGCCTGGTGGCTTGGAATCACTGCGGGAAACCCTCCTAGCATTGCTCCCTATTTTCTAGATGCCGTTGTTCCCCATTCCACCCACGTGACTCTCACAGTTTGGCCTTGTCCCGTTTCCAATACTGAAGGTCAGGGTGGCCCGTCTCAAACAATTCCTTCTTCAGTAATAGCTTGGGTACCTTGAAGGTGTTGGTCTTCTTCAACTCGGGCACTACGCGAAGAACCGTGGGGAGTTTGTAATATGACAGTCTGTCCTTCAAGAAATCTCGTAGATCCACCAACGAGAGTGATTGCTGCCCCTAGAACCATGGTTAGCCGTTTCTGAGGGTTCCCTAGCGCATTAGAGCGACAAACCTCTTTCAAAACCACGGCCGTTGCTATCCGCTGACCAAGCTCTGCATCATCGACACCGACCACGATTACTTCCTGAACCTTCGGATGCTCCAAGATCTCGCGCTCAATATCAATGGCCGAGATCTTGTACCCGCCTGACTTGATGACTGTGGAGACGCGTCAGCTTGGAGTGACCTTATGATCTTCACCGTGCTTACTGTCCACAGAACTGCGCCCTTTCAGGAAATAGAGGTCTCCCACTCTCTCCGCAATGTCCCCAGTCTTGAAGAATCCGTCATCCGTAAGAGCTTTCCTGGTCCCTTCGATGTCGTTGATGTATCTGACAGCGATGGTTATATATGATCAAGATTGAATCAAGGGGGGAGGACATACTTTGAAAACATGAATGGAGAGCGGACGTGGACCTCTCCTTGATCGCCTCCTTCGAGATATGATTCTGTCCCCGGATTCTTGATCCCGACCGAGCCCTAATATCATACAGCATCAGCTTTGAATTCTCTTCTTCTTCTTCTTCCCCTCCACCTCAGATCGGAGCGGCTAGAGGACTCAGTTGGTATCCTACTGGGACGAACGTCATTCCCTTCAGGTTTGAGAAAGGGTTGCCGAATTCCGTTCCGCCGTATCTTTCCAGGATGTGACGCCCGTCACACAGCGTAGCCCATTTTCGAGACGCATGGACAGGCAACGCCGCAGACCCACAATGAAGCTGGTCGATGCTACAGAGTGCTCGGCGGTATTCTTCTCTTTCTTCAACATCAAGTTTCATGAGGACGTTGTCCCAGTGCTGCAGGAGGCGGATGAAAACCGTCGGCACGGCGGAGAACGACGTGATGTTTCCACGCCGGATCCGATCCCAGAGACCCGGTATGTCCAGTTTGGCGCTCGTAAACTCCACACAGCCACCCCCTACAAGGGTCGGGACTGTGTTGACCATCAGACCCGTGGCATGGTGCGTAGGGAGGCTTTGGAGACTGGTGAAACCGGGTCCGATGTTATTCCGCCACCCTGCGGCTAGAGCAATCGCAATGACATTGTATCTCCTCATGGCTGCTCCCTTGGGTCGACCCGTACTGCCGGAAGTGAAGATGATGAGACCTGGCTTGTTTGGGTCAGGTGCTTTGCCGGAAGAAAAGACCAATGAGCGCAGGTCTGTGGGCGTGGTCTTGATACAGCTATCCACAAGCACAACGCGGTAATCGTTTTCAACGCCCGGGCTACCAGTAATACTTCGGCACAGGTCCTCATGGCGTGCAGAACACACCGTGGCATGTGCGCGTGAGGTTTTGGCCGCATGGATGAGTTCCTCGAAAGAGATGTGAGGACCTTGTGCACTGTTAGCTTCTGCCGTAAGATCCATGATGGAAGGTGACTTGAAGAGCTCACTTTGAGGCACAACGATGGCCCCTAGGCACATCACAGCAAAGAACGCAACGACAAACTCGTAACCTCTTGCGACAACGAGCACACATATCTCATCTCCCCTCCGAATCATCTCCGTCGATTTAGCCGTAAGCTGCTGGCGAATGAGGTTTCTGGCCGCCACGACATCGCTAAAAAGCTGGTGGTAGCTGATCTCATGATTGTTGTGAGGGTCCCTCACTGCTGTCGTGTTTTGATTGAGGGCCAAAAAGTACAGCCTGTGAAACAGCAGATCATGAGGAAGGACATTCTCTCCCTCGTGTGGTGGAAAGAAATCTGTTCGGTCAAAGGTTGCCGGATCTAGGTTGGTTGTCACCATTCTTGTAACAGGAGGGACAACCGTCAAAGTGTGAAGGCGAAGTCAAACGCTGGATTATCAACAACCTAAGACAGGGAATGCTCTGTTGAATAACACGGGAGAATCTACGGAACGTCGATAAAGGGATAGAAATATAGACGCTGCGGAGTACTGCAGCTTATCAAAACAACCAACAGATTGTTGCCCCCAGAAAATGAAGCGGCGATATTTGGCTGTTGTAGAAAATACCGAGCTACATAGAGGTACCCCGCGGCTTGCAAATCTATTCGCCGCAGACTCGGGACGTAATGATCCAATCCCGGCGGTTGACTCGTGCGTAGCCCAGGATAATGGGACGTATACCGAAGGCCTCCTGCCACTGTTACTAGTACTAATTTGCGACAATATTGGGCGGCCCCTTTACGAGAGATACGGACGATCAATCTTGCCCAGTATTCTGACTTTTACAGGTATCTGTGTTCTTCGTCCTTGCGCTTTTCTCTCATTGTGAGGGAAATCTGACATGATCGTGTTTTCTACGACTGAAGTAAAACCACGCGATGAGAGGTAAGACTAATATTCAAATACGCTGCTTCAACTGCCTGCGGCCGCCTATTTCTGACTCATGGACCCCAAGTATTGAGCCGCTTGATCAATCAGATCTTGGCCCGGACCGGCTGGCTCGCTGTCCGGTGGTGAAGATACGACACTTGCTGCAACTGACGCGATGCTTCGCCGACGAGCTCATTCCGCAAGAGGCCATAGACTCCCATCTTCGCCCTCGGAGCAATCTCCCGGGCCTTTTCCACCGCTCGTGGCAACAACTGGTCTGGGTCTACCGCTTCGTCAATGACGCCGTCCACAACGGCCGTGTCCGCCGTCCATCTGTGTGCTTCCAACAGCATCTTTCTCGCCACCTGGGGGGCGAGCTTCAGCCGGGGAAGATAGCCGATGCCATCGAAATGCAGGCCTAGGTTTACAGGCGGCATGCAGAAGTACCCTCTTTTCCGGTTCATCAACCGATAATCGCAGGAGAGTGAGAACGGACATGCTCCACCGAAGGTGTGGCCGGTGATCGCGGCGATGGTCGGATATGGATAGTCGAGGAGGGTTGCGAGCAAAGGGAAAAATCCATCTGCCGAGGACGTAGGATCCCGCGAGGCTTCTTCAAGGTCGACGCCGGTGCAGAAGAATTTATCGCTGGAGCTGGTGATGATAACGGCGCCCGGCTTGTCAGGGCCCAGCAGGACCTTCTCGATGTATCGAAGGGCGGAGATGATGTTTTGCGCGCTCTCGATATTCAGCCGGTTCTCTGGAGGTTTATTCATTGTAACCACGTAAACCCCAAGCGCACTATCGGCTGGCTCGATGGAGACATATTTCCATTTAGGAAGCGGGGAAGTCATGTTTTGCACGCTGCGGCAATAAAGACCTTTTTCAGAGCTGAATGAGAGACTCAGTGGGAAGGGGCAGTCCAACGGTGGGAAAATAAACAAGTGTGTGAAAAGAGTCAGACATCCAAGATGCGAGGGAGCTGGCCTTCTGCATCTATCCCGCAGCTGTAGACGCTAGACTCTTGGACGGGGTCATTGGGAACCACAGCCTAGGCACACCGGCTTTCGGTGATTCGTTCAAGTTGGCATCCTGGCATTGCCGCCCGGCGAGCGGAGTTTTGTGCGCTTCTGCCGAGGTGATTTTAGGTGTTAATACTCGGTATAGACCCTCATACCACCCCGACGACGAATCATGACCATCAGCCCCAGACAGATGCTCCACGCTCCCCTCAACCCCGCCTTTCACTAGTGCATACACACCGTCGACGATGATCCCCGGCCGGCCCGGCCCCCAAAGCGCACGTCTATGGAGAACGAGGTCCCACACTGTCTACGCTTGTCACGCTCAAGTCACCAGATCAACAAATTGTCAACTATTATACCTCCAACCATTCTTAGTTGACGACGTTCTGTCAGGTCGCTGCCTTCTCCCAGGATCATGTCTGACTTTTCAGCAACTGTGAAGCCGGCTGAACCTCCAGCGCCCCGCATTTTAGCAGCAGAGCGGGCAAATACAAACATTGATATTGGTCGACTGTCTTATCATCTTCTGCACCGCAATGGGTTCCGTGAGCGTCAAAGGCGGATTGTGGATGTCCTGGAGAATCATCCTCTCTTCTCCAAGAAGAATAACCTGAGTATGTCTCGGCTGGAGCGGTTTCACGTGGGTCTGGCACAGGCAAAGGAACTCAGGCGGATTTCTAGGCGCTACGGATGGTCCGAAGACGATGATAGAGTGGCCGAATATCTCCTGGACGAGGTTTCGCCCTTTGCGCTCTCCAACACTATGTTCCTGGCATCGTTGAGGCAGCAATGTGACGATGAGCAGAGGGCCTATTTGGTCACCTAAGATCGAGAACTGGGAGATTGTTGGCTGCTATGGCCAGATGGAACTTGGTCATGGCAGCAACGTTCGGGGGATCGAAACTGAGGCCAGATGGAACCCTGAAGGCAGGTATTATGTTCTTCACAGTCCTCACCTGACCGCAGAGAAATGGTGGAACGGGATATTTAATTGAGCTGATTGCCGTGATCTACCTCGTCTCTCTCTCACCGACCCACACGCTCGTTTAATCACCGTATCCACATTGACTGGCTTGGTATACCAAGTCGAGCTACGGTGTACCAAGTCAACCTCCTCCACCAAATCATTCTAGAGACGGCAGATCTGTTGTGATAGTTGGTCGCGCAGGCGAGGATGGCGACCAGCCATTTAAAGATAACGATAAGACCCACGCCGACGACGAATTCACTTCGACGGCCAGAGCACCGGAGGAGGAATGCCGAGAGAGCGGCACTGACAAGGCCCAGGGTGCTGTTGCCAATAGTGATGCCAAATGCTTGTTATGTGGTGATGTTGAGCTCTTTCAAACAAGTATGTGGTATTCGTGGCGAACCTGGCAAAGTCCTGACAGAAGAAATTCGTGATGACGATTCCAGTGCGTCGAAGGTTGGACCCTCTGAAGCACTACTCGATGCCAGAGTCCTTCTCTATGCATTTACTCGTACAGGACCGTCTTTTGCACCATAGCCAGGGTTCTTTGCGGGTCGATGTGGGGAGATTTGCTACTGAGGTGTCTGAGGGACTTTTCTACATCTTCCATCTTCCCTTGGCGCACTAGCCACTACGGAAGTATACAGGGTCTTATAAGCAGTAGTGGGGACTAAGTGTATAGGTCCACCGCTTTAGGAAGGGCCCGTCCAGTAGATCATCTCAGCTCTGCCTGTCTTCTCAATGCCCCTGACTAGTCTTCCCAAAGCGGTAAAGACATGATTCTGCAGATTACCTCGTGTATACTTTCCGGAGATCTTCACGGAAAAGGAGTAAGCTCTGAGGGAGGAAACGGACTTCCTCTCTTGCAGGGGTAGGAATCGTCGTAGGCACGAAAGAAACTCTTTGAATGTTTGAATGAAGCTAACTAGGGAGCGACCAGCGCTCGGCTATCTGATGGCACGAGATGCCAAGGCGCTAACCTATTCTGATGTTAGGCGTGCCAATAGGAATGTACCCAGATCCCACTAGTCCCGGCCCACACTTTAAGTGACGCTATATATGTACTAACCTATTTTAACAACCGTTTGCTCACCACGTTGACATGTCATGTTCAGGAGCTGCCCACAGGCGCAGAGTCTCTGGTGGCTGATGAAAGGCCACTGAGGAGTGTGGACGAGAAGGCGAAGAAGAGGAACGACCACAATCAGGAAGGGATTGAAGGCTGGTTGTGATGAAGAGGGAGGGTTGGTCGAAGGCTGCCTGTGTTCAGCACAGAGATTCACCCGGGTTCCGGTTTGACGCTTTGTTGTTTACCAACAGATCATGGCATAGATCTTCGGCGCAACTGTTATGGGGCCATAGTCTCTTGTCCTTATGTCGGTCGTCGATGGCTTTCTTGCCGATATATTGAAACCAGTATAAGTGGCGGCATTTGATGCACGGTTCGTAGATTTTGAGGATGCTGCCGGCTCCCTTCAGGACGTGAAATGCGCCTCCTTGTGCCCCTTGGTGATTGAAGGCCGTGAAATGTTGGTGTTCCAGCTCGCAGCTCATAGCTCGGCGACGATCCTTCTTCCATTTCCTCCACGCTGCCCTCAATATTGCGAACTCACCTCTTGCCTTTTTCGAGAACAATCCGAAGCGCTTTCTCCGCATCTGCTTCAGATGCTCATTCACTTTCTTCCATCCCTTCTCTTCCGTTTTGCTTCTCCTTTGTCCCGGCACTTTGAAGGATAAGCTCCATTGGGGTGCGGAAGCTGTGATAATCATGCCATCGGACAGAAAGCATATGAAAACCACTCTGGGCAACCCGCAACAGTTTGTCTCTGTGAAGTGTTTGCCGAATTTAGCTTCGAAGGCCAGCATGAGGTCATCTATAATCAATCAGTCACCAAGACATGTCAATGATAATGTTGCCGATTACGTACATATGTTTTCAGGCGCCTCTGGGATAGCCTTGTAGAACAGTTCAAGAAGAAGCTCAATTGCTGACGAGTTGGGTATGTTGTTTGTGCTCTCAGCAATAGCTGTTCGAGGGAGTTTGCCCTTGAGGGAGTTCAAAACCTTCTCAAAGCCGTGGATGGTGTTTGACATATGTTCTGTTGAAAACCCCGACTTCGAGGCATTGTTTTTGAGTGACTGTGCTCCTTTGAAAACGAAATCGAGGGCTTTGACTAGTCGCCGGTATGTCAAGTATTCTTTGAGGCCAGGATTATCTCTAATCAAATCGTTCGCACACTTGGCAATGCTGCACATGTTGTTCAAGCCCGCGGTAAGGATTTTGAGATTCTCATCGTTGGAGAGCCCATTGCCTTCCGTCGTCCAAAAGTTTTCCACCGAGTTGATAATGCTCTCTGAATAGGAACCAGCCATAATGATGAGAACGAGAATGATAATGATAATGATAATGCGAAGGATAATGAGAAGGGATGTAGAACACTCGCATCTCGACGCCGGAGCACTTCTTTTGTATACAGCGTACCATCCATGGCTCAAGTATGAGCATTGTTCTATCGTGAGACAGCTCACGACCATTATCTGAGCACTCGCTTTGTTGAAGTGGTGGCTAGGATGAGACATCTGCCTATCTCACAGCTTCGACATGCAGATCTTGATCCAGGTCTCTAGTCTCCATCGAAACTTTTGATGCAGCAGGCTTTGTCCCAGAATAACTTGACTCGGAAGTTGCGGAAAGAATGTTTCAACTTCTGGCCTCACTGTCAGCTGTAGGTTGAGAATCACTCCTTTAATCGTGGGTCTAGCCCCCTGGGTACGGACTTTTCTCATAGCAGATACGGGAAACTGTCGCACCCGGGATGTGTTCAAGTGAAGTGTCTGAGAGCATTAATTTCCTTCCCGAAATATGGAAGACAACCTCAAAGGGTACTGGTGGTGGGAGCATTTACTTTCCATTTGATCTGTTTTAAATGCACAAAGAGTTTGTTCTTTTCTAATTGACATCAAAGTACTTCGCACCAATTCACTGGGATTCTAGACTAACTTGACTCATTGGGGCCATTGTGGAACCGACTTGTCTAGAGACACTGTTCCAGTCAAACAGTGCCTAGACTTTGATTTGCAGCCTCGTGCGGCTTGCACCTGAAGAAAGCTCTCACCAGGCTGCAGATGCGTAGAATCTCAGGCAGGCAATGGTGACACACTAAGCCATGAGCGTCCTTTCACCACTCCGTTTTCTGCAAGATAGCTCTGGAAGCTGGAGTCCTCTGCGATGTGAATTTGCGGGGCCTCGGAGTCTTGAAACCGCGATACCTTTGGAAGGCTGGAGAAGTCAACAGCCGGCCCCCGATTTTGCCGATTGGATCTAGAAACTAGTTTGCCGGCATCGAGCTCACTCAGACCCAAGCCTTTGGGGAACCAAAGATTCGCTGACCCCAAACGGAATGCTTCGGCTCCCTCCATATTGTTCCCCTCCCCAAGTCGCAAGCGTAGGCGTATGTTTCGTTCTTTGTTGTCTAGAAATTCGTATACAGGCGTGTCTGAATGAATATCCGCCTCAGAGTCACACTCACCAAACCTCTCCCAGCCCAAGTAGCGATCCACCACCATCCAAAAGCTCTTGTCAACTGGATGGAAGACCAGATGAAATGAACTATAACCGTCATGGTCTTTTCCCTTTCCCTTTTCAAAGCATGTCACTCTTCCCACAGGGAGGACGAACCGCAGCGGGAGAATAGGTTCTTCGGTGTCAGAGTTGCGCTCTATTTGAAGAGCTGGGTTGAACTCATGAATAAGCCACCTGGTCTCCTCGCACTTATCCTCGATAGTTTCTTCGTCAGAGCTGCTTGCTTCGTCAGAGCTGCTTTCTTCGTAAGAGGTGGTTCTTTTTTCGTAAGAGGTGGTTTCTTTGTCAGAGCTGCTTGCTTCGTCAGAGCTGCTTTCTTCGTAAGAGCTGCTTTCTTCGTAAGAGGTGGTTTCTTTGTCAGACCTAGTTGCGTAGGGGGTGTTCATCATAGATAATCCAGACTCCCAGACAAGCAAAAACTCATGGGTTCGCGTCTGAAGGAGAGGTAGTGAACATTCAAATTCCGTTTCTTTCATAATCTCGCCAAGAAATCTGTCAAAATAAATTTGGTTGTCTTGAGTGAAGTCGATCCGGTGAAGCCATTGAAGAAGTTCTTTGAAACAACCATGCCAGTAGGATGGAAGCCGGTACGCTTTCTCTAGCCTGCTAAGTATCCTTCTGTGCTCAAGTCTGGCCTTATACGACATCACTCGGTGGCCGGGAGGAGGTATATACTTGAAATTATTGCAGAGACGAGCAAATCTTTTCCCGAGAATCTGGGGCTGGTGAAGTTTGATGGAATTGAGATATTTGAAGGCATCGGGAGGTAAGACTGTTTCGTCCTTTGCTTCGTCTCTTGTAGAAGCCATCGTGGCTTGATTCTTGCAAGACACGAGAGGATTGGGAGGGACGATCAAGATTTCGACTTGCAGGGTTGGATACGAATGGGATTGAAGTGATCAAGGTATTTTGGCAAAAGGGAAGAGATTACAAATGTAGAGAAGTAGCAGAGTCAAGATCCACGAGCACGAGAAGACAGTAATAATAGGCAATGAAACAGATAGCTGGAATTCCTGGAGTGCCGGATGCGTATGTGCACTTCCTCGAGATAAAAGGACATATTTGTTCGCGGAGCACCGCATTCGGCGTGCACATTCCTCGACGCACCATTTCGATCTGTGATTCATTCAGTAGAGAGGGAGGTCTTTGTGTTGCATCGCAGCGGATCCGGCCAAATCAGGTAGGGAATCATGCGCTACGCCGCCACCGAATTCCAACAAATTTCATTCGTCGCTAGGGGCAACTCAAAGCCGAGAGTTTTTCCTTGGGCTTCAGAGTGGTCCGTCATGGGTTGCTAGGTTGAACGACGTTGCGCTCAGAGATATCACCTTGCAAAGGGGGAATGTCTTCGGGCACTCAACTTGGCTCGTAATCACCTCGGCAACAGCTGTCTTGGTACCTGGGGTTTGTAGAGCCCAATGCACCAAAGAAAGGTACCTTTACAGCTTGCAACGTGCACAAACTTGCCACGACTTGGCCTCCCATATGTCCGAGGCGCCCACGGGAAAGGGTACTTGGGTAAAAGGCGGGCAAGGCGAAGAAACTGTTGGTGATGACAAAGTCGTATACGCGCATGATGACGGTGAGCGTGGTGATGGTAGTGAAGACGACCCCGTTCTAGTAGATCTTCAGCGCCTCGGTGACGTCCAGCTTGTGCTCCAAGTCGGTGGCTTCGGCGGCGATTTCGATCAGCGATTGATCAACTTTGGCGACCAACTGCGCATTCCCTGTCCTCAGTGTTGACTTGGTCATGGCTGTCCCGCGCAGAGACTTTCTCAACCTTCTCGGCATTGTGGGCATTCTTCTTGTCGTCAGCCATATCTGCATGGACTCTGACACGCTGCCCATATGCTTGAAATAGCTTGCAGGGTGTTTACAGATTGACGAGGAGGGCGCATCTTCGGATTTCCCAGTGTGTGTCCACTTTCTTATAGAGTCGACGCCCCCTTTTGGGACGTTGTTGGGGTTCGGCTGTTTTCGCTCTGACAGTCGTGGAGAAGGACTCGTGCGCACACACGTTTATGGTGTAGCGGAGCTTCGCACCTTAGGCTGAGTAGGTGGCAGCATCTTACGGGCGATTGCCGGAGCGGTTCGTAAGAGAGGTCATACCATAATAGCGCCCAACTTTGCGGTATCGGGGGCTGGGCACATTTCTGTCTTCCATTGAGCTGGATGCTGAAGGAGGAAGCGATAGGACTTTTCGTTATAGGAGCATGGACTGAAGCCCTTCATATGATTAGGAAGACGGCAGACGTCTTGTGTTGAGTTGAGTGTGGATTGATTTCCTCATGTTTTGCCAAGACACGTGATCCGTGGATCAGTACAGGATCGCAGGCATTTTTCACAGACGCCACGCCACCTGTCCTGCGCTACCCCAGCATCTGCGTCTCTTCGCGCAAATAAGCAAACCGCTATCCTATCGCAGTGGCTACTCGGGTTACCTTGTCTGCTAGCCTATCTCCACAATCATCGTCACATTTTGGTTCGGTGATCCTCTACCCACAATCCCGACGGTCGATATCTCCACCTCCTCAGCCAACGGAGAATTTTTGCGAATAGTGGGATGCACTGTGAAATCATCTGATGGTGAATGATCCCTGGATGGGGATAACTTGGGTGCTAGCATCGTCTCCATACTCCTACTCTGCAAACGATCCTACCATCGAGGTACCTCTTCGCTTAGGCTCTTCTCCCCATAGGCCCCATCGTAACGGAAGAATATCCGTACTTCGACGACAATTGCCTCGACATGTTTGACTTATTCGTTCCACTCTAGCCAGAAAGGTCTAGTAAGGAGGCCTCGAGAGATAGCACGGGCACGGTTTCGCCGAGGCAGCCATCTGTTTTGGCTGCACGAGGCCAGCAATGACGCCCTCTCCGCGCTGTCTCAACACATCACAGCCTCTCGACGCGACGACATACAACTGTGCTTTCCATGGAGGACCCTCTCCGTACACCCGATCATATACTGGCAAGGCTGTCGCCTCTCGCCTCTTGTCATGGGAGGAGCAGGCTTCAGCTACCAACTCCATCCTCAGCCTGAAACCCTACAAATCCACCGCACCATCGAAACAGCATTTGACCTCGGGTTGAGAGCAATCGACAGCTTCCCCTATTACGAACCTTCCGAACAGTTTGATCGGTGCAGCGTTGCGCCATTCTGAGGTTATATCCTCATGCAAGAGAAGCGCCTACACTCTAATGACCAAAGCTGGAAGAATTTGCGAGGACTATTCCGACTATTCCCCCGAATGGATCAGAAAATCTGTGGCGCGGTCGCTCAAACGGTTCGCCACAAGTTACCTCGATGTGGTATCCTGCCAAGATGTTGAGTTTGTCAACTTCGAAGAGACTCTTCAAGTTGTGGAAACGCTTTATGAACTGTCCCATTCGGGCGTCATCCGTTGCGTGGAAATTTCAGGTGCTGATATTGACATTCTCGAAGCAGTCGCATCACGAGCACTTGCAAGATTCGGCCGTGCCGTCCACGTCGTGCAGATCTAGGGCCAGCTTACACTGCAGAACACTTGGCTTGAGAAAGGAGGTCTAAACGCGTTTGGATTAGCAGGAGTCAAAGCTGTCTGCAATTCTAGTCCACTCGCGATCAGACTGCTCAGGAATGTCAGAGTCCCCGTTGGCGCGCTGGTAAAATGGCACCCTGCGCCGCCAGAGCTGCGAGCTGTGTGTCAGGAAGCCGCAGAGTCAGTTCAGGACCAAGGCGATAGTCTGGTATCGGTTGCCTTGCGCTTTTCAATATCCAGAGCTCAAAAGGCGAGTCAGAATGGCCTCAATGACACTACCATCACCGGAATCATCTCGGAATCAGACCTGGAAGAGAATGTGCAGACAGCGAAACAAATCCTGCAGAAGTCTACGATCCTGGCCCCCAATGCCGGAATAAATTCCCCCGATGATCTGCTCTTTGAGTATGGTGATCTTGATGAGGAAGCGGTCAGTCGAGATAGCCCTCTTTACGAGGGAGCCAGGACCATCCGCGGGCGCTGGCTTGATTACGATTTCTTTTGGCCTCAAAGGCCCAAAGCACAAGTCCAGGCGCAGAGAGAAGACTAGGTGATCTCCTCGAGCATAGGGCTTTCAAGCGGTGTCGCAGCTACCAACTGTTGGCCCAGCACAAAAACGGTGGCTGTCCAGCGATATAAATAGATCTAGCAGGCCGTGTACCATGGGATTTTGGGTAAATAGGACTTCGCCTCCCATGGTACTACCTACGTTTATTCGCAGAAGTCTCAATGCTTTGTGGACTGGATGAAAGTCCTTCTGGGAACTGGCAAGACCTGGTTTTCGTCTCTCCTGGAAATTCGACAGAAACCTCGTCGAGCAGGCACACGGATAAACTGGATGACGAACACTCGACCGAATTCTCTGGGCATTCTTTGTTTACGACCCCCAAATCCTCCCGAACCGGATAAAATCTACTACTCATACTAGAATTCCCCGAACCCCTGCCAGGCAGTCGGCTCCAACCCCGCAGCTCTCTGCACTTTCTATCCGAATCTGGTTGAAATGAAGCCTTCCATCTGCCTGAAGGCCAGATACTTCCGCTGCGATGGGGAATGCCCGTGGTAATATTCACTAAGCTCACATTTGTTCTAGCCGACGATGTAGAGGTAAACGTGCCTTTTCTTTGCCAGAGAGTTTCAGGAACCGCTGGTCAGCATGATTGGTGCTGAGATCGGCTCTTTGATGATTGAGCAGAATATGGCCATTCATGTCAATATGATGGTGGTCTGAGGAGGCGCGGTCGCAGGCCGAAAAGTCAGAATGCAAGACAACCCCCTGAGGATGACTCCGGTTCCAGTGCCTCCGGGGATGTTGTTGACTCGATTCCCGATATAGTCGACACGGAACAAGACTTGACTAGGGACGGGCTTCGGGCCTCGGAACCCCATCTTCTTGCAGGGAGATCAGTCAGCGATGATCGATTCAACAAGGCTATCTCGCAACAAGGAGCGTCAATCAGGCTCGGGTTGGATGACAATATTTCAGCCTTCGATTTCCCCCACGCAGTGGACTACGCAGGACAAGGCCTCTCTGAGCATCCTAGCTCACACCACTCTTTATTTCCACGGCACAAGCCTAGACCTAGTTCTTTCAGCACTGCGCAGGTGGGAAGCGACCCCTGATTTGATGATCGACATGAGAGACGTGCACAGGCAGGACCAAAACTTGGCCATATCTGTGTCTGGAGTTCATCCGACCTTTACTGGACGACCTAATAAGTCATGGACCAAGGGGTTGAGAGGTTTGGGATTGTGACACTAGAGCATGTGGCCTTGTTCTTTGCTGCCAGCGTCAAAACCCGGCTCTTCTCAGTCCTGCACCATTCAAAGGGATTGAGGAACGATAAACCCAGCGACAATGGTCTCTTTTGCGTGGCACGGTAACCTAATGGCAGAATCGACCTGAGCGCCGAAACAACAAGTGCCCCCTGAAGAGAAGCCACAAAATCGCTCTACGGGTTACTAATCGTCGTCTGAGGACGGCAAGGCCGCTGCACTTATCAAAGCAGCCCCAACACTTCGACTGGCAACAGCGGCAAGGTCCAGGGTTATGCATAGCTCTAGGGCTACTGAGTACACAAAGCATTATGCGTGCCGGCGCCCCGAGCGCTTAGTCTAGGAGGCTACTATACCAGGCCCCCACGCCTAGTGAACCAGGGTGTGAGACACGGATGGGATCCCACCCGGTACTAGAACTTCGCGAGACTCGTGTGAGGTCACCTAAAAGTACTAGGTATGATCCGCAAAGATTCCCTACAATACATCACGTCAACTTTATGGTAGCTCGCTGCGAGGACAGCTACTTCTCTCGCTGCTCCTAACCAAACCAACAAATGCGATACCCCTGATGGCTGTGTCGGCAGCTGCAACTCCACTTTCAAGCGTTGGGAGAGTACCGAGTGCCCCTTGTTCGCGTCGTCTCCAAGTGTCTCGGGGCAGGGACTGCACGATGCAGATGAAACCGGCCGCCAACGCCACAATGCTACATCATCACGATAGCTTGGGCAGCCACCGGCAGATATCCGTGCCTAGTGTGTTCACGCTCAAGCGAGGACCTTGAAGATATATGAAGGCATGCCTCGTATGTGTGCGGGAAGGCGCTCTCAGTCACTGATGAAATTCCACTTACAACGACACTGAGCCATGGCCATAGACATCAGCAAAAGTACGATTGCTCTGTTTCAGTCGCAAGACAGACTAGAGCTTCTGAACGACATTGACAAATTTCGCCAACATGGCCTTGTCAACCTGCCACAGATCGTCGTGTGCGGCGACACGAGTAGCGGCAAGTCTTCTGTCCTCGAAGCACTGTCAGGGATTCCATTTCCGGTTGACAGCACCATGTGCACAAGATTTGCGACGGAGATTGCCCTGCGGTATTCCTCGGAGGAGACCGTAACAGGCGAGGCTTTTATCACTCCTGGATCAGGTTCTTCTGACGAACACCGAGTTCGTGTTGGAGCATTCCGAATGACAGTCTCAGCCAATCTTGACACAATTCCGGAGATCCTGCGAGAGGCGCAGAATGTCATGGGAGTTGATGAGGCCGGAGGCATCAGCCGCGATGTGTTACATTTGAAGCTCAGCGGTCGACCGCTACCAAATCTTACTTTGGTGGACCTGCCAGGCCTCATTCACTCAGCTACAAACTTGGACGACATTACAAAAGTGCAAGATCTTGTCAAGTACTATTTCCAGCAGAAAGAGAGCTTGATAATGACGACTGTCTCCGCCGAAAATCCCATTGAAAACCAAGGAATCCTTACCTTGTCCCGACAGTTTGATCCCTCGGGCGAGCGTAGCATTGGGGTTATTACCAAGCCAGACATTCTGCGGCGTCCAGAAAAAGCGAGGCTTGCTCCCACCGTCCTCGAGCTTGCACGAAATCAACATGCTGCCTTCAAATTCAAACGCGAGTGGCAAATAATGAGATGTCTCACTGATGACGAGCGACAGAGGGGTGCAGACAGGGATAGCATTGAGACGGACCTGTTCTTACAGGATCCCTGGGACGGCTTTGACAGGCGGAGACTCGGGACAAGATCTCTACGAGCCGTCCTATGTCAGTACCTGGAGGAACATATTCTGCACGTATTGCCGGAGCTCATCAAGTCTTTGGAGGTTAAGATTGCTTCGGTGAAGCTGTCCCTCCAGGAGCTCGGGCCTCATCGAGCAACACCCGACGAACGTAGGCAATACCTCATCCGGATCAGCAGGCGCTATGCGCAGATTGTCCGAGATGCTCTGAATGGCGACTACTCGGACACCTTCTTCGACAAGAGTGATGCCGCAAAAAGGCTGCGCGCAAAAACAATGGCTCTTACCGATGAGTTTGAAGACACAATGCGCGCAAGAGGCCACGCATTCGAAGTCAGAGTTTTCACATTTGCATCATGGATGCCAACTGAGCCCGACGAACCTCGATTCATCACAAAGGCCGATGCTCTTGCCAAAGTTGGGAAGCTTATAGAAGGCTATCGCGGTCCAGAGTTACCGCTACTTTTCAACCCACGATTGGTGGGAGAACTTTTCAAGGAACAGTCACAGAAATGGCCCAAGATCTCAGCCAAGTATACTGAGGACATTTGCCATGCGGTTGAAATCTTTCTGCGAAAGGTTGTGGACTCAATTTGTCCCTCCACGTCGCGTATTGGCGAGTTGATACTCCGTGAAGTCTTTCAGGATGCGATTCACAGCCATCAACAGAAGCTGAATGAGAAAGTTTTGGAGTTGTTCAACCCATATACGGTTTCTTTTCTTTACTCGACAAGAGCTCGGTTGAGAAAAAGCTTAAACGCTGTCCAGACAATCGACAGAGCAATGGTAGATGGTGATGGTACGGCAAGCAAGAACTCAGCCTCTTCCCACCATATTGTTAGAGGTCTTGGCCAGGAGAAAGAACCATGCTTGGCAATACTGCAGATATCAAAGGCCTACTATGATGTTGCGCTTGAGACATTCGTCGACAATGTGGTCATGCTTGGGGTTGAGTCGTGCCTCCTGTCAAAACTGGAGGAGATGTTCTCACCGGAGACTGTGGCACAAATGAAAGAGGATAAATTACAGCTGCTTGGAGGTGAGACGCCCGAGATGATTAGCGAACGCACCGACCTTACGACGCGGCTGAAGACGCTCGAAACGGCTCTGAAGAACTGTCGCAGGCATGCAAGCCGAGAGTTTGGTCTTGACCTAAAGGGAGCATCCGCCGCTGGCAATACGATGCCTATCACAGGAAACACGGCAAGAGCTTCATCTCCACGTACAGGGCAGCAACATCTACCATCAGCCAGTCTTACTACAGCGCCTCCATCAGTTAGTCCTGCCACAATGCCTCTACCACCTACTCCTACTACAATGCCTCCAGTATTTAATCCCGCCGCAGCGCCTAAACCTGCAGCACCAATGAACCAACAGATAAGCAGCAGTGCATTGGTGGTACCAGCTACGGGAACCAAGTCAGGCTCACCGAGGCCGACGAGTCCGGTCCCTCAGCCAAAGTCTTCACCATTATTTGCACCGGCTCAGTCAAGCAAGCAGGCTTTCGGAACTCCCGACTCTGGGAGGTCGAATGTATTCTCCTCAAATAACTTGTTTGGAGCGGCGCCTACAATCTCTCCCAGCGCAGGATCGTAGCCTAACACCAGTACAAGAACGTCTGGCTTTGGTGGTTTCAGCTTCGCTAAGCCTCCAGAGAAACCAGCAGGCTTCAGTCCAAGCGGTGGCATCCTTGGTAAGCTGGGTTTTTATCATACCACCATCCTTTACGTACTTGATACTGAATGCTCAGGCAGGCGCTCGTCAGGTCCAATAGAATTCGCCGTGCAGACAATCGAGCTTCCACCCCCTAGGACAGGCGATATCTCATTCGTCGACGGAATATTTTCTCTCAAAGACCGCCTGGATCACGGACGAGACTTTTGGCTTGGTGAAATCTCGCCTTTTGGGAGTAATGAAATGCTCCAGTGCCTTGCTGCGTATCGTCCCGAAGGGTCCGAAGGCATATCGTTCGAGGTAAGCGTCTACCAGGAATAACACTATCTCTATGTCTGGCCTGGCTTTAACCACGTGCATTATCGTAGGAGCTCCGCCTCCAAGACTACAAGGCGATATTCAGCGACGTAACCCGACGGACCCTGAGAAGGATGTTGCCGTCCGGTCCGAGTCTACTTCTATATGGAGACTATTTGGCGGAAGTAAGAAGATTGGTGTATCCTACTGCAACTGGGTTTGTTTTCTCAACAACCTGAACCTTTTTGTGGAGATGGAAAACATTTCGCCCCGCTATAGCAGGTTCACTACCCGCGCCTATTAAGAAGAGGAGCCGATTTGATGAAGGCGACATCCACGCTTCCAAGGCACCATAAAGCCAGGAAGTCCTAGCGAGCCGACACGAGACATTGCGGGTGAAAATTGATGCAAGAAGCGACTCAATCTCTCGCGCTAAGACTCTAAAGGCTGGCTATGTAGAGAGAAATGAACCAATCCGTAGAGTATGTCCTACCTACCTAGCATACCAGTTCTCTGTAGATTATCGTTCTCGCCTCGCCTTGCGGGACTTGCCCACTTTTCGTCGTTACTGCCTTAATGGGATGCCTGAGTGGGTCCTGGCGGGGTCCCACATGCCGCGCGGTATCGTGGGCCTGACTAGCTCGTACTAAGTACCGAGTACCACGTAGGATATGCGGCGCCAGCGGAGCTTCGAAGGCTCCGGGCGATGAAGACGCCAGACGGTAAGAGGAGGATGAGATATAAAGGATTTTTTGGATTACAAACAGACCCTTGAAGACAACTACCCCTTTATCCTTATACACCAACCATCGACTGCCCCTTTCGTTATTTTAGTGCCCATCATTTTGGCGCAAAAAGAAACAGGACAGAATGAGGAGTGACAAGGGCTGCTGGACCTGCCGCCTCCGACGTAAAAAATGTGACGAACATCATCCGGTCTGCGAGGCCTGCGCGACGCTCCGCATCACATGCCACTACAGCGAGGAGAAGCCCACGTGGATGGACCGCGGGGCCGGACAGCAGGAGATGGCGAGGCGGATTAAGCGCCAGATCAGAGAGCAGGGTGCTCGCTCTCACCCTCACCGCCGTATGGGGCGCGCGAGCAGGAACTCAGACGCAATGCTGGCGACGTCTTGTCCAGGACCAGCACCGGGAGAGTATCTAGCCACGCCGGTAGTTGATGTCCTACCTGTGGATAGCGTTTCGTACGCAAAAGACTACGGAGCTATTGAGCAGCAGCAGCCAGTAACTGGATCTCCCTCACTGTCGTGTCCCTTGGTCATCCTTGACGGTCCAGGCGGGCGCGAAAGCGGAAACCCCGGCGCTGGATGGCCCGACGCATGCCTGTTTATGTTCTATCTCGACAATCTCATGCCGTTCCTGTTCCCCTTCTACCGGCCCTCCCTTGCCCAGGGTGGTAGGTCCTGGATCCTAGATGTCATGATGACCAGCCCCGTCGTGCGGCAGATGGCGCTGTGCCAGAGCTCGTATTTCTTCTCGCTGGCGCTGGGCACGGGCAATTGCCATGTGGCGTGGGAGAGGCTGCTCGCGCAGAGCAAGGACGCCTTTGAGACGCTGAGACGGTCCCTGCAGGCGCTGGATGGGCGGACAGACAACACCGACACGGACATGGATCTGTGTGAAGTGGTGCGTATCCTCGCTGGTGTTGTGCAGCTCCAGAGATTCGAGACTTCTGTGTCCAACTTCGAGAATTACCACGCACACCGCACCGCTGCTGTCGCTCTCTTCCGCCGTGTCCTCGACAGTGCCACTGGGACAACCTCCAGCTTCGATGCCGTCATGGGCCGTTTGGGCACGTCTTCGTGGAGACTGCCCTCGCAGTGCATCCAAGTCCCAAGCGCCGAGCAGGCGGCTTGCAAGTTCTCGGCGGGGCTGGTGATATTGGACGACATCATCGCCAGCACGACGTTGCAGGAGAAACCAACCCTCTACGAGTACCATGGTGGTCTTCTCAGTGGCACTGACGGAAGTGACCCTCCCATCGACCTCGAACCTCTCTGCGGATGTCAGAACTCGGTGCTCCTCCAGATCAGCGAGATCGCCGCGCTCGACGCGTGGAAGCAAGAGCGCACGAGGGCCGGGGACCTCGATGTCGTGGAGCTTGTGAGTCGTGCCACGCCCGTGAAGGACGTGTTGATGACACGCGTCACTCGGCTCGAGGCCGCTGCCAACAATATCACCACTGCCTCTGGCGCCTCAAAGAGAGCCTCTGGTCGCGGTCCACTGCCACTGGATTTCTTGTTTCCAGCGTACCCGTACCACGGCGACGAAGCACCCGCACACACGATATCGGAGCAGACGGCCCTAATCACCCGCATCTGGGCCCACGCCGCACTGGCGTACCTCTCCGTCGTCCTCTCCGGCTGGCAACCCTCGAGCAGCGACATACGGCACCACATCTCGAGGATCATCGAGCTGCTCCCGATTATATTGACGCCGCAACAACACACGGTCCCCTGTCCGTCTCCGTCCGCGTTCTCGCCCGCCTTGCTGCGCACCATGGTCTGGCCGTTCTGCGTGGCCGGCTGTCTCGCACAGTCACCGGAGCACCACGCCCGTCTACGAAAACTGGTCGAACAGCTCCAGCCGTCGAGCGTGTTTGGGACCGTATACAAGGCGCTAGGGATCATGGAGGGCGTGTGGCGGAGAAGAGAGGTAGGGGACGGACTGGCGCCCAGGGATTTGGCTGCTTGTTTTGCAGGGCACGGGGAGGTGGTGGTGGTGCTTGTTTAGACGGGACATGTGCTCGAGGGAATGGGAATGAGCATGGCCGAGTCGGCCGGATCACTTAGATCGGATACATTGCTCGGTTCAAAGCTCGATGGGGGGATTTGTTTGGTTGGACAATGAGCCGCAAAGATATCTCACGAACAACACAATCAATTAATCATATCGATACTTGACAGCCAGGCTCAATCTCAATGGTGTCTTCAGTCCCGTACGAAGGACACACCTCCGTACCCAAACTCGATGCCCTGTCACGGCAGTCTATCCTGAAAAAGCAAACAAGCCAATCTCACAGCCCTGCCTCAGGAACTCGGAGCTTGAACCCAATGTATTCCTTATCCTTGACAAACGCACCACGGCACGGCACCTGGTCCTCATAAGCCTCGCCGCGGGCCACCAGCTGGGCGTAGAACTCGGCGTGGGGCGTCGCCGTCGATGGCGCCGCCTTCGAGGGTGCCGTCCCCGTTAGCGTTCGTCGGCGTAGAAGAAGTTACATTGCTCGTAAATATCCGGGCATATCTCAATTGAGACGAGAATATATAGACAAGGGGGAAATGGCGGTGTGGAAATAAAGATCAAAGTTGGAAGGAAGGAGAGAAATACAGAGAGTGGCAGAGTAGGTGAATGAGTGTATGCGTGTGTGCTTGTGTGTGAGGAAATGAATACGAAGGAACAGGGTGCTAGAGTCATGGAGGAATGTATCATTCCTTTCGCCAAACTCAGTCCCAAAGTCGAAATAGTAAACATGATTATAAAGTAAAAAAAAAAAGTGAAACTCGTAGAAGTCCAAGATCCACATGCCGCGCGATATACTAAAGTGGATCAATTGGTGGATCGAAGAGTGGATCAGTATAGTATTCAAGGCGCGCGGTAGGGAATCCACTCGGCGCTGTATCACTCAGCAAGCAGGTCCTGAACAGGTAGACATGGATGCGTTCGAAATAGGTGGGGGCAGGGTAGAATAGGTATAGAGGGGATGAATGTAGACCAACTGTGGTAAGTTGTGTCCATTATGTCCAGTATGTGGGCATGGAATCCTCCGTTGATGACAATTCATGGTACTTCGACGTCGACTTCGCTTCGCGACTTCGCGTTTGATATTTGTCACCGCAGTGTGAAATGGCCGAGTATAAGAGCCTGTCCAGATCATTACAGTACGTGAATGCTTGTTCGTCGGTCATACATCCTCTCTTGTGGTGTCTCTGCCGTCTGCCGTCAGAAACTCACCCAAATAACCAAGCGCCACGTTCTGTACCATGTCTTCCTCCCCCGACTTGAGCCAGGTGACACACTCCGACCCAGATACGCCATCCCAGACCGCAATATTGTGCAAAGGTAAGAAACCCCACGAACACCTCCTCGATGCAGTGTCTCCAACTAACACCAGCAAGACGATGCTGAACACAACGAACCCCCCGAGAAAACCGGCGCCGTGTACCCAGCCGACACACTCTCGCTGCCACGACAGATCTTCTTCATCGGCACGCTTTGCACGGCCATGTTCACCAACCAGGTCGGGATGGGCAACACCCTCACCACCGTCGGCGTGATTGGCGACTCGTTCGGCATCACCAACCCGGGCCAACGGTCCTGGTTGATCGCGGGCTACAGCCTGACGATTGGCACCTTCATCCTCATCGGCGGTCGGCTGGGCGACGAGTTCGGCAACAAGAACCTCTTTGTCGTCGGCATGGGCTGGTACGCGCTGTGGTCCCTCGTCGCCGGCCTGTCTGTCTTTTCTTCCTCCGCCGTCCTATTCATCTTCGCCCGCGTCTTCCAAGGCATGGGCCCGGCCTTGACGCTGCCCAACGCCCTCGCCATCCTCGGCCGGTCGTACTCGCCGGGCCCGCGCAAAAACATGGCGTTCGCGTGGTTTGGCGGGTCGGCCCCCTTCGGCGCCATCGCGGGGTTCCTGTGCGGAGGCCTCTTCGCACTGGCCTGGTGGCCGTGGATATATTGGAGCCAGGCCATTGCTCTCGCCGCCATTGCCGTCTTTGCGGCCCGGACGATCCCTCCTCTGCCTGTCCAGCGAGAGCCAAACCAAACCATCCGGGCAACGCTGGACGCCCTCGACATCCCTGGAATGGTCACCGGTGTCACGGCTCTGGTCCTGTTCAATTTTGCGTGGAACCAGGCCGTGGTTGTCGGCTGGCAGGAGCCGTACGTCGGTGTCTGTCTGGTGCTCGGGCTCTTGTTCGCAGCGGCCTTCTTCTGGGTCGAGATCTATCATGCAAAGTCTCCGATCCTCCCCCTTGCGGCGTTCAATTCCGACATTGCTTTTGTCTTTGCGTGTACGGCGACGGGCTGGGCGTGTTTTGGCATATGGGTCCGTTTCTCTTTGTCGTCTCTGATCCCCTATCTCAAATTTAGCGCAAATGGCCAAGTTGATTAACACTCCTGCTTGCAGGTCTTCTATATCGGACAGGTCGCCCTCGACCTTGGAGGCAACACGCCTTTCCAGATGGCAGCCTGGTTCATACCGGTGATCCCGTCCGGTCTGACCTCAGCCCTCGCGGTGGGCAAGTTGCTCGGCAAAGTCCCTGCCTCCTGGATCATGGTCGTCGGACAAGTCGCCTATGTGGTCGGATCCATCCTCGCAGCGGCTCGACCTGTGCATTCGACGTACTGGACCTACTACTTCTTCAGCGTCCTCATCATCACCGTCGGCATGGACACCTCTTTCCCCTCAGCCACCATCATCTTCTCTAATGCTGTTCCCCAGAGATACCAGGGTATGGGCGCGAGTATAGTCATGACCGTGGTCAACTACAGCATATCACTTGGTCTGGGCTTTGCCGGCACGATCGAAACAAACATCAATCATGGCGGGTTGACCGATGCCGACATGCTTCTCGGCTACCGCGGTGCTCTCTGGTTTGCGGTTGGGCTAGCTGGGCTCGGCCTGTTGCTGAGCCTTGTCTTTGTCGCGAAATCGTCCTGGAAGGACGGATCCAAAGGACAACGTTGAATAATTCAGGGAAGAAATGCCAGAAAGACAATGCAGGATGATATGTACCGGCAAGCGAAAACCAAAGGACAAATGTACATGCTGCAGGTGGTCTAGGACCGAGAGGGCATTGTTCGAAGAACTGCCATGTCACAGGCTAGAAGCCAGTCCCGAACATGAGGGCATTTGCTCTTCCAACCGATACCATAGCTAATGTAGCCAGAGACAGTAGATACATGGCAAATCATCAGGAAGTCTCCTAACCAGTGCACCGAGGATCCCAGCACATCTGGTAACTTGCGATGATTATCTGTTCGAGACATAGGAAAATGAAACACAACTCGAACGCTTGGCCGTGGTCTCATCCCCTGACCATCGCCACCGCAAACGCGACATATACGACCACTGGACATTCGACATGTCACATCACAACCCATTGGAGCAGTCAACAAGGCAGCAGTTTTCACGGGCACGCCAAGTAAGAGATGCAGGTTGCGGGTGAAATTGCCGAGTCGGGTCTAGATCCAAGTTCCCCATGCACGTTTCCTTGTGACCAACGCAAATAGCGGAAGCGGTGATGAGGCTTTTGATCAACGTCACCAAAGAATCTCCCATTTCATTCCACTTCATCAACTCCCACTCGCGAGATCTGACATACCGTGGACGAAGCAATATGAGTGCGCTGTGTACTGGCAACCCTGTCGGTGGATGCAGTGACTGCTGCGGTGGTCCAGTGGCGAACGCTTCGAAGTGGCCTCATCAAGATGCTTCATGCTGTAATGGGGTAAGCCCGGCAGCACACGCACCAGAAAGCAAGATGACCCAGTGCAATGAGGATGATAGATGCAACGGTAAGGAATGCAGTATCTCATGTTGAACTTCGACTTGCTGATGGGGTGGGAGAAAACTGTATCAAAACGGCCGCTGCGATCGAGTGTTCCCTGGCATGCACCAAACAGCGAAATGAACGTTCTGAGGACATGGATAGCAACGCGCTAGACGAGAAGACCACATGCCACACTGACTGCGACCACACTCACTGTGGAGCCCCTAATCATTGCGAAGAGATCAGAACGAGCAAGCATGTCCACGGCAGCGAAGCTCATGAACATGCGCATGGAGAGGATGGCACCCACCTGAATGAGCCCTGCCACGTCCATTTGAAAGCAGCCATGGAGAAATATGCCACATACCTGGAGTCCGCTCAGTGCATCTGTCGGAGTATCCTCTCCTCTGCCAGACGAATTGAAACATGTCGCCAATATGCTGCCGCTGGTGACGGAACTGCGGTCACTGCCCCTCGTAGCCATCATCTCAACATGAGAGAGCACTGGTCTGCTTTGTCTCGCCGACAATTCAAGAGGATGCCAGACGATATAGTCACAATAGGAGCTGGGGCAAAATGCTGCGGAAGCACTGAGAGCATTGATCATGTTGACTGCGAGCGTGGGGTCGTGCCCAAACAGGCTTTAGAGGATGTTGAAAAGGCAGCAGGACTGTCGCATATCCTTCTTAGCGTCACTGGAATGGATTGCTCTGGCTGCGCGAACAACTTGACGCGAGCACTACAAGCTGCTGGTGGTACGAGGGATGTCAAGGTCACCTTCATCAGTGGAACCGCTGAATTTCGTCTCGACGCCGAAGTCAATACCTTGGACAACGTGATCCGCAGCGCCCAACGAGCAACGGGTTATAAGCTCGCACGATTCTCCTCCGACACCCAGATCATTGACGTCGTGATGAGTGCGACAAGCGCAAACATATTTTGCAACAACCTACCACCTGGCGTCGAACGGTGCGACAGGCTTTCAAAGACAACGTATGAGATCAGTTACGACCCCTGCATCATAGGTGCGAGGGCGTTGCTGGCTGGTGCTGATGGTCAACTTGGTCCTCCCCGCAGCGACTCCTACCTTGACGAAGGGAAGCGGAGGCTCGTCCGAATCACTGCTCTGACCACAGCAGCATTCATCCTGACAACGCCCGTTGTTGTGTTGGAATGGGGCCGCCCTTCAGGCGTGTCCGAACATACCACTTTGATAGTGGCAGTGACCCTCGCCACGATGGTCCAAGCAATTGCGATTTCAGAGTTTTATATTCCTGCAATGTCGGCCTTGATATACAACAAAGTGGTAGAAATGGACATGCTTGTTGTCATCAGCATTACAGCCGCATATGGCTATTCCATTATTGCGGCTGGTCTCTTCTTCGCCGGCATTGATCTGGAGACCAAACCGTTTTTCGAGACAAGTACCCTGTTGGTCACGTTGATCCTGCTGGGACGTCTCCTGGCGGCTTGGGCTCGGAAACGAGCAGTGCAAGCCGTGTCATTAAGATCTCTTCAAACTTCAACAGCACAGCTTATCGACCCAATCACAGAGCACGCCATGGAGATTGATGCCCGATTACTTCAATATGGAGATAGGATCTCAATACTGCCGCATTCTCAGATCGTCACCGACGCTGATGTGCTGGGAGGGGCGAGTGAGGTAGACGAGTCAATGCTAACAGGCGAAAGTATGCCCGTTTCCAAGACCATCGGAGATTCTGTTGTGTCGGGCACTATCAACGGCAGCGGAAGGTTGACAGCACGGGTATCTCGCTTACCAGGGAGGAATACCATCACAGATATTGCCAACCTGGTCGAACAGGCACAGAGTTTCAAACCACGTGTCCAAGACTTGGCCGATAAGGTAGCAGGATATTTTGTTCCTGTCGTGTGCACCGTGGCTCTTGTTGTCCTCATTGTCTGGATCCTGGTTGGTCTGAGGATTCATCAACGGTCTGCTGGAGGCGCCATCGGAACTGCTATCGGCTATGCCATTGCCGTTCTGGCCATTAGCTGCCCCTGTGCACTTGGGCTGGCAGTTCCAATGGTCCTTGTTGTCGCTGGAGGAGTAGCTGCACGGGGAGGTGTCATCATCAAGACAGCGGATGTCATCCAACGCGGCTTCAGGGTCACCGATGTGATATTTGATAAGACTGGAACGCTCACTGAGCCACGACTCCAAGTTGTGAAAGAACTGACCCGCCCCACGGAGAAACTTGATCGCGGCACCCTGCTCCCCGTGATCCTGAAGATGGTGAGGAGCAACAAACATCCTGTGTCCGAAGCTGTTGCACAGATACTAGATGCCCGGGGTGTAGGCTACACAGAATTGGAGGGAGTCATGTCCATTCCTGGTTGCGGGCTCCAAGCACAATGGCAAGGATTGACACTCCGAGCTGGGAATACAAAGTGGCTAGAGATCAGCGAGACACCTGAGGTCGCTGAAGTCACAGCAGAAGGATTGACAGTCTTCGGTGTTACGGTCGACGGCCATCTGGCTGCAGTTTTTGGGTTGAAGTCTCAAGTCCGTGAAGGAGCTGTGGGCACCATCCAAGAGCTCCACCAACGTCAGATCACTGTTCACATCGTAAGTGGCGATGGGCGTCGTGTCGTGGAGGGCGTGGCAGCAGACTTGAGTATTCCTCTGGACAATATTGCTGCCGAACAGACGCCGGCACAGAAGCAGGAGTATGTGCGTCAACTCATGGATGCCGGAAAGATCACCCTCTTCTGTGGGGATGGGACGAATGACGCGGTCGCCGTGGCTCAAGCGAATGTCGGGGTCCAAATTGAGTCTTCCTCAGATGTCACACGTGCAACGGCAGATGTTATTCTTCTCCGCAATCTCGACGGCGTGGTCAATTTGTTGGATGTGTCCAAAGCCGCGTTCCGACGCATCGTTTTCAACTTCGTCTGGTCAGCAGCATACAATATGCTTGCCATCTTACTCGCAGCGGGGGCCTTTGTGAAGGTCCGCATTCCGCCAGCTTATGCAGGTCTCGGCGAGATTGTCAGCGTGTTACCGGTCATTGTTGTGGCATTGACCCAGCCGAAGGTGAAGGGGAGGAAGTAGGCAGTGGTTGAGGATCGATGTGTTGATTGAGTCTGCTGGTGAAATGATGCTTCCGACCCGTTCCAATCGTTGCGACACAGGGACCATACCCTATTACACTCGTTCTTGATAGTATTTGAGGATTGAAGAAATTCGTTGCGAACCTTGGAAAGTGATTGAATCATACTAAATGTACCGAGTATTGTTTGAGAATCTTGGCCCCTCGACTACGTCCCTCGAATGCCAAGGCCAAAATGAGGACCTTAAAAGTTGCTCCGGTCGTGTAGAGTCACTAACTATATTAGACTAGTGCGGTGCTGCTGATTGGATAATGGAACCTCCAATAAAGAGGCGAGATTTCTGATTTGCACAGCCACAGCTCGACATTAGATCAACTATGGCACTGAATACACTGTACGCTGAGCTCGGGATAATACTATGCATGGAAGAGCGAATAAGGACACATGCATAGTTGGCCCTTGTCAAATCTCCCTTTGCCCAAGGGCGCCTATAGGCACGACTGCCACACTCTTCATCGTACCCATCTATACAAGGTGCATTTTGCGTAATTAATCTTTAGTCTAACAATGTACTCAACTCGCGTCTCTGACCGGCTTCGTCAATGACACGAACTATTTTTTCTCGTCTCTCAGCTCCCGCAACACGCCGGAGGCACCTTCTGCAGACTCCGCTGATGGAGAGTTGTCTATGTTGTTCGCGTCTTCCTCACTTGCCGCTCTCCTTTTCCTCCGCCGGAAGACTCCTCGAAAACTTCGTTTCTGCCCTAGCCCTGCGTCTGCTGCCCCTCTGTCCGTTCTCTTCTTCTCCGCGATTCGTTCCAGTTTCTCGACGTGCTCCCTGGCGTGCCCGAGATCCCTCTGAATCTCTTCCTCCGATGCCACTTTATACCGCAGCCTGATAATCACCGCAGCGAGGAGGATAATGCCGATCTGAACTATAAATTGCCATTGGCCCACAGCTTTGACCTGCTCGCCCGGTTCGCCGTCAGTATTGATATAATTTTCAATCCACACGATGAAGGCAATGATGATCAAAGGGCCGAAGACCATGGCCCCGAGAAGAACGCAAAGCGTTATGAGGTCTATAAGGAAGAGGATGAAGGGATGTTTGTGTGCTCTCGTGATCCTTGCCACCTGGTTGAGTTTGACACTTCTCATCGGTGCGAAATTCGACGTCGGATGCCGCAAAAATTGTGCTGTTTTTGAATAACCAGCTCTGATGTCAGCCGTGAACCCACTGAAAATCTCCTTCCTCCGAAACCAGAGATCAAATGGCCGATGTATGGGTACTCTTGAAGTGCATAAATCCAGTCGCCCGACGACCAGAAGAAATAGCTGTGCAGCGGTAAAGAGGGCAATTGCCGTATAAACGAGAGGCTGGAATGCATCGCCTTCCCAAGTGCTTCGAGTATGCTGACTATCCCCCGGGGCATCAGTACCGACCACTGTCGCCCGTAGCCGCGTTGATTCTCGCATCACTTGTGAGGTGTTGAAACACGGATAGAAGCAATTCGTCGAGAGGTTCAACCATCGTTCGTTGTCAAGAACAGAGGGACCAAACAGACTCCAGATGGTCCCATTCCAGGAACCGGCCCAGTATTGATCATCCCAGCCGTCATTCTGGACAGTATCGCTGTCTTCAATGCCTGAGTAGCAGAAGCGATACTGAGGTGGTGCAAGATTCAGACTTGGCCAAAGCACAAGGACTGATATCGACCCTGCAAGCATAATGATATTCCAGATGAAGATTAGTAGATGGAGGATCCGACTTGTTCGCGCCGTGCTTGACCAGCATTGCAACGGTAAGCCCACAAGATATGCCGTGATCACAATGCAAGTCACCGCGTCGATATCCAGCTCTAGGTAGTCGGGCTGCACAACAACGGATCTGGTGTTTGCGGCAAGAGTCCGCATGTCATTCGATACATCCGTCATGTACTCTACATCCAGATGAGCTACCGTGACATTCTGTGGTGGAGGCAGACCAAGGTGAGCGGAAAGCAAGATAAAAGCTTCGAGCGACGCGGTGGCGGCATATGATACTGCCGCTCCAAAGATGACATGCGCAACCCAGCCGTGGCTGGCTGTGATGAAGCTCAAGGCCAGAAGGACATAATAGAGATATCGTGGAGTCGGCGCGTATATGTCGCTGATAGGATAGTAGCAGGTGACTGGTTGCGCGACGAGGGGCTGATCAAATGAGATGTTGGTTATGGCCATTCCTTCCGCCGGGAGAGTCTGGACTCTGAGCGACCGTTTCTCAGATACGCTTTAAGCTCCGTTCCGCTGTTGCCTGGCATCTATAGGGCGTCAGTGCCCTATTCGATACGCCAAGATACGAGATAGAGTCACTGATGAGAGGTCAAGTCTGGCATCCCCAAACTTGAAAATTGAGTGAGGTCGTGAAAAGAAGCGCATACGATGCATCATTTGACTTTTTTCTTGTCGCCCAGGTGGAAAGGTCCGTTTTTTATCATCAGCTGAAGTGTATTTTGCACCAAAACGCGGGTTAGAGTTTCCATATTCAAAAAGTCCGTCTCGGAGAGTTCTTGGGACCTAAGAGTCATTGCGGTAGAGGCCGATGAATAGGCCATGGCTGGACCCAAGCCATGTCGGAGCTGAGGATGATTGGATGGCGGCGACGCAAGGTGTTAACCTGGTCATGAATTGCCTAGAAGCTGTGACATTTCATGGGTGTTGATCTTTTAACTTTTCTGCCTGAACCATGTCTAGACACGAGCTGACAAGTACCGCAAGTTCCGGTGCAGCTCGTACTGAATGGCACAAGGCTTGAGTTTGCTTTTGTCCTTCGATAACCATCTTCAGCTTTCTTTAAGGGACTGAATGGTCGTGGGAGGGTGATGAGAACTGCACCGCCACCCGTCGCAAATTGTCACATGGTATTCATCGATAACATCCTAGGTCTGACAACTCGTGGATAGAGTGTCATAAGCATCGAGTCAACACACTGCTGGACTTGGGCGGTAGTCAATATATCGTAAAAACCTTGCTCATGTCTGCAGAGTTGTCCACCATTTGTAGGAGAGCCTCTCCTATGTCGTACAGCTCCAATCCACTGGCTGGCAGATCTAGGAAGTACAACTAAGCCTTCAGGCCTTCCAGCTGGCCCCGTCTTCATCTCGACTTCTAGCTGCCGAAGCGATCAAGTCGGAGACTGTGCGGGGATGTGCTGGAGATAAGTCTGAATCTGACCGTGGGCGATCGTCACCAACGGTCTGAAAAGGTTGGTACAAAGAAGATCAAGCACGGCAACTGTCGGCTTAACTCCGTGGCATGAGGGGCAGAAGGGGCTGCCATCACGTCGAGTATATAACCACCTCTTGTGTCGCTATCGTCTGTTTTCCTATTGTTCAGAATCAGAATCAGAGAAAGGCACAACGATCTCACCCAAGAAGTCCAGATTCTGCAACTCTGTCATCAAGAAGATAAAGAGCAAGATGGCACCGAGTCTCCCAACCCGCCAATTGGGCAAGGATGGGCCCCAAGTAACCGCCCTAGGCTTTGGTCTGATGGGTTTGTCCATATTCTATGGGAAAAAGCTTCCAGATGACCAGAGATTGAAGTTTTTGGACCACGTATTCGAGTCAGGAGAGGCGTTTTGGGATTCCTCGGATGTGTATGGAGATAGTGAGGATCTGCTCGGCCAGTAGGTCTCCCATTCGAAGATGACGAGTATGGCGAGTCTGCTAAACAATCCCCTTTTCGTTCTGCAGGTGGTTCAAGAAGACGGGCAACAGGAGCAAGATCTTCTTGTGCACCAAATTTGCCAACGTTCGCCAACCCGATGGAACATCAAAAGTCATCAACGACCCTGCGTATATTCGCGAGGCGTGCGCCAAATCTCACAAACGGCTCGGACTAGAGCCTGGCGACGCTATTGACTTGTACTATTGCCATCGTATCGACCGGGAACAACCCATCGAGATCACAGTGCAGACAATGGCCGAGTTGAAAAAGGAAGGCAAAATTCGCTATCTTGGACTGAGCGAGTGCTCTGCCGAGACGCTCCGACGAGCTTGCAAGGTCCATCACATTGCCGCCGTTCAAGTCGAATATTCGCCATTTGCCATGGAAATTGAGCACAACGACCTCTTGAAAACATGTCGAGAATTGGGGGTGGCGGTCGTCGCTTATTCGCCCTTTAGTCGAGGCTTTCTAACCGGCACGATCAAGTCGCACGACGATTTCGACCCAGATGACCGACGTCGCGTCATGCCCCGGTACTCAAAGGAGAACTTCCACAAGAACATGGAGCTTGTGAATGCCATTGCCAGCATCGCCGAGAAGAAGAACGTAACCCCAGGTCAACTGACGCTGGCCTGGTTAATGGCTCAGGGTGAAGACATCATCCCCATCCCTGGCACCACCAAAGCGAAGAACTTTGACGAGAATATGGCCAGCTTACAGATCAAGTTGACGGCGGAAGAAGAGAAAGAGATCAGACAAAAGGTCGAAGCCGCTGAGATCACTGGGGAGCGGTATCCTGCCGGCATGCTGAAACATCTTTACGCCGACACTGTTCCTCTCAAGTAGCTAGCACCATAGATCCAGTGTCATGGGGAGAAAAAAGTGACCTCGCAGAAACTTGTGCAGGAGATAGCAAATGATATATTGTTGTCCTTCCCCAGTTGAGGTACTCACGGTACTGTATGAAGAACCAAAGAAAATCTTTTGGTCTGACGCGCCATTTTCCAAGTGTATCTCACCGTCCCGCTCGCAGGTGAAATTCACCCCGCGATCATTGCACATCAGCACCAGCCAGACAGAACATACTTCCTCGCCAACAATTTTCCAGGTTGACTCGACCCCTACGAACCTCGCAAGAACACAGCCCGTAGCTGTCTTGACTCGCTCATCTCCCAACAGAAACCTTTCTATTGTTTGAACAACCCCCGTACTTCAAGCAGAAGGCAACCACTCATCGGCTTGCTCAATGGCAAGCGAAGCCCAATTCGATGCCGCCTTGTATGCTCCCATAAACCCTCCAGCTTCGCCCCGCCAGGCAGTAAGAAGACAGGATGTGCCGGATTTTGTTGCTAACACTTTACCGCTTGTTTCCTTTGCCTGCAGAGACCTCCTCCGTCGCCTCTCTCCGCTCAAGGTGTCGGACAACCTGACCTCCATAACCACGCTCGTGCCCGATCTCACAGAAGACCTCCTCTCCTCCGTGGACCAGCCGCTGACGTCGGCACGCTGCAAAAAGACCGGCCGGGACTATCTGTTATGCGACTACAACCGTGACGGCGACTCATATCGGAGTCCCTGGAGCAACGAATTCGAGCCCCCACTAGACGATGCCACATACCCGAGCGACCGCGTACGGAAGATGGAAGTCGAGGCGAACACGGCGTTTGACGTGTACAGGCAGATGTACTACGAGGGCGGCACGGGGTCAGTGTACCTGTGGGACTTGGATGACGGGTTCGCAGGTGTAGTTTTGTTGAAAAAGGCCGTGGGCAAAGAGGCTGGCTGGGACAGCATACACGTGTTTGAGGTCGACGAGAGAAGGGGCAGTGGACGGACATGTCATTACAAGCTGACCAGCACTGTCATCTTGCATCTGGGTCGTGATGGCGAGGGACTCGGGTCACTAACCTTGGCCGGGAGCATGACGAGACAAGTCGAGGCCGACCTGGTGGTGGAGAATGTCGGCGGACAGGGCAAAGATGGAGGCCACGTCATCAACATAGGAAGATTAATCGAGGACATGGAAGGCAAGATGCGAAACATGCTCCAGGAAGTATACTTTGGCAAGGCCAAGGACGTGGTAGGCGACTTGAGGAGCGTGGCTCCGTTGACGGGCGTCAACCGCGAGAGACAGACTCAGAAGGATCTCATTTCCAGTATGGGAGGGAAATGAAACTGAGGAGCATAGCCGATGAGAATTCACTTTGATCAGCCGATTCTCCTAGTCACGTCGAATTGCGGGATAAAGGACGACCTCGTGCCACAATGCATGGATGAGGTGTGCCAGCTTCCTCTTAAGGAAATGCGGACTGTTCCATTCGAAAGATTACCCGCCTCACTGGAAGCCACTGGAGAAGGAGAAGCGATAGATGAATCGTTCTGAGATACTGCCAGGGGAGCGATCTCGTTACTCTTGACTTGGCCAGTTAGATTCTCAAACTCAAGAAATTTCCATACAGTAAATACCACAGACAGTGACGGAGAATGAATAAGAATGCCAGAATGCGCGCCTGTCCATTCGACGTTCGTACCCCTTTTTTTGGCATGAGATCTCCTTTTTAGTGTCGTCACCGGACAGACGCGTGAATATGCAAGAAATACGGAAGCACAGCGTGAGGCTCTGCTGTGTGCACGGCAGGCTTTTCCCCAAGCGTGAAAGCGGCCTGTGCGGATTGAGGGGGTTTAATCGACACCCCCTTTTAGGAGGAAGAGCCGTGTTGGCTCGGACGTGGAAATTTGATCTCTCGCAATTGCGTGGCCTCCGGTGTGGGAATGTGATCACTCGCACCAGCGTAGCCTTGCTTGATGCTCATCTGTACCGGATCCAAGTCCATTGGCGCAGCAGGCGGGAAGCTAGGCAGTGTCTCTGAGACTTTAACAAGCAACAATGGGAAATACCTCGATGCTCCGCCTCGCAACTGCGAAATGAGGGTGACAAGCTTGTTCAGACATTCCAATGGCGTGTCGTCGCACGGGGTCGATATTTCCAAAGGCATGAGTGGGACACACGAGATCACGTCCGTCAGCGTACAGGCGATGTCGAATAATTTCTCAATCAGCCCTACTCCATGGACCTCCATTGCATCTCGTGACAAGGTTGAGATGTCCTGGACCAAGTCCCTGGCGACCTCTATGGGGTATTTGAACGTCATAGAAGAATCTGTCGACGTCGATGAAAGACAACCATTTGTTATGGCCAGTTGCCAGATCATGATGCGTAGCCAATGTAACGTGACCCAAACATCGGCCAGTTGGCTTTCTGTTGTCTTCAAGGCGCGCGGTATTGAGTTTGCAACCTCTCGTTGAAGCTGCGAAAGCCAGGTGTCGGAGCAATGGGTCTTGACTTTGTTCCAAAAAGCCATGAACTCGTCATCGATGCAGCGGAAGAGCCCAATCAAGCAGAGAAAGCCAGATATTCTCTCTTCCTCGTGTGGCTCACTGACCGATGGTAGTCCAATAGTCGGGTGGAGACTAAGTGGGCGGTGTCGTTCCATCGCATATGCTCTCTCAGTAACCAGGAGCAACCAATACATTCGTCGTTTATACATGTTCTCAACAGCATCACCGACAAGATACGATGACTCTTCATGCATGCCCAGCAGCTGAGCCAAGGTAACAGCTTCACGCAAATGAAACCAGCACATATTCTGTTTCTCCAAGGTGAAATAGCAGCTGAATAGGAAGAATGAGGTCTGGACGGCAGTCAAAGTAGGAAACTCAATGTAGTCGATGGACTTTCGCACGCGAAGGACGTCATTGAGAAGCTGGTTGGCATAGTCGTAAGGATTCCCGAGAGGCTCACCTTCGTAATAGCTCCCTGGCGCAACAGCCAAATTCTTGCCAGGCTGGACCATGACAAAGGCACACAAGGAGCCTACGAGACAGTAAAATTCTGCATCGCTCGCGATCTGGGGTCCCATCTTCTCTATTAGCAGACGACGATTGAGGATCGAAGTAGTCGTAGACATGTTGGAGAAATAGAAATCGACGCAATCCACCATGGTCTCCTCGCTGAGGAGAACCGTAGTGGACAAATGCGTAGACAGCATTGATGTTGATGGGTGACCGAGGTCCAATGAAGGCTTCAGGGTGCGACATGGCGACAGCTGAGGAGTGGTATCAGAAGGAGACGTTTGAGCAAGTTGCTGCCGCTTCTTTGTCTGAGAATTGCGGATTTGCGACAGCACTTTGGACCGATTTCCCTTTGGGCCTTTCTTTTGAGGCACGGCAAGATAGGTGCATTCCAGATTGGTTTGGCCGCATGTGCGGCACGGCTGACCTCCGGAGCATCGTACCTTGCGGCGATGACATGCATCACATGCCTTCTTGATCGGGGCAGTGGCCATTTTGAGGGTAGAAGCTCGTCAAATCAGAGAGGTCGGGTTCCTGCATGGCCCGGTGTCTCAGTCGCTGCGCATACGTAGGACGGGTCAGATTGAGACTGGGCCATTGCGTTCGAGGGTGGTTTGCATTGCCGCATGGGTTCTTCTCTTGTCTGGACGATGGAATGATGCCTGAGCAGCCTGCGGCACATGGCGACGAGAACGGTGACGAGGAGGCAGACCCCGCAAATCCTATTGGGATTGATTTGGCGACTCGACTGTGAGTGCATGAGCCAGGGTTTGTTGGTCGGTGTATTGGACTGGACAGATCCAGGGTCATCCTGTGCCGCTTTAACAGCCATGGAAACCAGTCTTTTGATGTCACAGAACATACCATGCCGCTTTTAGATCCCCCCCCCCCCCCCGGCCCCTCACCCGGGGAATTTCATGGTCCTTCACATCCCTGGCGGTCCCGATTAAGTAGCAACTCGGCAACGGATACCGCCTTAGTTCCTACACCAAGGTTCAACATTGCAGGCACCCAGCAGGTAAGAAGCAACCGCTTAGTTAAGAACTGAGCAAGGCCCATTTGCCCTAAAGATGCCTAGTAACTGCCTAGTCACTGCCCGAATCAAATTCCACCGGTTTCTTCACCTTGACTCCTGCCATACTTGTGGTCTGTTTATCTCGACGAATGTATCTTGACCACATCATCCAAGTTCCAACGCACGAGCCACCAAATCTTGACATCCATGAGTTGATTGTGATGCCCGTCATATTATCTCCGACCTACGCGCCTGATGGCATATTCGGGTGATCTACTCTGGGTCCACCATGATGCCAAAAACCTCAAGGCGAAGCCCCATCGCCATAAGGTTTTCTCACACATCCAATCAGGGTACCACAAATGGCGTCGGGTCGAGGTCGCCCGTTCGATGAGGAAGGCGGTGGTGATGCCCCGATTACAGACAGCAGCAGATCGACGGAGGCGAGATGCCCAAGACGTAAAAATGGAGGGCGGCGACGGTGACAAGGTGGGCGACGATTACATGCGGCCGCACATCAAGCTAGAACAAGTCCAAGACCGACCAGTTCAGAGTATCGTCGCATTCCGGGGTAACTCCGATCCATTCAATTCCACGCCAGTCCCCATCACCTCACGTATCAATCAGATCATGGACTTTGAGCGACGATGTGTCTTTCCCGTCATCCAAGGTCCCGGCCCTCGTGCTCAGGCACAGGCCAAGGGCAACATCCTTCCATCATGGTCGACGTTCGCGTCGGACTCGCTGTGCGATAATATCACCGCACTCGCCTTCCTGTCGACGCCCTTGACCCTGATCTCCCATTCTTCACCCGACTCTTCTCTTCTCAGACTATCCCTCGTGCATCGGTACAAGGCCCTGAATGCCCTGCAGACGTATGTGCGAGATCAGGGCCAGCCTCCTCTGCATGTCCTGATGCACTTTCTTGTCGCTGAGATCTGGGCAGAGAATTGCGATGATGCTCTAGCCCACCTCCGCATGGCTAAATACATTATGGAGTCTCAAATCCGAGAGAATCCAGGGAGTATAGTCCCGTACAAATGGATTAGTGTGTTTCAGATGGACATACACCGCGCCGCTTTGTCATTGACGAAGACTCTGCTACCCATGGACGGCTGGGGGACGATACCCTTTGAAGTGCCCTTGCCTATTATGGACGTCTATACGGACATATGTTTGAAGGGGACACTACGCGCTCTGTTTATTGAATTGCAGCAACTGGGTGCCCTTTATGACTTTTTCGTCCGCGATCCTTCGCACCGACCTACCTCCTGGAACCTCATGCGGATGCGGACACTGTTGCTGATCGGCCGGGCAATCAACCATGCGGTCGATGGTAGCGACGTCTCAGCAAGCCTCGCACTCGCCTACATCCTCAAACTAGTCAGTGGGCTGGAGAACATCCTGGTGGGGGCCACGGCAATCTACAAAGCCGGGCCCAAGATGCTGGGCCGTGTACGATCAGCTCTCGATGAGGAGACCCTGCACCCCCGTCTGAGGCTGTGGGTTCTATACGTTGGCGCTCTGAGCGGGGACGACTGGTTTACTCGAGTATTTGACGAACAAACAGTCCTGATGGGCGTTGACACGTGGGAAACGTGCAAAGGGATTCTATGCAAGTTCTATCTCCCCAAGGACGAACCCCAGATCCACTTCCACGCCATGTTTGACTCGCGGCTGAGCAACAAGATTGTGGAACTGACCACTGCGTTCGACGACGTCAAATTGCACGCCGCTGTACAAGAATAGGCTATTGGGCATATTCCACGGGATGCTGGGCATAAAACCGGTTCGTCATTCTTTCGGATCACAGTCACGGAAGAACGATTCACACGACCACTACACATTGGGAGGGCGTTCATCGCATTTTGATCATGGGAATGGTTTCAAGGGCAGAAGTGTTGACCTTGGCAGATATGACGGCGCAATGTAAATCAAAAGACACCAGCATCTCCCCAAAGAAAGAGTCTTGTCCATACAATATAGACTGACTTATTTTCCACATTTGACCTCACTCGCGCATGCTATGCTCTCCCTGACCTTCGAGGTATACTGTATTTTACGCTATTAGCTTTATCCCCCGTCCTCGATGTTCCACCACGCGACCGCGCCTCGGCGCGTCGCGAACGAGCTCATGACGCGGGATCTAGCCCGAAAGCAGAACACAATACGGAGTACCCGCCCGGTACGCAGGGATGCAGACCCGCAAGCGACGATACGTGCCTATCTAGGTACCTCGCGAGCTAGGCACCCATAGGTACCTAATTAGTAATGAGTAATTAGGAATTACCGAGTAACTATATGCGATGCGAGTAATACTCGGTACCGTGTGACGGGTACCGAGTGAGAGTACCGAGTGAGAGTATACCCTCGCATGTACATGTACAGAGTATGACTGAGAAAACAAACAAGGCTAGCAGGCTAATAATTACTTGGTGGGTCGAAGCTGAAAGGGGTATGAGGTACGAGGTAATAATTATGAGGTAATTATGGATGGAGGGGTTAGTCACTCGCATATGTCACTTTACCGCCGAGCCGCCTACCAGCTCGCCAGGTACCTCTCGCTACATAGGTCGTCACTCGAACACGCACGATACGTATTGTATCTGTACTTGTACATTCAGAGTACCTACCTACCTACCTACATATGTACCAGGTACCTGTACCCTGTATGCGTATGTAGCCGCGAGTTTACCTAGGTGCCTAGGTAGGTGGTTACCGGCTGGAACAGAAGCACCAGAAAGTCAGCTTGGGGGTTTCGCAGATAGTACTGTGCCAATACCGAGAAGATGAGAACAGGAGATCCATTCAATACCTATCCATAGAAGAGCCAGACTTGACCAAGTAATTGGGTAACTAGGTATTTACTGCCCTTGATGATAACCGAGCACTGAATGACTGATTCAAGTCGAGAATGTCCATGTGTACGGATGGTCAAGAGCTAGCTACTTGTACATGGGCAAATGGATTACGAACGAGGAGAACAGCCGAGCAGCTCCAGCCATTGTCAACATCGCCAGAGAACGCAAGAGAGCCAGTCAAGTCAATGAGTAAGTGATCCTCTTTTCAAGACAAGGAAGTTTTGGAGTGGGATATTCTCCTGCCGAACAGGTATTCTCTTATCGGATACCTGTCGTTCGGAGAGGAGGGATGTGGTGTCGATCGAGTCGAGTGAGGTATATCGTTCGTTGTATAGTCAGAGACCCCTTCATTGGGTACAGAGGTTTCCGTTTTCGCGCAATTTTGCAGTCATGTCGTAGAATGAGGCACCGTTCCTTTCCGTCAACTGTGCAATGCCACCGTTCTCGTCCTTGGATGGTCGTCTTGCTGGAGCGTTGTCCACAGCACCTTTCTCCTTCCGATTGGCATCTCGCCTTCCAAGAGGTGGCCAAAAATGATTCAAAGCCACCCGCTCGCTCATCATGTAGCTCGTAAACAAAAACTCCACCCCATTCACGTCATAATCAACCGCACACAGCCGCGTCCTCGTGAACAGGAATTTACGCTCCATCGCCCCAGATACCCACGACACCCATGGCAAAGCCGATCCCGGCTATCCAACTTCGCACCTTCTGCACCTTGCGTTCCCGGACCATCTCCATCTCGACCTTTTCGCCATTCACCTGGTGCTCTTCACTGCTATCTGATTCCACTTCGATATAACTGCTCTCGTCGCTCGCCGAGGGACTGGCAACTCTCGAGGCCTTCACATGTCCACTTGATCGAGAACCGATGCCCCAGGACGGGAAGCGTGAGAGGCCATTGAACCAGTACTCGACACCTTGACCTCCAATGAAGCTCACAAGGGCGGTCCAGAGGAGGTATGGGTGGCGACCTCGGGGACTTGCGAGGGTGTATGCGGTGATCAGAGATAGAGAGGAGATGGACGCCAAAGTGAGGATCCGCCGCGTCGACTGGGTCTGGATTGTGGCAAGTGTACGTGCTGCGAGCGACGCGGAGGGAAGGAGAGCAAGAGAGGGTAGAGTTATCGACTGGACAGTGTAGGAGACGCCCTGTCACGAAGCTGTCAGTACGCAGAAAAGAACCAAAGTGGGAGCAACGCACCGTCAAGAGACCAAGGGAGATGGTCCCCACGAACTTGGTGATGCTTATCGGGCAGGGCATCGCTGCGATTCTGTTGCTGGAGGGCGGTTGTGTTCAGGACCACGAAAGTTGAGCGGCGAAGCTACTTGGAGTAGTCGAGGATCTCCGGCTTGGTGCGCTGATGGCGGGGTCAGACCACCGATGAGCTGTCTTTTAAGTGGAGTGGACTGCGTTTTTGACAACTTATAACAGGTAGAGAGGGGGTGTGTAGGAGTCACGGCGGATGGGAATAGAATGGGAGCAAGGAATAACCTGGAATGATGGAAGCTGGCAGATCAACGATGTTGCCGTGAAGCTGCGCAGCTGCGGTGCCTGCGTCGGCGGCCGCCAGTGCCACTGGGTGGCCAGTTTCCGGAGCCGCCTTTACGTAATCCCGCCTATCAAGTGCGCGAGTTCAACCTCAGCCTCGCCATCTACAGCAGGCGAGGGGTTGACAACGGCTGCTGTACGCTCTGAATGCCAGAGAAACCCTTGCAGCATATATTTTGGCGGTAGATCCCTTGATGCGATGGATAAGAACGTCGAGCACGGCTATGGGCGTCATTATTCATTCTTCCCGGAGACGCATATCGAGAGCCTCTCATGTTTCAAGGTAAAGACTTAACTGCAGGGCAGTTAGCTTTTATGTCCAGGAGTCTCCACTGGCTCATTCTCTACTCACACTCGTGACGAGCCACACTCGGGTCAGTACGTCGTTGGTATTCTTGGTATTAGCGCCTAGTGGGAACCCAATACACGAACCCCTACACGGAGTTGTCGTTGGATGCCTCCAAGCGCAACTGCATACAGCACTTTTCACGTCTCGTGAGACATGAACGCCACTTCATTCGTGTTCTCAAAGTTCATAAACCCCGACGGACTCATAAAGGTGTTGCTATCAAAGTCCCATTCGCCACCGGGCCTGTAGACGATGCTGAGTGTAAGTTACCTGCATGGGATTCACAAAGTATATGCTATAGAAGGAGGGAAGACGTACTCAAAGATAGTGTCCGGAAATAGACATCTATCTGCCGAGAGGAAGAGTTCGCCGCCCAACAGTGCGCTCAGGTCTGGCTCTGAAAGATCCATTGACGAGGAAGTCTGGCCATGGCTCGACGGATTGCCCATGGCTGTCACGGGCGGGGCTGGTGTCTGTGTCAGCGTCGAGATGCAGTGGTTAGACCCTGGCGTTGTGATACTAGAAGGTCGCGGAACGGGTGGTTGTCTGTCGAATTTGGATTTGATCTTCCGCTTGGCCTCGGAGAAGATGTTGTAAGTCATGTCGGCGGCCCAGAAGGTTTTGCCCAGTTCCGCAAGCACAGCCATACACATGTCTAGTTGGTAGATGCTGAATTTTTGGCGCAGCCCGTCGGAGAAAACCGAGCCATAGAGGTGGATCTGCATGATGGGGATAATCGCAGTGATTCTAGAGTTGGTAACCAAAAGTCAGATGGCTCTACTTCATACGCAGAGACTCTAGGCTTGAAGAAGTAAACGAACGACAGACATGTCCAAGACTTACATGATTGATTGACAGCGGTCGATGAGGCTTGCTTGGCCCAAAGTTACAAGGACTGTGCTGGCTGCAGAGGCAGAAGCGTACACCTTTTCCATGATGGTAGGCCGCCACAACTCGTATTGTTCAGGGCTGAGATCTGACGGGGCCTTGTGTATGTACAGTCTGTACAGTGCAATGGAGATAAAGCTGGCAAAAACAAATCAGCCTTTGCCCTCAACACTAACATATGAATGACGGATTTGGACGCCTTACTGCTCAATGAGTTCGAGTTGCTGTTGGACCAGTCTCAGGGGCTGGTGCATGCTTTGACTGGTGCCGGAAGCAGACGGCATTTGGGCGCAATTTAGCAACATCTCTTGGTCACGAGCAATGTCGACCGTGGAGGACTTGGCTCTGTTGGGACCGTAGTGTGTCCGGTGGATGTTGTACAGTGCCACCGTCGTGTTCAGCATCTTGAGCCAACAGAGGGCGAGCGAGGGTACTTCCTGAGGCATGAGAGATTCTCGCCCGGGGGTCGTGTCATTTCCGTACAACAGCATCACGTCCTCGAGGGTCGGCATGGGAACGTTGCAGTTCTCCATCATGATCCGCATTGGGCGTCCCATGCCGAAAGAGATCCAAGTCTCTCGGCACAAGCATGACCACCATATCGATCTCCATAGGGCGTGTTGGGCGTTGGGTAAGGTAGCCGTCTTCAAGGATGGGCGTTGGGTGTCTTGGTGCAGGCCAATGGTATGGCAAAGGCTGATGGCAATGCCTATCCAATGGTAGGTGCCAGTGCGGTCCTCGGAGTCGATGAACCAGTAGCTGAGTAGAAGCGCCGCTTGAATGACCACGATCTTGTCGGTTTCGTAGTCGGAATCATACAATAACTGTATCAAAGCGCCACGGAAGTTAGCGGACTGAATAGCTACTATCGTAGTGACAGGGAAGAAGTGGAGAGCAGTTGATATCGACAAACCTTTGCTCTCTGGTACAGATCTCTCTTCATTGCTTTCCGCGAAGCATATTTGGCGTCCTGGACCAGTTCAGGGCTTGCAAACTAGATGCACAACAACTTCAGTCAGTGCCATTCGCCGTGAACGTTTTATAAGACGCAAACGGATCTCTTTCTCACATTTGCGGCGGCAAAGAACATGCTCCACAAGAGGAGCAGGTTCACGCACGGTGCGTCACCTTCGTGGTGATATTGAGTGAGCACCCGATTGGCATCCACAATCGGCAGCAGTGGATGGACGTAGTGGAAGTAGTGTTTTAACAAACATTCGCACACCTTGGGACTAGGTAATGAGAAGCAGCCCTTGACTCGTAAAAAGGTCAAGTCGTCTGAAGGAAGCGTGCGAGCCGCAGCGCGTGGTACCAGGTAGTGTGACTGGTGTCCAGAGTTGCAGACATCCATCACAAATGACAGAAGATGCGGTTCGCCTGTGTCGCATTATCTTAGCAGGCGGGCAGGTCACCAGGAGGCTCATCATACCAAGATAAAGTGGCACGGCGGCTTGTTCTTGTTCAATAGGTCGATCATTCATCGCATCCATGTAAGCCGCGACATTGTCACCCTCGTCGTCATCCTGCACTGCCGTTGACGATGTGCAATCTTGTTGACTGGCAGCGTCTGATGGTTGATTAGGATTGATGGAGTGAGCAGCACCTCTCCGCGTCGATGATGTGGGTGTCCGCTCGCTGTGAACTGCCGACGAGGCCTTTTGTAAAGAACCAACCATTTCGGTTCCTTGGTTAATGCTGACCTGGGGCGAGCCAGCCGTGACTGGAGTAGCCGATCTTCGATCCGGTGTTTGTGGCAGTCTTTTGGGTCGCCTCCTTCAAGGCATACATCTGCTCGTCAGTCTGGATCGAATTGTGATTTCAACAAAGTCATAGGACTGTCGACAGCTCGCGATCCCATACGAGAGGACTCACCCTCGGACCTTTGGTGGAGGAACAATACATTTGCTCCCATCTTGACGACAATTCCAGCAAGGAGGGCCGTGTTGAACAATGTTACAGCGGACTTTGCGAGAATGGCAGGACGAACAGGCAATTCTGGCCCGTTTGCGCGGTGTTGAGTCGCTTCGATTCTCGGTCAGAGGCTGTGGCCTGATATTGTTGGCAACCTCAGCGAGGTCCAGCAGAGGACTGTGATCGACGGCGGTCATGGTCATGCCGTGGGTGTTTTATTTCAAAGTCGCTATGTCTCTGATCTGCTATTGCATCCGAGGAAATATTGTGTTGCGACCAAAAGTTCGTGGGAACCTCGAGAGACCAAAGTTGTCTTCGTATTGCGGTTTGCGGGGAGGCGAGACACAAGTTCGGTCCAAGCTTGGCGTGGAGAGTGGCGGAGTCAAATCAATGGGCCATTCGAGCCTTTCTCATGGATGGGATGAGACAAAGAAGATTCGGGGGCTATCTCGTACAGAGCACTGCATTATTTTCTAGACATGTTTAATCTTGACAGGGTCGCCACATGTCTGAATGGATCCGGGGAGCTCTGCGGCCACCTCTGTTCTGGGCAGTTCTGGGTTTACGGGACTATAGGTAGATTCAAAGATGCATAAGACTCGTAAATAGAGGCTGGTTAGACGTGGGCGTGATTTCTATTCCCCATGTGATATGGCACTCTCAGTTGAATTAGAGATAGCTGGCTTGTTTGTCCGATATGGCCCAGGCCTCGTGTGCCTGGACACCGAGGGACACGGACTAATAGGGTCCTAGTTTGCGATTGAATGCCAAGGATCCATATACAAGTATATCCCACAGATGGCATGACTCGACGTTCAGAGATACGAGCTCAACCGCCTGAACTTCTCCAGTAGGACCCAAGTGCTTCACGAGACTGTTGCCTCAAGCTGTCAACCCTACAATCAACCAATTACTAACTAATTCGCACTGCGGCTCCCGGCTAGATTGCCAGTCATGGGGTCATCTGGACCTGTCGACGGATAAGTGTCGCCGAGCCGCCTCTGTACAACCGGACGAAGACTGCTGGGGGAATTAGCCGAAGCTCCACACAACTTGTCTGAAGTGATAGAGAAGAGTCTGACTCGGGACTAGTGGAAACCTCCACCGCAAACTGACCCCATAATTCAACCGAGGTGGTTTCTGTCGGTTCAATAGATTGTGCTGGTGTTGCTCCGAAAATATTCGCGTTAGCACAAGGCACCACAGGGAAAAGGTTCGGTAGAATAATGGGGCCCCAGACTTTGTGCATCACGTGGGGAAAAGGGTGATGTGCATCGGGTCGTCTTTGGTGATGGAGCAGAGTGCAAGGTACACTGGGATACACGTGGAACCAGTACGGAAGACATCATTGCCCTGTATAGACCTTGAAGAGGCAACATTGATCATCGAAAGAAGCGATACAGAGACAACGACCCATCACTCGCAATATAATTGAAATCATGGCCGAGCTCGATAAGATACTTGAGCGTTGCACGGATCCAAAAACCGGCACTCTCCATGGCGTGGCCTTTGCGGCCATTGATGCTCAAGGTAAGACGGGCTTTCCTCTGGTCTGTGAACAAGGGTGGCAAGCACGAGGATTGAGAGCAGAGAGGGAGAGAGGGAGAGAGTGAGCAATGAATGACACTGTCAACCTTAGGCAACATCCTCTACAAAAAGGCCGCCGGGAGCATGTGTGTCGACAAGGATCCGACCAAACCCCTGACCACCAATGCCTTGACGTGGATGGCCTCGATGACCAAGATGCCCAGTTCCGTCGCCGCGATGCAACTCGTGGAGCGTGGCCTGGTCGGGCTGGACGACGATGTCCGGAAATGGCTGAAGCCGTTGGAGGACGTCAAAGTATTGACCGGCTTTGAGGGTGAGTAGACTCTCTCCTCCTACTTCCTACTTCCTACTTCCGCCATTCTCAGCTCCATGACTCTGTCAAGTGGCTCGAGTCTAGCTTGATCGAAGAGTTCAACAAAAGAGGGTGCTGACTCGCCGATTCCAGATGGACATCCCGTATATGAGGAGGTCCAAGGCCAAATCACTCTCCGGTAAGTCTTATAAATCAGGTACGAGTCTGCAGTTCTGGTCATCTTGCTCTTGCCGGAGCTGCAGCTGTCGAATCTTCGCTTCGCTGACTGAGATCACTGGACTCTACTGGATAGACAACTCCTCTCTCACACCTCCGGTCTCGCATATGACTCGTTACAGCCTACACTGGGTAAATGGAGCGATTACACACAGAGAAAAGAGACTTCTTTCACAGGGTCAATTGTAAGGATGGAATCCTGGCCAGCTCAAGCAAATCTGCGCTGGCTCGTGAGATATTTGTGCTCTGACGCTAACGTCTGGGTGCGTGCACAGGAGGGTCTCACACACCCGTTAGTCTTCCAACCCGGCACGTCCTGGGTCTATGGCTGTGGCCTTGACTGGGCTGGACAAGTGGTATGTTCATCAGTGCCTCCACCTCCTTCACCACCACGTCAGACGGGACGAGGCAGAAGGGCCAGCCCCAACTCTCGCCTGATGCATGCCTGGCTGACAAGACGGTCTACCTGTCCGCATTGTCCAGGTTGAAGCCGTTACCGGCCAGCGCTTCGACGAGTACATGCGCGAGAACATCTGGTCCAGACTAGGGGCGAGATCCACGACCTTCCGGCCGTGGGAGTTTCAGGAGCTCCTCTCCCTCCCCCCAAAGCAGGAGATGGCCTACCGCGCCGACGGCCCGCACGGCAAAGGACCCCTGACGCCCGCGGTGTTCCCGCACGCGTACCCGCAGAAGGACGACTGCGGCGGCGTCGGCCTGTGGTCGACCGCGGACGACTACCTCAAGCTACTGGGGGCGCTCGTCGCGGGCGGAGCGCCCATCTTCTCCCGCCCCGAGACGGTGGACGAGATGTTCCGGCCGCAGATCGGCGAGGCCAGCCGCGCCGACATGAACGGCTACATCAACGGGTCCTTTCGCGACCTGTTCCAGATCCTCTGGCCCGAGGGCATGGAGGGCGATCACTGCCTCGCGGGGACGGTGCAGACTGAGGACTTGCCGGGGAGGAGGAGGAAAGGGACTGTCTGTTGGTCGGGCATGGGGAATACGCATTGGGTAAGTTCCGAGTCACACACCTACACAAGTCCCAGTCATTGTTTCATTCTTTTTATTTCGTGTTCCCATGGGGGAAAATACCCGCGAGGGAGAAGTTCACGAATCACACGCTAACAATGTCTTCTCTATTTGTTGCGTCTAGTGGGTCGACCGAGCCAGCGGCATCGCAGGCCTCATGTTCACGCAACTGCTGCCGACGGGCGACATCAGCGTCCGCGAGACGGAGATTGAGCTAGAAAAGGCGCTTTACAAGGCTGTAGAGGCCAAGTCTTAGATGAGCGCAACTTTTGTGATCTATATTGGTCGGCAGGCTCGCTGGCCGTGACGAGTATGGTATGGAGGATAGTTAGTCACCCCTTTCGTCAATGCCAGCCAGCTTTGTCGAACACATCATCGCAATCATACCTGGTAGTGGTATAGAAAGACATGATTTGACTTGACTCGTATCTATCCATCATCCATCCAAATAACCCTCGATATTGCTGACCACCGGTCTAACAATCCCCAATCTATCGTAGGAGTTGCATGCCCAGCTAATCCGTTCCGTCTATCTTCTGGAGATTCTATCCAACACCAACGATCCATTCCGTCTATCTAGCTATCTATCTGATGTCACAGCATACACGTCTAAAGCTTTGGCCGCGCACTCTCCCTCCCCGCCTGATCCCGCAACTCCCTGCGCAGAATCTTGCCCACTGCATTCTTCGGCAGTTCCCTGACAAACACCACGCCGCCGCGCAACTGCTTCGACGGGGATAGATGCTTGCTCACGTACGCTTTGACCTGGTCGGCGCTGATCTCTGCCGGATCGGCCACCACGTATGCGCGAGGGAGGTCTGAGGTCGGATCACTCGGGTCGCGAATGCCGATCACGGCGGCCTCTTGGATGGAGGGGTGTGTGACGAGGAGGGCTTCGAGCTCGGCCGGGCTGACTTGTTGGCCTTTGTATTTGAGGATTTCCTGGGAGGGTCCCAAAGTTACAAAGTGTCTCGGGGAGATCCCAGGAGAGAATCAAAGAGAAGAAAAAAAGGGGGGAGGTGAAGAGAGAAGTACCTTCTTCCTGTCGACAATATAGAACAGGCCGTCGCGCCAAACGGCAATATCGCCGGTGCAGAACCAGTCTTTGTAAGAGGCTGCCGCCGTGGCCTTGGGGTCGTTGTAGTATCCGTTCGTCACCATCGGGCCTCGGACAAGGAGTTCGCCTGGCTGTCCTGGCTCGACGTCACGATAGTCCTCGTCCACCAACCTACTCGTACCTACACGTAAGTCTTCGTCCATCTCCATTCGGTCACCCCTTGAGAGAGAGGGGAAGTCCTGGACCTACTCACCTGATCTCAACACCAGGGACCAGTGGACTGATACTCCCCGTCGCGTCCGATCTGCCAGGAGGCATGATCGTGACGGCTCCCGTCGTCTCGCTCAGACCCCACGTCTGGCCGATCACCGTCTCACCGGCCCCTAACCTCGAACTGGCGGCTTTTTGCAGCTCGCCGTCCATCGGGGCAGCTCCCGTGACAGCGGAAACAACGGAGCGAAAGTGATCCCGAACGTCGGGCGACTTGGAGATGCGGAGATAGATCGAAGGGACTGTATAGAAGAGGGTAATCTCGTGCTGCTTGACAAACTGTAGCATCTTGTGCCATTCGTATTTGCGCATCCAGAATACCTGCCCGCCAGCGTAGAAGGGCGCGATGAGGTACGCGAACAGCCCGGCAATGTGACTGATGGGTAAGTGTGCCAGTGCCCGGTATGGCGGCATCTGGATGTCTTTCTGTGCCGCCTGGTGTGCAAACTCCCGCGACGCCAGCGATGTCAGGTGTGTCTCAGACACCAGGTTCTGGTGGGAGAGCTTCACGCCTTGTCTTCTGGGTTAGTATAATACGCGCGGTCGTGGACAATACTCTCCAGGCATACCTTTGGGGAACCCGGTGGTCCCTGACGACCAGAGAATGACGATCAGACTCTCCTTCAACCTCGAGACATCCGTGATCGTCTCCCAATGCAAGCGATTCTCGGTCAGGATACTCCCGGATCCGTTCAATGGAGACACAGTCCACTCCGGCGTCGACTCGAAAACCAGGATTCTATCGGAAGACAGCCCAAATTCGTTTGCTGCCCTCGTCACCACGTCCTTGAATTCCACGCTGCACATGATCAAGCGACTGTTGCATATGGTGAGATAGCGCACCAATTCTGCCGTCGTCGACGATGGAGTGGCCGCCGAGTACACTCCGCCGGCGGCAATGACGCCAAACAGCACCGCAGCGACCATGGGTTGCCCGAAGCTCAGTACCGTGACCACGTCCCGATTCGGTCCATTACTGCCAATGCCATAGCGATGGCGCAGAGCATAAGCCAGGCGCTGCGTCAAGTTGTTCAGGTCCCTCTTGGTGATCAGACTGGCGCCCGTACCTGCCACGCAGTGCAGCGGCGTTTGATCCTCTGCCCTGCAATCCGGCGACTCTGTTCTATCTTGTCAGCTCCGATTTCCGGCACGAGTTGATGTCCATGACCGTTTTCTGCATTCTTACCAAAGAGGAGGGTCAGCAGGTCGAGATGCGGGAATTCAGGCGAGGGAAAATCAGTATTGCGATAGATTTTGGACATTTTCTTTCGTTTTGGTGAGATCAAGGGATGCTGGTGGTGATAGATCAAGCTGATATCTTGCTAGAAGGGCTATGACTGTGTGATTGTGTATCACGGCTTGACAGGGCATACGACAAGATAATCGACAATGCGACGGGTGCCCCCGATCATCATATCACGGGAGATACCAGGGCGACAGCGACAACAAAGTCAGCAAACAGTCTGGATGGATCTGGATCTGGATCTGTCGGGTCCCGCCATCATCTGCCACCACTAGGGAGTCTGTCGAAGTCATCGGCACGACCGTACGCATATTCGAAGTAGCGGGACAATAGGCCTGGCTCTGTGGACAATAGCAAGGCTGCAATCCCATGGACCATTGCTCCCTCGGCCCATTACTGACGAGGCTAGGCATAGCATAGTACTGCTGCATGTTTCGACTAGGTACATGTATGGGGAGACAATCAAAAAGACCGAAAATGGGTCCTTCTGGCATGGTTAATTTTCTCCATAATCATCTCCCCGTATCACCTGAGAAGCCCCGAGCGACCCCTTTCCTTTTTTTCCTGTTTAACGTTTTCTGCATCGTGGCCGAGAGTCTGTCTGATAGATGTGGAGAAGGTGGAGACACCCTCCTTTCCAACCACTGTAGAGTTGTACAAATCAACCGACGAATAGCACCTCGGCCAGTTTCGCTCCAGCTGGGGCAGCCGGTAGATTGCGGCTCCCTTTTTTTTGCCTTTTTTCCCTCTCTTCGCCTCAGGTGAGAGCGAGGGCGGGAGCAAGAGAGTCAGAGACGTGTGCAGGTAGAACGCCTTTGGGCCACAATTGTCTTGGTTTTTGTTCCTTATTGTTTGCTGTTATTTGTGGGGGAGAAAAAGGCCCATGGCTATATACGACACGCAACACACACACTCTCACAACCGGGCTGGGGTTCAATCCTGGAGTCGTGGCCTGAGTGTCTGAGCATTCGGCCAGAAAAAAGCGGACTTGTAGTGTTATTTTTGTGAGTGTGACTGATTCATAAAGGGCATACAATATGTGCTCTGTATGATTTTGTGTTTGTGATTGAAGTCCCTTATATCTATAACTAGAGAAGCCTTTTTCCCTTCTCATCATCTTATCCTGGTTCGGCCTTTTTTTCTTTTGATAGTTTACCCTCTTATATCCGAAACAGCCACGGTAAAGGGTATCTGTATACGCCATGGCAGTTAACGGCGTCCATCATGCGCCGCCGCTTCGCGATCCAGCCGACGTCACCGACCTTCCCAAGGAGACCATCGACGCCATCGAGTCCAAGTATGAGCGGGAGCGCGACATCCGTATTCGCGCCGAGGGCCAGAGCCAGTACATCGACATTGCAAAGTCAGGCAAGTTTTCGCATTTTTTCCACGACATCTGGGACGACGGGCACAGCGACAACGGCGAGCCTGTGCTCCAGGACGGCTCGTACTGTGAGTTCCTGGTCATCGGGGCCGGGTATGGTGCCTTAACATGCGTCGCACGCCTCGAGGAGGCTGGCGTCCCCGCCGAACATATCCGGATGGTCGACGCCGCCGGTGGGTTCGGTGGCAGCTGGTACTATAATCGGTACCCCGGCCTGATGTGCGACATTGAGAGTTATGTGTACATGCCCCTGCTGGAGGAGTCCGGGTACATGCCCAAGCACAAGTATTCGTACGGGCCGGAGCTGAGGCAGTACGCCAACCTCCTCGCGGACAAGTACGGCATGACCGAGAGAACGATGTTCCGGACGTCGGTCAACGAGATGCACTGGGACGACGAGGCCAACGAGTGGCGCGTGCGCATGACCTGGTCGCGCAAGGGCCACGAGGACCGCAGCTTCACCGTCTCCGCCCACTTTGTCGTGCTGGGCGCCGGCACCACCAACTGGATCAAACTCCCCAAGATCAAGGGCCTCGAGACGTTCCAGGGCCACAGCTTCCACACCGCCCGGTGGGACTACGCCTACACCGGCGGCTCTGAGCTCGACCAGAACCTGTCGAACCTCGCGGACAAACGCGTGGGGATCGTGGGCACAGGGGCGACGGCGATCCAGGCCGTGCCCAAGCTGGCGCAGTTCGCCAAAGAAGTGGTCGTCTTCCAGCGCACGGCTTCGGCGGTGGACGCGCGGGGCCAGAAGGAGACGGATCCAGAGTGGTGGAATCGAGAAATCCGGCCCAAGAAGGGGTGGCAGAAGGCCCGCCGGCTGAACTTTGACAGCTTCATCGAGAACCTGGACCCGCCGCCGGAGAGGGACGACGTGGGCGACGCCTGGACCAAGTTCCCGGCGTACAGCGCGCTGATGGGCACTCCTCGAGCCATCGCGCCGGAAATGGTGCCCGCCTATGTCAAGTGGCTGCACCAGCTGGACATTCCGCGACAGGAACGGATCCGTCGGCGCACAGAGGAGATCGTCAAGGATCCCGCGACGGCCGAGAGCCTCAAGGCGTGGTACCCCGGGTGGTGCAAGCGGCCGTGCTTCCACGACGAGTACCTCCAGACCTTCAACCTGCCGCACGTCAAGCTGGTCGACACCAAGGGCCGCGGGGTCGACTACATCACCGAGGACGCCGTGGTGGCCAACGGCGAGAAGTACCCGCTGGACCTGTTGATATTCTCCACGGGCTACCTCACGCCCTTGATCGGGTCGCCCGACTACCGCATCCACGCGACCATCTCGGGCCGCAACGGCCAGCCCATGGCGGACAAGTGGACGAAAGGCGTGTCGACCCTGCACGGCATCACGACGCGCGGGTTCCCCAACCTCTTCATCCAGGGCCCCTCCCAGGCCGGGCTGACGGCCAACATTGTCTGGATCCTCGAGGAGCTGTCCTCGCACTTTGCCCACATTGTCGGCGCGCTGGGCGAGAAAGCCGCCGCCACGGCCGCCTCTAACACAAACGGCCAAGCACAACAGAAGCCAACCAGACATGTATACCCCTTCACCTTTGAGCCCACGGCCGAAGCCGAGGCGGAATGGACCGACCGCGTCGTGAACCGCACGGGCGCCATCGCCGGCATGGGCGGCTGCACGCCCAGCTACTTCAACGCCGAGGGCGACATTGACCGCCTGGTCGGCCAGGGCGGCGAGACTGCGCGGAAAGTCGCGGTGAACTCGCACTGGGGCGGTGGATGGCAGGAGTATCTCGACATTCTGGACCAGTGGAGGAAGGCCGGCGATTTTGAAGGGTTGGACATTCGCATGGAAACCTGAGAAAGACGGGCGAAGAAGATATGGTATAGATCGATATGACTATGATTAAGTACAGTATATAAGTGAAGTGGAGGGATAGATATTGACATCCAAATCAAGGAAGATTATAACACTTGTGTGTTGTCGTCAGAAGAATCACTTGATCTTCAGCAAAACAGACGGAATATCTCAACAATCATGGATTACAGTCGAGTCTCGTGGATCTCGGCCGCACATCTACGGCGCCTTGAATATGGATGGGGGGTCCCGGGTCTGCTCAGTGAGCTGGAGGAGTGTGAAAGTACTGGACCTCGTCCTGGTAAGATGATTTCTCTATATCTATCAACACATGACAACCTGCGTGCAACGTTGCTTTGCTCCATGAACGGCGACGGCTCACGAGGCCACCCAGACCTTCTTCGCGGCACGATAGCGATCAAAGGTCTGGATCCAACTGCCTGTGACCGTGCCTTCTTCTACAAAGCCCACCGACCTCGCTTTCCCAAGTGCCAGATGGTGATCGAAGTCAAAGTTCATCAGCCAGATGTCAAGGCCCGTCATCAGATCGACCTGCTGGATCTTATTCCCTAGTTGGCTTTCCATCTGCCTGAGGTCCTCCTTGTGCTGTTCGAGATATTGAGCCGGGCTGACATAGGTCGGATCGCCCAGAGGCAGCGGTGGAACACCGACCAAGCCAAAATACTCGCATATCGCGGGCCATTTGGCAGACATAGGGTATCCCTCTGAAGTGTCGGCAATGTTATAGAGCTCCGAGGTCCCAGCCTTGTCGGGGTTCACTGACAGGTAAAGTGAAAATCTTGCAACGGTGTCTTGACCGCCGTCGTTGGAGAGCGTATGCCAGCCGTCAGGGTGTCCCGGGTATGGCACCTTTGCACCCCGGCCTTGGACGAATGCAACCAGAGAGAGGTAGTTGATGAAGAACCCGGCGAGATTGTAAGGGTTGCTATGTGGTAAGAAACCAACCTGGGGAAGGAGAGGTTAAGTATCCTTGGGTCAAGGGACGAGCTATATAAATCGTACTCACCACAATATCGCACCTGACTTCTGCCCACTTCCATCTCTTCCCCTTGTGAAGGGCGTCCAAACGGTCCCGAAGTGCGAAATAGAACAACACATCCCGGTAAAGCTGCGGAATATCGTTCATAGCCTCGTCAAAAGGGGCCTTGAACGGCCTTTCAGGCTGGTGGATGCCGTAACCCTTGTGCAACTTAGCATTCTATCCCTCGACATCTTCTTCCGTACTTAGACTTACCTTGGTCCCTGTCGGCAGAATCACATAGGACAGATTTGGTGCGAGAGCTTCAGCTGCCACGAAACCGCGATCGAACATGGCGACGTTGATGTCTTGCTCGGTTGGAAAATCCGGATGGAAAATGTATGCTGACCCGGGCTAGATGAGCACTACTATGACTCCCTGGGCTCCTGGGAGGTTCTTACCGAAGTAGAAGATCTGCGTGACGGTGTCAATGTCCGGGACTCGTTGCTTCAGCTGCTGCTTGATGTCCTCTACAGTGCCCCGGGTCAAGTCGACCCCCGACACCAGAGCTAGCTCGGGATTGGCACCTCCAGATTTCGGCCATTGGGCATCCTGCAAGTCTAATGGACGATTTGTCAGAGCCGTGACTTTGGAAAATGTCCCTTTCTGGGGGTAGTTCTTCAAGATCTGGTCAACGACAGCCCACCCAAGGATACCCGAGGCGCCGAAGACCAGTGCGTGGGCCATGACAATGGTGTATGTTCTATAGTCAGATGTACCAACGGGAAAAACGAACGCCCGACACCTTGAACTGAGAACGAGGAAGAAGAAAAAGAGGACGACAAAGACGAAGAGGAGGAGATATCCCTAAAACAAGCGGTGTGTGACCATCGCTAGCCAGCACGACTACGAGGTACACAACCGTGCTGTGGCCCGCCGAAGCCTCAAGTCTGGTGCAGTACACGAGCATGCCAGTGCTATTGGTGACTATACCGAAATTCTGGAGATGGATCTGCATTATGCTTGGGTACTACCAACGTTCGGGCGTTTCAAGGAAAATTCAATCTCATAACACGCTGCGCCCGATGCCCACAACGCCGCCTGATTCAGGTACTTCTATGGAGTTCGCGAACACGGGGTACAGAGTATACCCAGGATAGTCGGGTCGGTTAGCCTGGTAGTGGCTGGAAATGGACACACTTGGCCCCAGTGCCTACTGATGAATGCATGGAATCTGTAGATCATTTCCCCAGTATGGTGACGTGATACTCTTCAGAGGCAGGCGGCGTTCGGGAGATCGGCAAGCCACCCAGACGGACTGGTGAACGGTACGCAAGTAGAGAGAGGGGGAACGGAGCCACACCTTTAGTGTAAGGGAAGCCCTCCGCCCCACACATGCCTGTGCAGGTACGAGGACCACAAGCATATTTCCAAGTCAGGCTCTTGATAGATACATGTGGACGCTGCATATCTTTGGGGCCGCCCGTCTCCCGGCGAGCATTTTCCGTCCTCGCGATACTGGCGGTGGGACCATGATCTTTGCTGCCCTAAGCCCCTGGTTGTCTGAGCATCCTTGCAAAGATCCGAGTAGCAACACTTGGCTCAGTATCGTTCCAGGGCGTTTTCGTCGCGGGAGTGGTCTAGCTTCCGATGTGCGCAGATCTCAGGAACTCCATTGCCGACGTGGGTCTAACGGTCAATGGAGCGGACAACCATCACTTGACACAAACTTCGTTGGTGTAGCCTCCTATATCTTCTCCATCCCTTCTTTGAAAGCTTGAGGAGATATATTCCTCATCGACTCGACATCCAAACGGTAAACTCATCGATACTATGGCGGTCCCTGCTCTGTTGATCGAAGCAAGATGCGAGTACTGCGTCAGCATCTTCATCCTTCTGCTGAGGTGGTTTGTCAGATTCAAGCTTCGACAGTGGTATTGGGATGACCTCTTCGCGGTCGGGGTGGCAATCACCTTGAGCTCGCTGCTCGCTGCGCTGGAGCTGCTGAGTACGCTGGTGTCGTCTCCTACCAAAGGAACAATGACTCGCTGACCTGGATTTAGGTCAGAAGGGGGCTCCGGCAGGGCTGACAGCAGAAGCCCGACAGCAACTACCTTCAGAGTTGGTTGTACAACTCGAAAGTGGCGCCAAGTTGATGTATGCTGCATTTTACCTTTACGCGGCTGCGATATGGTGCTTGAAGGGCTGTATGGTCGTCTTCTATTTGCGCTTGACGTATGTCTCACCGGAAGTATGGGAAGATGACCGCTAACATGTGCCCCAGGGATGGCTTGCGGCTTAAGAGATTCATCTGGGGCGTCGCCGCCTTGTCTATTGCCTTCTTCTTCGCCGCCATAATCACCTTGCTGGCCCATTGTATACCCATCAGCCACAACTGGCAAGTTCTTCCTGACCCGGGCGGTACGCAAACCCTCTTTTCCTGGCCTTGCATGGCATCATAGCTCATGTTTCCGCAGCGGAATGCTCCGACGGATATAACATCAATATTGTCGTCGCTTCTGGCAACTTTACGTGAGTCAAAGTACATTGGTGTTTTCTCACCATCGCTGACTCCAACTAGGACTGACTTCCTTTTGCTTCTGACGCCGGTAATGATGCTTCGGAAAGTCCAAATTCCCCTCTGGAGGTAACATGATCCAATATGAACGTTTTTGGGTCGAGGACGGCATTTCTGACTAGACGCAGAAAGATCAGAATTGGCTTCCTACTCAGCTTGGGTGGGGTTGTGATGGCCTTCACTCTCCTACGGTGCATCCTCACCATCTATTCGCCCAGGACCATCAATCAAAGCTCCATCTGGGCTATGCGTGAGCTGGTGAGTTTCCCCAGTTCGGCGAGGATTGGCTGGGTCCATGGAAGAGGCTGACAATTTCCCAAATAGCTGGTCGCCGTTTTTGCCGTCAACGCCCCTATTCTGAATTCCCTTTTCAGGCGCAACACCTGGACCGGTAGCTTTCCATCGAGTAGCAAGAATACAAAAAGCTCGCAGATGCTGGGAAGCGGCGTGGACGAGCCAAGAGACCGTGGTTCTTCTAGAGACATCTACAAAATGACCGATATCGAGGTCAAGGATTCCGGGAGCGACAAAGACCTCATCCAAGATGAGTACCGGCATGGTCGAGCGCAGGTTTGGGCAGGACCCAACAAGAATATGAGATACTAAGGCGGCTCCCACTGTCAGCCACTTGTTTGCCTTTACAGGTACAATACAAAGGATCATACAGGGGCAGTTGCGTCGTGCGATGCGACTGGGGGACGGTGAGGGTTTGACATACTTGTACCGAGTACATAGCAACCACGAGGAGGGCAGGAGGCGTGACCCCAGCAGGAGGGGGCGCCATCTTGGCATGGAAGGAGGACACGCCGGGAGACTCTCCTGCGGCCGGCGTTGAGCTGTAAGGACTACTGACCTTCATAGTCACCTTAAAAACTAAGACTTGGATCGTGGTGTAGATTATCGACGATATTCCGAAATGCCAGTTTTTGGTGTAAAATCGATTTGCGTTACGCTGTCGGCCGCCCCTTGCGGAGCAGGTGGTGGCGGCACCAGGGAATTGCCTAACTTGGTTGGGCTGTAACTGCTGGTGTACGGAGTGTAACGAGTACTTGGTACTAGGTACCTTTGGCCACGCATCACAGTGAACATGATTCCGAGCACTAAGTATTGAGGAAGTAGTCTAGGCAACTCCAAACCCCTGGGACTATTTAGGCCTTTAGTCTAAAGTCACGTGGTTGAAACAGAAATATCTACGAGGTAAGTAAGAGAATGTATGTAGACAAACTGGGGAAACGGACCCGCGTGGGTGTTAAGAGGAGGAGTGCTGCTCCGTCTGTAGCTGCTTGACAGAAACCCATATCTGTCTTGTTTACGGTCGAGAAATATACGAGGTACACAGTCATATTTTGCCATGTCAAGAAACCCCTCCATGGATCGTGACAATAGATTACGATTCATCCTTCAAGCCACCCAAAAAAGTCACTCCTCCCACTTTTCCGATAAGCAGTGAATCGAGGACAATTCTCCCACCCAAAGCTGCTCTTCCTCCCGATCGCTACCTACTTCTCATCGACATGCCTCAGCTCGACTTCCTCCACCTCAAGACCTTCGGGCTTCTCGACAATGCCCCGCCCGTCATCTGTCAAGTGCACCACGACCATATCGCCGAACAGCGCGCCAAGTTCTTCGAGTGACTTGAGACGGGTCTCGGGCAGGAAGAAATAGAACAAGACCTCGCAGATCAGACTGAGGCCGGCGAAGACGAGATACCATCCCCATTTACTGTCGAGTGACAATCTCGTTAGCGGAACGATGCTTCCAGGGGCCCTTACTCTCAAGGATGCAAGGATGCAAGAACGCTAGAGAAAATCAGAAGAAGGGACAGAGATAATGCTTACATGGTCTGCAAAGCCGTCGGCGCGGGTGTCGCGAAAGTAATGAACCCGACGAAATAGCCGCACATGCTAATCCCCATTCCCCGAGCGCGAATAGTGGTAGGGAAGATCTCGGCAGTGTAGACAAAGGACGCAGCATCAATAAATTGGTAAAAGATGACGAACATGAAGACGAAAAACACGGCTGCTGAGTTGCCGGCCTTGTTGTCGCCGTCGAGGTATGTTCGTTGTAGCATTGCTTCGGCGAGGAGACACGCCGCGACGCCTGGGAAGCCGATCACTAAGAGCAGATGTCAGTCAGTCATGGATCGTTCCTCAAGGCTAAGAGACGAGGAAGCCACAAGGACTGGATTCCCCCCCAGGGTCATGGTACTCACGGAATGATAGTCTCCGTCCCATCCTGTCAATGACGAAGAGTCCGACAACAACCACGCCGACAGTGCCAACAGTGGTATAGGTGGCTGTTTGAGATGGAGATATTAGCTGACGACTATTTCTCAGCAGACTTTGGATATCGTGTCTGACGTACCGTTCAAGATCAAGGGCATGTCGCCCGTCATCCCGAGATTGCTGAAAATGAGAACCAGGAAAGCAGCGGCACCGTTGATCTGATTGAGCACCAGAGACTTTAGCGATACACACCTTACACGAGAGTCGAAAGATTGTATGGGGAACTTACACCTGTGGCTTGAGAGGCGAACCTGGACGGCGGTTAGTTCGAGGGCATTGATGGGGCACGACCAGGAGACGACTTACATGACACCGAATGCCAAAAAGGAGCGTCGTCGCCACGAGGGCTTTTTCAGCATGCCAATATAGCCCGTGTTCAGTTCCTTGTCGTGCTCAACCTGGCGAGCAATCTGGATGTATTCGGCCTTGGCTGATGAATCATCGGGGTCTCTGGGATCAGCATGGAGTCTCTTGAGGATTGTGAGTGCCTCCTCGTTGCGGCCAACCCAGCATAGATATCGTGGCGACTCTGGAAAACGGCACGTTAGCACGGTTGCAGTCAGCAGGTAAAGAGGGAGGTTGTGGCTGACCAGGGATGAAAATGCAGCCGATGAGCAGAAGCAATGGGCCAACCGTGGACAAGGCAAGAGGCAGTCTCCACTGCACGGTTTCATTTTTGGCGTGATAGCAGCCAACCGAGATCCATCCCAGACTGCAAGAGTATCAGCAACCAACAGAACGGCTTTTCTTTCTCAGGCGATATGACGAACCCGACATAGCCACAGGCCATACTAAAGACGTTCACAGAGCCCAGCATTCCACGTCGATGCGGAGGGGCCACCTCGATGATGTAGACGACAGACAGACAAACAACGATGCCGAGACCAAGGCCATGAAGCAGGCGGATTGTGATGAACATGGCCAGGTAAGGGGAGCCTGCAGTCCAAGCCGCCCCGATGAGAGAAATCAGAGCCGCGATGAGCAGGGCCCTCTTTCGCCCTACCCAATCGGCCAGGAATCCTTGCAAGATGGCCCCTATTCCAGCACCGACGGCGAAGAGAGAGCTCGTTGCTCCGAGGACACTGTGAGACACCATCAGCATCGTCCCAACGCACACTACTGCCAATTCCACTCCGGAGTGACTCACCTAGCGGTGTAACTGCTGTTGGCTGTCGACAAAGACAAAGCGTTAGCATCATTTCACAACCCAGAGGATAATTCAGCGGCAAGAACTCACGATCAAGATTGAAATACTTGTAAAACCCAGGCTGGCCAATACTGGTGGAAAAGCTCGCAAAGCCAAAGCCATAGGCGAAGCCACCGCTGGCCACGACCAGGCAGACGCTCAGATTGTAGAGTGTCAGATTCATGGTGGGTGGTAAGGGCAACAGAGTATCAGAGTTGTCAAAAAGAGAATGATGTCTGTCCTCCAAGACTCGAGCTGAGAGGAAGGGAGGGGAAACAGCTTTCTTCTCTGGCTCCTGGACGAGTATCGCTGAAGATATACAAAGAAAAAACTACCGGGCCAGACTTCTTTTCCCGGGACGAACCCCAGATTCCCATCCACGTTTTTCCCCCCTTGCGAGTTTTCTATACAGCCGAAGAGTGGCGTGGGTCAAGTCTCTTCCCAAAAGAGGGTGTCAGCTCCACGCTTGCCCCGGGCGCTTCTCTCCAATGACCCCAGATTCCCAGGGATGGATTTCGAGGTGCATGGTTTTCTTTTTTGCCGAGACTTACTGACCGGGGGACAGTCATCGTTTTTGCTGGATCCCTGATAGCCCAGTTGCCCAGCTAGGTGACAGGTTGCAGGTGGGCAGGTGGATAGGACGAGCGGGCGAACTCAATTGCTCCGACCGCCAGACGATGAGAAACTTGGGAAGGGAGGAAAGGGAAGCAAGAAATTAACCTCGGTTGCTCAAGCGGGTTGAATTAAGCTATTCGTCCGTGGGCCTCCAGTCCAGGCGTGGACTTTGGATCGAGGAAACCTTCGTTTCTTGCTCAAAGAACTCTGAGACATGCCTAGCCGGCTCGCTGGTTCGAATGGTCCGACCGGAGCAGCGTTCCGTTTGAACGAAAGATTCTTGTCTGCTAAGAAATAATACACCGAGGTGGCTATTCGCTGTTCTACGATGACGAGGAGTATCCATACCATCCCGTATTAGTCATTGATTCAGCCTCGCCACTCGCCCACCACTGTCAACTACCATCAGTCACTAACCAGTCAGGAGTCAGCCAGTCATTATTCGCCAATGGAGCTCACAAATAACAAGTGACAAGAAAGAACCGACGATGGACTCGACTCTCAACCGACACACAACAGACGAACAAAAGAAATCATGAGATCGAAACCCACGGCACTCATAGATCCAGGTAGATGGATGTGAATGTAGATGCATATCTTGCACATAATGTCGATGCGTGCAGCACATTAGACCGACTGGCTAACTAACCAACCAGTCTTTTACTAGACGACCGGAAAAAGCGCCCGAGAATGACGGCTTGTAGTATCAAAGTAGAACATACCAGGGCATGGCAACAGACTCGTGCAGAGGCAGCCCTGGCTCGCGATAACCAAGAGCGAGAATGCTCGTTTCCATTTCCATGTGTGCAAACCCAGACCCAGACGAACAAGACATCAAGGTCCAGATCCACATCCAGATCCAGCTCCAAATCAAGAGCACGGCTGGAAGACGACGTGGTGCCGGACTTCGTCAAGCCGCTGTCCAACAAGGTCGGCGAGGACGACAAAGACTATCTCATCGCCAAAGGCGTCTTCCAGCTCCCCACGGCCGAGTTCCAATCCATCATCTTACAGCGCTATGCCGAGCATGTCCGCCCGCTGCTTCCACTCCTCGACCTTTCGGAGGTGTTGGACACTGTCAGCGCCGCTGGCGGACAGCGTGACAACAACGAGATGCAGGTTTCCCTACTTCTATACTGGTCCATCCTATGCGCCGGCCTAGCCGCGACTGAGCGACAAGTCATTCTCAAATACGGCTACGGGTCGAAAGCCGAAGCCAGATATTCCTTTTACAAAAAGGCAAAGGTACGTACGTCCCTCCCTCACAAAAGCTCTACGACATGGTTAGCAAGGCGGGAACACCGTCTTCTCTCCTATGAGTATGTGTGTCTTATCTGTGGTTACTAGGTCCTCTTCGACTTGGAGACCGAGCTTGATCGCATCGTCCTGTGCCAGTCCGCCGTTCTCCTAGTGAGTTGGTCCCAGGATGATCATCGGATAGACTTGGTACATTGGATCGGCGTCGCCATCAGCCAGGCGTATTCGCTCAAGCTGCATCGCGAGGAACACAACGCCAGATCCGGTACGAGTGCGCGCGCGGGTGCGGAGATCACTTTGCACAAGTCCGCGGCGTCCGAGTCAGAAACAGACCTCCATGCTGCCGGGACTGCAGCCAGAGAGATCACCAGCATATGCAGGGCGCTGCTGGGGAGTGGAATGGAACAGCACGTTCCGACCGTGGGCGTCGTAGCCGTGCTGGCAGCCTTCTCCGTCCACCTCCGCTGCAGTCGCTCAGAACGAGACAGTGAACGGTCCAGTGCGATCGAGGAGCCCAAGACGTGTGTCCGCTTTGTCAACGGCCTCCGGGACCTGAACTATGCGGCGCAGAATGTCTCCAGGATGATCGAAGACGCGACCCGCGAGGTTGAACTCAGGCTCAGAATCACCTTGTCGGCGGCGGCGATGCTCAGGATCGATCCATGCCCAAAGAGGTCCGGCCATGTATCGATCGTCTCAATCCCCCGTGGCGACCAGGCAGACACAGCCTCATACGCCCTGCTGCCCCCACTAGAGCAGGGAGATGGGGATGGTGACCAAGACCCAGCCTTGCCAGGAAACATGTTCCACCTCGACCACGACGACATTGAGCAGATCGCACACGTCACAGTCAGGACGGCGGATTTCTACGACCCCGAAGAAAACCTTGTAGGCGATGATGGCACGTGGGGTCCGGCTTTCTACGTTTCCCCTGTCGAGATGGAGTTGGACGCGCTCTTTGAAACCTTCGGCGTTGAAGTTGCTCAACAAGAACAAGATCTGCGTATGGCAGATCCTGCTCGGGGCTAGGGGCCAGTTTCTAGGGGCCAAGGTCACAATAACACGGCTGAATATCAAGAGCAATCATTCTAGCTACGTTGCCCGATATATTTGGGAGGGAAGACACGCGAGGCCCGTTCCGCTCCTAGTCTTGGACGCATGACTATTATACCAGATGCCATGTTCAATAATGTCTCCAATAGTGCGTCTTGGAAAACGTGCCCCGTCTTCGGACCCCTTCGAAGGGCTTCCTTCCTAGACAGCCTGACAGCCTCACTCTATTCGGTACTGTGTTAGCGGCCACAGTCCAAGAGTCGGTGTGCAGAAGATGCAAACTATGTCAGGAAAGTCAGGAACCAGCCAACGGCCAGCGAGCCAGCGAGCCAGCCAGATTCAAAAAGTCCCTCCCCTGGCACTTCTGTTCTGTCCTGCCCAGCCATGTCCCTCGGACCAGAATGGACGATGCGTTGGCGAATACTCTCGTCGCTTCTCAGAAAAGGCGCAGCCCTCCCCGTCAGGCTGCGAATGTGGCGTTCGACGCCGAACCAATCAAAGCGGGATATCAGTGTGACGACTGTGGTGACGAGACGATCTAGGCCACATCAAAGCCAGACATGGGGAGCCACCAGAAATACGAGGTTTCCAACTTCCAAGGAGCAAAAATGCCTGTCGAGCGGTCAAGCGAAGGGGGTAGCCCGCCCCTATTTTCTGGCGCCCCGGTGGCTCAAGGCCGTCTGTGATGGTGATCTGGGCCACGAAACCAACTACGAGTTTCCTGGTCTCGAGTGACAAGCTCGCCTCGAACACGAGCATCCCAGGGCGACAAAAATTTCACTTTCTCGGCGTTCGACGCCTCGTTTCACGCTGTCGCGTGGTAATAAGACAGGCTGCTCAGCCAGAGAGAGAGCCATGGAAGGTCCGGTCCATGTTTTCTCATCTCGATTCCTGAGCAGCAATGGCCACACAGGGCGAGGCATACGATATGGGCGTGATGCGAGCTAACGCGAGACAGGCTACGAGCTCGCAGGCGTCGTCACTGCCAGAGGAACCAGGCAATGAACCTCCGCATCCTCATGCCGACACTGCGGAGCCCCCGCGAGAGTCTGAAAATACGGAGCGGTCCGATGGAAGTGATGAGGAGATTGTACGAATCGCCCCTGTGGCACGGGACACGACGTCTTTGAGGTACGGATAAGAAATGGCAATGTCAAGCCTGCGACTGACGACGTGCTAGACGGGACCTTGGGGAGCGTCATGTCAACATGATCACCTTCTCTTGCGTTATTGGCATAGGTCTCTTCCTCCAGAACGGCAGAATCATCAACCTTGCAGGACCGGGAATGGCCTGGTTGGCATATCCATTGATGGGGACCATCGTTTGGTCCGTGCAAGCAGCTCTGGGGGAGATGTCTGCACTTTTTCCCGTGCCTGGAGCGTTGTTTGAAATGCCTTGTCGGTTCTTGGACCAATCGATCGGATATGCTGTGGGCTGGATGGCATGGTGAGTCTCTTCTACACATCTCCAAAGCCTTGCCACTGAAAAGCAACAGGTTTGCCTGGGTCGTCATCATTGCGGCGGAACTGCAAGGAGTGGCAGGACTCTTCCAGTTTGGGTTCAACCCATCCGACCTCGAGAGGTTGCATTATCCAGAGCCAACACTGAAGTGGAGAACAAGTGGTGTCGATCCTGCTGTTTGGATATCAATCTTCCTCATCCTTATACTGGTGGTGAACCTCCTCCGTGTGCGGTGGTTCGGCGAACTTGAGTACTGGATTGGCGTGATGAAGATGCTGTTCATCGTTGGGCTGATCCTCTTCAACATCGGCATCAATATCGAGACCGGAACCCATTTCCGCTTCTACAACAACCCATGGGGATTCATCTCGCGTGCGTGGACAACACCAAGTGGTGCGGTTCAGACTGGTGGCTGGGCCCATCTTGCCAGCGTATGGACGGCAATGACATTGACCATATTCTCAATGATCGGGTTCGAAGCCGTCACCATCACCGCGGCGGAGAACCGAGAGCTCCGAACATATGAAGGGGTCAAGATCTCCAGTAGGAAAATCGCGATTCGGATCATCTTGCTCTACAGCCTCACGACCTTCACCGTCGGGTTGAACGTGTCATACGATGAGCCGCTGCTGGCGAATCGAGACATCTCCGTCCTAGACAATGGAACCCATTCAGCTTTCATCATTGCGGCGATTCGCGCGGGGAAGAAGTTCTGGCCAAACTTTTTCAACGGTTTCTTCATCCTGTCGGCCACCTCTTCGGGAATCAATTCATTATACTTGTCATCGCGCATTCTGCATGCCCTTGCCCTCACCCAGGGTGCGTGGCCAAGATGGCTGAGAACGCTGCAGAACCGTCTGAAAGAGACAGGATCCATGGGAGTCCCGCGCAATGCGATATTGGCAAGTTGGCTTTTTGGCTTTCTCGGATATCTGGCAGCAGGGGGCGCCCCATCACATGTGAGTCCATATATCTCTTGTCTTTTGCGTTGCGAGGCTAATACTGAAAAGGAATTGGGTCGGCTGGCCCTCAACTCGACAGTCTCCATGCTCATCGTGTATTCCGTGATCTGTGTGACTTTCCTGAGGTACAAGACAATGTGGGTGTTTGCGACTTCTGGCCATGATCTCAGCTAATATTCGACAGCATCAAACAAGCCTACGCAGGTCAATTCAGGGACACAGATTTTGTCGACCCCCAGCAGGATCTAAGGGCGTACTCAAGGAGGAAACATTCACCCACCTACCCGTACCGATCGAATTGGCAGCCTTTGCGGACATGCTACGCCCTCTTCGGAAGTACCATGATGCTTTTGCTCAATGGATGGCGGTCGATCAGTCCGTTCAGTGCGCCGGATTTTGTGGCTTCGTACATCAGTGTAAGTCTGCCATTATCATGAGATGAAGGAAGGTCCAGATTCTGACTTTGTATAGATTGTCATATTCATTGTTCTTTGTATAGTCTACCGTTGGCACCTGCATCGTCAATTTCGACCTCATCTGCGGCCGACGATGAACCTCAGATATCCTGTTGAAATGGATATCACTGACCCAAGAGCTGGTCGAGACAGGCTTCGATTCGGAAAGGAGGATAACCTGCAAACCAGAGCTATCAAGACCGGACAATGGCTCTGGGTATGGCTCAAATAAAAGGTTCCTTGGTCCTCTTTTCAGTTGTTTGGCGGTTTGGAACTTTGGCCAGGATCTGCTACTGCAGGATAGAAATTATCGAGGGCGATAATTTGCTGGTGTTGCTGCGCAGAATCCGACGCGTCGTATTGAGTGAGGTAGCCCTTCCTGTGCCTAATATGAAACATGGTCACGTTGCTTGCACTAGATGCTGCAATTTGGATCCCCAGGCACTTGCTGTCTTTCTCAAATGGACGGAGACCGCTCAATATCGAGACATGCTCAGCCTCCCATTCATTCCGGCTGCTGGACTTGCGAATGATATAGACACTGGTTTCCTCATTGACAACAACAAAACACGGATTTTGCCCAGGTGTCGCAATGGCACAGTGCACGCGGGCAATAGACAGTCTCGGCCCAATAATAGGTTGAGGGTCAGCCTGGGGACGCGGCTGCCCTCGATGGCGAGGCATTATTCTCTCAACTGCGGGTTGATGACTATGAGCAGAGGCTGTCCCAATGATCAGTATCGTCTGTCCAGACCTGTGAGAGCACGGCAGTGCGGTCAACCCCGGGTCTAGTGATTCCTGGCCTGCGGTCAGTTTTGTCTATAATGTTGAGCGCGTTCGCTCTGGGAAGGATATGCCGTTTCTTACCACTTTTATATCCTTAACGAATCGAAATGGATGAGGAATTTTCCCGTTGGGGCGGTCAGGGAGGTCGAAAAGTGAGAATAGAGTACTTCCTGCCTCATCCTGGTACTGCGTTCCTACAAGGACTTGCCGCTGATCTGTTGAGAACGATACCATCTGCGTGCGCACTTTTCCAGAGGCAGAGAAAGTCGAACCCGCAATCTGACTCCCGTTCACTTGATTTGATCGTGGTATCAGTGATTGACTGCAATAGGAGCGCGACCAATCTGCTATGTTTGTTGAGATGATCCGCAATTCGTCGATTGCTGCGATAGCTAGCTTGGTTCCGTCACACGAAAAGGCCAGACTTTGTGGAATCTTGGTGAAGGGCATTTTCCCCACTAGCGCACCGGTAGCATCAAAAAGAGACAACTGCAAAGGCTGATAATTCTCCTGATTGACGGTGGCAAAGTGAGAGGCACCAGTGGCCGCCAACGTAATGTCGTGCATGACCTTTTCAGTTTGCCAACGAGGGTTATCACCGTCCAACGCCCGGCGAGCTATCCTGTTTCGAGCCCAGACAATCAAGTTCGAAGCGTCTGGACTCAGTGCGGACCGTAAGTGAGGGCTATGTTGAAGCATGTGGGATTTGCTGCGCTTGTGTATACCCATCTTGGCCATTGCTGACGGTGTGAGGGATGAAGTCCTGTCTGTGAAAGATCCTAGGCTCACGGAAGAGGGGTAAAGAGAGGGTATTGACGGGGTTGGGGGTGCAGGAGCTCGTGAGTATGACATTGCACTGGCTTGATCCGGCAAAAGCGCTTCTTGATTCCTGACCGAACACGCCGCCGATAGTTGATCAGAGGCTAGGGGTGTATTCTCTCTATTGTCCGCAGATTCCTCCAATTCGACCCCAGGTGTAGCCAATCTTTGCAGAGTCTCGTAGATTTCACATAGGGGAGCAATTCTCCTGGCCTTTCGGACAGTGCTGTTCTCTGAATGGGGAAAAGGACAGTCGAAATGGACGTCGATTATGTGTTGATTGCGTTCGGGTATCTTTAAATTTTAGCTCAAGTTCTCGGTGAGGTCGTCATTGCGCCTACTTGTCTGCCACTGGACACGATACAGTCTGCGAGCATCTCGAATCCGATGGGATGCAGATCACTGCAGCTTAGAACATACATACTTTGTGAAAACATCCTATCTGGGATCTCAAGCTCTTGTGAGAGGGGGTTATCGACCTGCAACGAGGTCCACGATCGGACCTGCTCAGACAGGTGGTTGTAGACCCGCAGCAGAGGCGCATCCGCGTTAAGGGCAGTCAAAAGGCGATGTTCGAGGTCCTCAACGATCTGTAGATAATGAGCTGATAGTGTGCTCGTATTCCGTGAGACAGCCTGAGCACCATTGGCATGGCCCATCCAATTGACGATTTCGGCATTTTCGCTGGAAGAGGGCCAAGGCTCAATGTAAGTCAGAAAGTTTGACAGAGACCGTCCTTCGTCGGTACTCTGCAGTGCTTCACAGTAGGCATCAAGAGTTTTGCACTGCTCAAGCACTGTGTTGAGCTCGTCCGTGACGGGTGTTGAACCAAGGTTTCGTATTGTACTTTCCGAAGAGCCGGTTGAAAGCTCGGGGTTAGAATCATTCTTCGCGCATCCGAAGCATGCGGCGATCAGCATCAATCTTATGTCGGCCAGAAGTAGGGCACTGCGGTACCCGTATCCACATCCTCGGACAACACATGCAATAGCCTGGGGTACACACGTTGACAGATCGAACGTGAAGGCGAACTATAATGTCAGCGCGTAGACCGAGATTGGAATGTATCAGCTTACATTGTCGCAGTCGGTTGCATCCAGGACGAAATGTCCGTCACAGGAGCTGTCAGTATTGGTGCTTCCTCGGAGGGCTTCGACTGCGCCTTTGAGGATGGCCATGCACCAGCCTCCTGCTAACCCATACAGAACCTTCAAGGGCCATTTACAGATGCACATTTCAAGCCTAGAGACTTGCTGTCTTGTCGTCGTCATCCGATTGTCTTCTCGCTCAATGGTGAGAGTAGCTGCCAGGACTCCCGAAAAGAAAACCCGTTGAGAAAGCTCTAGAACTCCACGAACTGTGCTATTGACTTGAGAACTCTGGAGTAATGCTGCCCCGGCCTGACAGAGACAGTCCAGACAATCGAGAATGTCATTGATTGAGAGAATGAATCGGCTTGGTGGGTCGGAGCGGATGCGGGAACGTTGGATGTCAATGATGGTTTTCAGAAGTATCATGTCCTTGATGTAAGCTTCATCGACGACTTGCGAGCCTTGAAGACTCCTTGACCATAGCCGACCGAGGGCTTCTCGAACGAGAAATGCATGGTCCTTCCTGTTGACGAGTGCTGCCCATACGAGAGCAGCGTCGTGCAAATGCGGCATGATACATGAGGCTGTGAATTTGCCAGGCCTCCAAGGTGATGGAAACAGATTTGTGACGTGTGTAACAAGGCTGCTGACCGGAGTAACAGACAAGATCCGCAGTGATGAGAAGAGGCTGGCGCAGTTTAAGAAGGGAATCCTGATAGTGAGGGCGGGGGTGGTCAGACCTAGCCTTCGAAAGCCTAGAGCGTTAGGTTAATGGATTGCTGGCCACCATGGGAGGTTTTTCGCTATTTGCCTCGTGTCTTGTGCCCTGTTGCCTGGGTTGGGAGGTGTTTAAGCCCTTGTAGCGCCGCCAGGATGTGATGAGCTGGATGGCCACGCCACGTGAGCAAGCCACAGAACCACAGCAACCCCTTGAGCGGCCCTGCGTTGACACCGCCCAGCCAGCTGGTTAGGATGGGAACTTTGGCTGCGGTGGTGGCAGTTCTGTGACAGACGATATCAGTGAGATTTTCGGCGCCCATGGACCTCTCAGTCGGACCGTTTTTTCTGCGGCAGCCAAAACCAACATCCGCGACATCTCAATGCACCTGTGGGCAGCTTCCGCCGCCCACTGTCAACAATCCTCAGCCTCCTAGACCTTCTCGAGATGGGGAACGCAAGCCCAACGAAGAGTTCATGTCCTTCTTGACGACACAATCACCGTAATGGTATATGGTGGCTGAGACGAACGGCATTTCCAAGAGCAGGCCAATGAACGAGGCTCCTTATGCTGACATCTATGTTCTTATCATAGACTCACACAGTGACTCAATCGAGCGCTTTCTCTCTTACCTCGCACCCTCAGTCGCGCACCAACACAGCAGCAATGACCACATCCTGGGATAACCAGCGAAAGAGAAGGTTGTCGTAAACAGATCAAGGTGCTACATGGGGCAAGGCGGCTTGTGGGTCGTTATGGGTAGCATTGGCCGGCGACTATCCGACGCTGCCGCTCGTGGAGGTGTCATTCTCCTCCACAATGGCATTCGTAGCAGAAACGGGGATCATATGAAGCGTATGAGTCTTGGTGTCTAATATCCGTTGCATTGGGTATCAGTCGCAATGCTTTGGCATCGGAACGACGTTGCTGTGGGCATGACTATCCCCGAGAACATCCTCAGCCAACATGCGACTCTGTATGGTCCCGTTCAAGCAACAAGACCTACCTAGCCATACCGAGACCTTTAAAAAACAGCATAAAGATTTGCAGCTCAGCGTGTATCCCATTCCACCCTTCCAAAGGCCCCTCAAGGAAAGGCCGCCAGAACAAAGACAATGCTGGTAACCACCTCTTGAAGGTCCATCAGCCAGCACGCCGGAGCATATTATATAACATCACAACCTCGAGTCCCCGGTCCTCATTTACAGCTTCGATCCCGAATTCTTTTTCTTCGAGCCACCCACACCTGTAACCTCCTTGCCACTCAGGATGAAGTCTGGATACTCAAAATCCGATCCAGGTGATCCGGAGAACGTGTGCCATGCGCCACCATCGACAACCAATCTGTCCCCCGTGACATAATTTGCCGCGTCGCTGAACAAATATACCGTCGCGTCTGCAATTTCCTTGATTGTTCCCCATCGTCCCAATGGGATTTTGCGCCCCACCTTTGCTCCCGTCTGATCATCTCGTCTCTTGTGTTCTTGGGAAAGTCGGTCCATTCCTTCCGTGCCTGCAATCGGACCTGGAGCGATAATGTTACTGGTGACGCCGAGGGGACCGTATTCTATCGCCACGTTTGCGGAGAGGGCGTCAACACCTGCTTTTGCAACTGCGACGTGGGTTTGCATGGGCAAGCCGGTGTAGTGGATCGTCGCGGACACATAGATGATCCGGCCGCCCGGCCCTGAAGAATCTGATTTCGGAAGGGAGGACGACGAGTTGTACTTCTTGGCAGAGGCGACGAGGTGGGGGAGGCAGAGCTTGGTGATGTTGTAGGAACCCAGGATATCAATGTCCATGACGGTCTTGAAGGCGTTAGGGGAGAGTTGGGCGAGGGGAGCCAGGAAGTTGCCCGCAGCCCCAGCACTGTGTCGCAAGGCTTGTCAGCAAAAGCCTCCAATCGATAGGTACCTCCACAAAGGCACATGAAAGCAGATTTTGAGTATGAGAGAGTGTGCGTCTGCGTGTGGAATGTATGCAGCCCTTACATTAGAAAGTCAATGCCGCCGAGCACCTTGACACACTCGTCGACCGCCTTGCCCAGGCTCTGAACGTCCCGGACATCCACACCGCCGATCCCCAGGACTTTGCTTCCCCCACGCGCCGTCTCCAGGTCTTTGGCCACCGAGACTGTCTTCTCGACATTCCGCCCGACGATGCAAGCGTTGGCGCCCAAGTGGACGAGGGCACGCACCTGCGCGGAACAGATGGATCCGTTGCCGCCGGTGCAGAAGACGACCTTGCCACGGAACAGGTCGGGCTGCCATACAGAGGAGACATACTCGTGCTTCGGGAGCGGCATCTTGTCTGTGTAAAGGGGGAGAGGAGACTCGGGGTTGGAAGGGGAACGAAGGAGGATTCGAATGGAACCCGCTGCGCTGCCCGGGATATCTTCGGCTTCGGTGGTGGACAACAACAAATACCGGATTGACAGGAGTGAATGTGAAAATTGGGAGATGTGTGAAGATGGTGTGTCGATTATCCTATATAGAATCGAGAACTCACAACGGCCGAGTCGTGTGGTTGTTATTTGAAAGAGACCAACGGCCGTAAAGGGACCCTGTCCTTGGTAGTAAGACCGATCGAGGTACGAGGTTACAATTGAGACCGAAGGGGCGGAACCGACGAGGCTCCACGCGGGGGCCGCACAAGATACCGAGGCTGGCAAGGCTGGGATCAATGTTTACTAACTGTCATGTTTCTGCTGGGCACTCGCGCACCAGACTGGGCGAGCACGCAGATAACACCAACAGTTAATCTAACCCATCTCAACGGCATGTGGTGGATTCAGATGCACCTTTTATCGTAACCGCCTGAATACCTCGCTCCCGCAGTTCCCAGAGCTCATTCCCCTGGCTCCCAACCATGTAGGGACACCCCATCCAAGACATCCCGCAATTCTGCGCTGAGACCTAACCATCCCTCGTTCGGCTCTTCTTGCTGACTACTGTCCCATGATTCGTGCAAGTCGCAATCGCCAAGATCCGTGCCAGGGTTCTCAGCAAGTCCCTAACTATTTTGCCAATTCTCCAGCGTGGCTGCGTCTGCAACAACCCATTGCGGCTGGGGTACTGGAGTCAGAGGTGTTCCCGTACCCATGCCTGCGGGTTGTCCCGTGCTGCCCGATGTTGTCACACCAGCATTGAAGTTGTTGGTCTCGCCATTAGCCATGGGATACGCTCCATTGACACCGGCAGCCTCTTCACCAAAGACAACATCTTCCGAACCATCAGCTATGCGCAACCCTGCGAGGCCCCATCCAAGGGCATCCAGTTCCCGTTGAAAGAAATCGCGTTCGTCATCGTCAATGTCGTCCAGTCGAACTTCGTTCTCGTCGACATCACCCTTAACTGTTGGTTCCGAGCCTTTCTTCCCTTTCCTTGTCACGTCGGGATATCTCCTTTTCTGCCACCAGAAGGTTAACCCCCTGAGCGCCCACTCGAGCGGCACTGCCTCATCGACCTCGCCCTCAACGTTTGCGTCGTGCATGCCTGCCAACCAATCATCCCTCAGCTCTGGCCTGCAGTGCAAGTAGATCGCCGTAATAACACGCATGTTGCTTTGCCGCCATTTTCGGCCACAGTAGGGCACTTGTGATTTGAACAGCTTGAGTACATATAACCGCAAGGTCGAGTCCGGGACACGTAGTACTCGGCGCAAGATTTGGGAGGACTTGAACTGAACGAGAAACAGGATGCGGTGAGATTTTCCTCGTGTCAGCTTTTGCAGGACGCGAAGAAGATGGATGGAGGTCTGGAATTGCCGAAACGAGTAGGTGGTAATCGGGCTTGTTGGGAGAGGACCAAGCGGGTTCCCAAGCTCATCGACTGAGGGGTGGGTGTCGGCATCTGAACCTGGTTGCGTCTGTTGTTGTGGATTATTTGGGTCGATAGGGGCTTGGGGCTCGGATTGCGTTGTCGGTGACCTCCTGTGGCGCGAAATAGGTGGTGGAACGGCTTCATCCCCATCTGAAGCTTCTGATCTTTCGTCTGGGCTCGTGGGTGACAATGGCGGATGGTCTGAGTGAACATGACAATAGTGCCAAACGCTCAGATCATCCCTGTCGTATCTGAAAGCCACGAGATCCTCCAGGTTTTGATGCGCAAAGTATTTGAGCGTAAGCTGCACGTAGTTAGAGTCCAGGAGGAGCTGGGTCATATACTCGAACTTCAAGATATGAGACACCTTGAACCACTTTAACAGGAGGAACAAGGCGCCAGATACTGCCTGTTGACTGATCTCTCGAGAGCGGATATTATCCAGATCTTCTAGAGTTATTTCATTGGGACGAGGCGGCGGTGGTGGCATCGGTAGCGTCTGGTTCTGGACCATGTTAGAGTTCGACTTCGTGCGGTTCAGGGCTCCGATTTGGCCCGGCTCCTGGACACCCCCATTCCGAATAGCAATATCTTGCACATTGGTGAGCATCACTTTCATCATCACAATGACCAGAGATTGCAGATCCGGAAGAGCATGGTGGAAGAAATCGTCCACTGCCAACATACGGGAACGTAGGTCTGGGTCTTCGAGGGTCTCGAGCTCCTTCTCCTCCTCATTTTTTTCAGCTTGGTCCTCTGTGGAATCATCCTTCGTTTGCCCTTTCCACCCTCTTTCAAACTTCATAAATAAATCTCGCTCTCTCCAAAGCTGGCGCATTGCACGTGTCATCCTCATACGACTTGCGAACAATTCTCCTGCCTCGATAATAGAGAGAGGGACGTCACTGCCTTCCCACTTCTTACCCACCATCATATCCTGAACGCTCGTCGAACCTTTTCCGCCGATATTGTCGCTGGTGCTATCCAGTGGTGGGTAAAGGAATGGAAAGTTCTGGTTGGTCTGATAGTTCTGTTTCTTACCAGCCTTTCCACCAGGACCAATAGGTGATGGAGGAGGTGAAGGAGCGGGAGTGGCGATGTGCACTGGTTGATGGAGGATTGATCCTCGGGTTGCTGCACCACTCATGCCACCTCCCGCAAAACCTGGGATATCACCCCGAGACTGGGTCGATAGTGAGGGCAACATAGTCTTCTGCTCAATCTCCAAGGGTATTATAGGCGGTGGGGGGTTATATGCCGGGTATTTCGAGGTGATTTCCTGTCGGAAAAGGTGATAGTCTAATGGGGATGCTGTAAGAACAGGGTGAGCGGCTTCTGCAGAGAATGGATCCGCACGGGGTTGCAATATGCTTTTGACTTTTTCCAGATGGCCCGAGACGTCCCCAAACAAGAGTAGAATCGACTTCCAGAACAGCTGCAACGCATGCATCAGGGGTATATTGTACAGTTCGTCCCATCGTAAACGTGAAATCATGCCCACAAGAAAGACTAGGAAGTTGGGTTGTAAGACTGAGATCGAATGTCGTAGGGCCTGTCCAGCGGCTGTCTCAATGCGAACCCGGGAAGACTCGATCAAAATATACAAGCAAGAAAGACATAAACTGAGCTCTCGGTACTCGTTCTCTCCGAACGCTCCCTCGGTTGGTTCTTCACCTTGGGCGGCTTGAGGATGGTGGGCCAGGTCTGGAGCCTTTGACGCCTGGATCAAGCAACTGTAAAGCTGGGGAATAACCGAGCACTGTTCCATTATGTCGGCACCATTATGCATCCATTGGACCTGCGCCACATTACACCGATCGTCCCCGGACTGAGAGAGGGACTCTTCATCGGCAGCAATCTCTTTCGTCTCCAGTCCAGAGGTGTTGCTCCACGCCCCCATCAATATATAATAGATGCAGCACAGCGCCTCGATGCGTAGATCGTAATCCTCATCGTCCAGATCACTGACAAGACCCGAGACGAACTTCCGTCGCTGGTCTTGACCAACAGCAATCCATTTTGAGTCGTCGGAAATCGATTCTGATTGGCAGAATATTTTCCACCTCTGCTCGAATGCTTCAAGGGACGCTAATAGATACTGTCGGTCCTGCTCAAGTTCGGTGTAATGAAACCACTGATCAATCTCGCGCTCAAAGTCCTCAGCATCCTGATAGTGGAAAGCGTAGGGAGTTTGTTCGACTTTTGGAAATTGCCCCACCAGCTGCCTTAATTGTGGAAGGCTTAGAGAGTCTGTGGGATCTGGTTGTGATGGTGGAGCTGGTGGTGGTTGTGAGGGAGGCGGAGGGGGAGCCGCTGCTGAACCCTCACGCCGTAGAATTGGTCGTTTAGGTTTCGGGTCTACCTCGTCAACACTGATGTTATCCATGATAATCCGGCGCAGCCGGAGGTGCACAGTAATTTGCGAATGAGAAGCTATGTGAAGAAAGTAACGAGATCGCAAGATTGAGCGGTAAACAAAGGTCGACAGTCAGTTCATCAAAGGTCGCGACTCAGTCGATATGCCAAGCTTTGGTCTGGGTTGGCATCTTACCCCCAATGGGGACAAGTGTAATGCCGCTCTATTATTTCCCCTGATCAAAGCGCATAAGGGTTGCTCCGCTGAACATGTGCGCATTAAAGCAGCAGTATATTGACCTAGACCATGTGACGGTGAGCCGATAACGGCCCTCCCCACACTTCTATCGCACGCCACAAGCCACTCACTACCTTTCTTGCTCAAGGCTCTCGACCGTGTTCCACTCAGGACAGTACCCCTCTAGGGATAGCGCAGATGTCCAACGGTGATGGCATTGTTTGGCCTGATGCGACAGTGCGGGACAAGAAAAATTCGATAATATCAACGCCAAAGGAACGAACGAGAGAAGGCAACTTAATGAGCAATTAGAGATCATACTCTCTATTTCGGACTTGAATGTCTCTGTGGCTGGTATCACGACTCTTCGGGCTTTCTCCTGTGAGTCAGATAAGACCAAGGGATTGGGATTGTAGGACTCGCAACATCGTAGGTCCCGTAAATGGGCTGTATCTCCAGCAGGGAACAGCCGAAGACAATAGTCCCAGCTTAAGGGTCCAGTTTAATGTTGGCTCACAATCTTCAACCACATCTTTGACAGCATATCTGCTATCCTCTACGAAATGTAATTCGCAGACTCGGGCTGGTACGGAGGCAGCAATATGTCCGTAAGATTTTGAAAACATGCCAGCGCGTCTTCCACCAGACATTCCCTCGAGATCATAGATCAAGTCGTCACGAAACAAATGGCATGCGCCATGAGGAAGTTACAAGGTGGGCAGGATAAAAACTGTGAGACGGTGGTGACCTCCAAGGGAGCTGTGGGTAGTCCATGCCATCGTTTGTAGCCGAGTGTGGAAATGCTTTGGTCCTTTACCGCTGCCAACTAACAGACATCCATCCCTCGCTTGTCGTCCCCTCCAATGGATACAGTGCAAATCACGTGGATGCGCTGTCAAGATAGTGTGGGAGGCATCAATTTTGTTCGTAGCTGCGGATGGGTATCTTCATCGACATCTTCACGAGCAGCAGTTTGTCAGCTCATACTGCGGATGCGGTTGTCGAACTGGTCATCCAGGAGACAGTATAACATCACCATGAATATCAGACGTCCATGTGGTTCGAGTCAGCAGAGGGTAGGTTCCTGGGGTCATCGAAGGCAGTTCTAGATTTCCGGCTTTTCAACTGAGGGATTTTTCGTTGACGGTGTCCTGACCACTGTTACGCTCTTCTCTTTCCGCTTGTTTCACGAATTCTTTCGCCTGCGTCAGAAGCTCTTGTTTCATTCCCAACTCCACGGCGTCACTCGCCCGGGCATTGAGCCAGCTAGGGTCGAGAGGACCACCGCCCACCCTGGTCAAATTACTGTCTCCACCCATGGCTCGACCTCTTCTTGTATCTCTGTCATCCCCGGATCGGATTAGGTCGGCCTCTTCCAAAGCATAAACTTGACGTCGAAGTCGGACTTCGATCGAGGAAAGGGTAGAGAAGTAGGACTCGGCCGCCGCTGAAAATGCTTCCCGGGCGCTGGACGATGAGCGTAGAGCCGTCTCCTGCTTTCCAGAATTAGGCGAGTTCGATAAAATGCCAACTGCATCGGAGGCCGCAGACAGAAGGGTAGAGATAGATCGGTCGATCTCATTCAATTCTGCAATTCGAGTCGCAGGCGTAAAGGTGGTGGGTTTGCTGTCGCTGGGCTGATCAACCTCCATTGCTGCAATCGCGAGACTGACTGTGTAAGCAGCGTGTCGATAGTCTGTGCATTCTCTCAGCTTATACAAACCTGAGATAACGGTCGTGTTCACAGGGATGCCGAAGGAGTCTGTAGAGCCGTGAAAGGGCATTGTGAAGTCGGACAAGGCAGTGTGCCGCTCAGGGAAAGTTATCCGAGCTCTCCAAATTTGGCGAAGCCGTCAATATCAGAATCACGTAAACCAACACCAACTTCCATGTCACGGTCCAGACTCTTGCATCACCTCACCACCCGCGATCGCCAGCTCCTGCGTCTCCAGTCGCTCGCTCCCTCAGATATAGTCTGGTTCTATATCGTCCTAGACCAATTTGTCAGTGCATGAGCGAAAATTAACCATGTCGGCGCCCAGCCCAGCGCCACGGAGCGCAAGTACTGGGCCAAATGGTCCCCTGGCCACCCCTACCTCTGCTCCTCTAGTAAATGGCGTCGGAAATGTGTCTGGCCCTGCGCCTTCAGCGCCCACAGCTAGCGCAACAGGAGGCACCGGAGGAGGAATGTCTCAACAGAACCTCAATCAAATTGTGAGCAGTTCATTTTCTCTGGGTTTCCCGTGTCCCTTTATCTTCAATGTTGCCGTGTCTTTGATGATGTTGAAGCGGATCGCACTTTGCCGTCGACCCGTTTGGGCGGTTGAAATGCTTGGCAATTATGGTCAGCGACAGCAACCGGAAGGTCAAGCAGGTTGACTGTCACATGGTCGCACCAAGGATTGATGGATCTATGCCGCACTTCTACCCAGACGGACTTGATCTTTGTCTACAAAACAATCCATCAACCAGACATCAGCCATCTTGCTTCAGGAGCCTGCTAGACACATCGGAAGTCGCTGTGACCTACGTGGACACCACCTCTCAGCATGGATCTGAGTCCTCGACCACGAGGGAGACCACGTAAGAGACGCAAGCCACACGAAGCCGATCTCGAAGCCGCAGCACCTGGACCAGCTTCGGTCAACCTGTTTCACCCTTACGCCTATCTCGAGGATATCGAGAAACGGGAAGAGGCCGAACGTGAGGCCGAACGTGATACAAGCCCGGATTATATGCCTCGTTTCTCTGCTGCATGTTCACGTTTTCGTAAATTGCTTTGGTGACAAGCGCTAACGGCCTTTTCAGGTGATTGATTACCTCGCGAAGAAAGGCTACCACAGAACAGAAGCCACTCTCCGAGCAGAGTCGGCAAATCAAGAAATTCCCAAAGATGCAGAGTTGAAACCAGCACCTTCGGGCCCTCCACGCTACTACGAGATGTTTGCTCGACTACATGCATGGACAGATGATGCTCTCGACATCTACAAACCAGAAGTAAAACGCCTGCTCTGGCCTATCTTCGTCTACTCATACCTGGATCTGGTCAAACTATTCTATCCAAAGGAAGCCACTCGGCTGTTTCAGAAGTTCTCTGAGGATTTCAAGAAGGAGCATGAATACGATCTGCGAGGGCTCGAGCACATCACGTTGTCAGAACATGGCGAAGACAAGATTGCGAAGATCTACCGAGACAATAAATACCGGCTGTCCCTCAGTAACCCTGCCTACGTCTACTTTATGCAGTTCCTCGAGACTCTGCCACAGGTGGGCTACAAACTGTTCATGGCGATTGTGGAGAACCATCTGGATCTACGACAAGTCGAGCGCGCAGCAGACGATCGCTTCAGTTTCGCGTCTGTAATTCAACGAGGAATCGACGGCCAAGATATGCCCGCCGAGGATGAAGGTATCCCAGGACACAAACCAGGAAATGCGATCTCATCAACAGACCCGAACGTGGGAAACAATCTCGCGACCCTCAAACTTGGCAAATTGCCCATGGAAAAAGATGCCGAAGGAGACGTCCGCGCGGAACTTGAAGAACTCGATTTGCAGATGCCCCCTCGGCCGGGACAACCTACATTGGTTCAAACTCACGAGCTGGTCAACATCAAGCAAGAAGACGAAGATGAGGGACCAAACCGAGCTGAAATCCCGTTCCCAGCATCTACTGCGCGAGACGTTGCCATGGAGGTCCAAAAGATTCGTGAAAACCGCGACCGTCTCAAAATCGAGACCCGTACTGGTGGGATTGGGCCAGGGCTAAGCGTGGTCATGTACACATTCCACAATACTCACGACTCGATCTGCTGTTTGGACTTTAGTGGCGATCAGAGATTGGTTGCTGCCGGCTTCTCAGAGTCGTACATTCGCGTCTGGACGTTGGACGGCACAGCACTTGGGCCCCCGGCGCCGAACGGCCAGCAGCAAAACTCTCAACGTCTCATTGGTCACTCTGGACCTGTGTACAGCGTCTCTTTCGCTCCCTCAACTTTCAAGCCTACCCCGGATTCCGCAGACACAGATGCAAAATGGCTCTTGTCATGTTCCGCAGACGGCACGATCCGTCTTTGGAGCATCGATCTCCTTCAGTGCATGGTTGTGTACAAAGGTCACGTCGGCCCCGTCTGGTCTGTCGTCTGGGCTCCCTTTGGACATTATTTCGCATCATGCGGCCACGACAAGACGGCAAGAATCTGGTTCAGCGAACAAATTCGCCAAGTGCGGATTTTAGCAGGTCACGACGACGATGTGGATGTGGTAGCCTGGCATCCCAACTCAAACTACGTGTTTACTGCCGGCTCAGATAAGACGGTCAGAATGTGGAGCTTGAATAACGGGAATGCCGTCAGAATGTTCACGGGCCACACGTCGGTCATCACAGCCATATCCTGTTCTCGAGATGGCAAGATTCTTGCATCGGCAGATGACACCGGTGTCATACTTCTGTGGGATCTGTCGCCAGGACGACTGCTCAAGAAAATGCGCGGCCATGGCAAAGGGGGCATCTGGAGTCTGAGTTGGTCTGTTGAGTCATCGGTGCTGGTGAGTGGTGGGGCGGACTGTACTGTTAGAGCATGGGATGTTACCGGTCCGGCGAAGGAAGCTGCTTCAACCTCCACTGCTGCCGGCGGGGCAAACACGAACAAAGCAGGTGATGGTGCAACATCCACACAGAGTGGAGGTGTCACACAGGATGGAGCTCCAAAATCCGCCGGCGGTACCAACGCTCCAATGTCGAATCTCAACCTCACTTCGGGCACATCGACTGGCGCGGCGGGTGTGGGCACCGGTGGCAGTACGGGCGTCAGTGGTGTTAGCGTCAGTGGAATTCAGAGTGGCAAGAGACGCGGTAAGGACGCGGTCGTGACCAGCGATCAAATCAGTGCGTTCCTCACCAAGCAGAGTCCTGTCTACACCGTCAAGTTCACCAACATGAATCTTGTCATTGCTGGAGGTGCCTACCTTCCAGAGCAGGCCAAATGAAGTTGCATGACAAATACGGCGGCAGCGTCAACTCACGAGTTGCTGGGCGATTACTACGGAAGTGGAAAAGAGGTACCTCGAAGGAATCGAACATCTTGTTCAGTTGACAGTAATGTGGCGAAACACGGAACGTCGGTTGGGATGAGGCACTACACCGTGCTATCAGGTTATGGCATTTATCAGGGTGGCTGGAAATCGGATGCTGGGGAGTCTGGAGAACATGGCGAAACGGGCGGTGGGCGGCAGGTGGCATGGATCGTGTGTGGCTGCGTGTGCGGCTGCGTTTGTCGTTAAATGCGTGGATGGCTAGGACGGCAACAGAGCCAAACACGGCGGCATGAACTCTTGCATATCGCGACGGGCTCTATGGTTCTACGGTTCATACATTCATGGTCGAGATTGGGCAAGAGAGAAGACGAGATGAATCCGAGCTGAGCCGAACTGAGAAGAGCTGAGCGGTGTTCATTGGCCGTGACACGACAAAGCCATTGTCACTGAGTTGGAGCTTTGCTTGGGGGTGTTGGTACTGGGTATTGGGCCGCATCTCCTGATGGACGATGGCCTAGAGCTGACTTTTTGCGACCTGCTCCCCCTATTCCTCGAACGATGGGATAGGATATGCCTGGCCTGTACCGGGAATTAGGTACTCTATGCGTGCAATGCATGCTTCAAGTGTAAACAGATCCAATCAATCAATCAATCAATGAATAGCATTCATTATTCAACCATTCCATTCGTCTTCCGAGTAACGCCACACCAAGCCACTTATATCTCTCTCGTCGTCGAATCCACACATATATGTAGTGGACATATGTAGATAGAGAGACAGATCGTCATGGCGACGATGGCAGACGCGGCTTGCATGGTTTACCAACCTGGCTTTATTGTGGTATATTTCTCCCGCCGCAATGCAAGATTACCGGCTCCCCTCCTACCCACCGGGGGGGGGGGGGGGGGGGGGTTTATATGCAAGTCCTATTCTTCCACAAATTCCCACGTCTTAGCGAAATCACCCTCAACATCCACATTCACCTGCACCCATCACATTCGTGTGTTTCAACGTCTAAAAACCCACGCAAACGGCAAGCCAGCCCGGCCCCGCAGCGCGGCGACGTAGTACAGGACGCCAAAAGCCGCACCGCCCAAATGTGCCGCGTGGCCGGTCGTCGAGGCCTGGTCGTCGAGCCGCGCCGAGTCGTAGACGGTGTAGAGTACCATCAGTAGCCAGAGGGGGATGGGGACGACGCCGAACAGGTGGACCTTGAAGCGCGGGGTGGCGAGCGAGACGGCGGCGCCGAGGCCCATGACGACGCCGGAGAGGCCGAGCGCTCTCGTTTCTTGTTGTTGTTGTTGTCGCCGCTGCTGCTGTCTCTGCTCGGCCTGGTACAGGAACGCCACGTTACCCGACACGGCAGAGCCCAGAATCAGCACACCGTACCGCACGGGCCCGATGCCGTAGGCGAGGAGCATGCGCGAAAACGTCGAGAAGGCGAACAGATTGCCCAGGATGTGGTATGTCTGGACGTGGCTGAACGCCGGGGTGACCAGGGTCCACCACCTGTGCTGCTCGACGTCGTCCAGTTTGACGGTGAAGTGCGTGACCAGGTCGTCCAGCATTTTCCGCTGTGGGGAGGAGGGGGCACTGGATGGTGGTCTTCGGGCACCGTTTGGATACTGCTGCGGTGGTGGTACGGGTAGATCGCCCATGCTCCAATGCCATGCCGTCCAGATGCCGAGACAGGTGGCGATACCTTTTTGCACAAATGCGTCGAGGCTCGAGTTAGATTTTCCGAGTATACCGGGAGATGATCGGGGATGTCCTCCCAGAGATGGCCACTTACAAGAATACATAATCACCCTGCTGCCCGGGAATCCTCGAAATGGAAGCTCTGGAGGTAATGGTCCCCGCACCTTCGACGAAATCCCTCTACGAGTCCTCTCCAAACTGCGCAGCGAGTATCCCGGCCAATCGAACTCGTTCAGCCTCATTGTCAAAGGCTGATTAAGGAACGGGCTTAGTTGCATGATGCCGAGGAACAAATTAACCACCAATTCGATTCGCGGTGTGACCTAGGATGGATTCTATGCTAGCGGAGGAACCAGTACCATAAGAAAAAGCCGCTTCCACAGAGCAACCAGATGGGGTCAAAGGTGAAGTTCAAAGTAGCGCCCAAGAAGGCGTTCGGGAGTCAATCCTAATCGGGACAATATCTCAGCCTCGCGCAGCCTCGCCTTCAAGTCATGGCTGGTTTACTCTCAAATAGCAAAGACTCCCTCCCGCATGCTTCTAAACACTGTAAGCTCTATAAAAGACTGGATTATATACATCAGACACTCAATGTATACAAACAAGACCCTTGTATGGCGCCATAAAGCTCCTAGAAACGATAGACACCAACTAATACCAGCTGCACACGAACAAGATATAGCCGTTTCTCTTGAATGGGCTCGAGACCATCAGAGCAAACAAACGTCCCACACGATATGACCTACTGCAATATCCCACTCTGTCAGCTCCTTCCAGTCTCAGAGGCGCCCGGCTGTCAGCCTCTCCCCCTGAATCACGCCTTGAGGGCTCTTCTGGTACCATTCTTCGACCTGCCTCCCTGGTGCCCATCCGTCGCCCGGCTTCGACTGTCTCGGCTGCGACTCTACCGCTCATGTCTCAGCAGACTGCCTCTGTTCGTTACACTATTGTGATGCGAGTTTGCAAACAGTCCAGGGGCGGGACTACCCTGCCGGCTTCTTGTACCTCTACCAGCGTGCCCGTCTAGCCCAGGACTGCCTGGCGGTTGCGCACTGGACCCTCGAGTCTGAATGCCACGATTTCGCTTCAAATGGCGATTCTCATCTTCTAGCTTTCGGAGACGCGCATCCCGCGATTTGCGTTCCAATTCCAGTTCGCCGATCTTGGCGAGATGTTGCTTGATAGAATGCTGGTAGTTGGTCTCTTTGAGGCGTCGTTTCTCGGAGTCCGCCAGCTTGCGCAGGGTTGCCATTTCTTCTTCCAGGTCCCTGATTTGGTTGGCAAACTCGGCAGCCTTGTTTGATGCCTCCTGGTATTGAGTCCGAGTAAATTCGAAGTCTTTGCGGTTGTTCTCGAGGGCTTTCTCCAGTTCAGTGTTACGCGCACGGAGCGTGCGAGCTTCTGCTCTCGCAACTTCTACGGCCGCCGCATCGCCGCCGCCAGCCTCGATCTCCGCCCGCGTGTTAGCCAATTCTTTCTGCAAATCGTCATTCTTCCGTTTTAGAGTGTTATGCTCTTCTGCAATTCTTTTGTTTTGTTTTCTAGTGTTTTCCACCATTGTTAGGGTTTCCTTATGTTGCTTTTGTAGTTCGTGGCACTTCGTCATTCGTTTCTCGTAACGGTGTTGTAGGCCAGCATGATCTTGTTTCCACTGTATCAGCTGTTCCTGCAGATTGTCTCGATCCTGTTCCGCTTTTTGCCGGGCCTCCTTTTCCGATTCCAGGTCTGCCTCCAGCTTCTTGATTTGATCTCGGAGTTGTGTAACTTGGTTCGGGTCAATTCTGCTACTCGATTCGGTCGAATCGCGAAGAGGCGTAAGACGTTGTCGCTTTTGTAGCGCCGGGAGAAACCCGTCGACCTCCAGCAAGCGTTTTCTGCCCGAGGGAGTGTCGGCACGGGATAGAGGAGTCCTAGATCGAGTTAGGGGCTCCTTCGGCGTCTCTGTCCTGGTATTAATGCCACTACGCTTGGGAGGTGTTTCTTTGTAATCCGTCAACTGCAACGTCGGCATCATGCTCTCCGGGTTCCAGCCGGCATCAAACTCGGGCGAGATAGCGGCCTGCATGACAATGCTGGCAAGTAACGCAAGCCTCCGTTCAACACTCTTTCTAACACCCCGCTGGAGGTCGGAAAGGTCCATGGATCTGCCCTCTGCTTCATCCGACGAACGTGGTAGATATGCCAGCTTCCCCCCGAGATTCGGCAATGCTTGAAAGGTGGCTCGGACCAGCGCTTTCAACCTCATGGAAGATGGCATACTTTTTGGCAGACAGCGGTCGACGTGCTCGGACGAGTTTGCAACCAGCAAATGGAGGACCGGCAGGAGACTAGAATGTCTCTCAGAGAAATGCTCCCGTATGCGTCGAACCTGAGGATCTTGAGCGTCGAAAGAAGCATCAAAAGCGATCATCAAGATAGGCCCGCTGTAGATGGCGACCTGATGTGTTGACCCTGTGGTGACCAGTTCAACCTGGAAATCCGTACTGAACCGATCTGGAACTGGTGCCTTGGAGCGGCTCATTCGGTCCTGTCGGTTCACAGCGACTTGCTTCATCTTGAGATAATCCTCAATGAGATCTTGGACCGGGCCTTCTCGAGCCATGATAATAATCGAGCACCCAAGGTTTTTCATGATATCAACGAGGTGCCCAAGAAAGGAGAATTTCGAGCCTGCATAGTTTGCATACGCCGCATGTTCGTGCGAGTTGCCTGGGTAGTGGGTGGGTGTGCCCGGTAAGCCAAGATCCAGATGTGTGACCGTGTCGTGCAGGCGCTGGATCATTTCGTTCATTTCGTTTCTTTCGTGACTTCGAGTGAGAGAACCGCTTGACGACCCAAGCGAATCGTGTCTACCGAGAAACTTCTTGATGGACTTTTCTTTTGCTTTAATAATGTCCGAATATATGGACTGTACCTTACCCTCGCAGGGAAGAGCTATCGCATATTCGGCGAGACCAAGTATGGGAACGCTAGTTGGGAGCAATCCTGCCAGTTGAGGCACATCCCGTTCGTTTTCGACGGATTGCTGACTTGAACTTGCCTTGGATTCGGATGAGAACTGCTCTCCGCTGGAAGTGTGTTCTTCTTCCTCTATCGAGGCTTGGATTGGAAATGCACTTCCCCCGAGGGCAACATCATACATCGACGTTGCGGCACCGCCGGAACGGACAAGTTCAGGCTCGGGGGCATCCACCACCGTGGGATTAATGATCGTATCGCTTGGGAAGTCCATCTGGTAAGGAATTCGTCTCGAGTCAGAAGGTCGTTTCGCGTCAAGATACGTAGTGTCCAAAAGTGGCGGGCGAAACGAAAGATCGTAAAACCGTCGGGCTGTCTCTAACTCTGGAGGGCGACGTTCTCTGGCCAGAGAGTCGGAAGAGCCAGTCCCGCTATGTGACTGTTGCAGAGGCGATGTCTGTGTTGCAGAGTCGGCACGTGGACCTTCAACAACGCGACTATCGACAGCGAGTTTCTCGGCGGAATCTCGACCTTGGGGTCCTTTCGTTGGGGATGTTGGCCCCACAGGCGGGTGCGCCTCCTCAGCCGGCGGGGTAGAGACTCTTGGATGCCGTTGGGAATTGAGCCCTCCGTCGCTCCTAGGCTCCTGTTCTGAAGCCCGTGAACAGGGACGGGTGAGGTTAAAGGTGGAAGCTTCAAAGCCGCCAGAAGGCGGGTGCGATATGGGCGCTGGTGGTCCGGGTGTTCTCTCGCACGACGATCGACTGGAGTTCGTTAGATGGTCTTGTCGTGATCTTGAGAGTGTATCTGGAGGAGTTGATAGCCTGGATTCTGACGCCGATCTCGCCACTAGCAATCTTTCCGGCTCTGCTTGCCGCTGTGATCCTGTCTCTGCGCTTGTCGCTGCGTCTAGCTCTGCGGCCGACTTTGTCACTGGCTCTGATTCCCGCGGCGGTTCTGTCTCTGCGCTTGTCGATACGTCTAGCTCTGTGACCGAGCTTGTCGCTGGCTCTGGTTCCCACGGCGGCTCTGTCTCCGCGCTTGCACCCGCAGTTGGCTCTGCTGCGGGTTCAAATGCCTGAAGCGAATCTGTTTCAGGACCTAAATCAAGGGCAGATTCTGGTCTTAGGTCTGGTTCTGATTCTGAGTCTGACCCCAACTCAAAATCTCCGTCCGACCCTGCGTCTGAGCTTGCCCCGGACACCGGCTCGTATTCTCCCGGCGCTGGGTTCGAAAGAGACTGGGGGACACTGTCTTCTCGCCCTGGCTCGGGTTCTGGTAGGCTTGACGGAGTCGAAGGCGTATCACGCGCCCTGATTTGGCTCTGTAACCGAGTTACACGTCGTTGACCAATTTGACTGTTGTCCTCTTGCACTTGAAGGCTTGCGCGCCGTTTGCTTGTCGCAGTCCTTCTACTCGTTCCTTCTTCTGGGTGTTTTGTATTGCTCTTGCTCTGTCGGGCGTGTTTTCTCGTTGCCTTCTTTAAAGCCCAATAGTCCGCGATAACGTCTTTTGAAATGGCGTCGGCTTGCACCTGTGACCCCAATTAGAGTAACTCGGCAAAAGATCCTGCATTTCACATACCCAGGTTGGAGGGAAGACCTCTTTGGTCTCAGGATGATCTGTCCACTGAACCTGGAACTTAAGAGTGTTCTTCTTGTGACCCGAACGGTGCTTCAACACCGACTCGACAGGCCAATTGCCCTCGCCTGCTCGCTCAAACAACGGGTACGTGGCCCGCAGGCGTTCGCACTCTCCGGGCGAGGGGTCTCGGTTGGAGTACTTGGGCTGCTTTTGGCGCTTGGGGGGTCTGGCGTCTGGTGTGCTGGACGTGCGGGCACGCTTCTTCATTATACTCAGTGGGCGTGGAAATTTGAACCAAATGGGATCATGATCAGCCCAAAGATCATCATGAGCTGGAGGAGACGGCGGAACCAATGCACAATGGGGAAATGCGTTGTGTTTGAGTACAAGTAGACGGCTTAGACTGGAAGGTTGTTGATGGATGGTTTGAGAGATGCAGCCACTGGAGGCCGGCGACTGCGGTGTGGCAGCCACGGGTTGCGGGTGTAGGCAACTTAGCCGAGCCCATGCGGGCAGGTGGGTGGCAGGCAGGATCACAGCGAAGAAATTGTGTGCGCGAGGGACATTGAATTTTATCGTCTATATCAGCTGAGGTTCACTCTTGCAAGAGATGGTACTGTCCAGCAAGAAACCAAGTACTTGAAGGATCCCAGTTCGAGTACATTTCCCCCTCGTTCAACAATCAGCTTGTTCAAACATGTCCAAGTCTCTATCCTCAGCCTGCTCTCGCCATTTCACAAAATCAAACCCCAGCTCCTCTATTGTCCTCACATGGACTCGAGCCTCGCCCTTTTCAGTATATGCGGCCTTGATGTCAGGAAATCGAGACCTCATCCAGACTTGTCTCTGATCCCATCTTGTACCCAGCTTCCCTGCGCCGTCATTCTGCAGTCCATTCTTCTTTCTCGCTTGCAGCGCCCACGCATAGAGCTCGTTGATCTGCGCCGCATCTTCGGGAAACTTCTTGACATGGAAGTACTTGCCATCACCTTTTTTGTGGACTGTTTCGTGCTCCCAGTCTCGCATCTTGGCTGGTGACGGCAAGTCAAGTCGACCACTCCACACCCGAGCCACCACGGCGGCCTGATTCTGGGAGAGTGGGAAGGGAATAACCTTTAGATTGATTACGGGAAATGCCAACGTTGGATGGTCGATGCTGAACAGGTGCTGGTATGTGCCTCTTGCGCGGAAGCCGTCTGTGACCAGGGGAGGCAACACACTGGATAGAAACGGGTATGAATAGAAGTATCCGGTCGCAAACACAACAACATCGACATCCTTCTCAATGCGGCCACTCTTGAACCGCACCGCTTTGGAGGTGTCGTGGTCAGGTGGGAGAAACTCGACGATTTCGTCAACGTCTTCCCTGTACCCCTTTCCAGGCAATACCCCGAACGCCGACACTGATCTTGATGAAAGCAAGACAGGTTTCTGACAGTACTTCCCTATTTGTGCGGCGATATCCAAACCTGAAGCCGAGTTTCCGACCACAATGACTTTTTGATCCCTGAAAACTTCAGGTCTCCGATAAGCTTTGGAGTGAACGATGGCTTCAGGGTACGCCGCATTCCATTTCGCAACACCTTTGATGGCTGGAACATATGGGACGGTGTAGTGTCCGTTGGCCACCACCACCGCGTCGTACACAGTTTGAGAGGCTTCTTTCGTGAGGAGGTTCTGGGCCGTCAAATACCATCTTTCACGCTCGTTACCGTGGTCTTTGACGGGCAGCACATCTATGACCGCTGTATTGAACCGAATCAACTCTCTGACTTCGTCCGCGTAGTGGTCCAGGTACCTCAACACAGCCTGATGACTCGGAAACAGGGGGTCTTCCTCTGGAAACGGCATGTCGGAGAACGCCATGAGGTGTTTGGGTATGTTTGTTTCGAGATAGTCGTACAACGGCGACTCAAACTCTAGGGAGTCTGCGGTGTCGTCCTCGCCATTCTCATTCTCATTCTCACTCTCATCTTGTGTTCTTGGTATTAACACCCGCTGCCCATAGAGCGGATTCGTCTGTGGTATCGGAATTCGCTTGGACCGGTCTGGCAACGAGAGATTCCAGATGCCTCCAACCCGCCCACGCTGCTCGTAGATGTCGATTGCCGCAAACGCCTTTTCGGCCAGCAAGTACTTTGCGCACGAGACGCCCACGGGACCGGCTCCTATTATGGCGATGCGCGATATTGGTGGTATTGAAGAGCTCGTATCGCCGGCATCGCCCATCGTATGTGGGAGACCAGTCGCGAGATATATACCTCGTACCGACTACACGTGCTAATATTTTGCTTTGTCGCTTCTTGAAGTGAAGTGACACAATGCAACGCAAGACGTTAGGGTCGTGGGTGTGATTATGGTTGTAGACTGAATACCATTTACTATTGGCCGATGAAACAAAGTACCAACAACAAAATAGAAAAGAGTACTTTGTATTAATAGTTACTTTGTTCCTGATAGAGTAATGTAGGGTGATAATTATTGCTCAACGAGATCTGCGGGTGTTTACGGGCCGGTCGATCTCGGATGTCGTGGCTCGCTAAGTGGCAAATGAACATGTATATGATTGGCTAGGCAGATACCTATGTACTGTACGAGGGAGCGTATCAAACCATCCATGGATGACGGATACCAAAATTCTATACCTTGTACATACGGGGCAGATATTGTGTCATGGATTCTGGCAATGGGAACGCGGGGGAAATAGTCGTACCTGAACCCGAATACGACGAGAAGCTTAAGTTTGAATTTCACCGTCATTCAAACCCCCAATGGGGCTTTCACCCTCTTCCTCCCCACATTACTCGATTGCGTACTCTTCCTCAGCACGACGCCAAAAAGAGAGGCTGATTCTGACTGCGTGACATTAAATCTACCCCACCACTCGACCACCGACTAAGACAGGGGCAGGGCAGCGCATTTCTACGCCTCTAAAACAAAAGAGTCCGACAAATGGCCCCTCGCACGAGGCAAAGAGCCACATCGTCCGCTGCAACTATAGCTACAGCTACAGACAAAGGCACGAAAGCGAAGGCGAAGGCGAAGGCGAACTCCAAATTAGCGGCGCAAAAGGAGTCCTCGCACCTGGAAGAAACAGGGAAGGGCGAGGCTCGTCCTGACGAGGCTCGGGGCGACGAACCAGATCCTACAAAGACCAAGGAAAAGTCCAAGAGCACTACGAATACAAAAACCACTCCTGCCAACACCACCAACAACACTCTCCCTCCGACCCTCAATCTCGTCTCCCTCACTCGCAAATTCACAGAATTCGCAATCTCCACCCCCAGTTCAACCGCCAAATTGGCGAAATCGCCATCGACATCGACCAAGACCATCCCATGTCAGCGCAGCCATGCAGCGCCTCACCCGACATCACTGATCTTCACGCACGGCGCGGGAGGCGATCTCTCCGCGGCAGCTATGGTGAATTTCTCCCGCGGCTTCGCGGGCACGGGCTCGGCGGTGGTCATGTTTCAGGGGAACATGAACGTCAAGGCCCGGGCGGGGCTGTTTGGAGTGGTTAAGGAATACGAGATTGAGCATGGGTCAGTCATCTCGGCTGATCAAGACAAGGGCAGTCCTCAGGGAAAAAGCAGTGTGAATGTGTCAGGGAAGAAGAGAAAGGTCACTGCGGTCAGCACTAGCACTTCCACTTACTCCGGCTCCCCTCCCACCTCAGTGGCCTATGGCGGACGAAGCATGGGTGCCCGTGCGGCTGTGATCGCATCACACACAGACCACGGCATCAAAACGCTCGTGCTAGCCTCATACCCGCTCGTCGGCCCTGGCGGGGCCATGCGCGACCAGATCCTCCTCGACATCCACGCGGACGTCGACGTGCTGTTCATCTCCGGCGACCACGACACCATGTGTCCACTCGACACCCTAAAAAGCGTCCGGGCGAAGATGAAGGCCCGCACGTGGCGAGTTGTGGTCGAGGGCGCGGATCACGGCATGAACGTCCGCGGAGGGAAGAAGCTCAAGGAAGGGACGGAGAGGGTGGGCGAGGAGTGTGGTCGGATCGCTGCAGAGTGGTTGAGGGAGAGGGATCTGGATAAGCGCGAGATGACGGTGTCTTGGGATGGTGAGACGGGGGTGGTCCGCGGGACGGTATGGGTAGGGCGGCAGACTGGGTCGACACAAGAGCAAGGTGGGACATCGAAACGAGCGAAGACAAAGGACGATAGTAATTCCGGAGACGAACAAGGAGGCGACGAGGCTGCTATGAAAGTCGGAGTGAAGCGGAAGAGGACCAAGAAGTGAGAAAAACTCCGGGGTGCAGATGGAAGCGATTCAAAGTAAAAAGTCCCAGGCATCGCAGCGAAGAGCGCTCGAGGGTCACTCATCCAGCGGATCAGGATGGCGTGCCCTTAATCCAGCTCTATCTTCTGGAAAAAGCACTGCGAAATTTGACGGAAAGTGAGCTCAAACAGAGAAAAGACATGGAGATTTGTAAGAGATACTGTACTTCTCCCTACGCGAGCAGGGTCGGATCCGATGTAGGTGTAATATGATAGGATATTCTGCACGAGCGGCGCTCCATGAGTAAACAAGTAATAGTCTTCGAGATTCCTCGCAGACAGTTGCCGTAGCATGTGTAAATTTCTAGGAGATATCCATAATACTTTCCAATCAATGCCTATCGCTTCGTCTAAAGTACAATTCAAAGTTCAGGTCGCGTTTGTCGTGCAATGAATGAAACCCTCCTTACCCACAAGTAGCAAGATTGCCCAAGCTATTCAATTCCCCGCCCTCAACCGGATCGGATCAGATTGAGACACCGACTGGTACTGGGTGTGGCGCTTGTGGCGGATGAGGAGGATGCTGGCGACGGTCACGGCAGCCATGGTCGCGATGCTCCCTATCGCCAGTCCGCCAAACAGCGCTGGGCCGATGCTCTCCGAGGCGGGCTGACGGGGAGTCGCGGGGAAACTGGGGGTGAAACGTGTTGCGGTAGAGGTCCTTCCCGTCGCCGAAGCAGCGGATGGAGCTGCAGAAGATGTAGCCATAATTGTTGACCCCGTCTCGACGACCGTGATGGAGATGCTCGCTCGGAGCACCGTCATGATATAGTTCTTCTTCGTGGTGCATATCCACGCTGTCGAACCGCCTTCCAGCAGGAGCTGTCCACAGTATGGAGCCCGGCTCGAGCTATAGAAAATATCAGTCAAGCGCAGATGATGGCTGAGCTTGGAGGGTAGAGGCTTTACCAGTCCAAAGTATTTGGTGGCTCCTCGGTCGTCGTGCAGGATGATATGTCAGAGTCGCAGGTTTCAGAGCTCGTGTAATCCCGGCACGTTGTCGCAATATTGGTGCAGTTATACGGGAGACAGCATCCCACGAAAGAATTCAATCGCGCACAGGTGCGTGAGCTCTGACAAGTAAGTGGTATATCTACCGGTCTCTCGAGTCAGTACTGTAACGAATCACGAGAAACAGATACTCCCATGTATCTGGTGAAATGGCACTTCAGCTGAACTTACCATAATCTCCAGAGAGAAACCCACAAGTATCTTTTGGAGCTGGTGCAGAGGTCGTTGCCCGAGGTTGCAGCGATGTCTGATAGACGTACTCTGCATCGTATGGCGGCAGTCCTACTCCGTCGCCGCATACAAACTGTGGCAGTAACACCACAAGGAACGCATAGAGCAGTAACAGCGACGTCCACAGTTGACTGCTGCCGTCGAAGGACATCTCTGTGCCGACCAATAGAGACTTCCTTGCGCTATCTGTGAGTTGCAAAGATGTATATCGACAAGAGAAGACAAACGAACATATCCCGATCTAGAACGTCGCGATGAAAAAGACCTTGGCTTTCAGATACCAGATTCTCATGAGCCCCACGAGACTTAGGACCGAGCCTCTTCTGGATGGTCTTGCTGCGCCGTCGACGATCGAACATGTTGGTTGGTCGTGAAGCGAACGAGGCTCGGCAGCTGAAAGGAAGCTGGGCCAGACCCGAGGTTTCCCATTGGGATTCCAAGACCAAAATACGCGAAATGTATCTTGGCCCTGCACAACTTGACCCCAGCCTTCCTGTTCTATTCATGAACCGATCTGCTTGGCGTGCGCGGCAGACGCAATACCAGCTGGGCTAGAACTTCATGTTCGTGGTAGAAGCGAGAAACCGGCGCCTTGGGGGTGGCGCTCCTCGTGTCCGGTCCACACGGTACGTGCTACAGGAGGCCCAAGGCAGATTAGTGTCCCTCTGTAGTCTTGTCTCTGTTAGTCGTCTTGGGAAAACCAAGAGGCTCTTCGTCGACAAAGCAGACCTCTCAAGTTTGGGATCTTTTCTCCTCATAGCTCTTCCATGCCAGCGACAGACGCCCATGGCCGCTAAACATGGCTCCTCTGATCTCTTTGAGCTGTCAGCGCCGTCCTACTATTCTTCAAGAGACCCGCTATGGGCTGGGACCTCGCTGGACAGACCGCCGGACACAGTGACTGCGCGGCGGCAGGAACCAGGGAAAGTCCTCGATATCGGTCGCTATGGCTTCAGCGTGCTGTCACTCGGCAACCTTGTCATCAGCGGTGCAGTTGGGTTCCTCTGGTTTCTGTGGAAGGCTGACGACCGCAACCATTTCTGGCGATGGATCGTTGCTGGGGGACACATTGCTCAGGCTATTGCCTTGACAGCACTGGTCATTCGATTTGCAGTCTTCGCGCAGGCAGCGTTATGTACATCGATGTTGGCAAGCCTGGCACTGCAAAAGTTCCAGGTCACGCTGCCAAATTCTGTACCAATGACTCTTTTGCAACACCAGAATAATGGACCTCACCAACTTGTCGTCAATCTTTTTGGATCGTGGAAGAAAGGCAAGGCTGGCGTCCTGGGGCTGTTGGCGGTAATTCTCATGTTGACGACAACGGTTGTCCAATTCACCTCGACGATTCTGCTCTCCGACCTACAAATCAGCCCCATTTCGGACGTGGTTCGCGCGTTGTCAATTCCGGCAACCATAAATTGGGATGCTGGGATCTCTTCCCAAGCGACTTGGTCTGGCGACGGGTACATGCTCCTAGCCCCAAGTCAATATCCTGCCTTTGCCGAATACTCGCAAACCGAGGGTCATCGGGAAACGATTGATGGTGTCCACGACACAGGGACCGTGATGCGGGCTTTCATGCCGGTCACCCAGAAGAGTTCGCGGGAAATGCTTCGAAGTTACAAGGGGATCGCCACCACTTTGGACTCCCGGGTTGTCTGTGCGCGGCCTACCATCAAGCGTGCATCCCTCGATATCGGCAACGTCGACGAGTGTGCAGGACCCAGGATCAGCGGCGACGTCTCGACCGACCTAAGCTCGGTCCCGCGGTTTCGCTATCATGAAGACGACAAAGTTACAGAGACCTTCAATTGTGGTACTGCTGTCCCCAACGCGCAGTGGCCCTCAGAGTGGTCCTTGATGAGTTGTCCTGTAACTCAAACAGCCGGCATCATTTCAGCCATGGACAGTATTGACGAGGTACTCGATCCGAGCAGTGGCACGCGATACGGAATGAATACATATATGCTGTATGGTGTAGGTCAAGCCTATCTGCTCGTCAACACCACAGGAAGTTGGGGCCGGTGGCTCAACTACTGCAAGCGACGGAAGATCTTCGACGACGGTGGCGGGCCGACCGTGTCAAATCTCACTTTGGCCTCTGAGCAGGATTACATCGAGAAGGGCGAGTGGCTTGATATTCCCACCAACGACCCGGAGATTACCTTTTCGCTTTCACTTTGCTACAGCGCCTTCAACGTGGTAGACCGTGATATCAGCGCCGACGGTTTGCGGAATCGCACCGAGCCAAACATGGAATGGGACTATGATAACCGCACGTTTAGCACAGACGGAATTCGTCGGCAACTAGGCACCCTCAGACTCAACGACAGCAGCACCCTGTCCTCGCCCAACGATACTCTGGCAGAGCGAGGCATTCTGGCTCTCGCACCGTTTGCGTCGAATGCTTCAGCAGATGGTTGGGTTTCGAATTCCACAACGCGACGCCGATCGCGCACGGGGCAAGCAATTCTGCTCAATGCGAACCTGGGGTGGAAGAATACGGCACTCACATTCTGCTTGGACTGTCAGCCCTCGCTCGAGAACTCTTCGTCAATCTCCGCCACGGGAACTGACGGGTCCAAAGGGCCGTCTTCACTGCACCCACACCATCTAAGCCTCATGACCACCACCCTCAAAGCCACAGGACATCCTGCCTATGCCTTGCAGAGTGTCTTCACCAACTTGTTCTCCATGTCGTATTATGATCTTGCCCTGAAATTCGACGAGCGGGAGGATGTTCAGTCCAGTAGTTTCGTGTTGGCGCTGAGGCCAATGACGTGGAAAGCGTTTGCGAGTGTACTGGTGCTGCTGATCGTCCACCTTGCCCTGATCAGTATTGTGGTCATCTTGTTCGCGAGTCAAGGGGAAGGTGTGATAGGCGGCGGCTGGGCGAGTGTCAACCAACTCCGCAGCCAGTCGTTAAACAGGTGGATTGATGGCCATGCAGCGGGGAAGAGAGATCGATGGGTGGGAAAGGAGATGAAGCGCCGCGGAGACAGAGAGAAATGGGTTGGTGTTGGAGGGAATGGTCGGATTGAGGTTCGAGGGGTCAAGACAACGGGGGTTGATCTGTAACAGAATAAATAATTGCGTGTTCTGACGACGATAATGAAGTTAGCTGTACAAAATAGGCCACACTTATAGATGAAGGAAATCGATCTTCCTGCAAAAACAGGTGGGAACCGGCTGGTGGGGTGGGATCCTTTGGCGAGTCTCGCCAACGATTAGCTTCATCCCCGTGCCCGCTAAAAGTACCCAAGGCCCACCTCGTAAGCTTGAGATCCAGTACTGAGAAATAAAGGTGAAGCCCCCGCGAGAAGATGATCCTTGGGATCAAGAATAGGTGGCTCTCGAATGTGTTAAGCCAATCTGGCTGGGAGGCTCACCCAAGGCTGTCAACTGTCAAGGCTGAGTCAGAAAATCTTCACAGGGACTCATATGTCTTGGCACCCACTTCTATCCCTTGACCTTGACCCCTCGGAAGTACTTCACTTACAGTACGAGATTTCCCGATGAGGCACTGGCTTCCATGATGAGATTCAATGCGCTTCGGCGCTGCAGGACGTCCCTCATCATCTTCCTCCCATCTAAAATCTCTCCCAGGTCAATCTGCCTGCGAAGCGCACCTGCTGCAGACTTGCGAACCCAGTTTCGACTACGTCGTTGCTCGACTCCTCCTGGGAGCCTTATCGGCGCTCAGTTGGGGAATTGGATGTGGCGCAGCCCTGAGGTCCACGCAGGAGGCCCGATGAACACACTCTCCGATATATTCGCACTCGCCATCGTTGTACGTCCACCAGAAAGGGTGATTGCCCTAAACTTGGAGAACGGCGTTCACGAATTCGTGTTTTGCAGTGCATCTACGCCATGACCAAACGTGTCATCTTTGGTGCTTGAAAGAGCAGCTCGGCGAGGGTGAAGAACTCTTAGCAATCATTCTCGGACGCTAGCTGTCTTACTTCGGGGATCCAGAAGCGCTCAACGGCCTCCTTCAGTCTCTCTATAATGGAAACCCAAACAACCCTTGGATCGAGATTTTTCAGGCAGTTCGATCAAACTTTAGTGCGGGCTATCCTCGGGAACCCTTCCCATTATGGCAGCATGAAAACATCGACGACGACTTTAGGGATCTTATTGTGAAGATGGCAAACTTCAACCCAGAAAAAAGGATCACGGCATGGGAGGCATTGGGGCACAAATGGTTCAAGGATGTCTAAATGATTGGCTCTTGATGAGGATGAATGAAATTCCCGGCATTTTAGACACGCCTCAGATCTCCTCTCTATGGCAGTTTCAAGCGCAACCGCGAGTCATTGTCCTCATTGAGGGCAGGTACCAAGGGAAGCGACAATGCTGGGGATCTTGTCTACAGGTAAATGGTCGCTGGACGACAGTCCTGGCGGCCAGAAACGGATTGGCGTGAAACAGCCGGCACCACCAGCAAAAGGAACTGACCGGCCCCAAGCCGCGCGGCAATAATCTCCGCCCCCATATTCCCCACGGTTACCTGATTCTCCTTTTTCGTTGTCCCCTCTGTCCTGTTAGGAGCTCCTCCTCAGCACAGAGACCAAAGGAATGCTGAGGCCAACAGGCGGTGGTTTCAAGTAGCCTTTCGGTGTCTTAGCTGCGTACTGCTCAATTGGCATCATCATGGGCGAGAGCTCCTCAACAACCACAGCGTCGGCTGACTGGACACAGCTTCGATTTGACACGACACCTCTCGACTTACGAAAATACCTCGAGACACATCGCGACTCGCATCTGCAGTCAGACGCACACACCTGTGTGAGTGAACTGGCCGCGTCCACGTGGGAGTACTGGGAGCCAGACTGCTTCGAAAGCCTGTTGAGATCAGCACCCTGGTTGGCCGGCTTCACGGTGGAGGACGGGAATCTGACCCCGGCCAGCCGCGCTCTCGACGTTCTGCCAAACCTATGCACCAGGCTGCTGCTTCGGCTGGATGTAATCCTAGCCAATTGGCTCATCACCTCTGTCTTCAAGACATGGCTACAAGGGTTTAGGAGGAGGATGGATATCAACACGCCAATCGTGCGACCTGCTGAACCGTCGGATGTCGTCAAGACCATCCTTCGCGATGTTCCCATTTCAAGCTCGGCGCTCAGCTCCCTGTGGTGGCAGCTACTGCAGAGCTACTCGGACTTCCGCAAAAATTCGGTCTACCAGATATTCTCGACCAAGGTCGCCGAGTTTTGCCTCGAGGCCGGATGCCCCGCCGTCACACGCAACCCTCCAGAAGATATATACTCACTCCGAAACCATCTGTTCTCCAGCGACTCGGCGGCTCGAGAAGCCGAGCTACGCAAGGAGATTGATGATCTTCGAAACGCCAATCGCTCACAACAGCGCATCATCACAAACCTGGCCTTTAGGCATCTTCTGGAGATGTTACCACCACGAGACGCAAAGGCTGGGAATAGTGCGACAGCAGCCTGGACTGCTTTCTTCCAGACCGGGTTGAAGGAGGCACAGAGGCAGCTTGATCGGGGTGAGTCGGGTCATCCACTGGTTCCCGTCCTGAAAAAGTACCCGAAAATCAAGCAGATCGAGAATGTGGGCACGAATCTCTACGGCACTCTCAGCACCAATATCCACCACTTTTCAGGCCAGTACAAGGTCCTTGATGACCAGTGGAATGCGCTCGAGGTGGATATCCTGAGGGCGATCACACCTCTGGCTGACAATGAGACAGAAGCGGGTGTCGACTGGCAAATGGAAAGATCACGCTATAGAGGGAGTGGCACTCACAGATAGAGAAGCACTGTTGAGGCCTTGTCTCGAAGGGAACGTGGCTGTGAGCAAACGACCCCGGTTCAAGACGTGGTGTGAAGGCGCATTTTCTCTCCTTCTCTGCCTTTTAGCTCGTCAGCTGGACTGATGCGCCCATGCACATGTCCCACCAACCCAACACCCATCCTCCTCAAGCAACACGTTGATCTGCGACGGATATCCCATCGCTCGTCCCTGATGCACCACTGCCTCCTGGCCCACGTGCAGCACTCCATGGGCCGCCAGAACATACGATAAAGCCGCTGCTGCGATCCCTGTGGCTGCGTCTTCAGGATACCCCGAAGCCTTTGGGAACTGTCGTGCCTCGACCTGGACAGAGCTGCTACTGTTACTGCTGCTGTTTCCACCCTGTACCACCGCGTAGGGATACAGGCCCGTCGACCCCAACCGATCACACAAATCCCTGACGCGCGAGAAATCAGGACGAAGACCATTCAGCACGTCCGCGTCGCGCAACCCGATCGCCGTCTTCACCCGGCTTGTGCAAGCATTCTGGATCGCGCGGGGCATTGGTTGCAGTTGCGCCTGATCTATACCGAGCACGGAGAGGATGTCCCCGATTAATGCGCCGTCGGTCACATCCTCGACCGTCCCCTTAGGCTGTGACACAAATACCTTGATGTTTTGCCCAGTGGACCTTTCGTCTCCCCCTTCCTCCCCACGGCGAATGGTGCGCACTAGGCCGGACTTTGTCATGAACCTGAGCTCCGGCGTCTGGGAGGCCCCAAGCTCGTGCATGACCCAAGCCGTTCCCACTGTAGCGTGGCCGCACATTTCCATCTCATGCTCGGGTACAAAGAACCGCAGCTCGAAATCCACGCCGGATCCATCTTTTGGTGGTGGTGGCGGCAGTACAAAAGCACTTTCTCGCTGGTGCCGGTGCGCCACATCGCGCATCTCCTCATCCGTCCAACCCTCGGCGTGGAGAACTATTGGCGCGAGGTTTCCGCCTTCATTACTGTCTGAGGTGAAGACGTTGACGAGGTGGATGCTGTTGCTCATGACGACGGGGATTTTGTCTTTACATGCGAGGGCGAGGAAAATGACGACTGAGGAGGAATGGAAGAGAAGGGAAGAGATATTTTCCTGACATGGACTGACATTTACGACACATGGATCAATCTACATTACGTCTTGATACCTATTCGCCCATTCACGAGGGTAGTATACTCTCCATCCCATAGAATTTCCCAAAGCGGCCTTCCGTATGACGATGATCTGTGTTCCATCCGCCCTATGACGACTCCGAAGTTTCTCATTGCTAGTGTTCCTGATTGGCTCGTCTTGCACGTCTAGTGCGGACGGCTGCTCCGTCATACTGACGGTATCTGCCTTTTCTTACCTTTTCCTTTTCTTTACCTTTCGCTTAGCTTTGTGATGAGGCTTGTACAGGTACGAGGTACTCTATGTATATATGGAGATCCTCCCTCGGAACGGAACCATCTCCGCAGAAGTATGTATCAACGCGCGGCTCTCCCGCTTCCCGCATCACATCCACAGGGCAAAGGGTCGCGGATCTTCCGTCCCTCTCTACCGTATATTTCCTCATCAGGAGATTTATCCTCGGCGTGTTATTCATTCGTCTTGGCCTCTCGTAGACATTGTCAGTTGCTTTATCATGGTACCTAGGAATCTCGGTTTCTCCGCCCTCCTTTGCTCGCAAACTCGCTAAACCCCGTCGACGTCGGGGATGCGTTGGCCCGTTAATTCCATGATCACAGCAGCATTTCTCTGCAGAAACCGTTGCGGGGAACGGAAGGGCCATAAATAAAAGGAAGGAAGGAAGGGAAGAGTATGTTGATCGCTAGGTCCTGGTAACATAGGTAAATATAACTTTGACTCTTACTTATCCTCGCTGTCCACACGCGCACTGTTCCAAGTACTCTTCAACATTCACCGCTTCAGAAAACCCCTACCCCCCGAACCTCTCTATTGTCAAGAGAAACAGGGAAAATAGCAAAGTGTACTACGACTCTCGCTCGAAAGGAGAATAACTAAACATGGCCCAACGCGACAACTACACGTTTGAAAACCACGCTTCCCTACCGGCTGGCCTAGGTGGCACCCTCGCCAGCTACTTCCGGTCATGGGACGACCCGCACTCCAACAACGAGTACCTCGATCTGTTCACGCCCGACAGTGAACTCGTCTTCGGCCCGACCCCTGTCAAGGGCAAAGACGAGATCCGCGCCCTCCGCGAGGCCATGGTCCACCCGATGAACGGGCCCGTCGTCGACCTCGAGCATGCCTTCAAAAAGTGTTTCGTCCTCGCGGGGCTTACTCACGAAGCGCCCGAGGTCATCATCAACGGCACCGTATGGTTCAAGTTGAAGAACGGGCGGCGGGTCGACGCCGATTTCGCCAGCTGGATCGTCTTCAAGAGGCGGGGGGAGGAGCTACAGGCCGTGTTTTACAAGGTGTACATTGACGCGGCGGAGTTGCAGGCTGCGATCAAGGAGATGGTCGCTGCCGAGCAGTAGTGAGTAGTCCAGTGAGTGGTGGGCAGTGAGGAGGGATGAGGATCGAGGATCGAGAGACAGGGGATACTAGACCCCCAATTCACTGAGTTGGAGACAAGGCTCCGAGCATACAACTGAGGCACAATCCGGGCAGAAAGAAGCTACCTAGTAGGGAGGTAGGGAGGTAGGTAGGTAGGTACACAGGTACTTGGTGTATAGAATGACATATTATTACACCTTCGTATTCATAACCGCTTCTTACAAAGTGAGTAATATACCATCACAAGAGATCTCTAGATATATCGAGCCATCTCCGATCCACCTCGAGGACAAAATGTCAAATCATCGTCAACACTGGCAGGCTGGCAGCTGCGAAACCGGCATGGTTCATGACGAGCAACTGCACTGGATCGCCCGCTGAAATCGAGGCACATCACCACAGTACTTCTTCTCAATCTCCTCGTTCCAACCCCACTCATCCTCAAACGGAGAGAGTGTCATCTCCACGACTCCCTTTAGGATATCTCGCTCCTTCTTGTTTTGTACGCGATCAATGATATCATCCAGTAACCATCCTCTTGGCACAAAGTTGGGATTGACGCTCTTCATCAGCTTCTCTCGCTGCTTGTCTGCCGCCGACGCTGTGGTCTCGTCCGTGATATCCCAGTCCTCAACCACCCGCTCCCGCCACGAATCAAGCCACTTCCCGACCTTTTCACGGCCGGATTCGTTCGATTCGTTGAGACCGGTGACACCTTCGCCGTGGAAGAATCTCTCAGCCGTGCTCTTGCACTTCTCTTTTGTGCTGATATCGTCCATCTTGACAGAGGAGAGACGGCGGAAGAAGTGGTTAAAGTCCAGCTCCAATGCTTCCATTGTATCCAGCAGTTCTGAGAACAGCTTGTCAAAGTCACTCTCCTTTTGAGTCTTCAGTCCCAATCGTACCGTCATCAGACGACGATACTCGCTCATAAAAACAGCTTTATACTCGTCCCCGATCTGGTCGATAATGGTCTCGGCGCGCTTGATAAGGATGGGTGCAAAATCTTCATGTACCCCTTTCTCTGCAAAGACTTCGTCGTCCACTTTGTCCCCAGCACCAATCAGTTCACCGAGGGCTTCACCGAGACGAACAAGGTTCCACCAGAAAATGCTCGGCTGTGCGCGGTAACTATACCTCAGCATATGGTCATCGTGATTAGGCGTGTAGGATGGATCGAAGTTGTCCATAAATGCAAACGGCCCATAATCGAGCGACAGACCGTAAATTGACGTGTTGTCGGTGTTGAGCACTCCGTTCATGAACCCATACGCCTGCATCATACCCACAAGCTTGGCGTTTCTTCGAACAATTTCTCGATACAGTCTAGCAAATCGATTCTCCTCGGCGCCTTCTTTGCCTTGGATCTCATCCTTCGGTACACCTCTTGCCGGGTCGAGATGGGCATCCGGGACATCGGCTGGCAAAGCTGCCGGTAGTTTCTCCCACCCACCAAAGACATCTTCAGCAATGTAGGTTGCGACTTTGCGGATCAGATCCCGGTCACCTCTTGACCTCAGGAGGTCAAATGTGCCCAGTCTCAGCCATGTCTGAGCAAAACGGCAGACAATTGCTCCAGGTTCAAGACGTTCCCTGACAACCTCGGACTTGGGGCACAACGTCAACGACAGAGCCCTGGTCGTCGGTATGCCGATGGCATTGAGATATTCGGACACAACAAACTCTCTGATACTCGATCTCAAAACGGCCTTGCCGTCGGCGAAGCGTGAGTAGGGTGTCTTGCCCGCACCTTTCAGCTGTAGCTCGTAACGGACGTTGGTCTTCGGGTTCGTCGTCTCAAACAGCGAGATTGCTCGCCCATCACCCAATTGACCGGCCCACGAACCGAACTGGAAGCCACCGTAGCATTGCGCCCAGGGATATACCCCACCCTTCTCTTCATCCCAGTAGAACTTGTTGCCTGCGACGACCTGTTTGAATTCTTCGGATGGCGCTTCGCTTTCCGCGAGACCAATATCGCGCAGCGCAGCCTTACTGACTGCTAGGAGTTCAGGCTCCTCGGTCGGCTCGGGCCTGACAAATGTGTACAGTGCCCCTCGCACCATGCGGGGACCCAACTTCTGTCGAGGGGCTTTGTGAGAGTCGATCGGCGTCGGGAATTGAGGATCAGGAGGAAGTTTGGAGGTGAAATTATTGGATTTGGGAATATCTGCCAATGTGGCCGTGGCTTCGGAATGGCCGTTGGACCGGGTGCCATTGCTATGGCCGTTTGAAATATGGGAGGACATCTGGGCGAGTCTCATCCGTGATACAGGAGCGGGGTTCTGAGATGGTCGAGGTAGTTTTGGACGAGAAAGACGAGAAATGCGCCGGATGAACATGCAGAAGGCAACAACAAAGATGATAAAGACGAAGATATTGATCAAAATTGGAGGCGTATGATAATTTGAAATATTGCCTCTGGTTTCTTGTCGCATCGTCATCTTGACGGCAAATTGAGCCATTGACAAATTATGCGGAGACACCAGCAGCACCAGCGCGAGGTTTTCTGATGTCATTTCTGGGGAAGCACGGCACGTGCACCGATAGCAGTCTTCAGTGGAGCATTACATTGTCAAGCGCAGTCCGGCAGATCATAGACTCCGAAATGTCAAATGCTTACATGTCTGTATATCCAAGATAGCCACCTGCACCATTGTCCTATGTACCTCATATTACCATGCAAGAACTCAAGCCCAATGCACCTTTACTCCTTCCCCTTGAACTCCCTTTCGCTCTCCTCCATGCCAATTCATGTCGTAAGACCCTCATTACTCCCATCCTGTTCACAGCGCTCCGCAACATACATACATCGTCTCGTCTGGGCATATCATCGTCACTCATCATCCACATCCCCTTTAGCAGCATCACTGTCATCAGTGGCCCGGGCTTTGGACTTCCTCCTTCGGCTCTTCCTCCCACGCCCGCCATTCACCGTGGCAACTGTCGACGTCTTGTCCTCAATAGCTTCGGGGTCAGGCGACGTTGGCGGAGACGAGAATGTTCCCATCTCTTCTTCCATCTTCTCCTTCAGAGCCCTAAGATTTGCAATCGCCTCTCCCTTGGACTTCAAGTCAACCTGGAGCTTGTCAAGTTCCTGGGCAGCTTCATCCGACTGCTGCTTGAATTCTTGCTCCCGCGCTTCGAGGTGCTTGGCTGCCTCTTCCTTTGATGCCTCCGATGATGTTTTGAGCGCCTCGATTTCCTGTGTCAAGGAGCTAACCTTAGCCTCGGTCTCATTTACCCGCTGCTCGGCTTCGTCCTTGCTGGTGGTCAAAGCTGCGATGGCTTTCTCCTTGGCTTCCAGGTCCTCTGACATCTTGCTAAGCTCGATCGCTTGAGCCTTGAGGGACTCGATCTCAGCCTCGAGCTCTTTCAAGTGAGCACTCGACTCGTCCCCAGCCTTCTTGGCAGCTTCTAGGTTCGCTTCTGTCTCTTGGAGTCGGGCCTCAAGGTCCGATTTGGAGGTCAGAGCCGCGCCTAGTTCGGCCTCTTTGGATTCAAGGTCTTTCGATGACTGCTCGGCAATATTGAGCTTCTCCTGCTGGGTCGACTCAAGTTCTGCCTGGACTGCAGCCAACTTGTCTCTGACTGCTTGAAGCTCCTGCTCGGTGTTTGCTTTGTTCTCTTCGGCTTCTTTGATCTTTCCCTCCAATTCGACTTTGGCTGCCTCGATTTCTGTGACGCGCTGCTCGGCTGCGGCGGTGGCGCTTTCTGCCTCGCTCAACTTCGACCCAAGGGCAGCTTTGGCCTCCTCGGCGGTCTCGACTTCCTTTTTGATTTCGTCAAGCGCATCTTCGGCGGATTTTTGCTCAGCCAACGCTGTGGCCAGCTTCGTCTCAAGTTCCTCTTTTGCCTTGGCTGCCTCCTCCTCCGAAGCGCTCTGCTTCGCTTGCGTATCGGCCAGTTTCTGCTCAAATTCACTGGTTAAGGTATCAGCGTCAGCTTGTGCTTTTGACAGAGCTTCTTGAGTAGCTTTCAGGGCATCGTCTGCCTCAGCGAGCTTGTCATCCATTTCGGACTTGGATTGGTCTGCTTCTGCACGAACCTTTTCTAGCGATTCCTGAGCTTCCTGGTGAGAAGCTTCAGAAGCGGCCAATTTTGCTTCGAGTTCTGCCACAGACGCTGCCGCCTCTTCCTTTGCTTTCTCAGAGGCTTCCTTGGTGGACGCAAGTTCCTGTTTAAGTCCATCCACGGCTGACACGTGCTCTTGCTGTAGCTTTTCCACCTCACTCTCAGCCACCGCTTTGGCACTTTCGACGTCCTCAAGCTTCTTCGTCAGCTCATTCTTAGACTCCTCAATTGAATGCACCTGCGATTCGAGAGCAGCGGATTTCTCTTGGAGAGCAGTATGCTCGGCCTCCAGTTCATCAAGCTTCTTACATTTCTCCGTCAGCTCTTCATTGGTGTCATGAACTGATTTCAGCTCTCCTTCCAAAGTGGCAACCTTCTCTTCTGCGCTGTGCTGAGCGGCCTCCACCTCTCCGCATTTCGCTGTCAATTCGTCATGAGAGTCCTTGAGCGCTTTGAGTTGTTCTTCCAAGGCCTTGACTTTCTCTTCCGCAGCTTGGCGATCGGCCTCCACTTCCTCGAGCTTTCCACATTTATTTTGGAGTTCTTCGTTAGACTCTTGAAGCGACTTTACCTCTGTCTCGAGGCCAGTGTATTTCTCTTCCGCCGACTGAAGGCTAGCTTGTGCTTCCTCAAGCTGCTTCTGTGCGGTCGCTTTGGCCTCTTCAAGCTCGCTAGAAAGTCTGGAACTCTCCGCTTCGAGACCCTCAACTTTCTCCTCGAGCTCTTTCTTAGCTGCGTCAGCAGTTTCGATAGCTTCGGCCAACCTGGCCTTCTCTGCCTCGAGATTGGATATCTCGCCCTTGGCAGTGGCCAGTTCTTCGGTGAGGTTTGCTTTTTGTGCTTCGTACTCTTCGGCTTCGGCCTGCTTCGATGCTGTAATGGAAGCAACCTCGGACTCGAGAGATTGGACCTGCTCCTTGAGGGAGGTTATGCTATCTAATGCCTCGTCTAGCGAAGCTTGAGCCGTACGATGAGAACTGGAAGCATCCTCAAGATCCTTGGTGAGTTGCTCATTCTGTTCTTTCGTTGTTGCATGGTTTGAGGTCTCTGATGCAAGGCTTTCCTTCAGCGTTTCAACCTCAGCAAGGACAGATTTATGCAAGTCTTCTGCCTCGACAGCACGAGATTCGGCTTCTGTGGTGGCAGCTTTATGTCGATCGATCTCCTCGAGTGCGGAAGCATGCTTCTCTTCTGCTTCTGTGGCGCGCCTTTCAGCCTCGGTCACAGCGGCCTTATGTTGTTCAATCTCCTCGAGGGCAGAGGCGTGCTTCCCCTCTGCTTCAGCGGCGCGCGCTTCGGTTTCTTTCAGCTTTTCGTCCGCCTCCGCTGCGGCTGCCTTGTGAGTTTCCAACTCCTCTAATGCGGAAGCATGTTTCTGTTCCGCATCGACAGCACGCGACTCGGCCTCAGTGGTGGCGGCTTTATGTTGATCGATCTCCTCGAGTGCGGAGGCGTGCTTCTCTTCCGCTTCGGCAGCACGAGAGTGAGCATCGGCCGCGGCAGTCTTCTGCTGCTCGAGCTCCTCAAGCACCGCTGTATGCTTCTCCTCGGCCTCGGTAGCACGTGCCTCTGCTTCTTTGTGTCTTGTTTCAGCGTCCGCCACAGCGGCAACATGGCGATCTATGTCCGTAAGAAGGTTGGCAGAACGTTCTTTTTCTGCCTCGTGGTCCTCTTTGAGCTGGGAGTAACCTTCAAGCTCCGTCGTGAGTTGCGTGATCCGCGACTCGGCTCCGTCCAAGGCATTTTTGGTTCCTTCAATCTCACTTTGTAGCTCCCCGAGCTTGGCCTGCGTGCTCTCCAATTCTTGCTTGGAGGTCTCGTGATCCGCTTTGAGCTGCTCATGGTCTTCGAGCTGAGCGGTCAATTGGCCAATCTTCGCTTCGGCTTCTTCGAGATCCTGCTTGCAACTTTGCAGGACCTCAAGCTCGGCAGAAAGATCTGCAACCTTGGATTGGATGTCTTCGAGTTCTTGCTTGCACGATTCATGGTCTGCTTTGAGCTGGTTGTGGTTTTCAAGCTCGGCAGAAAGTTGGCCAATCTTTGTTTCTGCCGCTTCCAGGTCACTCTTGCAGGTATTGAAGGGTTCGAGCTCTGCAGTCAAATCTGCAACCTTAGCAGTGGCGCTCTCGAGTTCTTGTGTCTGCACCTCGTGCTCGGCTTTCAGCTGAGCGAATTCCTCGAGCTCGGCGGACAGTTGAGCAACCTGCGCCTCTGCACTCTGCCGTGCAACCTGCGATGTAGAGAGTTCCGTAGCTAAATCCGCAACCCGGGCTTGAGAGCCTTCGAGATCTTGTTTGCAGGCCTCAAATGTTTCAAGCTCGAGCACGAGCTGGGCGATTTTCTCTTCCAGAGCAGCCTTTGATTCTACGTGAGTTTGCACCTCGTCCGTGAGATCAGCATTCTGGTTTCGAACACTGGTGAGCTCATCCAAGACTATCTGATGTGCTGATTGGTCGGCCTCCCTCTCCCGAGATGAGGTGTCGAGGGCGTCTTTGGTCGTAGTGAGCTCTGCGACGTGTGCTTCGAGTTGGGCCTCTAGATCCGCCCGAATCGACGCGAGAGAAGTGTTGGCCTCTTCTATTGCACGAGAGGAGGTCGTTTGGAGGTCTTCATACCGTTTGGTATGATCCTCAATGCTCAGTTCGGCATTTTGTAGACCTGAACGGGTAGCATTCAACTCGTCAGTGAGAGAAGCGATTTGGGATTCGAGCTCGGCTCTCAGTGTTGCGTTGGCCTTCTCGGTCTCTTCTAGTGCCGTCGTTGAGGCCAGTTGGACGCTTTTGAGTGATTCGGTAGTCTCGACAATAGCATTCTTTGCGGCTTCGAGATCGGTATTCAGAGAGGCGAGTTCAGCACGCAGGGCGGAGACCTCGTTTTCGTAGGTGACCTTCATCCGCTCATTCGCTGCGCGAGAGTCCAGGAGCTCCTGTGACAAAATGGCGACTCTTGACCTGTATTTGTGGTGTACACTGTCCAAAGCTGCCTGATGCTCACGGTTACACTCTTCCTTGACGAGATCTCGTTCGGCTTTCTGAGCATCTCTGATTTGCTGCACGACGACGGCCACCATAGTCTCCTCCAGCGAAGCTTTCAGTCGTCGTAGAGCAGACTCTTTCTCCTTGTAACGTCTCTCCATCTTTTGTGTGTTTTTCTCCAAGTTTGACAGCTCGTGGTCCTGAGACATGACCATCTCCCTGGCCTCCTCGAGATTCTGGCGACATTGTTGCAGTTCACCCTGAAGGATTTCAATCTCTGACAGTGGAGGTTGCGTGGAGTCTGGTACGACCGGAGACCCGTCGTCGGAACCTTCTGAGAGCGGCGAATCGGGGTGGAAGAAGCGGTTGTATACCCTTCGCAAGCTCGAGGACCGTTTTGTGCCTGCTGGAGGCCGGGCTCTTGTCTGGGATAGTCGTCGTAAACGTTTTTCGGATGCCATGATGTCGAGGGTTGGGAAAGATGCGGTGCTGCAGTGTAACTAAGTACTGTGTGGTGGAGAAGAGTTTGGACGAAGAGGCGGTGACGCTGGGACTGTTTCACGTTTGCGTCTGCGTCTGCATGTGCAGGAACCTTTTTAAGCGAACATGGAGATGAGAGAAGTCTCTAGAGGTGAGGGCCGCAGAGATACTTGAACTAGACCATAGTGTCCCCATTTTGGCAAACCTGCGACTAGGTAGCGTGACAGTCTTGTCGTTTGTAGCAATTGGAATTGTGTCGTCCATTGTGGGTTCATCGGGCAGCAAAAGGTACAAACGAAGAAGCAGCGGTAAAATGAAGCTCGGACACGTCGCGGAGGATTAAAGGTTCGGTTAAGGACCCTGCATCGCTGATAGGGCGCATTGCTGGTGGCTGTGGGTTATCGCAAGATTCCTGTTGGGCCAGCAAATGTTTGTCTATGTTTGCCCATGTGACGGGAACAACTAGGCGGTTGGGTGGCTACAGCGATGAAGAGGAGTTGATTCGTAAGGAGGAGAGAATCAGGAAATACCGCAACAGTTCCAGATGCTCTCCATGACAGCGATAGTGAAGCATGTGAGGTCAGAAGCCGAACCCTTGGTAACTGCGACATGGACTGATGCCTAGTGATCTACACGAGGTTGAATTTCAGGGTTCTAGGGATCCAGAACTTTACATAGCTCGATAGGTATGCGGCAGCTGCCGCTGTGGTGGGGGTTTGCTTGTTTTTCTACCAGGGGTAATAGAGCTGCTAGGGGTGCTAAGGACTGCTGTTGTGGCTACCTAGGTACTTTGTGATGAGGGGCACGGGGGCTAAGGTTAAAGGCGTGCGGGCCGGTGCCTGGTGCTGCGTGAACTTCAGTTAAAGTTTTGCCAGCCGGCGATGCTCTTCCCGATGAGTCGGTGACCCCTGGCCCCCCTCGTGCCCTCTTCCCGCTTTGTCCACAATGATAATTGCTGCCCATTACAGCCCACCCAGCGTAGGCTTAGAATCTGCCTAGGCATCTCCCTCCAACGCAGCAACATGCCAGGCTCGTTCTCTCTCGGGTCGGCATTGCTCCTTTCTTTGCCACGATCCCATCATGTGCCAGTATCTCAACCTGGCCAATGCTGCTTCACTCGACTTCACAAATCAACGTCTCTCACATCCACACTGGCAATCAAGATTGGATGCACAGTTTGCAAGCGATGTTCCTGCCCAAACCCATTCATCCATCTTGGATATTGTGAGTCACGCACCAACGCGTTGACGGTGCTTGTATTAGCAGTGATTGCGACTTCCAGTGTTTCCTAGCACTCGCCTTCCAAGATGGAGATGTTGCATCATTCTGCCATTAACGCTTACAAACATTTATTCATGTCCCCCGAAGGAAGACGGGCACACGGGCAAGACGGGTCAGCTGGGTAACAACACACTTAGCAAAGCTACCCGAGGTGTGCCAACTACTGTTTCCAGCCTTCTGACTCTTTGTGGTCTTCGCGAGGCTGTACCTCCTTTCGGAGAATTATTGTGCCGGGCACACCAGTGTGCCAGTGCATCAACTTTGAGCTGGAGGGGCCAGTCTCGATAGTTGCGCCTGGATCTACTCGCCACGAGTAATCATAGACATCTCGGCACTAGTCATAATCAAGGGGCAGTCCAAACAGTCTGATGGCGTTGCGGTACCCAATATCCCTCCAGTTCTCATCAGATATAGGTACTGTCTCAAACCAGGCTCTCATCTCAGCGATTGACTCATAGGGATAGTCCACGGCAAACATGATATTCTCCACTCTCGATTCTGCCATCAGATTCATCAGGGCTGCGGTTCTGGGCATGCCGCTGGTGTTCGGCAAGATGTTCTGCTGGAAGTAATCCTGGAATCGCTTCTTTTTGGGACCTTGCGCCTCTGGGGTGACCAGTCAGTCGCAGCTTGAATGTGAAAAGAATTTTCGGCGCTAGGGTTAAAGAATAAAAGGTCACCGCACTTACCAGCATTGTAGAGACGGAATGTGGAGTCCGTTCTGGGTAAGATCCAAGATAACCCCTCGCCCATATGACCCAGACAAATCTTCAACTTAGGAAACCGGTCAAACACACCACTGTACATCAGCCTCAGGACGTGCTCGACCGTCTCTCTCCCAAAACCATACGGGGCACCGTGGAAGATGGGCATATCCTCCAACACTTTGATATTGCTGGCCAGCGGCACGCGGGGGTGGATGAAGATGGGCTTTTGCAGGCGCTCGGAGACTTCCCACAATTTGTCAAACTGCGGATCATCGAGGTACAATCCCTTGGTAGGGTCCGCGGTATTTGTGAAGCCGTTGATCATGGCCCCGACAAAGCCGTACTCCTTGACACAGCGCTCCAGTTCCACCGCGGCGGCCTCGCCACTCTGCGTCGGCAGCGTCGCAAAGGCGAAGAACCGGTCAGGGTATTTCTGGCAGTAGTTCTCGTAGACGAACTGGTTCGACTTGCGGCACCACTCGAGCTGCTCTTCCAGGTCCACAAACGCCTGGGCCGTCGGCTGATTCATCGAGATGACCTGCGCGCCGATGTTGTTGGCGTCCATGATCTTGACCCGTAGGGCTATGTCGCCCAGCCGGTCCTTGAGCCCGGCCACATACGAGGGCTTGAAGACCCCAAATGTCGACGAGATCGCCGGCGTGGGGTACGGCGACACGGCGTGCTCTTCCAGACATACCAGACGGGCCTGTTTCCGCGTCTGTAAAAGGGGCGTGTACTCGGACTCGGGCCGTCCTTCGAGGATGAGAGTGTTGCCAGCATCCGCAACCTGGGTTGCGTCTTCGCCCATGATGGCTTGCTTGCTGGAGCTGGGCTTCGATGTATGTACACCACTCGTATTCTTAGTTTTCTTGTCTATACTTCGTACTTGCTCTCGGTAGCACCGCTACCTACCAGTCCTGTAAGTGTCGAAAGAGCTAGATTTGTCTATCTCGGTATCGAAAACTCCTGTCATATACTCGTACTGTGAATTCTGCGTGTGTACATATGTAAAGGCATTTCTGGGGATAGGCCGGGAACATCGGCAAAGGATCCCGATGATGGGGTTTTTTCAGCGAGCGCAATGGTGGACATCAGCGGACATTACACTTAACTTCAAAGGATCTCAAACAGGTACCGAGTAGAGTAGAAATTCCGTGGTGGGAGGTCTGAGTATGGCTGTTATCAATGACAAATTCTCTTCGTACCATTTGCATTTAGAGAGATTTGCCCTATAAGATAGATAGATGTATGCCGTTATCATTCCCCAGCAGTGTCAACAGACCATGGTAATCGCAGCAATGTAGTGTCATAATGTCCCATAGTTCAATACATCTCGACTACAAGTACAACGAGACTCGAACTGATGATCCCGCGCAATTGGCGATAATATGGCCACTTGCGATGGATGGTAAAAAGCCTTTCCTAAACCAGACCCACCGCTGAGACTCGTGTCATCCATGTTTCGTCCACAACGGCACCGATCAAGTATTTTCATAGTACTGTACCATAGAAAATTAGTGAATATCATGCCTCGCGGAGAGGTCATTATCTTACTGTGTTATGGTATCAAGAGTCTGAGTTTGTGCTTCCGCTCTCCACCCAAACACTCAGCCACAGTCTGTCTCGAAACGCTGGCAGTGGAGGAGACCGGTTGGTGGGTGAGGTCACCTCAAGCAGATCCTTCATCATCTGGCCTCTTTGCGAAAGCTGAAACTTAACGACTGTCTTTCGTGCCGAGAAGTAGAGGAGAATGCATTTCTGAGAGGTATATATTACTGGAGTGGTGTGGTGTTCCCCCAAAAGATGACTTCTGACAGTTTTTGCAGCATGACGGCTCTTTCATAGGCCACCAAAAGTGCGCGGCGAATCAGGCGCAAATCTCCAGTTACCAAACATCCTGGAGGATACGGACGTAGATCGTTAGCCGGTTGCATTATGTCCGGTATATCCAGTGCATCATCCCAAGCCAAACATGCCTTGGTTCATGTACTGAAAGTCATCCGGCAAGTCGAAAAGGCTTTCCAAAGTCGCATTTGGCCATGCGAAGCTGTTGTAAATCGAAAAATCTCTGGAAAACTGCTCTGTCGGATTCATAGTTGCGTTGTTATTGTGTACTCCGATGCTATACTGGGTCATGGTGACCGCTGAGTTCACACCCGTTGACGGAACCGCTGCCCCCTCGGTCTGTAACAAGTTGACAGTCCTCGGATTGGCGCAGTTGTTCATGTTCGCATCATCGGCTTGCAGTTGTCGTGCATTCATTGCATCTGATGCCTGCATTGATGAGTTATCAGGGGATCCAAGCACAATCATAGGACTTTCGTCGTTGTTGTTCCAAACGCGCAAGTGTTGGTCTCTCGCCTCGTATAGGTGCGTGATCAAGCCGTGCATTTTGGTCGATGCCACAGCCCATGGCTCCATTTCTTTCATCAAACTCAGCGTAGTCTGAACTTGCCTGTGACATTCCTCTCGAATTTGTCGAACCTGGTCCTTAACACTGCCTGAATGTCTAAAAGGTAGATGGTAAGCAGGTTCGGCCTGGGAACCATGGTCGCCAACATCCGCGCGAAACACATACAAGCTGAGTAGTGGGATCATGCAGATTTGCAATAAGTACCAGGTTGACGGCCAGGCAATGTATTGGTTCGGCGACTCCGACGACCTAGTTTTCACCGAATCAATGGTCTCCCCGGACAGCGTCAGACACTTTCGCACACACAACCGCTGGTCAGATGTAAGCCCGCCGAAAGGGATTCTGTGGAGGACCGCCTCCATAAGACTCGGCCGATACAATAGCATTCTGAGATTCAGGTAGCGCCATCTGATGGTCAAAAAAGGCTGCACAAAGCGTTTCGAACCCGATGAATCTGACATAACAGCACCCATTCCTACTAGTTTGTGAAAGTATGTCGGTAGACCTTCGTACCAATCGACAAGGTGTGCATCGAGGCTGAGGAGTTCGGCAAACGGTACAGTATTTGAAGCCATCAACCGGCTTTGTATCTCTGTCATGATGCGTGAGAAGCCAATGGTAATGGCCAGAGCCGAGGAAGAACATGGACTTTCACCAGCATCAGGCATCTGTCAACAATTTAACAATTAGTAAGTCACCCCTGAAATCCGGCGTCGGGAGCTACGCCCTTATATCAAGGACTTACATCTTGTAAGATCTCTTGAGGATATTTCACCTCGCTCTCAAAGATCTTGGTATCCAGTGTACGGCCCAATGTCACGGCCTCGGCTGAATCAAGGACAACGAGGTTCCACCAGATCTTCCGCCTCAGGGCTTGATGCTCAACAGATGAGTTGTTATTAGGCTGTTCTTTGTGAAGTCCCAATGCATATGCCATACGAAATGCTGCTCCGAGAAGTGCAGACGCAAGATTCGGTCGATTGCGATAATGATTATACCAGCCAGCCATGAGAATTAGAGCTTGCAGTGTCTCAATGTTCTTGTTCCCAAGGCCTTCTATGTCCAGGTGTGACTTTGCAGCATGGTAATAGCTGAGGTGTTCCCTGGAGTCCGTCGTCGTACAGCCAATGGATCCAAGCGCCAATACCATATTGAAGAGACAAAGCCATGGACTGTCGTTTCGAGTACCGGCAGAGGCGATCTTCCTGAATTCGGTCTGGTCAAGGATAGGGGTGGCAGGGTCAATCCAGTGAAAATAGGCGTCGATCAACGTACCAATTCTCTCAGTCATTTGGAGGGATGGTGGTGTCTTGTGGCTGGTCTCGGGAGAACGGTAGGACGCACTTCGTTGACTGGTTTCTGGACTGTGTGTTGGCTGTTGCTGGCCCACCGATTCAGGGGCAATTCTGAGTATCGTACGGAACATTTGCATCGTCGAAGAGGGACCAACGTAAGACGAAGGCTGTATTGTTGTTGCCGAAAGGGCATTCACGTCATCACCAGCTTCAGATGGTACATCGTCCTGTTGCTGAGAATCTTGGAAAGCACTGGGAACCGTATCGTGCTGGTCCATGAGATCATCATCGCGATCTTGAGGTCGACTCTCAACAGGTATTAGGTTGCCGATGGCAAGACTACCTTGGTCGGGTGCCACTGGGGACGCCGCCGTCTCGAATGATAAGCCAATTCGTTGCAGTAGTTCTTCGCGGGAAAGTCCACTGAGGGCATCAACTGATGGTGACGGGAACAGCTTTGCGAGAATTTCGGTCGTGGTCTCGAGACGTTGGCGAACAGACTCGAAGTTTCTTGTCTCGGTTACTCATACCGCACGGGACATGTCAAATGCATCACTTGGAAAACTCACTTTCGACTGAGGACAAGCGCAGGACGTGAGAAGGTGTAGATGCATCTCTCGGGTTGCTTGTACCATCGACAAGAATAGCAGGGGTGCGTGCCGTCGCACTTGGTTTTCCTTCGCTTGCATTCTGCACAAGCCGTTTTGATTCGAGCATCTCGGACCCCAGACTGATGCGCAAGTGTCCTAGGTGGCGTACGCGTCTCAACGAGTGCAAATTCATGCTGTGTGGGATGCTGATTTGTCGCCATCATGACAGCTTGACCCAGAAGACTCCGAACTGGTGGTGACAACGCCCGATGGCGATAATCCTCAGGAACATGGCGGAGATTGCGGCGCAAATTCACCCGATCTCGCTGCTGCCCCTACATCTAGACCGTCGTGACGAGCGCCAGGCTTGAGACAGCATCGACGTACTGAATGTGATGACTAGTCAATGCAGCGTGAATAGAGTGTTTATCACGATTGTTAGAGGCAGGCGTGGAGGTGAGAAAAGAGCGGATGTCTAGCGCAGTCGACACTGATTGAGAAAATGACTGCGACTCATTGGTTCGGATTGGCTTTGTCATGTGATTTGTACACTAACCACAAATAGGAAGGCGCTGTCCTTTTATCCTTATCCGGCTTATCAATAACACACTCCCCGCACTGGCACCCACCGGGAACCTCGTCCTCGGCAGCAACTCGCACTGATTGACTGATTGACTGGCAGAACTTGGTAGTGTCTGCGCCTAATAAAATAGTAGATCATCCACGGCGCTTTTGATAATCTTCGGTCACTCACCGGCGCACTGGAGAAATTACCCAACAAATGAGTTCTTGCTTCCGATTCTCCAACAAAATTCCTTCCTCGAGAAGCTCTTGAAACGGCAAACGACCCCCCGAAAAGCTCCACTGTCCATCCACCAGTCCAATTAACCTGATTACCATGGCTGCCTCTCAAAGACCCTCAGCGTGGTCACGAGCCATGAAATCCGGGGAAATAGTCGAGCGATAGGCATTGAATCAGCCATTGACGACACGGAGGTCGCATTCCGGCAGGATGCCGTGGATCCGTGTCTCTATCAGGCGGGTCGGTAGACGGGGTGCTCTGGCCAGGGTCGTTTGCATCCAACATGTCGTAGCACCATTTCGACTTCTATACTATCGAGCAGCTTCAGATAAGTGAACTGCTACCGTTACTACGGTGGCGAGTCCTTATCTTGATGCTTCAAGCCAACGCTGAAAGATAGACGGGCTGATAGTTCCTTCATCCGAGGACACAAGACCACTGCAATTCCTACCTTTAATATAGGTTCGGCAACTCAGATCTGTGGATGACTGGAGAGATCCAGAACACCTCCATCAGCAACAAATCTTACCTCAACTCCACCATGTCTTCACGCAAGGATGACACGAAAGGTGAAGTCACCAACGTCAAGGAGGAACACCATGCCGAACTGCTGGAGCAGTCAAAGATTGCTACTCATATTGAGCACTCGCTTGGAGTCATTGAAGCTGTCAAGCTTTATCCTATGGCGGTCTTTTGGGCGTCGTTATTCGCCTGGTCGTTGGTAAGTCCCGCGGTCCTAGCTAGTCCCCTACACTCGAAAAGTGCAGACCAGAACACAAAGACGTCGTCCTAACGAGAGATAGGTCATGGTCGGCTATGATTCAGGGCTAATCTACAGCTTTTATGCCCTGCCAGCCTTCGTCAAGAAGTACGGCACCAACTACGGGGGTGACATTGGCTACGAGGTATCCGCGAAGTGGCAGAATGTTCTCGGTATGGGAACACCCGTGGGCCAATTCCTGGGAGCTTTTACCGCCTCGTGGCCAATGGAGAGATGGGGCCGAAAGAAAGTCTTCTGGGCGTCCCTCTTTTTCAGCACTGCCTTCATCTTCCTCCAGATGTTTGCAAACAACATTCACACCCTAGCGGCAGGTGAATTCCTTGCGGGTATTCTCTATGGCACCTACGTCGTCCTGGCCCCGACCTACGCATCGGAGGTATGTCCCTTGGCTCTCCGCGGCATCCTGAACGCTGGGATGAACCTCGCCTATGTCATTGGACAGTTTGTCGCTTCTGGGGTCGGCAAAGGGTTTTCGGAGCGGACTGATCAATGGGCCTACCGCATCCCATTCGCGATTCAGTATATTTGGATTCCCATTCTTGCTTTCGGCCTCATCTTTGCTCCGGAGAGCCCTTGGTGGCTTGTGCGCAAGGGCCGGGTGGAAGAGGCCGAGAAGGCGCTGAGACGACTTGCGAGAGAGTCACCCAAAATCGATATCAGAGCCACGCTCGCAAACATTGAGACGACTACGATGCACGAGATCGAGGTGGAAAAGGACACAACATTCATCGAATGCTTCCGGGCGTCGAATCGTGCTCGCACCGAGGTCGCCATCATGGTCCAGATCTTCCAAGTCATCACTGGCATCTCACTGATTGGCTATGCCGTTTATTTCTTTACGCTGGCTGGCCTGCCTGTCAGCGCCTCTTTCGACATGGGAGTCGGCAACACCGCCATCGGTTTCGTGGCCACTTGCTGCTCTTGGGTCTTCATGTCCTTCTTCGGCAGAAGGACCATCTACATGTATGGGGTGGGCATGATGGCCGTGTCACTCTTCATCATTGGCATTCTGGACTGCGTCCCGCACTACACCTCGCGTCCTGGCCTGGCGTGGGCGCAGGCCGCTCTCCTCGATATTCTGACGTTCCTGTTCCAGGGCACCGTCGGACCCATCAACTTTGTCATCTTTGCAGAGATTGGCGCCACGCGTCTGCGTTCCCAGACGGTCGCTCTGGCGACGAGCACTGGCTCCATCGCCCAGATCATCATGACCGTCGTGGTTCCGTACATGCTCAACGCGTCCTCGGGCAACTGGCGAGGCAAGACGGGGTTTTTCTTTGGCGGACTCAGCACCATCGCCACCATCTGGTGTTTCTTCCGTCTGCCCGAGACCAAGGGACGCACGTACGAGGAGCTCGACTACATGTTTGAGGCGGGTATTCCGGCGCGCAAGTTCAGGGACTTTAAGATTACCGAGGCGCGAGAAGTCGAGGTTTAAGACGTGACAGCGGTGGCGGGTGGGTGTGCAAGGTGATAGCGTGTCGATGGGCAGATGGTACCGAATCGCCGAGTGAGATTAGAGATGTGCCTTGTCTATATGTATGCGATCAAGACGTGCTTGGAGATGTGAGTCTCATAGTTTGCACCGTACGAACAATTGCATCGGTCAGCGAGGGCATTCCCTTCCGTTGGTCTAAAGTAATAGTTAAGCATATGACTGTTCTCTTGCATTCGACTCGGCTCTCCCGGTTAGAATGAATTATCAAAACCTCCCCCTCTGAAAATCCACCACCATGACCTCCTCGACCACACCGGTCAAGACCTCGACCCCGAAGCCCCGATGCACCGGATCATCGTGGACGTACCAGTCCCGGTCGTCGCGGGACGCAAATTCGAGGACAAAGACGGCGTGGAACCCGCGGTGCAGGTCCTCGACGCTGACGTCGCGCCCGCCCGTGAAGGAGCGGATGTATGGTTTGTGGGTGGCGGGGGAGAGGCAGCGCGTTTGGAGGGCGAGGAATTGGTGCGAGATGGAGGCGCGGGTGCTGGGTGGGATGTGTGCGTAGAAGCGGAAGTGGACGATGTGGATGATTGTGTCGTCTGAGGAGGAGGAGGAGGTGGTGGTACTGGTACTGGTACCGTTGGTGGTGTTGGTGTCGATGAGGGTGTTGGGCTCAAGAGTGATGGAGCCCATCTCTTCTTCAATGTCGATATAATCTCTTGATAATAGTTGATAGTTGATAGTTGATATTTGATATGCTTTGAGGCTGCCTGCTATGCTATGCTGGGCGTCGACAAGGAGCCCTCCCTTCCTTTTGCGATCTCCAACGAGTACCACTCAAGAAAGTCAACCGCTCCCAAATGACAAACTCTGGTACAAAGTCCTCGCCGAGTCAGTGTATACACCTGACCCAGCAGTGGATGGATGTATATACAGGACCTCCTATGTATCTTCTATGGACCTACCGTGTGAAGCAGCCCCCAAGGGTCCACACACCCCCGACACAATCAGAGAGAAGCGACAATAGACAGACACATCACATATCCTATTTCCTATTGCATCTCTGGCCCCGAAGCACTCCAGACATATAGTCAAGACAGCCTCTTACTCAACCGGTACACTGCGATCCCATTCCAGAAGGTGAAGCTTACTTACGCCGTGTTCGTGCTTGCATCATCGTGTACAGGCGCACGAGTACGCGGGCAAGACTGGGTGGGTCTCCGTGGCCCGTGGCTGATCACGGTGGCAGGACGCCAGGACGGGACGCGGATGGCACTGTATCTTTTGCCGTCTCATGTTGACACGAGGAGGCGGCGGCGGCGGCGGCGGCGATAAGTCAGGGTAGTATTCGCTTGGGTGGAATCGCACTCGCAGTCGTACGAAGAGCGATGGCGCGGTGGATACTACTTGCGCACGGCTAGTCAACTCACTAATACTTGAAAGCATCTATCTATCTATCCGCTTGGTACAGGGAGGCCGAGCTACTTCACGAGTATGTACATGCCAAATGTTCAGATCTGGGGTTCTGATTGTGATCCGTGCTCTGAGTGGTTTTCGCGATGACTAACTGCTATACTACTGGACTATACTACCTTCGGCCCCTCCTTACTTCTTCTCTCGTCCCTCGGCTACTTCTAGAGTGTTCAGCAACAATCAATCCTCAGTCTAACACGTGTGCGGTCTCCAATTCGGGATCGCATACGAATTGTTCGGGGTAACCATATTGAAGGTCCCCTCCCACTTCCACGCGTGCAAGAACCAGCCGACGTTGTTCTTCTTGAAGAACTTGCAGTTGGCGTCGTACGTCTTCCAGAACGTCGTGTACTGCGGAGCACCAATGTCTTTGCTGCCCTGGTGTAGAACGTTGAGCTCCCAGGCCCATTGTGTCTAAGAGGGAGAATTGAGAATCAGTCCTGTATCAGCGTTGGAAGCGCTGGAGAGAGATCTTACCTCGGAGATGACGAGAGGAACGGGCGTGTAGTTCTTGTACCAGTGTACCTGGTCACTGATATAGTCCCAGGATCCGGAGATATTGTATCCGTGGTAGTACGGCATGATATGAGCGTGGACAAAGTCGCTCTGCGGAAGAATCTGCTTCCCCACAGGACCGAGACCCGGTGCTTTGCCTGCTGTGTAGTTGCTACACAAGATGCCAGGACGGTCCCAGTCTTCGCTGATGCCGACTGGAATGCCATAGGGTTTCACTGCCGCCTTGAAGTCAATGAGGTCATTGATGAAATTGTCGCCGTCGTCCTGATCGCCGATCGGTTCAGTACCGAATTCAATGCTGTGAAACACGTAAGGCGCGATGTCCTTGTAGGTGCTGTTTGAAAGGATCTTGATAATGGAGCTGGCAATCTTTTGCCAGTATTCAAGCTGTGGTCATGTTCAGCAGACAAATGACAAGCGACCAAGGGTTCCAAACATACGGGATCGCCGTTCAGAGGCCAGGCGACTTGGGCAACAACTCCCATATCATTGGCAACAGCTGCTTTGATCAAATTCTCCCAGATGTACGTGGTGTAGCAATATGGCAGGTAAACCCGGATCAGACTTGCTCCAAAATCACGTTTCTGGCGCTGCAGGTCGGCGTTGATACGGTCAAAGCTGTCGTCGTAGCACTCCCCTTCCATGGGATAGGAGAAGCCGAGGAATCCATAGGTCATGGATTGAGGGCACCACCACTCCTTCCTGGTCACGTTGGGTGCTTGGAGGGAGCCATTGAATGAGGCAGTCCCGAAAGGAAAACAGTTCACATTCTGACCTCGAATGGGCGAAGCAGCGGGAAGGGCCCAGACTCTGCTGGTGAGGACAGCGACGATAGATATCGCGACAGCGCGCATATTGTTGGACAGAGACAGACTTACTCTGCGGTGTTCTTGGGGACCGGCGAAGGGTGGACATGAGCATATTGTATTGACCAACTACTGCGGCTAGGATCTCGTGCTTTGCGGTTGACTGTCCGTACGTGTATGGCATCCATCAGGAACACACCAGCAATCATACGTGTCATTGTCCCTTTCCTGCTTGAGCTTGATACCAGAAGTCATTGCATTGCACGAAGTAGCTATCAGCATTTGCACAAGACAGGGCGATCATTGCTGTTCTGGGTCTGTCAAGCGCGCAACGTGATCTGCTAGGGTTGACGTTGAGAGTGAACAATAGCGAAGCCAGAGATATGGACAAGGATGGACAATAGTCAATGCTGGTCAATGGCAAGCGGGAAAGGGATGTTGAAATTCCGTACACGTGATGCGGAATTGTGTTGAAGCTGCCGATTGGCCACAGCCACGAGGCTCGCGGCCAGCCTTGTGTGGTACACATATGAGGTGGCCTTTAAGGCTTCATCTTCTTACCGCCAACTAGGTAATCTTGGCAGACCACTCAAAACATACTTCTTGTTCTAGTATATGACCCCCCACTGGTGACATCTAGCTCTCGAGTCGGCTCTGGCTGCAGAGATGGAATATACAATGCCCATCTTACACTCTTCACTGCCAATCTCCCGTTTTACCACACATCTAAAATATTTCACCTTCGTAGGTCATCTTTTCGACATCACTAAAGTCATGCGCATCACGTAATCTCTCATACTCTTCAGGCGACAGCTCAATCATCAAAGGCGTGATTCCTTGTCCCTTGGTGCCGTGGATGATGCGCTCATACACACCGGTCCCTGCGGGAACTCTGAACTTGGCAGTGCCGTGCCACCAGCTCGCCGAAAAGCCCAAGGCGATCATGAATCGCATGTCGTCAGACTTGTTGCAGACTCCGGCATGCCACAGTCTCATGTCTCGGAAGAGGATCGAACCTTTCTTCACCGTGGGTTGAATTCCAGGCAACGTTTTCTGTCTCTCGGCAACGTATTCGTTTGTGATGTGAGTTTCCCCCTTTGAGCCGGGCGGTGTCTGGGCCTCGGTGTTGAAATGATGCGTCCCGAGCCAAATCTCTGTCGAGCCGTTGGCCGGACTGGCGTCACAGGTATAGACATTGGCAACCACATAGAAAGGTGCTGGCGGGTGGTTGCACATGGCGTCTGAATGCACAGGTTGCCGCTTGACTCCGTGGGGTAAGGCGTTGTTGCCACTGACCATATTCCACGTCGCGTTCGGTCCCAGGTAAAGGTTCACCGCGTGAAAGAGCAGCTTGTTCAGATAGACGTCGTCGAAAAAGTACTTTGATGGACTCAACGGAGGGCCCTGTTGAATGTTCTCGGCCCCGAAGTTCTTGTAGAGGTTCTCTTTGCTGAGTTCCTTCTTGGTGTCCTCGACCATAAATTCATTGATGAAATCGAGGTGATCGGGGTTGATGACATCTTTGAGGATAACCACACCGTCCCGATGCATCCCGGAGAGGAACAGCTTAATATTGGCGTCATTGAATTGGCCGGCAGCCAATTCCTCTGGGGATGGAGTGACTTGAACAGGTGTATTGAGATGCTTGGCGGGCAAGTCTGGCATATACTCGTTCTGGGTGATCATCTTGCCATGTTTGGGCTCGACCGTCCCATTGGTTCCGTTGGGAGACATTGTACCAAAGACGAAGTCAATGCTGTGTCGAGTTGGCTCTTGTACCTGTTTGGATCAGACGACTTGGTCACAGGTTTTTGCAGACTTGGTCTTGTTGTTATACAATCACTACTCACCCTTGTTAGCTGTCATTCAAGCATCAGCATGCAGAAACTTCCTCATCAACCAAAACAAGGCTTCGCTGACCAGCAGACAGACTCATTCCCGGGCCAACAAGATCCGGACACCTGACTCACCATGTTGGGCACGGATGGGAGGCTGCAAAGTTCCGTATAGGCTGCCATCTTCAAACCACATGGTGGAGACGGCAGTTTGGGACATGCAACATAGGAGTAGTAGTGAGTTCGTCTCCAAATATGATGATATCAGGCATAAAGGAGAGGATAGAAAAGTTGGAGAGAAGCGACGAGGCTGCCGAGGATGGAATTCACCCCCTTGGCCAAGCCAGTGACTGAATATCGGGGAAAAGGGGACGGTTCTTTTGTCTGCATCCCAACACATGATCACACTATAAGCGCCTCGACTGATTCCGATGACCCGCCTCGCCTCCTGATGACACTTTGAACGATGACGACGCTGTCACGTGCCTGTTTGGATGAGGCCCAGACTGTCATCTCCAGGGTTCTGACTTTTTTTTTCCCGCGGATAGTCTCTAAGCAAGGGATGAATGATCGCCCAAGGTCCAGTCCACTCCCAAGAATGTGTCAGGCAAGTCTGTGCTCGCTCTCCCTTGCATACCCCCTTATTTCGAGACGAGAATGCCGACTTAGGGAGGTTTCATTACGCGCTCAGACACGCAATGTTGTTTTGACTGATTCCGGGTTTTATATCCGTGAGATTTTCTGACGCAATCGACATTTTAGGGCCACGGTAGCTGATCGATGGATCCGTATTCATCTGCGAGACCCTTTAAGCGTTCGTACCGTAGACGATAGAGTTCATGTATTTTACCAAAGACAAACATTCAACACAGGGGGCAACAATGGGCTCGAGTCAATTCGATGGAATTGCCCTTTTCTCCCTTTCTGCGACTTTTCGCGTTTCCCCTTCTTTCACTGATGACAGAAATCCTCCCATTCCTCCTCGCTGGTCAGCAAGACTCTCCTGCCTTTCAAGAAAGAGTCACGAAAACCCAGGAGGATTCACACAGCGTCGCGTCCTTGTCCATGACCAGCCATGTCGTCGACCCTCGAGCAGGCTATCCCCCTCCTCGAGGACCTAGATAGTCCCTGCGACAGCAGCAGTCTTGCACGAAGCGTCCTCGCCCTTCCCGAGCACCGGCTATCAAAACAATGGACTCAGTTCTGCCGACTCTGGCTACGACTCCTCGTCAGCCTTCTCCCGAAATACATGCAACCCGGTGGTCGCAGTAAGGGCGAACTGCCTCCCACTGCATACCTCGATGCCCTGCGCGGATACGCGGCCCTGATCGTCTTCTTCTATCACTCCTTCCCGCTTCCCAGCACATGGCTCTTCCAACAAACCTTCTTCCGCGTCTTTTTCCGCGGCGGCCCCGGCATGGTGGCCGTGTTCTTCGTCATCTCGGGCTACGTGCTCAGTTACCGCATGTTGAAGGCGATCCGCAACAAAGACCCGATCAAGCTGCTCGACAGCCTTGCGTCCTCGACGTTCCGGCGCTGGTTCCGGCTGTACGGATCGACCGGTGTGGCGACGTTCGTGGCAATGGTGCTCACGCAGCTGGGGTGGTTCTGGCCACACGCGTCTGATCGAAAAGAAACATTCCTCGAACAGGTCTGGGACTGGTTCCAGGACTGGCTGGAGTCGAGTGACCCGTTTGCCAACATTCAAGGCTGGATCCACGGCTGGGCGTTCCGGTCGAGGTACCTGTACCAGATGTGGACCATCCCCGTCGAGTATCGGGGCAGCATCGCGCTCTTCGTCTTCTGTGCCGCGGCCTGCAAACTCTCGAGTCGATCGCGGATGGTGTTTCTGTGGCTGGTGGTGCTTCTGTCCTACTACTGGCGGGCCGTCTACATTGCCGAGTTCCTGATCGGTATGTTCATTGCGGATCTGTCGCTGATTCGACATCCCGAGCGCCTGGGCCGACGACTGCTCTTACCAACGCCACCAGGTCCTGCTGCTCCGGAAACCAGCAGCAGCAGCAGCAGTATTGAGAAACCGATCCCCAACCCGACCTGGCGGCGGTGGCTGTTTGGGGCACGACGACACGGCCTCGCCTCCAAGATCGGCTGGGGCCTAGTATCGGCGACGGGCTTCTACCTACTCAGCCAGCCCGACGACCCGGACAGCAACACGGAGCTGCCCACGCCGTGGCCGACGCTCCTGGGCCTGGTGCCCTGGTGGTACGGCGAGGCCATGTACACGTTCTGGGTGAGCATCGGGGCGGGCCTGCTGGTGCTGGGGCTCGACAACTCGCCGACGCTGCAGACCCCGTTCACGTGGTCCTTCTCGCAGTACCTGGGCGACCTGTCGTTCGGCATCTACGCCATGCACATCATCGTGCTCGAGAGCCTGTTCAAGCCCGTCCTCAACCCCTGGCGCGAGGTCCACCTGGGCGAGTCGGCCATTGCGTGTTTCGTCATTGAAGTCGTGGGCACGGCGGCCGTGATCTGGGCGGCCGACTATTTCACCCGCGCGGACAAGTTGGTCGTGCGGTTCGGGCGGTGGATCGAGGTGAAGACATTTGAGAAATGGTAACAAACCCAAGCCCGAGAATGGAGAATGGTAGAATATATAATAACCATAGAGACTGGCCATCCATCCCGAGGGGTGTGGGAGAGGCAGAGAGAGAGAGGGATTGTTTCTTTCTCTTTCTCTCCTCCCCCAACCCTTTTGGTCTGGAGGTCTGGTCAGAAACTACTAATGAAAGAATCACGCTTGATGGCCTGGTGACGATATTGTTTCTATTTTGGGGGAGGCCAATCATACTTGACTTCTTCATAGTTCGTCGGAATTGGGGTATCAATCAATGTTGAAGAGATTCCTGGTTCCTCCATCGCATCACCTCCTGATCTGGATAGGTCTGGCTTCCCATTCCTGCCTTTTCGTTCGGCCCCTTTCAATCTGGGCAGAGAAATACGCCTTTCTCATCCCTACCTCCGTCTCGTCTCGTCCCGTCACGTCCCGTCCCGTCCGTTCGTCAATCAAATGGGTCAATCGATCCTCATCCATCTTGATCCCGTTGTTGAAAACAGGTCATTCCAATAAAACCGTCCCTCTGTTCCATGCCTTTTTCCATCTTTGTCTCTCTAGTAAGAACCATAAAACCTCCTGTGAATGCGAGTGAGAGTCAGTCGAGTAAAACTCCGAGGAAGTGCTGGGAGATGCGTTCTCGTGCAGAACCTGACACTTTCGTCCTCGCTCCTACTACATCTTCTCTCTCTCTCTCCCCCCTTCCCACCCACCTTTGCTTCTCCTCCTTCCTACTCTGAGATAAGTAGTCACATGCGTTTGAACACATATTTCGATCACTGCGCAGTATCGGGCCCCCACACAGTCTTTGCAATGTCGACCTCGAGCCGGATCTTGTCCCACTGCTGGTCCTCGCTCAACTCGTTGCCCTCCATGGTACTGCTAAAGCCGCACTGGTGGCTGAGGCAGAGCTGGTCGATACCGCCGGGGCAGTACTTTGCGGCCTCGCGGAGACGCTGGACCATGGCGTCCTTGTCGTCCAGGTCGCCCTTTTTGCTGGTCATGACGCCGAGCACGACGACCTTGTGCGGCGGGAGGTGGCGCAAGGGACTAAAGTCGCCGGAGCGGGCGTCGTCGTACTCCAAAAAGTAGACGTCCACGTTGAGGTCGCGGAAGAGCACCTCGGCGACGGGCTCGTAGCCACCCTGGGCGAACCACTGGCTGCGGTGGTTGCCGCGGCACAGGTGGATGCCGATGGTCATGTCGCGCGGCCGCTTCTCGATGGCCCGGTTGATCAGCGTGGCGTACTGGCTGGCGAGCTGGCGGGCGTCGGCGCCGTGGCGGGACTCGGCCTCGGAGCGCATCTTGGGGTCGCACAGGTACGCGAGGTTGGTGTCGTCGAGCTGCACGAACCGGCAGCCCGCGGCGTACAGGTCCGCCAGCTCCTCCTGGTACACGCGGGCGAGGTCGTCAAAGAAGGCGTCCATGGACGGGTAGGCGTCGAGGTCGATGGTCTCGCGCCCGCCGCGGAAGTGCACCATGGTCGGGCTGGGGATGGCCACCTTGGACGAGACTTTCCCGAAGACGCTCTCCCCGCCCGCCGCGGCGATCTGCCGCTCCAGGAACCGGAAGTCGTCGACCTGGATGGGCCTGCTGTGGCCGAGCTTGCCCGTCACGATCAGCTTGGGCGGCGCGAACCCGCCCTTGGAGGTGTTTGTCGACATCATGTTGCCGCGCACCTCGATCCCGTCCAGGTGCTGCAGGAAGTCGAGGTGGAAAAACGCCCGTCGGAACTCGCCGTCGGTGATGGCCCGCAGGCCCGCGTCGAGCTGCTTCCGCACCACGTCGGCGATGTGCTTGTCCTCGAGCTGCCGGAGGTCCGTCTTGGACAGTTCGCCCACGGCCACTTTCTCGCGCGCCGCGAGGATCTCCTTGGGGCGTAGCAGCGACCCGACCTGGTCCGCGCGATATACTCCGGTTGGAAGCGGCATGGCTCGGCTTGTTGTCTGGCTGGCTTGGCTCTATTACCGAGTAGTGAGTGTCCTGCTGTCTAATTTAGGGAGCAGGTAGAGGGAGAAAGCAACTTCAAACTTGGGTAAAACTTGATGATGCTTTGAAAGAGACCAGGGGGGATGGATTGAGAAGAGAGACGCCTCCCCCCAGTCCCCTATGTACCGCTATTACCGACTACATTAATCCAATCCCGTCTCACCCTCAAGAACCACCGCAAGTGAAAAATCGAACTTTCTGCAACTGCCGGGGTATCCACCGAGGTTCCCTTTTTGTACGGGGGACTCCCAACGTCATCACGGCGCCAATTGGTCGAAGGAGCTGCAAGGCTGTGACAGTAGAGGCCAGAGCCGGGTTGACAAGGCTGACCAATCAGAAGCCGACACCCTCCCACAGGCAGCTTGTCGACAGCACTCGGTAGACCTTCCATCAATTGATGTGACGCAACCTAACTGCACCGTCTTTGTCTCCTGTAATCCTCCAGCCCAGTGGGGACCAATCTCCCCGGATGAGCGACGTGAAAGAGCACTGTATACCCCAGCATGACCGCCCCCTCAAAGACCCAGAAATACGCCTCGGCCGTCCACAGCGGGGAGCGCGGGGAGACGAAGAGCTGGACGGTGCGGAAGACGTTGCGCACGCACACCAGCGCCATCAGAGCGAGCAACACCGACAGAAAGGGTCGGTGACGGGCAGCGGCGACGGCCACGTCCACGTCCCCGTTGCGGCGTCGCACGAGTGACCACAACCACCTGAGAAGGACGTAGAGAAAGGCCGCGTTGGGCGCGAGTTGCAGGAACAGGCTGGCCTTGAGCAGCGCGAGGGCGGAGCGGACGGCGCCCGTGCTGGCGTCGGGGTTGAAGTACGTGGACGCGCCCTGGGCGGTGCAGGAGATGACGGCGCTGAAGAAGGTCCAGATGACGACGTACGAGAGGGTCAGGTTGGGACGGGGCCATGATGACTCCGCCACCGTGGCGGAATATAGGAGCAGAAGCATGTAAAGCGGGAGCGTGAAGATTGGTCTATCTCCTCCCAGAGACGTCGTCAGCACTCGGCACCAAACCCTCTTGACCTGTTACTTGGGACGCAGCGAGATGAACTTACGTGGCGCTGTAAAAGAGCCCCTGGATCGCGCTCCCTTCACCATCTGCATCATGATCGTGTGCAGCAACCTCGCGACAGATGAACCCCGCCGTCATGACAATGCACGCAAAAGGGAGCGGCCATGTCGTCTCCCAGCATTTGTACTTGCTGCGCACGACAACCAGGTATTAGCAGGCCCAAAACAATTACTGACAATGGCAAGGTTTATCGCGAGGAAAACTTCACACCTGCTCTGCCATATATGAACCGCACAGGAGACGGCGAAGAAGACGGCAAACACGGCAGATGGGCCTTGCTCCATGTCGTCGAGGAAATTGTTGATGTCGGCTTTGGCAAAGGTTAGCGAGCTCGGTCCGATGTCAAAGAACAAGGTGAGCAAGAAAAAGGACCAACTGACGATCTGGAGCCATGGCCTCGATCGATATTGGGCGTGAAAAGGAATCTTGATCTCGTAGGGCCTATCACAACAGGAGTCAACCACGCCAGACCAAGGATATCAAATCGATATCAATTGGATTGCAGACGAAGAAGTCCAACCGAGACAGCAGTTAAGGGAAAGTGACAAACAAGAACCACCGCTCGCATATATCAGTCTCAAACCATGATCATGAAAGGTCGTCTCGTCTTCACCATATATACATGTCGTCCGTCCGAAAGCATTTCGTAGTCTGCTCCACGTCCCTCGTATTCGGGAAGGAATCTGCCTCGCCTTTGCCTCGCCTTGCGATTCCATCACGCAAAGGTGTCGTTTCCCGTATTTGTCCGTCCAACACCAGTGTCGAACATGTTTCCACCCACAAGAGCAATTCCACATATTTTTGCAAGCTCAACAATGAGGTGCATTGATATTCTTTCCCAGCCACTTGTCCACTCCGAAGTGTGCCTTGCGGATATGCCCAGACGTCTTGACTGTTACGGTCAATGGTTGTGATTGGCTCCTTGACGAGGAGTTATTGCCCGTCCAAATACGAATACGGCGCGACCTGCAAACGCATCGTGTTACCCGAGTACCACGAGACCACGAGACCACGAGCCAGCGGCGCGGAAGAACTGTTGATCCAGGACAATGCTGGGGGTCAAGACGGGGGGTCCCCCAAAATCGAAACCGGCTCGACTCCTCCCCCAGTGACGAAAAAAAAAAAAAATAACAATATATTGACAAGCGAGAGGGCCTTGCTTAGCTTTTTGTTACGTGAAGGCTCCATTCATTTCCTATGCTCTTGGTGGCAAGCTCCGAACCTCATTAATGGTGTAGGACCGAAATGGGTAAAAAAAGCTTCATCACCCTGTATGAATTCCACCGCAGACACACACACTCTGGTTGTAATCGAGAACTAGGTTCAAGAGCAGTAACTGCCACGGTGATCTCTTGATGACAACATCACGGGGATATAGAAGCCAGGGGCATCGTAAGCGGCCCCTAAACTTTCATTGACTTCTGATGTCCGTCTTGTAAGGGTAACAAGTGCGTTGCGTCGCTGCGCTCGACTCACACAAAATCCCTAGAAGTGGTGTGATCCCACGTCGATCACATCTGGGTGCTAGACGCCGTTATGCTAGGCCGTCAGGGATACATTTCGTCTCTGGGTGTTCGGATCAGACACACCCCTGCATATCCGAGTCGTGATTGATTGTCCCGACCATCAGATGTCGCGTAGAGGCGTCGCCCTCCAAACAGCCATTGGATGTCCGAACATGCGTTTCATCTCGCCCAGTCGGGGACAACACCCATTTCTTGCCTGTCGTCCGTCATGTCGCTACGGGGGTTCAAAAATCCCGTCACATAATCACTGACAAAACTCGCCCTTTGACCCAGCGCGCTTGGCAATATTTCCCAAACCGTCTCTATTCTGCGAGCAAGACGAATGCATCTCGTCTGTCCATTCTGTGGCGTCCAACGACATGGTATAACTGGTCTGGGTATTCCCACCGGTCAACTGGAGCATTCGTGGTGTGGATGGAATGCGCCGCGCGCCGTTGTCCCTTGCATTGTCAAGGAGGTGGACCGAAGCCATGACCATGGCAGTTATTCGGATGGGTCATCGGTTGGCGCGCTCGAAGTATACCCCTGCGTATGGCCAGGTCCAGAAGGACCCCTCAAAGACCCTAGGCGGAACCGATTGACTTGTGATTCCCACCAAAGCCAGGAGGCTTGAGCGATCGCTTCCAGACCTGCATGTTTAACGCGGCGTGGACCGATCTCGGGAAAACTAGACTGGCTCCGAATTTGGGTCTGATTGGGTGGTGATTAACAAGCACATGGTGATCATCTGGTCTCATGGCCTTGTATGCTAGGCAACCCGTTCGAGTATAGCACCTGAAAGAAGTTGCAAAGCATTACCAACCAGGTTGATATGCAAAATACCTGCGTGCAGCACAAATTACGCCCTGTCGTACCCTTTTCAGAATAGTAGACAGTTTGCAGTGAGGCTCCCAGCTGTGTTCCGATGATCATACACAGTATTTGTGGAAGATTAATCCAAAGGGCTTAGTGAGGCTCTCCAGAATCGGAATGATTGGTTCAAGCGCGCGTCCGTCAGTATTCTGACGCGAGTGCCTCACTGTCAGGCTCGGGAGTCAACTGGAGATCGGCCAATCTCTCCACGTAAGCGGCTGTAGGACCCGATGTTATAGAGCGTGCTGGCAAACTGAACTCCTTGTTCGGCATCAACTCGAAGACAGTCAACATTGGTTGCATGCCCCCGATCCAATCATCGTAGGAGTAGGTCAATGCAAAATGTACCCTGATCTGCAGAATATGACCGAGCAAGTAATGCGGCGTGTTAAAGGTTGCGCTGTGGAAGATCAACACGACATAGTAGAGAAGACCAATCTCCTTGTCCCAGAGGTTGTCCAAGTCGGTCTTTTGAAGAGCATCACGGATCTCCTCAAGTATGGAAGTCCCTCGCGCCACAGAACGCCAATGCCTGTTGCTCTCCACCGATCGGATCAACAACACCGAGGTCAATCTGCATGCCTCGTAGACGTGATCGTCCGCGGACGGCAAGTCGGGCACCTTCGAAGACGGCATGGCCAATATGCGCTGGCCCAGTGACATCGATATCGTTGCGTCCGCGATCAGTTGATGTTGCGAGGAACAGGTACTTCGCCGAAGCCAGATTTTGACCACTGACTGCATCATCTGAAGGAGGAGTCGCAGGTGGTCGCGTTTCAGCAAGGGGAACGGATCTTCGCTAGGGTCTATTCGCCCATCGTAAAAAGGGGAATAAAGCTCTGGGTCAGCTTGAAGTCTTGAATGCCATCTATCTTCGAAGACCTGTTCGTATTCCTTATACGCCGTTTGTGGATCTATTGGAGGAGCCAAGCCAGGCACCGGTATGTGGCATCTTCTCGAGATTCTGCGCGGATAGTCAGCCTTGCTACACGAGCACAATAAGATCTCTCATCGTCTCACGCAATCATTAGGATAATCCTCAGCACGTCCTTGCAGAATCTTGAATCTTGAAACATGTTCATATTCTCCGCCTCTTTGATGAGAACCGCATAAGCATTGCGGTGGATGACATATTCTTCAGCCCCTGCCGGCTCTCCACGAACCTACAAAAGTCAGCGAGTCTGTTCACCCACGCCGTTGGCGCTGACCACGTCCAAGGAGGGCTCAAAATCTCACACTTACTAATGCACACGTGGCAAGAGAAGCGACGGCCGCGATGCAGCTGATGATAGCAACCTGGGAGGGCTGCTGGATAAGAGTGCGAACACGGCGCATGGCTTCCAGCTTCAAAGCAGTAGTCGTGGGCGACGTCGACTTTGCATTTAGCCCGTCGAGATGGACCGAACACAGAAGCAGCATGGAAGTGAAGAACGTGCTGTCTTTGGTCCCTTCGGGCCATACGCTCTGTTGCATCCTTTTCTGATTATATACAGCGAAAACTAGACACCAGAACAGGAGGCAAAGGTCAGCAACCTCTGAAGGAGGGAACATGAGTGCGCCGGAGAGGCCAAGGGTTCACCATTATGCTTGACCTCGTCCAGGATCCCTGGTATGTGTTCTTCTATCGCCAGCTGTGGCAGAGACCGAAATGGATCGAATTGAGAGCCAAAGAAGATGTTACCGGCGCGATTGCGGCGTCGCCGTGGTACGACCTGGGGAAATCAGGGATTAGCTAAGCGCCCATCCTTGAAGTACCCATGGTGCCATGAGTTCATAGCGATTAGACGGTGGTCACAGGTGCTGGCAAGTTATGTGCGATGCAATAAAACATACCTGGCCAGTCTGCCGTCTCGTCCGATGCAGTTCTCTCGTAGTATGTGCCCTTATTTGGCTGATCCCCGCCTTGTCCAGAGCGCCATCAGCTCCCATCAAGACGAATTCGAACCCAGCATCGCCTCCCGCCTTCTTCTTCGCCGCGTCCCATTTGCTGGCATGTCGAGGATGATCGCTCGCCATGGTTTTGCAAACACCAGAAGCGGATAAGGCGGGGATGCACGTGTGCCGCCCGGGCCCTCGACCCACGACAATAAGATGTTGGATTCCAGGCTCCTCTTTTTGTGATTTTGAAGGGTTCGCCGCCGACACAACTGGTTGCGATCAGGACGACTTCTGCCCACAAATATGTCCGTGAAAAGTTGCCCCGGTTCGGAGAGAGAGGGAGCCAGACAATCAGCTTGCCTCGCGAAACAGCGACGTCTGTGGAACACCTTGTCCCAGGCTGACGAGGGAGCCTCGGAATGCTGGCGGGGGCCTCACAAACCACCATTCTTGGTACTGACTCCATCGGCGCCCCAGCTGTTTTGCCCGTAGTGTCAGTGGTTTCGCGGATGACTAAAGCTCAATGGGTCAAGACGGTATCCGACGGTGAGAAATGTGGCCAATGGGTTGCTCGCCAGCCACAGTTCCGACTTGCTCACGAAAGGCTGATTCCTCCCCACTCCCAAGCGAGGTCCAGAAAAGTCAGCAGCCACCTTTTACCGGATCTGGATGCTCCCCTCTCCAAGGACAGATCTCAGAGGAATCCCTCGATCCACGCAACCTCGCATCGACGGGCATGCCAGCCCATGAGGCGAAGTACTCCCATCGCAGCTATTCATGGGGATAGATAATGGAGCGATGCAAGCAGAAGAGCTTTGAGATTAGCAGTAGCTCTTGACGTGAATTAGCCGGCATATATATATGGGTACATATAGGTTCAGTTCCCTCGTCGCGGAGTCGAATAAGCCCAACTTCTCAATCACCCAGGGAGTTTGACTGTACCGATGCCAGTAACTCTTGAAAAGTTCGCAGAAGTCGCTCGTGCTCGCGACTGAGACTTTTGTATAGTCGCTCGAAATGGTCTTTTCTTCCAGTAGCCCCTTCCAGCTCTTCCTGCAAGGTGCGCAATTTCGCCTGGGCTTCTGCTAAGGCTTGCTGCTGGCGAACCCGAAAGGCTCGTTGAGCAGCTCGATTTTGCGCCTTACGTCTCTGTGAGATGGCTAGTCAGTGAATTTGGTCATCGGCGCATTCGTCTATTCCTACACTGACCTCGTTCCGAGTAGCAATGGTCCCAATGGGCTCGAAAGACGCATTCAAATACTCTGGGGTGCCCGGTGTACCACTTCCATCATCCGGTACAGTGCTTCTCATCAAAAAGGCGTCGTGATTTAGATCAGGTTGACTCAAGCACGACACGCTGTTTGAATGCCCTGTCGGGTCGCCGTATGGTGGGTCTCCAAAACACATGGAATAGTCATGAGCTGGCTGAAGGAATTCCATCGTTGGGCTATTCATGCTCGTCAATTGAGTGGCAGGCGAGACCCTGTTCTGGAAGGAAGAACGGGGCGATATCGAGGGGCTCGTAGCAGGGAGGCCATAAAACTCAGGACAAGTACCGCATTGACAAGGCGCACGGTTCCTGTCCGGTAGCAGTGCAGGTTGAATATTGTGTTGTGATGAGGACGATGTTGGTATTTGCTGGCAAACGCAGCTCCCGGAGAAGGCCATTTGAGAAGCCACGCACATGAAGGAAATCACTCGCGGACCAGCTCGAACTCGTGTGCCTGGTGACGATCTGCTCGTTGGTTCAATGCCGACTTTCCACCAGAGTTCCACCAGAGTCAAGGCCAGGTTCAACTCTGATATTTGGATACGTTTTTGGAAGAGTATATTAGAATCAATCTGCTCCGCAATGGTAGTATCTATGGGAAGTATTGCAGAAAACCACGGGGTTTTGGTAGAGTTGTCGTTGTATAGTCGATCAGGAGACAATCGATGATCAAGAAGGACCCTTTATGACAATGAACGGAGCCATATGGACAGGAAGAAGCCTCGAGAATAAATGATTGCATCTCGCTAGCAACAGGGAAGTTGGATTTTTTCCGACGGCAACGTCCTCCCGTGTCATTGCCATGTGCTGCCAGGGCCGTCAGTACAGAGACGTTGAGTAGTGCTCGTCAGGTGGGAAGCATCAAGCGACTAGATTGACGGACTCATGCAGATCAGGCCACTAATTCGCCAAGTTCAGGCACCTTCAGCCATGGGAAACTTTGAGGGCGCGTAATCTGCGGCTGTAACGTGGGAGAAATCGTATATCCCAGTCGGCCGTCCGCTGGGATGATCACCATATATTACGGATATAGCACCTGATTCGTGCTCAGTACAGAGGCTGCCATCTAGAATACATCCTTGAAGCAGTTGATGATATCTGCCAGTTGTCTAGAAGGCCGTGCCGCCCGGCGCCCTGTAGCTGTCTGCGAGGGAGCAGGTCCGACAATTCCCTGCTCGGCGAGAGCATAGCCTCGGGGTCATTGACTGATAGGGATTGCAACATGCAGCGTCCGGGGAACTCCATCATACAAAGTGTACGGTCCCTCCAATATAGATATTGATCCGGGAGGTCAAGGCGCACAAAAGCTCGGGTATTGGGCTCCCATATGCACAGGTTCGTCCGAGCCGGGAGCTGCAAACCGGCCGTACCTAATGAATGCTGTGCCAGTATGACATGTTCACGCAGCCTACCTTCCAGGGCTGCATCACATTTTCACCATGTGTTATCCGGTACAGAGATTTGAGCAGCAGGAACTGCTGTGGCTGAGTCCGCTTTCAAGACTGTTACTACCTCTTTGAAACGTTCCCTCCAGGACAACCGTGCTAATCCAAGAATGGGTTGTGCAATATAATCAACGTGGGTGGATAATCGACCTCAAGGTGGTGCTGGTCGACCTGGTCTGCGCTTGAGAAGCATACATGAGGCACATGGCGCTTGACAGCCACAAATTTCCCAACATGTCCACAAGCTTGTGGCCTGCCAAACTTGGCAGTGTTTGTATCGAGCATACTTCTCTCTCACATTCTCTTTCTTGAAAGCCGCGTGGTAACTCTATCGGTTAGCTTTGAATGTATAGCGTGTCACTAGCGATATTGAGAACTTAGACTCTTTGGGGTTGTTACGATTGCCCGACCAATTCTTTGTCATGTCACCACAAGAGACAGCAGCTTTGACCCCCTCTTTTCTTTGGCAAGTCGGAGCCCAGAGCTCTGTTCAGCAGCACTGAAATCTGCTTGTTCAACAGGTTCGTTACCACGGTGGACCCTAGAAACGCCTAGTAAACGACATCGAAACGAGGTTTGACTTCGGCTTAGTCAATGGTCTGCAGTGGGAATGTAAGCAATACCCGCAAGGCTGGCAACGGGGGCGACAAAGGAAGTCCGTATAGAGGCCAATCACTGCCTGCAATGTTGCTGAATGATACATTCGACCAATCGCATTGTACAAAACTATCATCCTTACTGGCTCGCGGTCTCTGTTTTCAGTTGCCAACTTTTCGGGCAGGTGGTGGCACCGTCCGGACCCAAAGAGCTTCCAAACAGAGTGAGCGAACGGCAAAGCGAGGCTGGCGAAGACTCCGCATTCGCTTGTTCTGGACGGTTGCATTCGATGGCTTTTCAGTACCTCGTACAACGATATATGTCCTTCTCCTGTCCTGTAAGTGACTGCCCTCTCCAGAGGAAATGCGGGTTCGGGCCACAGATACCGAATTTGTGGGTAACTTAGTGGTAGATCCTATCGATCCATTGCACAACTAGACCGCTGGAACATTGAGCAAAATGACAAATCGTCCGTTCGAACACACGGCTCATAGATAAATCCCCGTCGACTGTGAAGTCGTGGGTTTGTACGGCACAACGTCCCGAGACCAGCTTCTGCAACCGTATCATTGACATCTATATCGTGGTGGAAACGTCACCAAAGCTGTTCAGGTAGCTTTGTGAATGCTCCCCCGTCACAATCCACCCAGTCCTTGCCGAGGATGGAAACTGTATTTGGTGGGCTCCCGACTGAATCGAACCCAGTTAGGCAAAAGGGTATCTTGATTGCGCGTCTCGTGGCAAGTATTGTGGCACGTCGTTGCTTTGAACATGTCACTGAAGGTTCCGTGCACCGACAACACATTCGCCTGGGCTGAGACAAGTGAAGCATGAGACACTGCGGACGAGTTATTTCTCGACGCTTGGCATCTGAAAAGGGTGAATGTGTCGGGTGAATGTGTCAGTTCGGTTGATGTCGTTGTGGCCACGCCTGGCTCACTCAAGGGTGCAGCGGTGGGTATTGCGGCTGGCTCGTGGCTGATCTGCTCGCGTTCGCGAAACAGCATTCACCACCCACGGGAACCTCTGCTTCGATGAAATGTTCTTGACCGACACTTCGCAAGCCTCGATGATGGCCATATACACCCGTCAATATTGGGTACACGATAACGTGAGGGACAATGGTTTCCTCCTCGAGTATCGCCTAGCGGTGCTGCGCCGACACTCCTTCCGTCATACTGCGCCCAGCTCATGAAGACCAGAACGGTTATCTGCAGCTAGCATCTGCAATTCAAAGATCGTCTTACGAAAGACGCAAGCTCCCTTACATAACGAGTGCTGCAGAGGAAAATTGCTTGTTATCAAAGCATTGGCGAATCGTTTCGAGGGCCCGCACGCTTCGTCGCCGCTAGCACAGAGATCTTTGGTCCAGGAAGGACGGGATGGCATCGAAGGGTTTGCGGAACCTCCGAGCTCGAAGAGGGAGGACCCTTGAGAGTGGAGGCTGGTTCTATGCTTTGAATGGAAGTTGTGCCGTTCTGTAAAGGGAATTAGGCTTGACGAGACTCGTTATCAACAACCGCTGCGAAGGTCTGGGTCCGCTTCACGAGAATTGTTCCTTCTAGTCGATTACGACAGCTCTCGGTTTGCATCTCGGTTGGCATCTCGGTGTGCATGGTTGGCATGATTGACGCATAGCCCATGAGGTAAGCTTTATTGGTGACTTATCATGCTGTTCTGGCAAGTGGCCCAAGTTTGTCAAGGAATCATTTGCACTGTCGGTCCCCAGGTCTTAAGCGGAAACCCCGACGGATTGGCCGCAGTTGTCCGGGTGCTCGTTTAGCCATACAGGACCTCACACACACCACCAATGGGCACATCCATAACCGCATCCGTTCCTTCGTTCCAAGCAAGCTTCCAATTTGGGTGCGTTGCGTAGGCCTCTTGCGTACCATAAACGTGTTGGGTTCGAACCGAAGGCGCAGTTGTCGGGACGAAAGGATAAACCGAAGGATGACTAGAAGCATAAGCTGCGTATCGGCCCTCAAAAAGAGGAAACGGTGCGGAGCGAGAAGTCCGCGAAAATTGGTAGTCCCATGCTCGAATGTCTGATGGTGATGAATGTTCGATATTGGCTCGGGAGGACTTTCGCTTTCCTTTCTCCTTTGATCGATGAGCCCCATCAACTCCAGTTTTGGAAGATTTCTTCCCTCTCCCACTCTTTACCCTTGCGCTTTCCATATCTCGTTCAAGCCTGACCCGCTCTTCTAGCTCCTTCACCAGTCTTTTACTCCCCCCTTTTCTAATTCGCCCGGATTCATCGAGGACAGCAACATTTGTAGCGGCATCGACCATGCATTCTAGGCTCGTCAACGGGAGAGTGAGATATTCGACGTTGTAACTCAAGAGTGCAACATAGATGAAGATAAGAAGCATGACAATCCAGGCAGGTATGGCGAGAGACCACCATCTATTCGGATAATAGGTGATCCCTAGAGCGTGGAGGAAAGGAGACGGCAGATACGACCAGAGAATGTAGATTAGAAAGGCGAGCGTCGAAGCCAAGTACAAGACAAAGCCATAGTACTCGTACGTCGGGACTTTGGGTGATGTTGGCGGAACTGGGTGTGCGCGCCGAGCTGAGTGTGCCACGGCTGCTTCAGTATCGTTTGGGGTCTCCACGTCGGAACTGTCAGGTGTGGTTGGCCGAGTTGAGGCAGTTGAGCGATTGAGCAAAGAGGGAGGACGGAGCAGAGAAGTTAGGCTGGGCGAAGGCGGTAGGGGAGTTGGCGGACGATTATAGAATGGAGGGTAGAGCGGAGGAGGTGGTGGAGGCGGAAGAGCTGTTGTTGACTGCGAGGTGTGTAATCCGTCTCCTTGGTGCTGTGGTTGAGAATGCACTGAGGTCTGTGAAAGCGTGGGTCGAGCGGGCAATGAACGCACCCGAGATAATGATTCTGGTCTCTCTGACGCCGATGGTAAATGCGCTCCTGGCCCGGTAGCACCGTCATGAGCCTGTTGTGAGACTTCTGTGTCCAAGGTCTCTTCAGAGAAGACTTCTCCTTCGTCTTCTTCATCTTCTGATTCCGAAGTCTCCTGACGAGAGTAGTGAGACTCGAAATCATCGTCGTCTAATGTCACCCCTGCCACATCAAGCTCCGAACCGTCTTGTTCGGCTCTACTCTCTTCCAAGGGTGAAGTTCTTCCGCTAGGGCCACACACATCATTGTCTTCGTCTTCGCTCCCCTCCTTATCTTCGCCACCGAGCTCGAATGCGGTTGCGGCCCGAGACCTCTGAGGGCTTGGTGTTGGCGTCGAAAAATCACGTTCCGGGATGATCATACGAGGTCCTGTAGGAGTGCGTTGATCGCTGGGAATTAACGCTGTTGGAGAAGGTAGGTTTTCCAGGTACGGCCGCAGGGTGGGAGGGAGTGATTCCGATTTCGAGAACGGACGAGGGCCTAGAGCAGGCGAGCCACCTCTGCTTTGGGGTGGCATCTCTGAATCTGAATCGAAAGGGAAGGTTGCTGGCCCAAGGAGACGCGTCGAGGAGGGACATGGACGAAGCAGAACGACGATCTCAAGTTGGCAAGGTTGCGAGTCACGTGATTATTTGGGACGAGGCTGCATCTCGTGGAAGCGACTGAACTGTCCTGTACATCAAGATAGACTGATTGAATAGTTCGAAATGATATATTTTCCATCCTTGCCGTGGAGGCAATGATCGTCCGAGGGTCGCAATACCATTTAATAACCCTATACTTTTGTACAATTTCGCTAATAAAACCCAACTCATAACTTCATCAAAGAGTATGATCACTCTCGTTCCTGGAAAATGTTTGACACCCAATATCTTCTCAAAATGGGAATCCTGTCACCTTTGGGCGAATCCTTCAATACTCCGCAGACCTAGCCCTATATGACCTCCACTACTCATGACCCTGGTCGAAGTGAATGAACCTGCACTACTTTTCCCAGTCCGAGGAGAAGGTAAGGGCGGAGTGGGGAATTGACCCAAATCAAATGGCTGTGGTTTCTTTGGGGTCATCAGACCTGGATTTGTTGGGACTGGAACATCGTGTTTGGTCGTAATCTTGCCCAATCCTTTGATGGCTTGTCCAATACTTTCACTTCGTCTCCGGAGTGCCGAGAAGGATTTTTTCCTCTGCATCGCTGGTCTCGTGGCGAACGGGTCGGAAGCTTCTTCGTCGGCTGGGGGAGTTGGCAGGGTTGGTAGAGCCGTCATATTAGAGCCGGTGGGCCCCATCGTTGCGAGTGAAGTATTCTGAGATGTGAGCGGGCGAGTAATCGAGGAGAGATTTCCCGAGCTCGTCGATGCGGCCGGGTTTTTCATCACATAATAAACGTCCGACCCAGGCGTACTCGCAGTGGAAGGTCTGCTCACATGACTTGAAGGCCGAGACGATGATCGCGTATGTGGGAGAGGCGTCGTCGCAGTCGTAGGCGTTTTGATGAAGCTTTTGATACTGCTCATGCGTGCGTGGCTCAGTGCAGTCGACAGCCGCGGCATACTGGACTTCCTATCGGCTTTTGACCTGGTCGACTCCTTCGTGGACAAGAGTAGCGATTCCTGGCTAGCATTGGCGATGAGTTCGAAAGCATTGGCGGGCAGGTTGGGAACCTCGACGAGAGTAGCTTCCGCCGCAGGGAACCCAGAACGCACACTACTCATCGACTGGCGCTTCGATGGTCGATCCGACGTTTGGGCCACAGTCTGCGACAGAGGGCTCTGCATCGAGGCCGTCCTTCGTTTGCCCCGGTGGGTGATGCTGACTATGGATATCAGTGAAGGTCGGGATTTGGGCTGCTGGTAGGATATCGGCGTGGCTGTTTCAATTGGGGAGAAGGTTTCCTCATTGTCGAACTCAGGGCTCAGGGCTTCGAATAGTGGAGAGTCGAGGACTGCTGAATAGCGGTCGTATCGGAAGTCGGACCAGGAAGCCAGGGAAGCTTGCACAACAGGCTTCGGAGAAGGTGGCACGATAACACGAACCTCGTCTACCTCCATCTGTTGAAGGACCTCTTCCTCATCTGGTATCTGTATTTTGAGACCTGCCACCTGCAGCGGCCCAGGTGAGGGTGGTTTTCCAAAGGGAGCTCTGTTCAAGGCCATGTCGTCCGGGGTCAAAACGCTCCTTTCCGAAGGTGTCTCGACAGATGACTCTCGATTAAAGCGCTCAGCGTCCATATCGACTTCATCTGCAGAACTGTCTCCGTCAAGGCCATGCGCGGGATCGGACACATGTTCCGCCATATGGTCATACATCAAAATCCTCCTCTTGTGTTCAGCCAGCTTCTCTCGATCTAGAGCCTGTTGCTGCTGTCGTTCTTGGAACTTTTTCCTCCGAGCAGAGGCAGAGCTCATCTTTCGGGCTTTGAGGACCTGGTCCATGGCGATGGTAGAGGGAGCGAGACTGGTAGACGGCGTAGAGAGATCCGAGGATGACGGGAACGAAATCTCGTGCGAAATCATGCGTGGAACAATGGGCAGGGAAATCTGGAGAAATCGGACGGGGTTACAGAGGATGCCTGACTGCTGGACGCAACTGTCACCTGGAACTCTAAAAGTAGCAGGATCCGTTTGAAGGCATTGAGGCTGCGACAGGGTTTTCAAATGGAACGGGGCCAACCCGGACACGTAGATCGGGCCATGACACAGGACAGCGGCAGGCTTTCGAGCCTCGCCAGCTTGAAGCGAACAAAAAGGACAAGTGTACGCCACGAAAGGTCACTCAGACAGAAATTGAGAGCGGCCGACCAGGATTTTGACGAGAAACAAAAATGGCCGACCCAGTCAAGAGGGTTAGATGCTACCTGATTGAGGTAAGAGACAACTCTATCTCGCAGACGACAAAGCCGGAGAAGAAGGGATAGCGACGATCAGGTACTTCTAGCGAGAGTAAGATTGCAGGAAGCTTGACTGTGAGTCCGCAGTCCAGCACGAGCTAGGTTGGTGAAGGGACCTAGCCCTCGGGGGTTTTTTGATGAAGTCTGTTAGAGGTTACTGCAAGTTCGAGGGGAAGTGGAGTAGACGGGAAGTCTGGTTTGAGGACCAACGTTTCATTGCTGGCACACACTGCAACGAATATGTGGGCTCTGGAGTTTGTCTAGCGTCAACGACCCACGGAGACCTGCCGAACTTACAAAAGTAGGCCGGAAACCCAGCAGCAAGCGGCATTGGTGTTTTTCTTTTTCCATTACCGTTCTCATGTGCAGGTATCATATCCTTGTCCATGATGGATCGGTGTTTTGACGTCTTGATATTGACCGTCCAATTGAGAATGTGGAGAGTGGATGGCGGCATGCGCCCAGTGATCGGGCCCTTCGCTTAGCAAGGAGAAAAAACGTCAACAGGAAACCAAGATGGGCTTAGTCCTTGTACGTACAAGTACACCATCAGCATCATTCTGGGTAAGCTCCAGGTACCAGGCCCAGACGCCTGAGCTCGGTTGCATTGGAGCGGTGGCCGAGAAGGTCAGGGCGTCCCAGAGCTAAACTAGAGTCGTGCATCTTGTTCGCAACAGGTGAGGGTTGTCGTGACGAGGCTTGAGCAGGATCCAACCAACGGCGGCTATGGGCGCCAAAGGTACACAGTCGGTAAATACTCCGTAGTATATCGAGTTATGTTTTTGTCTTTTATCCACCAGCAGCCATGTAGTCCACTCTCTTGCATAAGGTCTTGGGCCATGGAACGGCCTTCGCGCAGAAAACGGACGGAGGAGAAAATTGTGGGATTCATGATCAAACACGTGCCCTGCCGTCTTGTCTCGACCCAAGTCTGACAGTGGGAGCTTGTTGTCATGGTTGGCTGCAGTCTCAAACGCCACTTTACTGGGGTCCAGCCCCTTTGGATTTATCTATTTGAGTGAGGTAGCCAATACTGAGGACTTCTTCTCATGCAGATTCAAGCTTTGGATGGGTAGTGACTGATGTTGTACAGACCGCTGTGCTCCAAAGAACATATGCGCCAATGTGAAAGTTGCCTGTGGACCTAATAGTAGAGAGATGATGGTGGAGGTCTCACACCAAAGAACGAAGTCAGTCATTTGAAACCCTTAAGTTGTGACATTGGTGTGGAGGTGGCGTCATTTGAACTGTCAAGGACCTCCACCCTCCCTACCCCCTTTTCCCACAGCTCAGCTCAGATCGTTCCCATTTCCACTGCAAGTTCCTGGAGATTAGACACAGTACCTTGTCACTCGGCCTTGTCCTGGAGGTCACCAGCTCCATCGTAGACAAGTCGCCTGTCTACCGAGTACAAGCGCGGGAATTACGAAGTCCGCATAACCGGGGTTGGTGCCTTGGATCATACGAAGTGGCAGCCCGTCTGGGAGACGAGAGACAATTACTCCGTACTACTACACCGCTGCTCTGTCAGTCTCGCTTGCACGGACATTTGCATCACTACTGGAAATATAAATACTCTGTCTTACCCTGAAGTGCCCGGCGTCATGTAAGGTCTGTCGATCACTTAAGCGGCAGCACGGCGGAGGAAGTTGGGTTAGAAGCTCCTGTGTTTGGTACAAAGCTGCACACACCGCCTGCACCATGTAATCGCCAGGTATTGGAATGTGCCCAATCCCTCCCAAGGGCATAAGTTGGGAATGAATATCCTTTGGAGCTCGCCGAGAGGAGACCGGTCGCACCAGTCTTGCCCTGATCAGATGTTGAGGCCTGGGCATCTCACAGTCCCCACCCAACCTCGCCCACCGATTCCTGTTGATGACAAGCGTGCACACCTGCAAAGTACTGGGTACAAAGGGCTCAGTGGCGAGTTGCCTTCCACTCTGCCATCCAGCCTTGGGCCGCTTCTACGATTTGCCTCTGTGCGTTGGCCACTGGAGCTGGTGGCAGGCTTGGTGTTGTCTCATTCGGAAACTTCAGGATAGAAAAAGTCAGCGCATGTTCACCATGGCAAAGACTACTAGCCCGACATCTAGGTCGGGATCGCCATTGGGAAGACTCACCAAACCATTTTCATCCCAGTGATGCACTGCTCCTTGAATTAAAACGACAGGTTCGCTCGGCGTGCTTGTTTGGTTAAGGACGTCAGGCTGAGATAACGTTGCCAACGCTGTCGCGGGCCGCCAGGGGTCGGCCTCACCTCCTATGGTTGCAAGTCTGGGATAGGAGATGTTGAAGCCGCCATATTTATTGACAGCGTTGACATCAGGCGGCGTAGTAATGTTGAATGCATACCGGCAAACTTGCGTAAGATATTTGACTGTCAGGAGACGGGATATGAGAGGAAGTCGGTCGTGAGGGACACTTGCTCCGTCTTGAATATAGCCCCATTCCTTACAGTATTGATACGGCCACGACAGTGCATTGTAGTTGGTAATGTTCTTATCGGCATACATCGGCGCTGATTCATTGTGAGTGCCATAGCATTCATCGAACGTACTGTCGCATGACCCAGCATAGCTATCGTTGGTCCATGCCAGCCAGTTGAGCAAAGGGTTTAGCAGTTGTGCGCTCTCATTGGCCCATCCGCCCGCTTCTATCAGCGCTGTGGCATTGTCCTTCATAGAAGCAGAGCTAGGCCAGAGAAGAGTGTCGGAGCTGATATTGCCGCAATAGTAGCTGAATTCCGGACTGTTGACCTCTGGGTCCCAGTTTCTCGACTGCCACCAGCCAATTCCGCTCGACGCGAGGTTGGCTAGATCATCGTTGTGCGTAAGGGTCTGCATACCGAGCCCTTTCTTAAGCTGTGCAACAGTCTTTGCGTCATTCTTCTGGAGGATGTTATCCATGATATTGATCAACTTCGTTTGTGCTGCGATACATGCAGGTGGACCGTACTGGCGAACCGGTTCATAGTACGCCCAATAATCATAGATGGCTTCCGTAACTCCTGACGATGAAATCGCGCCCCAGTAGATCTGAGGGTATAGTTTGCGCAAGAATGCAACGATTCCGCCAGAATATGAGCCTCCATAGGCTAGGTAGGGCGTACCGGGGGCTGTTAAATTGAGATTCTCCATCCCCGGAAAGACGATGTGTGAGGCAAAGTAGGCTTGGTCAGCTACGGCTTGGTCTGTGGACAGAAACCGCAAATTCTTGGTTGACAGGTCAGGTGTAGGAAAGCTTTTCCCATAATATCTGTGCTCCAAGACCACGCCGATACCATTTAGAGCCGACGCAAGCTGGTACACGATTCCTTTCTGCAGGTACGGTAGGCGCTCGCTGGCATCTGCCTCTCCGCTTTGTAAGACTATTACAGGTCCCCCGGGCTTGTAATATGTTGCGTCGAAAAAGTACCGCAGCTTGAAGGTTTTATTGGAATGTGGCTCGTATCGGGATTCATTGTGGAAGTGGTCCACAGGCATAGAAATGTAGTGTTCCGGGTACAGTTCCGTTGGGTCAACATCCTGCCGTGCTGTCAACCTGTAGGGTGCAGGCGCAAGATTTCTGCATGATGTTAGCAATGTTTTGAAGCTAGCTAGACGACCTACCTCGCCTGTCCAAGCCCAGTGAGGGTGGCTGTTAGGAGAGCATATGAGAGCCTCATCTTGCAAGAATGGAGAGCGCAATGAGAATCAGAGATGAAAGGGACAGAAGGTAGAAAGATAAAACAAGACAATCAGCTGTCAGGAAGCTGTCTTTCACACACGCATGTGTCTTGCGCAACCAACCTGTTTTTTTGCCGCTGAACGTAACAGTTGCAGCGATCCACAAGCTCTTTAACCCCGCATGTGGAAGCTATGACACCTTAACGGCAACGCGTGGAAGTCGTTATCGGGAAGCATCAGAAGCTTGTTGGCCATGATGTTATGACAATGCAACGTTGATGCGGGCGCAGGGCAGCAGCCTATAACCCAAGGGGAAGGTGTGCAAGTGATCGTCAAGCAACATACACAAGACAACCAATGTAAATGTGGACGAAGGAATGGACGCAGATCCAGATCAAGCTGGAGAGCGACCTCAGCTGACACTGATTGGAGATAAGGACAACAAGCACCTCGGTAGCGCAACAAGCTCGTCAGATCTCCCGGCCACCCGCGCACATGTTCCGCAGCAGGGGTTGTGATGCAAGTTGATGCCGAGCCAATATGTACTTTTTCAGGGCCATTGCATAGCAAATATGCAGAGATGAAATGCGAACGAATCTGGCCTCGAACAGATATCGTAAAGACGGAGCCATTTGTATTGCTTGCGTTGATAAGGACCTGTAGCACTGAACGCGATGTCGGGGGAGGAAATAAGCAGGGAATATCGGCCTTGCAACGGGTAGACTTTCGCCAGACTAAATCATAGGAAGGTAGTACTTGATCGGGCCCGGGCCACTCAAAGGGGCGACAGACACGAAGTGCAACATGCTGTTTGTACCTCGTCGTTGAATTTTCACTGAGCTGCATGGCAGTTATAGGAAAAGCAGGCCACATGCCAAGCTTTTTCCAGAGCCAGCCAAGCACTAATTCCACGTGATAATGTGCTATTGTATGACGTCAAGGGCCCAAGAACTGCATCGATCTCTCCTTCCTGTTTTGGTGTTCCAGGACAAAGACAAACCAAGCTAGTCCCGGTGTGGAAGTGGCCTTCTATCAAAAAGGCCATGAGGTTCACCGACTCCCACTTCTGTCAGATTGCCTCTTTCTTGACCTCTAAGAATCCCAGATCCGTGCGCTCCTATTGACCGTTGGCTAGAAGAATTCGTCCACCATCGACACAAAGGCATCTCCCGTCCACATACGCCTGGAAGTTGGCTGTTTAGCAAATCTCCCCCTTTTTGACGCAAGGACTGGTCAACTTACCCCAGCTTGGCTGCTCAGATAGAGCACTGCTCCTGCAATATCTTCCAATTTGCCTATCCTCGCCGCTGGCATCGCCTTGAAGAGCTCTGCAAATTGATTATCGCCCTCTTCAACGGGGTTCATTTTGCTGGGGACAACTGTGACCAGGTTCAGCCATTTTCTAATTGCGTGCACGTATTGCTTCCACTTACAGCCTGGATTGATGGCGTTGACTCTGACATACCCTGGATTCAAGGCGTGATCAGCATTACTTTTGGTTCCGGGCTACCAAGGTGACGGGAGGCGACACTCACACCTCGCGAACTTGCTCGCCAATAGCGCGACCAAATGATCAATTGCCGCTTTGCTGGCCGCATAGCTGGTCAAATCGACATTTGTGCAATTATGCATACTAGCACAGCTGCTAGTAATTATCATCACCCCTCGACCCTCATCTCGACCTCTTCGGCCATTCCCAATGTCAAGATTGCTCGCTGCGACCAGCAATTTTAGCAACGCAACTGACAGAAAGTAGTGGGCCGTGACATTGACACGGAATGTATCATCCCAATCTGAATGTCGCGAAGACCACAGAGACTCTTGGAGTTCATCCAAAGATGCAGTTTTGACATCGCACATCTTCGGTGGGTCTCTCCTGATTCCGGCGTTTGAGCAGAGAATGTCCAGGTGAGTTTCATGCTTTTCGAGTTTTTTTGCGACAGCAGCGATCCCTTCTTTGGAAGATACATCACTCGCAAATCTGTGATTTCATCAGTTATTGTGGCGTTACAGCGATGCTTGGTTTGGCAAAACGACTACCCTACAGCCTTCCCCCCGGATGACTGCCCCATGTCATTCAGCTCAGCCACCACCGTTTCAATATCATCCGTCGGTAAGGCAGTGACATATACCTTTGCACCATTCGACACCAGGCCCTATTCCACATCATCAGTCCCACTACTGGTGTGAACACGGAACGGATGTCGCTCACCTTTGCGATCATCAGTCCAAGGCCCGAGCATCCCCCGGACACCAGGGCAACTCGGCCCTTGACGCCAAAGAGATCAGCTACAGAAAGAGATGACATTCTCAACGGGTGACTTGACGCATCTCGGAAGGGTGCGTTCATGGTCTAAAAAGGAGGACAGTAGCGGTGCACCGCGGCCCTTGCCGCCAGAAATCACCGCCCGTTGTTCTCCGTCCTTTGGTCCATGGGCCCGCACAAGTCCGCCAGCTCCCTTCTCCATACTTGATCGACGATTTGGCGGCCAACGGTCTAGAGGATATAAAATTGCTTCTGGTTCTTCAATCCCATTCCTCTCTACTCTCCTAAGGATACCTCGAATTTTCCAAGGGGGACTTCAAACTTGATCGAGGAGACCTTGACAACAATGGCACCTTCGTTAGCTGGGCTCCTTCGAGCCATCAATCACGACTACGCTATCTGGATCACCGTGGGCCTCTTGATTCTGCTTGGGCTGTACAAGGTCATTGACATACTCCTCGTTCAATATACAAAGCTGACGTTAGTAGTGGTCCACTGCCACCGACATCCCGAAAATCAAAGGCATCCCAGAGATTCCTGGTGCTCTACCAATACTCGGACATCTCCAACAACTTGGGCCCGATCATGCAACGGTTTGCGAAGGATGGTGGCGCAAGTATCGACAATCCGTGTTTCAAATCCGCCTGGGTAACACCAGGGCTGTCGTGGTAAACTCTTTTGAAGACGCGCGGCGGATGCTTGTTGGCCATCAAAATGCTGTGATCGACCGACCAACCTTGTACACGTTCCACGGCGTGATTTCCACCACTCAAGGATTTACCATCGGGTCTAGCCCATGGGACGCATCCTGCAAGAACAAAAGAAAGGCTGCCGGTCAGGCTCTTGGCCGGCCTGCGATGCGTGGGTACTTTGATATGTTCGACTTAGAGTCCTACTGTATTGTCCGTGACATCTTCCGCGACAGCAAAAACGGCAAGCTCGAGATCGGTGTGCGACCATACATTCAACGATATGCCCTCAATACTACCTTGACTCTCTGCTATGGTATCCGGATGGACAACGTCTACGACGACATGTTGAGGGAGATCTTGCACGTCGGATCAGCAATCTCACTCCTGCGGTCGGCTTCAGAAAACTATCAAGACTACGTTCCAATCATGCGCTACTTTCCCAACAACGAAAAGATCCGTCGGTCAAAGGAGCTGCGTGATCGCCGTGATCGCTACCTGAACTTTCTCCTCAACAAGGTCCGAGACATGATCAAGAAAGGCACCGATAAGCCTTGCATCAGCGCGGCAATCTTGAAGGACGAAGAGACTAAGCTTACAGGTGTTGAAGTCTCGTCAATCTGCCTCTCCCTTGTCTCGGGAGGTTTCGAGACTATCCCGGGCACCTTGACTTCATGTATCGGTTCTCTTTCCACCAAGGAAGGACAAGTCTTTCAAGACCGTGCGTATGAGGACATCATGCGATACTATCCAGACCCTGCAACTGTATGGTCAAACAGCTTTCAAGAGGAGAAAGTGCCATATATCAATGCCATCATCAAAGAAGCTGCTCGGTATTACACTGTCAGCGCCATGTCACTGCCTCGCAAGACAGTGACCGAGGTTGACTGGAATGGAGCCAAGATCCCACCCAAGACCATGATCCTCATCAATGCTCAAGCCGCCAACCATGACGTCGATCACTTTGGTCCGGATGCTGCGGCATTTAACCCAGAGAGATGGCTGAACGACGAGTATGTGGCGCGGCCATCGGCGACAGTGCCCGAAGAAAAACCCAGTCAGGGCATTCAGCATTTCTCATTCGGCGCAGGATCCAGAGCTTGCTCAGGTCAATTCATAGCAAGCCGACTCTTGTACACAGCGCTTATAAGGCTGCTAGTGTGCTATAAGATCATAGCCAGTGAGACAGAGCCTCCCAACACGGATTATGTCGACTACAACCAGTTCAAGTCGGCATTGGTGGCTATTCCCCGAGATTTCAAGGTCAAGCTTGTTCCCAGATATGATGAGAGCGTGATCCAAGAGGTTATGGCTGCGGCGGCCGAGCGGACAAAGGATTACTACAGTGAAGAAAGCTAATTATAGGTTGGACGACTTTGTCCTACTGTCATCTCTGCCCCGGATCGCGATGCCACGATTGCTCAAGGGCCAGATGAGCCAGCCTGTGTGAAGTCAAAGCGTGTCAGAATCCTTTGGAAAACGACGAGGTCCATAAAAGGATGACCTTGCTCTGTGAGAGTAATTTTGTTGATATTGCACTCCATCTCCTCGTGCTGTGTGGTACCATGTATCCAGCCGACCAGAGTCCATAGTTCTCTTGAGTCCACCAATATTAACTTATGAGCATGCCTCATCTCCTCGTCCCGCTGCAGTCATTGGTCCCTGCCTGCCAGCGATGTCTAGTATTTGTTCCTGCCACCTCGTGTCTGTAGACTGATCGCTCTGAGCGCGCTTTCCCAATCACCTTCGCCAGGAACGAAGCAGGCACCAACGACTCCATCTCAGGTCATGAAGACTTCACATCGACCTTGACCGTAGCTTTATCAGATATATCAACTGATGACTGACAGAAGACATTGCTATATGGCCATATTATCTTGATACCACATTCTCATTGTCGTCATACTCCAACATCTCTTTTCAGTGACTATATCGATCATTCCCCATCCCAGGGGTTCCAGAGCTTTCTGTGAAAATATCATGGCGGCATCGACGGCATCGCTACCCCCCTGCTCGATACTCGAGAAGCAGTACTACATCACCCTCGTCAATCTGATCCTCCCATTCTACTTCTCTCCGGCTCAGTCGATGCCTGACGTGGCGACAACAGACCTTTATCCTTTCATCCACAGTAGTGCTAATCTCTACGAGTTTCCCCACATGCTCACTGCTAGAGCCAGAACAGAGTATTTGACCGCCCATCGAGCCACTACGAGACCCTTGGGGGAATACTTCACAGACACCAAGTACGAAGTGATGGGCGATATGGTTGTTTCGGTCTCGGCTCATCTTCGCCCAACCACAACCTCTGGGCAAACAGGGTCTGAAGAGGACGGGAACTCAGTACCAAATCCACCCGGTAACGGAATTGCTGGGATGAATGTCAAGGCAAAAGTGGCGGTGGAACTGCTCTGGACCGCCACTATAGAAGAGGATTGTGGCGACCATTTGAGAAAGGGCCTGCAAATGCAGAGCAGGATCGCCGTGTTACTGGATTTCCACAATGGGCAGCTCATCGAGCAGAGGCACTACAATTGCTCTTTTCCTCCTTCTCGACCAGCGGGGCCATCAACATCATGATGGGGAGGACAAGCCGTTCGGAGACAACAGCATGAAATTGAATGGTTGGAGGAAAGGATGGCCGTCTGGATCCCGTGCGACCTCAGCATCCACCACTCGGTCAGGCTTCGGGTTTTGTCCTTGTTGTCCATGTCCATGAGAACTATTTTGGGGCCTTCGCATATACATTCTTGTTTGTCACCCGTCGTGGATCCTGGAGAAACAAACGGACATGTACTTTGTAACCTTGACTTGCATTGACGGCTCCGGACATCTGCGTCGCACTCGATCAACCCACTCTTGCCATCATACCTTGAATTCTCTTACACGGAGAACGACGTCGCTTATCACTCCAGTTCAGCCTTGTGGTTGGTGCCTCAGACTTGCAGGATGGAGGTGACTGCCGGGTTCATGTAAATTAATTGCCAATGGAGAATGGAATGAATAGCAAAAGAAAGACGGTATGACCGCTTGCTTGCCAATTTGCTCTATTGATTGATTCACATCTCTGCGTGCCTGCCCCTAGATTTGAATCAACGTTGTGGGTGCTGCGCTAAGCGACGAGTCCTCTGAACATCGGCCGGCTCATCGCCTTAATCTTGCTGGTGATCGCCAGGCCAGTCAAGTCAGCTTACACGGTCTACAAAGGGCCGGTAGGGCCTTGTCCTTCAAGGAGGGAATAAAGGCAGAAAGAATAGTAAAGTTGTAGCGGCAAGCTTTGCGAACAAACAAACCAGGGGGAACCACGCTCAAGTCAGAATGACATCCTCAACGCCCGCCACAGGGGTTGCGGACGTCGACGTCGACGTGCTCATCGTCGGCGGCGGCCCCGTGGGTCTCAACCTAGCGTACCAACTGCGGCGATTCTCGTCTGCGCCGATCAACCCGGATGCATCTGCGACGCCCATCTCGGTGCACGTGGTCGAGATGCACCCCAAGCCGGTGCAGGAGAACTTTGGGCGGGCCGTGACGTTCTGGCCGCGGTCGATGGAGATCCTGGCGCAGATGGGACTCGCGGACCAGATCACGCAGCAGTGCGTGGCGGTGCGGTCGAGCGCCGCGTACGACACGACGGGCACCGAGGTGTTTGGGCGGGGGTGGAGTTTCGTCGAGGGCCTCGAGGACACACGGTTCACGTTTGCGAGCGTACTGCGGCAGAAGTTTGTCGAGGACATTTTCCGAGCCGAGCTGGGACGGTTGGGCCTCACGGTCGCCGAGAACTGCAAGTTTGTGGACCTCGCCGTGGACGAGTCGGTCGAGGCTGGTGGCAGGGGGAGGGTCAAGGCCACGATCCTGGATCGCAGCGCGGGCGAGGGTAGGGACAGGGAATATACCGTCAAGTGCCGCTATCTGATCGGCTGTGACGGGTCGAGGACGCTGGTGCGCGGAGCCGCGGGGATCGAATCTGACGGAGACCGCACCGAGGACAAGTGGGTCAGGATTGACGGCGTCCTCAAAAGCACGACGATGCCCAAGCCCAGGTCCTACGGCGCCATCGAGAGTCCTCTGTACGGCAATGTCCTCTGGATCCCGCTCGACCACGGTGCCACGAGGATCGGATTCGCGCTGAACGACGAGCGGAGGAAACTCTACAAGGAGCTCAATCAGGAGGTGTTTTTGCAAGAGGCAAAGCTGTCCGTCAAGCCCTTCGAGATTGAATACGAGAGGGTAGACTGGGCGAGTGTGTACAGTGTCGGACAGCGTGTGGCGAGGAATTTCTGGGCCAAGGAGGCGGTCTTTATCGCTGGCGACGCTGCCCATAGCCACAGCTCGGGAGCAGGCCAGGGGATGAATGCTGGCATGCACGACGCGGTGAATCTGGGCTGGAAGCTAGCGCTGGTGTTGACGGGAGTGCTGAAGAGAGAAGTGCTCGAGACGTACGAGCAGGAGAGAAGACCGAATGCGCGCAAACTCATCAAGTACGACGAGGATATCAGCGTCCTCGTCTCCGGGCGGCTGCCAAAGGATTGGCCGGGAGATAAAACCGAGGACCCGAATGTCGTTTTGGGAAGGATACTGCAGGAAGCCAAAGGATTCAATACCGGCTTGACCATTGGCTTTGAACCGAACGTTGCTGTTTCAAGGGATGTCAGTGAGGAGGACGCAGAGCTGGTGGCCAAGCGATCGATCATCCCAGCACCGGCCATCGCAGGATACCGCGCTCCAGATGTCCAAGTGTTGACTCCTGCACTGTGGGAGCCGGTGTGGCTGCACACTCTGATGGCAAATCTAGCGAGATTCTATGTTGTCGTCTTTATGGGCAGATCGGCTGGGGTGAAGAGCTCGTTTCTCAAGATGAAGGAAGACGTGCAAAAGAACCAACACTTGAGACTCGATAGGGTTCCGGGAACAGCAGCAACAACAAACGGGGCGCATCTCAACGGATCCTCAACAACCCCGTCTCGAAAATGGCCTGTAGACTTCCTCACCATTCTACCTGAGAAGGTCGGCAATGCCTGGTTCGAGCTGGGGACTGATCCGCTAGGCCGAGTGTATTATGATGTCGACGGTGGCAAGGCCTACCAGAGATATGGAGTCGAGGTCGATTCCGGGGCTGTCTTGGTGGTGAGGCCAGATGGATGGATCGGTGCTAGGTTTGGTCTCGGTACGGGAGACGTTGTTGACAAGATCGACGCGTATCTAGGCGGACTCCTCTACCGATAGATACCTGCATAGATTGAGGTAGTCTGTAAGAAGAACATAGATCGCGACCGTATGTGCCAACAAGGTGTGAAGTGGGTATTGGCTCGTTGGGTAGAGGATGCTGTAGGGAGGACCATTATGTACAAAGCGCAGGGTACGGTGGAGTAAACAACCTCGGTGTTGCCCGCTGCGGAGAAACTGGAGAAACAGAAGTATCGACGCTAATCCTTTTTGGGTTCATGCGGACTTGCGCGAGGTTCCTTATCAGACACGCAGAGCTTCGCTTCCTCTTCCCCAGATGGCCAGTTCAATGATGAAGGTCCATTTGTCGGCACCGGCACCGTGGAGACACGGTCACCACCCGTAAAACTATCGGACTTGATCAATCAAGGCCAGAGTTAAGTGCCACCATGCATCCGTATCTCCTGACTTGCTGGCGCAGCTGCCACCACTTAACTGCTTGTCCATCATGGACGGTTTCGACCTTCTTGTCGTCAACGGACTCGTGGTGACTGCCTCTGACACGGCGAACTACGACATCGCCATCAAGGATGGCAAGATCGCGCTTCTGGCCCCACCGGGCGTGCTGGGCCCCAGTAGTGCGAAGAGGGTGATTGATGCCGAAGGCGGCTATGTCATGGTATGCTGTATTCTGTCTGGTTGTTCGTGTTCTGGTGGCGCTGGTGAGGATTTAAAACGCTGAACAAAACAACTTCCCGTGTTTGTAGCCCGGCGGCATTGATTGTCATGTCCACCTCGAAGAGCCCGCGCTGTTCGGCGGTAAGGGGAGGAGCTCGGACAACTTTGAGACGGGCACCAGGAGCAGTATTTGTGGAGGGACCACGACGATAGTGTACGTCGAGACCACCCGTACAGGGGCTAACGCTGATTACCACCTCTCAGAGCGTTTGCGCCTCAAGCGAAAACCATGCCCTCCCTCCTCCAAGTCCTCGAGGACACGCAGGCCCGGGCCAAGGACAACTGCTACACGGACTACTCGTTCCATATGCTCGTCGGCCACCCGGGAGAACAGGCGCTGTCGGAATTTCCACGTCTGCGAGAACTCGGCATCTCCTCGCTCAAGATATACATGACCTACGCGGCCCTGCAGCTGCGAGATGATGAGATCCTTGACGTGTTGCTGGCGTCGAGAAAAGAAGGCATCACCACCATGATTCACGCGGAGAATGGAGACGTCTTGACCTGGATGACCAAGAAGCTGGAGGAGCGCAAGCTGTATGCTCCAAAGTACCATGCCACATCCCGGCCACAGATCGTGGAGACGGAGGCAACGAATCGGGCGATTGCTCTGGCTGAGCTCATGGATGCTCCTATGTAAGTCATCACCATTACATCCTCCTTTTGGTTTGCAAAAGGCATGGGCTGGTTGGCTAACCAGCACGCCGATCCAGCCTCGTCGTCCACGTGTCATCGCCCAGCGCCGCAGCCCATCTTCGTAACGCCCAAACGCGTGGACTGCCCGTGTACGCCGAGACATGTCCACAATACCTCTTTTTGACCCGCGACGACCTGGATAAACCAGACTTTGAGGGGGCGAAATGCGTCTGTTCCCCTCCGCCTCGCGAGTCTGCCCACGACCACGACGCCATCTGGATAGGTCTCGCCAACGGCACATTCACCGTGCTTTCGTCCGACCACTGCCCCTTCATGTACGAAGACTACGAGAAGGGCAAAAAATCCATCATCAGCGCGGAGTACCCCGAGGGCCGATTCAGCGGCATCCCCAACGGATGTCCCGGGATCGAGACCCGTCTCGCACTGACGTTGAGTGCGAACAGACTCCCCCTGCAAAAGTTTGTCGAAGTGACCAGCACCAACGCCGCGCGGCTGTACGGGTTGTACCCACAGAAAGGCACAATCTTGCCGGGCGTCAGCGACGCCGATCTCACCATCTGGTATCCGCCCGGCAAGCTGGGGACGTTCAAGCTCACCAACTCGATGCTCCACCACAATGTGGACTACACACCCTTTGAGGGGATGGACCTCAATCAGTGGCCGAGGTATACCATCCTCAGGGGCGAGGTGGTATGGGACCGAGACGGCGGTGGGCTGCTGGGCAAGAAAGGGTACGGCAAGTTCGTCCCCAGAGGGCCGAGCACGCTCCCGGGCCCGAGAAAAGCGGGTGAATGGGACGTGAGTGTTTTCTAGGATACTCCCACACTAGAGAAGAATGGAAAGAAATTTTGTCCTGGACGAAGATCATTCATTATGCATATTGTTTTACAGTGTTCCTTTCGCGCCGTCTCTGTACATCTTCCACATTGCTTCTTCTCACTTCATTTTTCTCACATCTTCTGAGTTGCATCGCTGGTCATTTGACCATTATCAATTTCGGTATACCTGGGCGGCGGCGCCTCCATTGCGAGAGACGCATCAGGCATGCCCAAGGAGACGGTGGCTCGAGGCCCAGCGTCATGTTCAACATCAGCGATGCCCCGCACTACTATTGCTGCTGCTTGTTCAGGAACACGGCCACCCTGCTCCGGAACAATGTCTCTGATTGTCTCCCGCGCTGCTCGGTCACGGTAGCCTCTGTAGCCGCGATAGATGCACATCGCGGCGTACGAGAGGCCGCCCGTCGCGATGGCCAGGGGGATCCCGATGGCGGGGTGCAGTGTGGGTTCGCCGCGGCTTATCTGGCAGCGGTAGCACTGGCATGGTCCCTGGGGGTGGTGGTGGTGCTGATGGTTATTGTGGTCGTGACTGTGGCTGTGGTTGGCGCGATGGCAGCAGCATGACTTGTGCGACTTGCGGTTATTTTGCTGGTGATTAGGCTGGCAGTGGTGTTGGTAGTGGTGGCATCGACCTCCCGTTTGATATTGCGTGCCCGCTGTGCTCGAACTCAGCTGATAGGTCGGGCCTGGATGGCATTGTCTGCTTGGCTGGCGAGGCTGGATACCACGGCAGCAATGGTGTGTGGACAGTGCAGGGCCCTTTTCATCGTCATAGTCATATGTATTCCCCATGATCAAGTCTCTTGTCTATGTATCTACAAAGTGGTGGAAGAACCACAGGGAGCTCAATGAGAGTGACGGGGGGTTATATATACTGTAACGCATATGCATATTTTTCCCCCCTCCTCCGCGTATAACGCGGACTGCTACCATCCATAGATCCACAGAAGCGATTCAAAGATCTGGGGCAACCTCTTCAACGACGCATCGAAAGAAAGTGCGGATGAACTCAACCTCCGACGTATACTCTCAAAGTCCGGGGGACTGAATTTGGCAGCCCATAGAATCGTTGCTGCCTAGCTGCAGATCGTCTCGTGGGCAGGAAGCATGTTGTGGTGATTGACATCATTGGAGGTGAAATGGCGAGTATAAGATTCACGGGGAACAAGGGACATCAAGAGAATGAAGATGGTAGGATGGTACTCGGTAATGTTGATTGCAGTCACGGCCGAAAGCCTCGCGAACAAGTCCATTTTCGGCTTAAGGCGCGAAGAGGGTCTTCAAGAGACACCAACATTTTGGATCCATTCTTTTTCTTATACCAATGACGTTTACGCTACTTGGAACTATACCTCCACGACTACATCAACACTTCGCATAGGCAAGAAAATCAAAAGGGATGTCGACCGCCACCGGCTCAGGCTTTGCCCTCCACCAGGGGAAACCGCAGCTCCAGACCACCCTGGTGCGTGTAGACACCCTTGAGATCCCCGACGCTCCGTCTCAGAATCCACTCCTCGCTGGTCAACTCCATCTCCTCCTTCGGCGTCTGGGGCTGCTTGTCGATGAGCCCGCCCTTGAGGCGCCGCAGCACCACGGCGTCTTCCGGGCGGGAGAAAAACACCAGGCTGTGCCGGTCGATCTTGTCCTGCGGGGGCATCGGCGGCACAACGCGATGGACGTTGGACCGTAGCAAGCCGGCGGTGAACTTGACCAGGGCGTCCCCCAGGTTGACCACGGCCGAGCCAGGCACTGGACGCACGTAGACCCAGTCGCTGGTGTCCGGCAGGCGGATCTGCAGGCCGCCCATCCAGTTGAACAAGATGGTCAGGGAGCCAAAGTCGGTGTGCTCACCCAGCCGAGCCCTCTTCTCGTCGAATTTGCCCGGTGCGGACTTGTTGAAGCGCACGTGGTCGCCGGATCGCTCCTCAATGCGGTGCAGCTTGGCCAGGGTGCCGATAGGGAGTTCAAGGTTCTTCTCGAGGTGAGTGAACATGAGATCGATGGCAGCGCGACAGTTGCGGGCGTAGTCACCCAACAATGTCCAGTGCTGCTTGATGAGGTCTGGGCAGGGCAGCGGCTTGCAATTGCCGACGAGGTCATCTTTACGCATCTAGAAAAACAGGAAACAAACAAGTCAGCTAAAATTGAAAAGACGTTTCGGAGAATCGGTGCTGACTGACATTATAATTCTCGTTGCGCCCGATCGTACCGTCTTCCATCTCCCGCTCAGCCAGGATCCGATACCCAAAGAAAGGGTCGAGCTTTTCCCGGGCAAACCGTTCCTTCTCCTCGTTGGGCAGCGCGTGGAACTGCTTCTGCAGGGCGTGCAGTTGTTCGGCCTGCGCCACGATCTTCTCACCCAGCGCGGACCCTTCCATGCTCAGGTAGAAGAAGCCGAGCTCCTTGGAGGCCTTGAAGAAAGTGCGCGACTCGTCCTCATCGTAAGCCTCGAGTTTGGGGAGTGAGATGGAGACGAGGGGTGCGGTTCGTAGGCCTTCGGCGAAGGGGGGATATTGATCGTGCGATGTTTTCAGGACCATGGCTGGGTGATTGTAGGCGTGAGTGTAAGTCTGAATATGAGTTGGTCTTCGCTTGTGGCCGTGCTAGCTAGGAGGAGGTTGGTGTATGAGTGTATGAATGTATGTACCGAGTATTGTGACATGTTACGGTACATATAATTTTCCCTTCCCCTCATTTCCTCACTTCCGCGTCCCTCTTGCACTATACAACAAATCACTCTTTTCCCCCCAACTTGTTGTTTCGATCTACGATCCAGTCGTACTCACGGTTACAACTCCAACGTGCTTGTCCCCGACCCCCGCTTGACTCGGCTTGTCATGTTTGCCGTAATTGCAGCCACACCGCGTTGCCAATGAGAGAGAAGCGCAGGCACGACTGTTGACACCAACGGCCATTCTCCGACAAGCGTCATGACAACTAGGAGAATCAGCCCACGAATATTGACTTCTGCAAGAGTGCATGTACCTTTTTCCATACAGGGAGTCTTGCTGGTTATACCCGGGCATCAATTAGACGTTTTGAGTGTTCTGTTGGAGTACTTCGTTAGTGGCTTGGTGGCTGACATTCGGACCAGATGAGCATTTGCTCTGATAACATTATTATGCTACCTGTTTTCGCCTGATACGACCTCCTTTACGGTCCCGTGTATCGACTCGAACTAGAGCTTCAACCTGTACCTCCTCGCAGTCCAGCTTGCAGTTAAGTTCCGCAGCTCCAAAGTCAATAACGTCCTTTCTCATCACCTGTACTATTCTGAAAATGCTCGATTGTTTCCAGCATGCAGGCATAATCAGGAAAGATGACTCGAAACTTTCTAAGACATGACATGGTTGATCCAACTGAGTCCGAGCGAGAGTGATATTTCACGAACCATTTAGAGGGGCCTTCTTTGTGCGAGCTAAATCTTCACTACCATTGATACAACTCTTTCAGTGTCCAGTAGAACTGGCCACCACACATCCAAGGAAACTCGAAGAGTCATGGACGGTACGCAAAGCCCTCCAACGTGCCTCTCAGGGAAGCACTAAACTCTCTGTCACGAACGGCTTTCAATTGCCGGATTCTACGGCTCAGAAACTGTGACAATAAGTGGGTGCCCAGGTTCTCGCATATAGTGGTGAGAATCTCAAGTTGGCCTGAAAGAAGACATGATACACTCGAAGGCTGTGAAGGTGGAACAACGGCATTGCCAGTGTTCAGTCACAAGAACATCCAGCACCTCAAGAGTAGCAGTATGCGAAACGGAAACCTAAGTCCGTTGACAAGGCTCGACACGGAGATCGAAACACGCAGATGTCCCCAAGATGGAGTATGTGTGTAAGGGAGTATATCACCCATGACACTTGGGAATTTAGCCTGAGATGCAGCATAGTACACAAGCCTGGGGGCCCATCAAGCATTTCGCTAAATATGCTTTGACACTTGCTTGATTCCAACCTCTCTAGCAGTTGATCAGGAAGTGATGTACTAGCCTGGCCCTTTTCCTCACCAATGTCCTCCTCTGCGCCTCTAGACACGGCTCCGTGGCAATGGAGGTGATGACTAGCAATGCAATTATCTGCGAGAAGCTTATATCACCCGGCTAAAGAGACCCTCTCACGCGCTATAGCTCAGCCTATAGGCAAATTTCGATACCTTCCCCCATGGGAGCGCGCCCCTGGGTGGTTCTTCTCTGTCAGTATGAAGAAACTCCCCGGCTACTCGGCACAAGGCTATGTGGAGAGCCTTACCAGCTCCACCTGCCCCAGGGATGCGGGGAGAGAAAGGGAAACAGCTGCTGCTAACATCATCTCCATCATCCAGTGAACACGCACACACGCTAGAACTGTTCAAGGGTCAACCTGCTTGTGGTTTATCAAACCCAAAGAAACTAGTGCTTCTAGCTTCAACAGCGTGGCCAATTCCACCAGACCACCTCAAGCTTCTTCTGACGTGCAATGCACCGAGTGGGAAATGGCCAAAAGGTTGGAAAAGTTCGTCCAATACGACAACAAATTCTGTCCATCTTGCGCGCTACCTGGCCGAAGCAGAGACAAATGGATATACAACGCACAAAACCCGTGACCCTGGGACGTAACACAGGACGACGATCGTCTCTTTCCCCCTAAGGAGTTCTCTACCGAGGATTTCTCTCCGTTTTCGTGTTCGTGATTGTGAGATGAGACTCTCTCTTTGTACCTGGTGACCTACCCGGACCATTACCCCGTTGATCACCGTCTCGGTTCTCCCCCACGGGGAATGAACAGACAGATTGGGGAGCAAGACGTGGTGGGTATGGGTCGGCCAGCAGAGGAGGCGGGGTATGAACGGTACACTACAGCATGGTCTTGTGTGAGCATGGGATCACTGGCGAGGATTGCCATGCTGGATGTCGAGCTAAACTAACGATTGCTGCCACTACAATCGCTGGGTTTTGTGTCCTAACCCGGTGCAATGGCTAATTATATGGGACACTGTTGGAGATATAGCTTGGGATATGGATACAGCTTGCTACATAAGCTGGCAGCTTTGTCCTTTTCGCAACCTGGGAAGTCTCAGTTAGTCGCCGATTCTCCCTCCCCCCTTTTCATCCCATTTACTCCGCATCATAATGGATTCAGCCGCACACACCACACTCACAGTGTCGGAGGTTCTTGCATTGGAAGACAAGAAAGGCCTTGGCCTGACACCCGCGCTGATCAGGCTCTACCTCGTCCTGGCCCCAGCCACCCTGGTTGTCTGCGCTACGAATGGCTTTGATGGCTCCGTCCTCAACGCTCTTCAGGGTATTGACAGGTGGAAGGACCAGTTTGGGCATCCAGACGGGGCATTGCTCGGGATAACGAGCTCAGCATATGCCCTGGGTGCGATAGGGTCGACACCATTCTCTGCCATTGTGTCCGACCGCTTCGGCCGTCGATGGTCTATCTTCATCGGCAGCATCATCATGATGCTCGGAGTCGTTCTGCAATGTGTGAGCAAGAGCATTGGGTTGTTCATCGGCGGCCGTGTGGTCGTCGGCTTCGGCATCAGTCTTGCCCTGGCTGCTGCTCCGATCCTTCTCGCCGAATTGGCCCACCCGCGACACAGGGTTTTCTTCTCCGCCATGTACAACTGCAGTTTCGCCCTCGGCTCCGTGCTTGCGGCATGGGTCGCGTATGGCAGCGTCAACATCCCGAGCTCGTGGGCGTGGCGTCTCCCCACGCTTTTCCAGGCATGTCCGGCACTTATACAGACAAGTGCGATCTGGTTCCTCGACGAGTCACCTCGCTGGCTGTGCTATAAGGACCGAGGCGACGAGGCCTTTGCGATTCTGGTCAAGCACCACGGCGGAGGCGACCCGAACCATCCCCTGCCCATTGCCGAGTACCACGAAATGTGCGAGGCGCTGCAACAGGAGAAGCAGATGAAGCACCGCGGACTCCGCTTGTTCGTGCAGACGCCCGAGAACCGGAAGCGGCTCATGATCCTGATCGCCCTCGCCATCTTCGGGCAGTGGAGCGGCACGGGTCTCATCTCGTACTATCTCCCCAAGATCCTGGACAGCATCGGCATTACGGGACAGCAGGAACAGACGCGGCTCAACGGCATCGTCACCACAGTCAACTACGTCACGTCGTTCTGCGCCGTCATCTTCGCCACCAAGGTCGGCCGCCGGGTCCTATTCGTCGGCGGCGGCACCTTCATGTGGCTGTCGCTGGTGGGGTTCGCGACGTCTGTGGCGCTCTACAACGAGCACAAGTCGACCAGCGCGGGCCGCTCGTCGCTGGGCTTCATCTTCATCTTCAACACGGGCTACAACTTCTGCCTCATCCCGACGCTGTACCTGTACTCGACCGAGATCCTGCCCTACCGCCTGCGCGCCATGGGCCTCTCCATCTCCGTCTTCACGACCAAGGCGTCCCTCTTCTTCAACCAGTTCGTCAACCCGATCGGGCTCAGCTCCATCGGCTGGAAGTACTACTTTGTCTACGTCGCGTGGGTCGCCGTCGAGGTCCTCATCATGTTCTTCTTCTTCCCCGAGACAAAGGGCCATACGCTCGAGACCATGCCCGAGGTCTTTGGCGAGCGCGTCCTGGACAACAGGGACAAGAAGATCATGGTCAATGACGACGATGATGTCCACGTCGTCGAGTTGGGCGGTAGTCCCAAGGGGTTGGATAGGTCCAAGGGGTATGTTGAGCATGTCCAGGATGTGGGTGTCTAGACTGGGACTACCTGATATGAGACACGCTGTGTGGGAAGGGATGGATTTGGAGAAACACTAGAACTGAGCTATTATGGATGGCCTTTGCGAGAAACGCAAGCATCGAGACACGCTGTGTCAGAAGGGATGGATTTGCTGGTGGATCCCCAGCCTTGAAGTACTGAGGATCAAATATCAGACAGCCAATGCAGAAAAAGAGACAGGGAGGCTTCGAAGGGTGAATGTCGTGGCTACCGTGCGCTGAGGGTGCTACGCTACAGATGGGGAAGGTAAAAATTCTAAGAAATGTGCCATTGATCGCTTCGTCTCATGCCCCCGATTCTCGATGGCGAATTTCGCGTCGTGACCCATCGCCAGGCTGGATGTGGTGTTCGTTGTAAAGCTGTCAGGGAAAGGCCTCGGCACATCCTCCCTCCCGACTTCATCCTCCTCCTCCTTCTCCTGAGGCTGAATATCTTCCATTTACAGAATACTGGTCATACGCACCGAACCTTCGGCAAGCATATTTAGAGGCTAAACACAAGGTGAAAGGGCCAAGAAAAGTGGTTCGAAGAGCAGATCATTTCCCTTGGAGAACCGAGGAAATCGATGTGTGACGATAGCCTGACGCGACCTCGTGCTGTGTCCAAGTGTGTAGGGACAAGTAGGTAGGGAGATTGACCGCGTCGACGATGTGCCTGTGACTGTGCCTGTGCCCCGGGGACTGGGATTGCAAACAGAGTTGCGCGGGAGTGGTTCCACGCGCCTGGACATCTCCAGGCGGAGGCGACAAGGCCAGGGCGAGACGAGGCAAAAAGGCTTAGCTCGGTAACGAGACTTTCGGTTGTGATCGGGGGTTATCGACAGGACAAACGCGAGGCTGGCGATATCCCGGAGGTCTCCTCACGCCACAACGCTTTTGGGTGTCCTCGGGGTGTGAGAAAATGGCTCTAGCTTGAATAAGCATCACATTAAGCATACCTCGTAGATATTGTATAATTAGAGGGTTAGTGTTGCCCGAAATGGAAGGAGGTCATGTTCACAGACGCAGGTAAAAGAGAAGAATGAGTTGAGATGTCAATGCGAGTATTTGTAGTGCCAAGTCTCCTGCACATGACCTTCAATAAGCCCTCTGTCATTACAAATTCCCATCTTGTCCTTTGCCGCTAAAATGCCAGAATGCATCAAAATGGCGCTAAAATGACACTAGCAATTTGCATCATGCGAGTCATTTTCCCAACTTCATCCCCAGTGCCTGGTTCTGCAGGTTCTGTTTCCGTTTCCTTCCTGCAAGTCAATACCCCAAACCCCCTCGGCTTTGATCGAATCAAATCTCTCGAACTTCTTTGTTCCTCTCGCTAACTTCTCTCGCTGCGGCAACTGCTCCCAAGGCCTCCGTGATCAGGTGGATTACATGGTGCCGCCTGTCGCCCAGGAGCTCTTTGCCCAAGCTGTACGCTCCCACGGCTTCCTCCAAAAGTCGTCTGGTGTGGCCTGGACCCTCCAGGTGCTCGTGGTGATGTTCATGATGTGAGTGCCTACGTGGACGAGGTGAATGGCGATGATGTTGTTCCTCATCGCTGCTGCTGATGTACTCATCTTCCTCGCGTTCCCGTTTCTGCTTCTGGAGCAGATGGAACGCTCCGACAGCGACCGCTGCGCCGACAGCAGCCTTGACATAGTGCTCGTTGGCGTCCTTATAGTCCTCGGCGACTGCTTTGCCCAGTTCGTTGGCAGCATAAACACCACTGGCGGCCATGGCGGCTACCTCGAAGTTGGTTTTCAGGGAGTGCAGGCCATCGTTGTGTGGTTCAGGCATTGCTGATTCTCTTTGTTGCTTTTTTTCTTGGTCATGAATATGGATTTGTTTATGGGAGGATAGATCCCAACGCGTCGTCAAAGGAGAACAGACACAAGCTCTTATACTTGTGGGGTACGAGGTGGAGAAACTTCTGGGTCCCTCGACATCAGGTGCTCCAACAGAGATCAGCCTGCTGGACCGGCCCGTCCAATGATAAATGTTGGGCTTGTTGATGTATACGAGCATCAGGTTGACACTTCGAAACTCGACCACTTTGCAATCAGGATATTGGTTTACGGCCCTTTACTCCTGCTTGCGAGGTTGCTCGGACGCCTTTTCACAGAAGGTACGATGCGAGGCTGAACTCTCGAATACGGCCGGTTACTGGCGATTGATGCCATCTCTGGCATCCCCCGGGCGTAACCATGCGAATCAACTAACTTCTATCACGCAAGGCACGGCTGCCTATACCTTCAAGGAGGGCAAGAGCAGACTGACCAGCTTCGTTTGCCAAAGTACCCTGCCTTTCGACGATCATACCATAGCTACATTGGGAGGCAGAGCCAGCCACAAACCATTTCATACGAATCAGTCTCGACTGCGTCGGGGACCCACCCTCCACCATGAAATCCGGACTGTGTGCCAAGGGAGCTGTCCGGTTACAATATGCCCATTTTGATGATAGTGTCCTACCCAAAGAGGCACGCTGCTGTTCGTATCTCGCTGGTGGCCCAGGTAGGCAACATCTCCAGCTTGGCCACACCGGCGGTCATGTCCCCAGACTTTGCTAGCTCACGCGACCAACAATTTGATGAGCTTCCGAGGCTCTTTTTCCATCACACCACACTTAAATGCCAGAATACAACTACTCTAAAAGCAGCCACCATTCAAGGTAGTCTTAATACCAAGACACTTATTGTACGAATAGAGAATCGCTGGATGCTTCAAGGTGGAGTGAGCTCCGAAATGGTCCGCTCTGCCACGTGATTCTTGGGTTTGATTCACCGGTTACACTGCTTCGCCATCATATATATACTCATGTGACCAATTGTTGGTGGCTCCAAGTGCTGGAATACGAGGATACATAAAGGGGTATGTTGGGACATCCGAAGCGAAAGATAGGAAAATAGGGAGTGTCCCTAAATACCATCAGATCAGACGATATAAAGCAACCACAATGTCTCCATTGAACCTCAACACAGTGTTGAAACCGCCACATGTCACATTCGACTCGCGGGGCCCGTACCACCGCTCGTCTATACGCTCGGTATTCGACTACCTCGGATCCGGGGAGCTAGACTCGGTTTTCAACCAGAAACACCACCGACGCCACAGCCAAGGGCAGTCGGTGTATGAGGAGGACGTCGTCTTCCCGAACTTCACCGTCAGGGAGTCGTCCGAAGCGTACTTTCTAGAAGGGGATTTCCCGGGCATCCACAACCCCAACGACATCAGGATCGAGAGACTGGGCTCTCAAGGCCTGCATATCGAGGCACACGTGCCGGAACTGGACCTGTACCACGAATGGGGCAACAACTTTGGGATCTGGGCGGGCAGAGACGCGCGGGTGGAAAGAGGAACCAGCGACACCGCCGCGGCTGTCGCCGAGGGTGGTGGTCACGGCAGTAGTGCAAAGCCCAGGGCCGTCGACATAAGGAGCCGTTCACGGGATCACGAGCACGAGCACGAGCACGAACACGATCATGGCCATAAACATGAACACACCGATGCCGTCGAAAGCAGCAAGCCACGCAGCGGCGAGAACGACGCAAAAGTTCCCGCCAAACAGGCCGATCCTGCGAGACCCAACAAGCTGCACCGCAGGGAATCCTCCTCGTACGGTGACATGGACGAGCCGACGACAACGTTGCTACTCTCTGAGCGCCACGCAGGCCGGCTCCTCCGATCATTCACTTTCCCCCAGCCGGTCGACATGGACAGGATGCGAGCGCGGCTCAAGGACGGGGTGTTGCGGATCGCGCTGCCCAAGGCGTCGGTCCGGGAGAGGCAGTCGAGCTATAAGATTGAGTATGGCGGGTGAGTGGTGGGGCTGGCTAGCCTTAGCTTTAGGTGCGTCACCTCGACTCTACGTGTATACGGATATGATGAAGATGGGGAGGTGCTCGGGAGCTTTCTGTTTTGTCCGCTCAGCAATATCCCTGTTCATCCCTTGGACGTCGAGCATCAGGCTTTCTCGTCAAAGCAGTCTTGGTGTTTTTGTTTTGATAGTCCTATCGAAGAATCAACCGCCACCGAGTCCGCGCTGATAAGCGATAAGCGGCAAGCAGGGTGGCCGCAAGTCACCATGTCTTGGAAAGAAAAAAAAAAAAAAAAAAAAAAGAACTGGATGAAATACAAGCAGGTATGCCAGTAGGAGCAGAGGGGGGATAAAGTCGCGCTTCGTCACCATGAGCCATGGGCCATGGGCCTACTCGTAACAACTCGTGCTGTGTTCAACCCCCTCCCCGTCTGTGAAAATGTGGATTGGAGGGGAAGCATGAACACCATCATGTCGCAGAACTGTACAATCCAATCAAATCGCTACTCATACCTGTGTCCTCAATGATGCGCTATGTACTCGGTATGTATGTATGTCTCTGTCCTTGTCCTTTGTCCTTGTGAGGAAATTCAAGGTCCCTCATCCTCTGCCTCTCCCGCGTCCCTCGTCCCTTCGTCCTACGAGTACGAGGTACACTTGGCTTCGTATCTTGTCTTTGTTCGGAGTAAGAAGGCGAAGTTACATGGACGTTAGTCTACGGGGCACCGGGGATGTGTGGTTGGATCCACTTTTCTCTCCCTGATCCGGCTCCCCCCCTGCCCCCCCCCCAATTCCCTTTTTCGGTAGAGCCTTGCCTCATCACACACTCGATGTTTGGTGATTGATAAGGCAGCAAATACAACGTACAACGTACGTACATTGGTATATATATATATGTACCTCGTACCAGGTACTAAATAGTAAGTACTCGTGCGAGATACGGAGTATAGATCACTCGTCACTAATCATTCGTCAGGACAAGTCTACCACTCCGGGACCCTCTCCGGTCAGCGATACGAGGGAGGTATAGACCTCTAGTCTAACCCTTCTACATGTTCTACTGTAGGTCACCAGGGGACGTAGACCGTGTCGTCGGCATTGTTTATTCCCTGCTGGCATCTTATCATGCACGGGCTTAGCAGAAGCCATCTTCGATCAGATCCGGGATGTGTTTCTTGATGTAACTGTCTTACACTGCCTTGTCCTCTTCTCTCGATCTTGAACCTGTACTCGTCATCGACTCCTCTCTCGCACTCTCTCTTGGATAGTTCTTCGCAGCGCAGTTCATAATATATTCGTCAAGTATGTTTGTCATTCAAGGTCCGAACTCCTCACCATTCACAGGCGATGAGCATATCTGTAAGCGTTCCGTTTCCAATCCCAACACCACAGCTCGAGCCATACCATGGATTCCACTTCCGGTCTTCGTTGTCACATTTCATCATGATATCGTAGCCCTAGCAGACCAAAACCACCCTGGAGCCTCGGTCGCAGTCGCCAGTGGAGTGCATTCCCCCTATCATCAGGCGACGTCCCATTATTGCCATCCTCAGTAGACATCTTGATCATGTCTGGCCGTCGTTGGATTCTAGCTCTGAGTCATCATCACTGTTGTGAACCCACATGTCCTCCACGCTTTGCGAAGTTTGCTTATTCCCCTCGGCCTCATCACCGGGCCAACCCCCCGGTGCAGGATAGGTACTCTCGACAGAATAGTATTGGGCCTTGATGCGAAAACCAGAGGGATTGTGTACATCCATCAGATCCGCATCTTTGCGACACGACAATTGGACGTACCACTTTTTGTCAAGGAAATGTTCAGGAAATTCCTCGACAGTGTCTGGATGGACGCGGCACTCGATCGGTCCCTTGGCGATATACTTATGTTGGCCGATGAGGTAGCTGCCAATTTTCACCTGTGCCCTTCCCAGTATCTCTAACCAAAGGTTCAAGCCGGTAGTCAGGGCGCCAGCGGCACGTTCTGGCTCCCAGCTACCATACCTGGATACATAAAAATCAACACTGACTCTGGCGGCTAACGTGAGCGGTTGTTCTACGCGCAGAGACTCGACCATCTCGATTGCACCAGCCTGCACCAGTCGTTCGAGCATGATCCTGAGGCAATTCAGATGTTCGTCCTCGGCAAATGGCAGGCGGGGGAGGAGATGGTGTAGGACAGTCATACCAGGTATAGTGTGGATTGTCGCCAACCTCGACAGATCTGTGATTTGTGAGAAAACGACGTATATCCTGCGAAGATTGGCATGCCAGATGCGACACTGCATTAGGACCATGGACATATAGTAAAGATCCAGTTCCTGACCGACGAGGTTGATCCTCTCGGGCGCTATCAGCCATTGAAAATCTTCTGGCGAGATTTGGGACAGATGGCCAGCTGGCATGTGCGTGGGCCCGTCAATTTGATCCGCATCGCCCGACACCGGTGACCAGCCAAACTCAACGCAGTCCTTTTCATGCTCGACGAGAGCACGCACAGTGTCCGAATTCGCCACAATTTGGGGATCTTCCCAGCAGAATTCGGTCACGGAACCCTCCCAATATGTGTTCCATGGATTTATATGTGACCAGAGGGCCATGACCGACGCCTCTGGAAGGGGCATGCCACCCACAACAAAATGCAGAGCAGTTCTGGGGAAAGTGGTCAGCCCAAGACAGCGAGACCGGGAAAGAGGCATACAGTTGAATAGTTGTGTGTCCGTAATAGCTCCGAAGTACCGTGGTAGTCGTGTCTGCACCTGCGTCGAGAAGGATACGACACACATCGGCATGTCCGTAGTACGCAGCAACCTGCAGTATCCTGATAGTCAGCAGTGCCGCAGGTGGTGAGTGTACCTCCTCCTCAGCTTATGTGGCAGACCAACTCCAACACTATTTTGGACTCGACGCACCATCAAGGGAGTCACTCCTTCGTATGTAACATCTGATGCGGAAGATTTTCCTCCGGCAATAGACGTTCCCACGCCAATGGCGTCACCTGCAGCACAAAGGTGAAATATCTCTGCGTCAGGTGGAACGAGGCGGTTGATTTGTAGCGTCAGCTGGAACCTTTGTGGACGAGAGTCGAACATGAAGGCAACCAAATTGTTGAACATCCAGGACGCAAATGAAACAGACAATTTGAGACCGTTCTCGGCGGTACTGTTAGTAGTCTCAGCTCCATCCCGAGAGTGCTGGCCTCTGATATACACATTTCCTATCCCAATATTGTACTTGGCAAACCAAGACCTGGAGCTGGTATTTGCAATTCTCCTTTTCGTAGCAGACGATTCGAGACCGAAAGATGTCGTACAAGGAAGACCAGCTGCCTCTGAAGGTTCTTCTGCGGTGGACTCTTGGAGTATGACTTCCCTCTGGGGCGCACCGGGTCTCGAAGTTGGATTGGTCAATATCGCAAGGACGAGGGTCGACTTGGCTCTCTCGAGCGTGCTCTGTAATTTCACAAATCGCTTCCTGTTAAAGGCAGCCTCGACCTTGGCCCAAGTCATCACCCGCCTCGAGCTTGAAGTTCGCATCGTGCTTTCGAGTTCTTGCGCCATATGCCGGAGGATCTCGAGGACTTTCAGGCACTGGTCGAGGGCCTGCTTCTGTACCAGAGTCGGCATCAAACAGGTCTTGTCCGCCGCTCCAGAGAGGTGGAGGTATTCGGCGAGGATGGTACGGAGCAGGTCGGCTTCGTCGAGAATCTCGCGCATCTCGACGGGTGCGTCGCGAATGTTGGCCCGCAGTTCGTGCAGCTTCTGGGACACTTCGAAGAGCTGGAGCGCGAGGCTGGCGAGGCCCGCACCGCCGGCTACCACGCCCAGAACAGCCTCAGCCATATCTGTGGAGTAGAAGACAGAGAGATCGAGTCCTGGAAGGATCGTCGAAAAGCAAAGGGGGATGTGACCGGTCGAGGCTCCCAGCGGGGGAAAGTGGTCAGCAGATACCAAAGCACGAGTGGCGCATTATCGATACTTTCTCTTCTTATCCCCTAGTTTTGGTATGAGCCAACGTACTCAAGACGAAGGAGCAAAGGTCAGAATGAAAGAAGGCAAAAGGGAGGGCCATGATGGAAAGTAAGATGGTGGTCAGAGGCTGTGTCAGGCCTGCAATATGTGCCTGGTGAGGCTGAGCCAGTTGCGCTGGTCGAATAACGACTCATCTCCTGCGCCCCCGAGAATCAGCCTAATGGCTACAATCAGGCGCTGGGTGCTGCATCTCTTCCAATGTGTACAAGTACTCGGTATAGGTGGACTAAGCCCGAGTATGCATTGCAACACTTCTCGGCCTGCTCAGACATCCTGAGGCCACAAGGTGTGGTCGAGCAAGGTTGGTATTACTATCACTCAACTTTCCGCAAATACTCTGGTTATCATTACAGTCGCTAGGGGGCGGATATATCGCTTCCCTTTAGCACAACTGCTTGTCATATTGGGTTCATATCCGCCAACACCAACTGAAGAGGCCTACCGCTCCTAACGCCATGTTTCTGTGGCAATTGGACGGGTAGCCTTGAGAGCCATACCTAATGACTTCTCCGAACCTGGTCAGCAGTCTCTTCGTCAATAACTTCGAAATTGGCATCCCGGATCTGAGGCTCGTGCTCGTGTTCCAGCCTCTCTCGCTTGTGCTTCTCCACCTTCTTGATGGCTGTCTCGGTCAAGGCCTGTCTCTCCATCTTCAAGGCCACGTCCTTCTTGCGCGTCTTTCGATCTCCGATGGCGATCAGGATACCGCCCGTGATATTGCACGTGATGGAGCACGTCAGGATGGTCGCAGTCAGGGCTTGCGGGCGGGTGTGGTAATCAATCGCCCACGTACAGGTACCGAGTGCGATCTGGAAGAGTGAATGACAGTCCAGTAACACAACGATCGCCACCAACAAGCGTAACGGGAAAGCATAGTGGGTGCTTGTCTCGTGGGGCTTGTAGAAGGAATGCGATTTGGAGAATTTGGCTTGGTGGTGTATGAGTCTTTGCTGTTGCTTGTGCGTCAAAACAGAAAACTCATGGTCTTCTGGAGCCCCAGACTCGGGGTCGACTTCCTTTTCTGATTGAGCTGGGAGATCGTTGCGGTCGTGCAGTTTCGGTAACCCCTTTTCTCGGCGCAACCTCCACGTCAGGTGGTGATAGTGAGCAATAAAACACATGTGATATGTGTCGACCGCTCGAAATGGCGCCATGCCATCACCGACGATTGCAAAAAGAGCAACAAGAACGTTGTCGATTACGTTGATTGTGTATCCTTGTCGGTCTCCGACGTAGATCCAACCTGAAGAAACACGATTAGCATAGGATATTGTGTCCAGAGCATGCATCCCAACCTACCGATTAAGAAAAGAACCCAAGCCAAACCAAACAGGGTAATTAGAGTTGCATATAAAAACACGAAAAATCCAAGTGCTGTTATCACAGTTAGCAAATAGACACGAACACGGGCAGCTCTTGACAAACTCACGTTTCTGAATATATTTCCCAAATGCAACCATTCTCTGTTTAAATTTCGATCGTTTGGAGTGTAGCATGTGCCTGACATGATCGTCAAGAGCCTCCTTATCTTCCTCGCTCCATCCTTCTAGAGAGACGCCATGCGGTAGCACGGCGAAGTGCGAATCCGTGACGACAGACGAAATGCTGTGTGTGCGTTCCATCTGAGGTTTGCGCTGGTACGACCAGGTCCGCTCCATGGGGGTCGGCTCAACCGATTCCTCTTCTCCTGGGACTGCTACGGGGGGCTCTTCTGAAGGAGCCCCTTCGGTGCCAGCTGGAGGCACACCCACTTCCTTTTCTTCAATTGTGTCGGGTCTCCGGGTCTGCGTCGGTCGACGACTCAGTGTGTATGTCGGTCTTCGGTTTATCCATCTGCCCAAATCTGGGACAAACAGGGAATTTTGGACGTTGTTTAGCGTAGTCAGGGTCGAGACTTCGGGGTCTAGAATTCAATCAGCATTGCCCAAGTTAACACACTATTATTCATAACTTACCGAGCACATCGAGTAAGTCGACAACTTCGTTTTCGTATTCAGGTCCTGGCCGCTCTCTCGAGGTATCGCTCATTCTGCTGATGATGGAGCGGGCAGCATTGCCGATGCTCCGTCTCCTACCTGGAACGCCGGTCACGTTCTCGTTCATGGCGTCGCGATCCACGGCGCCATCTTCTTGATTCGGTGCCGATGGGGTTTCGGCAAGAGTTGGTAGAAGTGACTGTCGCGTACTTTGCCTCGTTAATGTGCCTGAGCCCGAAACACCCAAGTTCGTACGTTGTGGTGCAGAATTGCTACGTCTTCTACCAGACCCGGAGCGGCTGGGAGGTCGACTTGATGTTGAATCCCCATCTTGTGCTGCCTGTCGCAGGTTCGAAGAGGGTAGTCTCCTGATTCCTACTGGTCGCAATCGATTGATCTGAGGAGGAGTATAGATGGTTCTCGTCACGGTCGGGTTTGTGAGGGTGGCATTAGTTATAACAGTGTTGTCGGGCGTGGACGCAACGACGGTAGGGGTTTGGTGCGAGGGTTGGGTGGAGGTTATGGTATAGGGTCTCCCGCGATGGGGGATATGTACGGTGGTCGTCGTAGTCGTGGTGCTGGTCGTCGTGGTGTTGTTGTTGTTAGTAGAACTTGGTCCGGCCGGCGACTCGGGTATCGAAGGGAAAGGCTCGGTATTGGAGTTACTGACGGAGCTGATGCGCCGCGAGCCAGGCTGTGATGAAGACATTGCGTGACCACTGCCCTCGGGGACGCTGCATCAACGACACGAGTATAATGAGGTTCCGTGACGGGGGACAGAGATACTGGATAGGCGCAGGTATGCGAGGGCGCAGGCGTAGACACAGAGAGCTGACTGAGCGGAGTTGAAGTTTGAGTTCCCGTGTCCGGCGATCCTTCAGAGAGATGGCGACACGCAGTCAGCCCGCCACCGCTCAACGCCCACTGAGAAGTCGATAACACGGATTATAGGGAAGTCCAAAAGGGAGGAACCAGACACAGCTGATCAGAAAAAGCGGATACAGCAAGATGCCGATGAGGTTGCTGGAAAGAGAAAGCCACAAAAACACCAAGTTTGGGGCAGCGTTGCTGGTCGGGGCTTGGGGGACTTTTCCTCTTTCTGTGCCTTGCCTGACCTGACATTGGTCCACCCGTCCTTTCAAGTTTTTGTTTTCGGGGGGCCTCCTCCAGTCGATCCCCAGTGATCCCAGTGGTGCGCGGCGCCTAAGCAGAATCGATCGAGGGGAGAAAATCTCCCTTGGGCACGCCTAGCGAACTAGCCAACTGACTAAACTTGTGCGATTGATTCTATTAGACACTAGTGCATTGACTTGAGAGAGCCTAATTAGATTAAGCAAGTATTCATCCAATCAATCTGCAGTCTAAGCTCTGTTCCCTAAACCCTAGTGCCGCTAGGCTCATGTACAATGACACGGCATTGACGTCGTTGTGCACGCTGAGTCACGCCGGTGACCGTGACAAACGCCAAGACAGCAACAATCCAATCTGATCAAGGTGCCCAGATCGAAATCATTTGTCAGCCCCCCAGTCCTCAATTGAAAACTCTCCTCTCCAGACCGTCCACACGTTGTCCCTTTCGGGCCGTTCAAGGCCTTTTATTCCGGACATCCGGGCGGGCAGCTTTTGTTTACGTCTACTAGGCTACCATGACGATGGGAGTTTATTATACATATGTACAAAGATATGCCTTTCCGTTTTCGGGGTTCTCTCACGCGTCTCCAGATTTTATCCATTGTTGATGTTTTGCATAATATTGATCACTTGACAGGGACTGTGATTGGTCGAATTCGTGGTGATGGCCATTAGCATATAAGTACGGCGTACCGAGTACGAGTACGAGTACGTGAGTGACTGTGATTTTCAAGTTGTTCTGAAAACCCTCGGCTAGTATCGAAATGGAGATGGACTTTGCTCGCCATTTTTCATGCTTTGATCCTCTAACTACATACACAAGCCTAATGGGCTGGCCGTGGCTGGCCTAGTTCAAACTTCGCCAACATCCCCCCTATTGGAACGATCCCCTAGAGCTTGGAGGTTTTGAACCCGTGCGCAAATGTTGGGGGATCGTTGTCGACCTCCTCCTGGAGCCACTTGATCATACGTCTCGCCGCCCTGCGAGGGCCCATGCCGTCGGCATATCCCATGAAGGGCTCCATGTGTGTGTATCCCATCAAGTCGACGATGCGTGGGTGGATGCTGTCCAGCTTCCTCGGATCGACCGCCAGGATTTGATTCTCGATCGGCCGGACGAAAGGCTGGCAGTACTGCACCGTGGCGCTCTGGCGAGGCTTGTCCGAGAAATTGGGTCCGCCGCCGTGCCATAAAGTTCCGACGAAGTAGATGACGCCGCCTTCGGGACAGAGCGCCGGGATGGTCTCTTCGGGCGTGCCTCGTCGTGAGCTGTCCCATTTGTGGGAACCGGGGATGACTCGTGTGGCACCTGATATGTTCTCAGTCAAGACAGGAAGACAGCGGAGTTGGATTCGAAAAAGACTTTACCGTTCTCAGCCGTGTATTCATTCAAAGCGACCATTATCGCCGTTCCAAACGGCAACCTTGGGCGGGGAGACTTGATGTAATAGTCATCGTGATGCAACGCCTGGGCCTTCTCACCAGGGTTGATCGAGATGGTGTGATATGCCGATAGCAAATACCTGTTTCACATGTGCGGCCGCTCTGAGTCAGACGGGGATCAAATTTGAACGAGTGTAATAGATATTTCCCTGTTTGTTCGCCTGTCTCTTTCTCCCTCTTCATGGGAAAGCCCACCGCCACTGTCACTCCAGCATGCCGACTGCCGTTGCACAACATAGCTATAGCCACAGCCATATCACGGGCACGAAACGGCATTGAACGGGGATTACGACGCCAAAGAGATAGAGTCATACATACCCCGGATCGAGGAAGAAGTCGTTCAGCGCCAACACGCGAGGAAGGATGACAAACTTGTCAAACACCCTCGTCTTGTTGAGCAGCGAGTAGATGCGGTTTGTGTTGAGGCCCTCGAAGCTGTTGCGGCCGGTCAGCGGCCGCTGGCCGGTCGAGTCCTTGTGGAGAAGACGCGTGATTTCGTCGCGGGCCTCGCGGGCCTCGTCTGCGCTGAAGCAGTTGGGAATGACCACGTAGCCGTGCTCGAGGACATGCTCGATGTCGGCGCGCACGGCCGGGTCCGAGGGCAAGGCTCGACGAGCCAGGGCTTCGGAGTAGAAGTCGAACGAGCTGGTTGGGGACTGTGTCGTTGGTGTTGACGTTTGTTGCGCCATGACGGCTTTGGACTTGGAGAAATCAAAATTCATTGGAGTCAGTACAGTAGAGTTGAAGCAGAGTAATAAAGATGCAATGCAGTGCAATGGTGTGCCAGCCAATCCAACAGTCGTGGTACTTACGTTGTTATATACTTTTCAGCCCGGCGGTAGTCGAGACGAAGGAGCCTCGTTTAAAGTGCTGAGAAGAAGCAAAAGTGATCCTTCCTGCTCTTCCCAGATGTTCCTCTGCCTAGGCATAGATTCCCCGCATCTGGACCTCAAGCCTCAGACGAGACTCTTGAGTGACGTGAGCGAGTCAAGTCAATGGCTGCCGCTACGAACAGGAAATGAGGAGCAAAAGCAAAAGAAGCCTCGGTATATCTGGAGAAGAGGGATCCTTGATGCCCTACCGATTTGATATTAGTAGTGGCGATTCACCCCTAAAATATCCTCAGCCTTGCAGCGAGGAGCCGAGCAGATCATAGATCATAGACCTACGATCCACATCAAGTTTCCCGACGACCGTGTTGTTTCCAGGAAATACCTAGACACCTAGGGAGAATGCGGTATCTTGTGTATTAGTGATTGGCCAGTCTGGGCACCCCACTACCGAATGCGGTAATATCTCTATATCATGTCTCTCGAGAAGCATGGGCACCTCGCTGGTGACGCTGGTAGTTGCCAGCACTGTGTTGACAGAGAGTCGATAGTAATATTGTACTGTCAGAGGTCATTTGCTCGAGGCGCGCAACAGGATCAGACCACGCGTCTTCTCGGGAAGGACTCGTCGGGCAAGCGGCCGCTCCTCGGCCGCAACAACCTCGAGGCCTCCACGGACACACGCAGGGACTGGTGACCTATGAAGTATCGACTGTAACAACTCCGTGAAGAGATCCTTCGTTATAAACACTCTTTCTAAAACACACTCGACAGTATCGGAGAATTCAATTCTCAGCTTCTCAGCTCTGCGACCTCGAATGGCAGATGCCCCCTCGCCTATCCATCCACCTCCCTCCCTTTACTAATTCACACCGACAGTCTTGATCAGACAACGCCGGACATGACGCTGTCCTGGTTCGAGTACAAGACATTTCATGTCAATCTAAGTCGTCTTTCTATCTGCTTATCTGAGGATCTTCTTGGAGGCTGAGCTTGCTCTATATACACAGGGCAGGGCAAGAGAACGGGAAAAACAAGAGACAATGTGGTGTGGTCTGGTATCGCGGCGCGAGACGCACACAAAAGGATATAAATGACACCGTCGACTCCGAAACTCGGCTTCAACGCCATGTAAGCGCCCGTCGTGATGCGGATTCCCAGCAGACAACACTTGTCCTGATGAAGACGCCAAAAAGCAACAGCACCGAGGGTTCATCCACGGCAGCTTCGAGGTTGAAGGGGGGATGTGTGGGATCTCAAGTCCAATCAGTTGAATGTAGGTCGATCGAGGTTCAGCAGGCCAGAGATGGAACGGGGATCGGGTCACCAACAGCGCTTCTGTCCGTCTTCAGGGCGCCATTTCCCAATCCCATCGACACGGACACCTCCGAGCTTCTCTATCTCGCCCGCGTCGACGATTCCTCTGCCGTCAAAGATCCATTTGGGCTCTCTCATGCTGTAGACGATGCGAGCCCATTCGACTGGGTCCGTGGAAATCGGACCTCTGGCCTTTGACCTGCAGTCGGGACAGTTGTCCACGCAATCTGGTTGAGCAGCTAGTCTGTAATTTGCAAAATTTGCGCCCAGGTAGTCTTCTTCTTGTTTCGGTGACGCCGATCTTCTTGCAGGTCGATTCGTGGGAGAGCTTGTTTCAGATGCGTCGCTGCCGCGAAGCCGTTGAGGCGACGTTTTAAACTGGTCACAGTCTGTTATGATGAGTATGGCGTTTGACTCCATACATGCCTCGTATGGATCCGTGTAGATCTTCACGGAGGAGATTTCACCTGTGAAGCCCGGTCGATTGCTGACCGTTGCGCTGATCTCCCGGAGCATATCATCTTCGTCGCAGTAGGGGTCGAAAATTGCAATTTCCGCAGGTTGTTCGTCCAACAGAGATCTGATCACGTCGACAGCGGGAGACTCACGCGCATCGCTAGTATTCTTTTTGAATGCGAACCCCATCAAAGTGATCTTCTTGCCCACCAGATTCTCGTTGAACCTCTTCAGCACTTTTCGCGCAAAGCGATTGCGTTGCATGACATTGATTGAGTTGACCTGGCTCCAGTAATGGGCGACTTCTTCCAAGCCTAGAGATTCTGCCAGGTACGTCAGACTGGCAATGTCTTTTCTGAAACATGAACCCCCAAAACCAAGGCCGGCTTTCAAGAATTGTGGCCCTATCCGAGTATCCAGACCGATGGATTTCGCGACCTCCTCGACGTTTGCGCCCGTCGCTTCGCAAATCGCACTGATTGAGTTGATGCTGCTGATTCGCTGTGCGAGCATGGCATTGGCCACCAGCTTCGAGAGCTCGGAGGACCACGCATTGATCTGCAGAATCTGGGAGGAAGGAATCCATGCGGCATACAAACTGGCGAGAGCATCCGCCGCAAGTTTGCCTGAAGGGGTGCCAGAAGACCCAATAATCACACGATCGGGTTTCATGAGATTTTTGATCGCTGTGCCTTCAGACAGAAACTCGGGATTCGATAGAACCTCGAACGGCTCGCCGGGTCGCAGTGTGTCGAGCTGGCAATAGGTCTCCGTTAGAAACCCACTTTGCCTCCCCCACGCGAAAATGGGTCACTTACCGTGTTCCTGATGCGTTGGGCGGTTCCACAGGGGACCGTGCTTTTCTCGACAATGATAGTCCCAGGCTTCGCATACATGGCCACATCCCTGACAGCGCCATCAAGAGCCGTCATGTTGGTTGCTCTTCCTGCGCCCACTCCCGTGGTCTTTGTGGGTGTGTTCACGGCCAGAAACACCATGTCTGCGGTGGAAATGCTGACTTGAGTATCACAGGTGAAGAAGAGATTCGGCCCGCGTCTGGAGACGTAGTCCGAGTCGCCATTGCGGTCTTGAGAAGCAGAATTGCAGTCACCCGGTTCCTTTATGATCGCGCCATCTCTTGTCAATCGCACAATCTTGTTCAAACCGGGCTCATGAATAGGCAGGTGAGCGGAGTTCCATCGTTCGATGCGTCGCTGATCTCTATCCAGGACCTCGACGCCAACCTTTGGGTTGTGCAGCGCGATTACGGCAGCAGTAGGACCACCTGAAACACGCGGGGTTCGATTAGTTGAACTCGATAGCTCACATACTAGGTAATTCCTGTGCGAGCGGGGTCATATGCATACCGACGTAACCTGCGCCAATAACGCAGACCTTCCTCACATCGCTGGGGACTGGCGCGAACAAGTCTGCAAACGAGGGGATGAAAGGACTCTCGGCGCGGGCTGAGGGCGAATCTAGTCTGCGTCTCTTGGGCTCTTCCAGCGCATGAGCGAGACGCGTCTCGAATGAGTCTTTGGGATGTGAGGGGCGGAACAACGGACTGCTGTCCGGCGTCAAAAGACCCGTAGAGTCGTTGCATGAGCTGCTGTCGGAGGTACCAACGAGCGATGGGACAGCGAATTCCATGGCGACGCAACACACTGGGATTCAAGTCTCTCTATACTGGGGTCTGCTTAGGAAATGGAAGAGAACGACAACAACCGGAAGTGAGATTTGACGGGATCAAGCCATCTTAACCTAAGAACGAGCACGACTTGGATGGGCACGGCGGTGACCAGCACCGACGAAATTGAACAAGCCCGCAGATAAGAGAAGCCTGGCTTCGAGTAAAAGGCACAGGCGGCGCCGCAAGCAATTACAACATGCCGACTTTTCACCAGGGTGGAAGACGAAAAACGGGGCAAAGGTGTGAAGTTTCGAGCAAGACTCACATGGTCATGGGCACGGCGATGGTCATGAGCGGGTGTGTTGTGCTCGAGGGAATCAACAAAAAGGGCGACTGTATCAAAGGCACCAGAGCACGCGCAGTCAATGGACGCATCTGAGTGGCTGACAACGGACGATGCTGGAAATGTTCGCGTTGACACTGTCGACATGTCGGGAAGCCTGCTGTTGAGCGCATGCGCCCACGTGGGAGCTGTCAGCCTCTTCTACGCGTCCGAATTGTCCCTTGGTCAAGGTCGCCACCATCGGCCTAAATCTTGTCTGGCACGCAGCTCATGACCCGAGGGGCGCACGAGGATCCGGGGATCAGGTCCATAAAGAGGCATCATCGCGGAAGCGTAACATCTCAGAGTGGAATCATAACAAAAGGCGCGCAGGAGGCGCAATTGAGATAAAAGAAACGGCCGAAGGTGAGAGTGAGCAAGACAGAGAGGCAACACGTGCAAAGCGACTCGGGACCTCGAATGCAAAGTGACTAAGTTCCTGCATCTTCCTGTCACTCACTTTCTCTTTGATTTCCCCCGAACAAGACAAGAAAGACTTGAAAGCAAATTTGCATCACCTTGGAACTCCAGGACTTCAGGTTGTGTGGTGCGCACCCGATAAGTAGCATCCAGATAAGGATAAGGATAAGGCGAGGGGCAGACTGTGCTTGGGGTTTCGGATTATCTTTTCTCCTTGAGTGTTCGGTATAATGGAGGTGGCAGCAGAGCAACGGTCTTATCCTCCACCCACATCACAAAAGCTGCAAGTAGGTGCTGAAGGAGCTATCGCTGAGATCGATAGGCGAGATGTCTTTCCCGCCTACCTCAAGGGCAAGCGAGTCCTCCTCGCAACCGAATCCTTGGGCCCTGTGAATGGAGTCAGTCGAACTACCCTCATGCTGATCGAATACCTACGCAAAAATGGTGTTCAGCTGGCCATTGTCGCTCCTCATTCTCGACAGTCGCGCCTCAAACCAGCTACCGGTGCAAATCTCACTGAATTTCGGCTGCCCGGTTACGAACTGCCGTACAATCCTGACTTGACCGTGGTGTACCCATTCCAACTCGACGACGTCTACAAACACACCTTCAAGCCCGATATTGTATATCTGGCCAGTCCTGCTTCTACTGGATTTCAAATGCTGTTTCAGATCCGCCAGCTGCAAGATCCCCCGGTCGTCCTCCTCAACTTCCAAACAGATCTGTCGGCATACAGCGAGATCCTTTTCCCTGGCCCAGTGGCTCGCTTTTCCGTCTGGCTATTGGGTGTGGTTCAAGGATTTTTGTTCAATCATCGTACAGTTCACACCATCTTCTACCCTTCCTCCGGTGTTCGCAGTTACCTTGAGAAAGCAGGTGCTCCGAGCAACAAGATGGTCCGACTGGGCCGAGGCGTCGACACCACTTTGTTCAACCCGTCTCAGCGAGACCAGGCATATCGCAAGGAGTTGGCACCCAATGGAGAAGTTATCTTAGTCTGCGTCTGTCGCTTGGCCCCCGAAAAGGGCTTCGAATTTCTCGCGCAGGTCGCTATGCGACTCGCACAAGAAGGCTTTCCATTCAAGTTGCTCATAGTAGGTGGAAACATGAGCGCTGAAGTTGAGGACCAGGTCCATCGTCTCTTCGACTGCGTATCAGAGCACGTCGTCTTCACCGGGTTTCGCACCGGGGTCGACCTCGCTCGTGCCTACGCCAGCGGCGACATCTTCCTACACTGCTCTATCACAGAGACATTCGGACTGGTTGTTTTGGAAGCCATGGCGAGTGGACTCCCAGTAATCGCCCGTGATGAAGGCGGGCCGTCTGATATCGTCCAAAACCAAGAAACCGGTTATCTAGTTCCTCCTCACGATCTGGAACAGTACATTACTCTTGTCAAGCGTCTCTCCACCGACGAGAATCTTCGTACGACCATGGCTATTGCCGCGCGAAGATATACTTGCGACGTTACCTGGGAAAAGATTAACAGGCGAGTGGCCTGGCACATGGTCGAAGGTTTACAACAACATCTCCAACGAAAGCATCGAAGACCAATCAGAAACTTTATTGTCGCCAGGTACCACGGGATACGGGATGGTGTGGTCATCCCTGTTGTCGTCAGATTCCGACTATACTTGGCAGCAATGATCGTCTATCTAATTTGGATGATGACTGCCGTTGTACTTCTCCTCTACGGCCACAGAGTATTTTCACGAGCGGCGCAGCTTTTGCGCAATCCACCACTCGTTCTGCAACGCATCCAATATCGCGCCCTCAAACAAGGGATCCAGGAGACACTGAAGAGCCTGAGCACCGAGTGAAACGTTATTGTTACGCAGAATTTTAGAGTTTGTTAGACATGATCAACTCACTATTTTCATTGCCAGTTACGACGGAATGACTATTCTATGGCGGAAACGGCGACAACGAAAGACTCACTCTGCGTGAGTGCCTCGTTTTACGACGGCCAGCGTCTGTCCAGCTGGCCGCATGTAACGACACATGGGCTCCACTGCCACATCCAAACATCTCGATTTTCCGAGCCTTTGAGGGAATATTGCAGCCGTGCCACGTCCGTGCTCTTTGACAGCAGATCTACGTAAAGGAGATATTTGAAATATCACGGTAAGGCAGTCGAGTACTTACTAAATAGTAAGGTAGTTGCCTAGTATGCTAGAACTTGGTATATATATACACGATATCTATCCTGAACCATCCTTCCCCGTATCCAGCCTCTCTAGCGACCGGCGAAGATGTGCTGGTAAAGCGGTATTGCGGCATTTCACGAGGGAGGGAGCATTTCCAAACCTAGGCAGGGATGATCAGACCGGAACGGAGAGACGAAACTTGATGATATCTATCTACATGCCGTGTGTGTACTGTGTAGTGTATATCGTGTATGGTATAGACGGGGAAAGAAAGTCATCTTGAGGGGCTCAGAGCTCAACATATATAAAATCTGCCACTCGAGATATTATACGAGTAAACTTCATCAATGTCTTCCTCCATCTTTCAGAGACCCGAGATACACAGCTACACCTACAGCTACAGCCACAACCACAGCCGGCGTAGCATGTGGGTAGGTAGATATGAAATGCGATGCGACGCGACGCGCAATAATGTGCCGACGGTTCCCACTCCCTTGGGCCACCACGGCTTGTGAATGTAGGAACGCCTGATCTTATTTCCCAAACCCCAGAACCAAAAACAAAAAAATAGCCTCACCAGTCACTTAAATTGGTCGCAAACCAAGCAGACAGGCGGGTCAGATCATGATTTCAAGTGCACACAACGAAATGATCCATTCGCATTGGCACTACATAGCATGTGTAGGCTGTCGATCGGGTTCCGTGTAGATGGCAGCGTCTGGTTTCGAGCTGGTAGACCCGACCAGATGATAAATGTGAGATTTCCCCGTTGGGACGGGATTCTGCAGGCCTTCGTGTTTGATAACCCCGACTAAGCTAACAATCCGTTCATGTGCTGTCACCACTGGTCGCGAGGGTGACGCGTGTCCAGACATCGGTAGTGACGCTTGCTGAGTACCGCCCCGAAGAGCGCAATCATGGCCCAGCATCATTATGTAAAGGGTGGCTTGATAAGGGCGGCAGTTGATCTTGTTTGAAAGGCGTCTGGCTGATGGAGCCTGTTCGGGATATAGCCACTGTGCAGACCGAAGTCCGTGAGACCTTTCACGGTGCCGTAGCGAGGTCTGCGTCAGAGGCATACGATGCCAAAGGCTCTGGTCAAAGAAGTGGCGCCGCCTGGACGTCACAACATGAAGTGTCATACCACACGACATTGGACAGGAGTTAGACCGCCGTGGAAAGTTTGCATGTGCGAAAGTTGGGAGACGTCCGTCGCAAAGGTCAGGTGAGCCTTCAGAGAGATGAATTTGTAGAGAAGTGAGTGGGGATATTGTCAGAGTTGGAGGGGAATCGATTTGATTGTTGCCTCAAGATTGAGAGCTCCCTGTTCGTGGGAATGAAGACGTTATGGATCCTAGGATATGTAGACCCAGTTATCCATCCGTTCCATGCAACTGGAAAGGCACTGAGGTTTGCTCACAGAAGCGTCCCGTCCTCTGAAAAAGCCGGAGCAGTCGTAGCTGTGGACGCAATGTGATTGTAATGTGTGGTGATGGGGTCTCAATAGAACCAGAAATTCCCACGACTCAGTCCAACAGATTTTTTAGAGCCCAAAGTACAAAGATTAAGACTGGCTCATGTAATGACTCAATACATATTGCACCCGTGACACTCAGACGTCTTTTGGCGAAGGCGTCAAGGTCGTGTTCGGACTCGACGTGGTTGTCGCAGTTGCAGTCGCAGTCGATGCAGAGCTGCCTGTTGAGAAGGGCGATGAGACCTGTGGTCGAAATGGACAGAGACCCATAGCTTGGGACATTTCGACCACCGTCTTTGGCGCCCCCGCGATGTGCTGGCGGATATGTGCCCTTAGCGCTTCAGAGTTCATGTCGAAATCTGGGAGATCTAACGGCCCCTGAAATGAGTGATTGGTTTGTTCGTTGAGTTCTCTGTCCATGCTCACGGTACTCTCAGTCTTGGGATCGACGTAGTGTCCCTTCCGTTGTTGTTGACCACTAACAAACTCTCGTCTCTTCATGGCGGACTGCCAGACGCGTTTCCAATGGGTACCGATTTCTTTGGTATAGAAGAAGGTGCGTAGAACTTTTTCCAGACGGGCCCACTGGCGCGCTTGTGGGTATAGATCCAAAACATGCTCCATAATCAAATGGGAGTTGGGCATGGGAACAACACGGAGAGCAAGTGCTCCAGCAGTGGCAATACTGCACCAAACCAGTGTGTTTTGTTCCTGAAGCGAGGCTGGTTTGGCATGAGTGGGTAACGCGGTGATGAATTTGCGCAGGATGGGATCATAGAAGAGGTTCACTGCTGCTAGACCTCGGAGCTGGAATATATAGGCTAGCAAGCCCATGGTGAGGTAGTATTCGAGTGGGCAGGTGGATGTCAACGACATTCGTTGAAGAGAGGAGAGGATGGTTTGGATCATCGTTTGCTTCCATTCTTCGTCGTACTGGGATGAATCGGGGAGGGGTAATTCTGAGGGAGGAGTCCAGGTGCGGTCAAGGAGATTCTCGTAGCTGACAGTTTCCGTGGCCAGGAGGGTCGTGGCAGCCGAAATTGAGGCAAGGAGCTTGATCATCTGTACTGATATCCTAGATGCAACACAGAGCTCCGAGAGCCCTGAGGGAAGGCGAGAAAGGATGATGCAAAGGTCTGGTGGGAACGGAGTTTCAGGATAGGTGAGCGGCTGATCGAGGTTTAGTTCTTGAAATGTCTCCCTGAGGTAGCCAACCGAATCGCGAGGCAGGTCGGGTGGTTGGCCTGTCACGAAGGACCCTAGAGCCTTGTATGCCACAAGACCATGGCTGACGAATTTTGTCCAGTCGGACTCCGTCTTTGTATCGTCTTTGTCAGTAGAAAGAGGCCCACGGAGCTCTAGCATTTTCTCTAGGCCTTTGCAGTGCATTAACACGCCTTGCTGGTTGCCAGAGAGATATTCAAGCGTCATAAGCATCGTCACTGTCAGCAGGGCTGCATCGTCAGTGGCCTCGCTAGACTGCAGTCTTTCATTGAGGCCGGCTATAGCGCTGCCACGGTGATGAACAAACGCGTAGTCTTCCCATATGGGTCTCCCAAGTGAGATTAGAATGGACGCCCGACAGACTGATATGATGGACTCAAAAAGGATGGGGTGCTTGAGTGCATAAGGCAGCAAGAGCGAGAGATGTGGGTTGACCGGGCCCGGAACGACGGATCTCTCATTCCTGAAGCCTTTGCAGATGGTGACATAGTAGTCTAGAGTGTCTTGCACAGTCTCAGTCGACTTGATGGGGAGAACTAGGAATGGATCCTCGCGGGTTCCGTTCATTGGAAGAGGCTCAAGTGGAGAGACAAAAACAAGAGCCTTTGCAAGCGGATTTTGCTTTGCGTCGCTAGACTTTGATTTGCGTTGAATAACGCCCTCCTCGTCTTCATCTCGTGTTGCGTCTGGAGGTTGCCACTGCACAAACTGGTCTGGAGCCGAGTTGGGAGATTTCTTGCTGGGATCGTACTTTTTCCATCGGATCTTTCTGTAGGCATGATTTCGACCGCTTGAGGTCCGAGGTTTATTCGTGGCGAAGGTGAACATGGCCTGAGCCGGGGGTCGACTATCTATATCCATCGCTTTCGAACATGGAGACAGTGGCAATGAAAGACTTCTTATGCTGGCTGTTTAAGCGAACGATCAAGCGATAAGAAGGTCGTGAGAGAAGAACATGCGGGGCTCTCAGGAGAGTCATCGGGGCACGGAATTGGCATGGCTCGGCAAACACCACGGGCTTTGCATCATTGGTCAGCATATTGCCAAGACTGCCAAGAGATATCAAACTCGGCGGAGGGCCGGCAAGGTTGCTGACTAACGGTTTCATTGAATATCCTCTTATCTTCTTTGCTTCTGTCTTCTGTTTACAAGATACCTCTTCCCACATCCCTGAGATCTGTGTCTAAGGGACGTTGTGTTTCGTCGCATTATCGAGTACGGACATACTGCTTGTCAGGCTCATGCCCCCAAGACTCGGAATCTCTCTCACTGAAGATTGATAACCAAATTTTACCCGGAGAGATCGGTCGATCGCGTTGCTGACTCCGATTCTTGACTGTCGCAGGATCTTCTCACCTGCTTATCTGGTTCTAGTTTCTCAACGGGACGTCAACTTGGAAGGTTGAATGGGTCGACTGAAGAGGTCTGAATGAGCCGACTGGGTTGACTAGAAAAGCTTCTGAAGGTAACGATTTCCCGTGCTTCTCCTTTTTGCGACTGGACAAGACCTGTCTCCTCTTCGTTGTGTGATATTCAGCGAACTTGCTATCCACTATAATTCCACTCGACAACGTGCACCTTGCAAAGGGTAGTCTTCTCGTTAAGAGGTCGCCACGGGGCATATCGGTTGAGGGATATCGAGTCTATAGCATATGACAAACGAGGTCCAATGCAGGCATATGGCCAGGTGGAGAAGTCATTGATTTCGCCCAACACATCAAGCGAATTGTCCTCAACGAGATCCTGATGTAGGAAATCAAGGGTATCCGTGCTGGTTTTGCAATAGCCGGCAGGTGTTGAAACGCTTAGATGGGTCGCTCATCAAACACCTCCGGACCAAGTCGTTGATATTAACTGGTGGAATGCTGGACAGTCTCATCCGTCATTCGGTTTGCTGAGGGTTGCTCAACCATGGAGTCCGCGGCTGTTTCTTGGCAATATGTGAAGTTGGCCGGGAGGTTCTGGGTGGAAAGCACTGGAGGAGGAACAACCTCTGTATCTTCTTTGGGAGAAGACCCAGGAAAAGACCATTGCTTGAGCAACGGGTACTGCTGAGGAAGAAGTTCGGACTGTACCTCGCCCAGAAATGAAGACCCTTTAGACGAATAAGTGAAATCGGGCATGGCGCGCCAAACGTGTGTAGAGCCAATCTGGCCCACGACCTCGACCTCACAGCGTTCGCGATTGTCAGTCAGGGAACGGAGGAGGTGTTTGACGTCTTTCCGTGGGCGTGACTCTCCAGAATCTTCAGAGAACTGTTCATCAAAGCCTCGCCTCCTTTTCCTGCCTGTTCGTTTCGGAACAGTCACTTTGAGCAGCACATTATTGGTTGGCTTGTTGTAAGACAGCACTGCACGACTGCTTGGACCCTCGGGTTGAAATTTGAGCCCCAGCGGCTTCTCCAATCCTGACTCCAGACTCTGTACGATCTCTGCAGGACCCCCGAGCATGTCGACAGCCTTTTCCACATTTTTGACGATGCATGGATGCTCGATAGATAGGATAGGGTTACGTGGGACCTGGAATGACGGGGCAGTCTCCCCATTACTAGGACCATGAGGCATTTGAGATGCTGGGTGCAGAGGTTCGATGCGAGATGGACAGAGTGGATGATAATATGTGGTTGTTTACCCAACCTGTCCAATAGTAAATCCGGCAACTACAAGCGGACAAGACGTCTCACCTTGTTTTGACACGGCGGAGGACAAGGCTAAGGCCGGTGGTTACAAGGAAAGTACCTTTGGCCATTAAGCTTGGTTTACTTTCAAGTCTCCGGTGATATATCCTTGTGACTTGGAGGTTGATTATCTTGTGAACCCCATGACAGGTTGATGAAACAAATCTTGATTCCGCAGCCAAGTGCCAAACTAGGTGACGATCTCTCATTTGAGGCAACTACTCCGAGCACCCAAACAAACCGAACTCCTTCCCCCAAGGCACGTAAGGGTGCTTGGGTGACTACCTCAGGTGCCCCATAAGCCTTAGTGGTCAGGCCAATAGGCCCCTTTGACGGCAATTGGCATTACTGGACCAAGTTGGCCTTAGCTAACCTGCTAAATTGCACCTCAATCCAGCCGCGTACTGACACCGAAACACTGAACCCGTCCCCGCCAACCTGCGACTGCGACTACACTTCGACTTGCATTTGACCTCGAGCTGCGCACAACTACTCGACTATTCGTCACCTTGACTGCTCTTCAATGGATGCCCTTCTCGACGCACTTAGATCATTAAGCCACCTCCAACTTCGACACCTTTGATCTCGGATCGATTCTTTCTATCCTTCTCTGCTGCGCTCTTCTCAGGGTCCTTGCAGTCCTTCCAACCGAATCCTCCAGCTACCCTCTATCACCTCCTCTACCCGCCTGCCGTACTGTCGTTCCTCCTCTGTGCCCGGACTACTTCTAAGAATGAGCAACTGATAGAAGAGAAGGAAGTTGCCGGCATTACTGAAGCCTGTTGAATTGCTTTGGTTTTCCCTGAAACCCCTACCCGCCGCCTCCTACTGAGAAGCCGATCTGGTGGTCGTGACTCGGATGAAACGCACATAACAGCCTCGTCGATTCCTGGAACCGACAAAGCGTCGCATCAACCAAGGCAACTGTTCTCACTATCACTGGTGCGTGAACGCGTCGAATACTGAAGAGAGTCCGGCAAAATGAAAGGATTCAGGCAGAGAGTGGTAAGTATCCTCCCAACCCGCGTCTCGTGCCCTGCCGTTTAATCGCTTCCGCTCACTGATATTCTAGCACGAGCAGTTATCGAGGGCGAAAGATAGTAACAAATCGTCCAAGAAAAAAGATGCGAATAATTCGGGCACTGCATCTCCGCTGTCATCATCCACTACGCTTCCCGGTAGTGATTCGAGATCCCCCAACAGCTCCAACACCGCAACTCCGACGTCTTCGTCAACGAATCTGAATGATCTCCGAAATAAGAGTGGGAATCATGAGAGCACCAATACCAGCCACACAACCACCCAACACCATGCTGGCTCTGCAACAGGGTCAGGTTCGCTGGCTTCTCATTTCATGTCGCAAGGCTCTGGTCATGGACCAGGTGGACCTGGAACAGCCCCGGGCCGACATCACATTGCTCCAAGCGTTATCATCAGTCCAAGTGCTCCTCACATTCCTGGACCTGGTGCGACTGAAACGATGCCTGGCGACCTGGCGCCCCCCAAGGCCGGCCAAAAATCCCTCCTCTTTGACCGATTGCAGAGTACCCCAAAAGATGTGCCCGAGGGTGTCCGAACTCCCAAGAGACAGCATTCATCACGGTTTGATGTATCGGACCAAAGAGCTCGTGACCTGGAGAAATTGCCCGGCTTCCATGAAGTCCCTCCTAACCGAAGGCAAGAGTTGTTCATGCAGAAAATTGATCAATGTAATATCATCTTCGACTTCAATGATCAGACTGCCGACATGAAATCAAAAGAAATCAAGAGACTCGCCCTTCACGAACTTCTAGACTACGTTGCCAACAACAGGTCGGTGATAACCGAACCGATGTATCCGAAAGTTGTCGAAATGTTCAGCAAGAACCTATTCCGGCCCGTTCCTCCTCCTGTCAATCCCCAGGGCGAAGCATTTGATCCCGAAGAAGATGAACCGGTCCTGGAAGTTGCTTGGCCTCACATCCAAGTTGTCTACGAGTTTTTCTTGCGTTTCATTGAAAGCCAAGACTTCAACACAAACATTGCCAAAGCTTACATTGATCATCATTTTGTCCTTCAGTTACTGGAGCTGTTTGACTCGGAAGATCCCCGCGAAAGAGACTTCCTCAAGACGACGCTTCACCGCATCTACGGCAAGTTCTTGAATCTTCGGTCCTACATTCGCAGATCCATCAACAATGTATTTTTCCAGTTTACCTATGAGACCGAGAGGTTCAATGGCATCGCCGAACTTCTCGAAATTCTTGGTTCAATCATCAATGGCTTTGCTCTCCCACTCAAAGAAGAGCATAAGCTATTTTTGACCAGAGTACTCATTCCTCTTCACAAAGTGAAGAGTTTGAGCATGTATCATCCTCAGTTGGCATACTGTATCGTGCAGTTCCTGGAGAAAGACGCAGCGCTGACAGAAGAAGTAAGCTTCACTCATGTTATCTTGCACTTATTATGCTGATTCCGTATTCCAGGTTGTGCTTGGTCTACTACGCTATTGGCCGAAAGTTAACAGCACCAAGGAAGTCATGTTCTTGAACGAGGTCGAGGACATTTTTGAGGTTATGGATCCACAAGAATTCGCAAAAGTCCAAGAGCCTCTCTTCAACCAGTTGGCCAAATCCGTGGCGAGTCCTCACTTCCAGGTTGCGGAGCGTGCACTATACTTCTGGAACAACGAATATTTCTGCAATCTCGTCAGTGACAACGTCGAAACCATCCTCCCGATCATGTTTGCCCCATTGTATGAAAATTCAAAGGGTCATTGGAACCGGTACGTGTGCTTCCGTTCGAGTTCTGCAATCCGCTAACGAGTGGCCAGCACAATACATGGCATGGTTTACAATGCAATGAAACTTTTCATGGAGATCAATCCTCAACTTTTCGACGAATGTTCGCATGATTACAATGAAATGCAGAACACTGCTGCTCAACGAGAAAAGGCACGCGAGGCGAAGTGGGAGAAGCTCACCGAGCAGGCAAACCGTATGAAGGCCGGATTGGCAAAGCCCCCGACAACTCCAAGCATCAAGGAAGTGCCAGAGACAGATGCTGCGCAGGACAACCAAGAGAGGCTAGATGCTCTCAAGTTGCATGATGAGTCATCGTCAAGCAAGCCATCGTCGGTAAGCCCGTATCTGCTCTGCACCGCGCGACCCAGCGATACCCTTGTTACCACCCTGTTATCTCCATTTTGGCTAAGACATTCTTTTATCATTATAGTGACGTTGATGGCTGTTTCTGACATGGCTTTGGAATCTCCAGAGGCGACGCGCAGACTCACATGGGCAGACGAGATCTCGCCGGTCTAACAGCAGCTTGGATGGCAAATCCAGAAGACATCGTGCACATTCTGGAGGATCAATCGAATTTCACCGGACGGTACAAATGCCTCATACTCACCGCCACGCCGGTGGCTTGCCGCAACGTTGACTCAAGCGATTCTTGGGCTGTCGGTGGTGGCAGCGAGCTATGACTGAGTGATCCAACGTTCACTCTGAATCGTCGACAAGTGATCGACCTTGATTGATGTTTTGGGTTACCTCGAGCTGGCGCTCAGCTTGCGAAGGATTCAGATACCCGGTCAACACCGTGAATTTTACCTTGGGTTTTGGCGATGTCCTGGGGATGATAGAGTACCACGAGGCGCTAATCGACATGTTCAGCCTCTGAAATGAAGACACGAGCAACATGGGCGGTAAAAGCGCCTAAGGTGGGAAAAGGAATTGGAGAAAGGCAATGTCCGAGTTGTAAAGAAATGTCTTCAACCTCTTTTCCAGTCTGGCAGACCTTGGAATGTATGTCCCATAATGCATTTTCCTCCCCCAAGGCTGCACACGAGCCTTACTAGGCCCCCGCCAAGCTCCACACTAGGCGGCTCCATTGACGAATCGAGTACGATTGGCTTTTGGCAGTCCATGCTATTCCCGTTAAGGACTAACTCTATCACGTGAGCTGCACGCTCGAGGCATCGAGCGTCCCCCCTCGCATTCACTTTTCTTCCTCGCGCCTCGATTCTCCGCAGAGGTCTCCATACAAATTTGGTCGGAGGAGGCACACCAAGGTCAACTGGGCAACTTGCCTACACCCATTTCTTCCCTTTACATTCTCGTTTAGTATTGTTGCAGGGAGCGTACTTAATTGTGTTTGCATCTTTTTCTCCAGCGACCAGTCAGTTGCGTTGCACACCTCCAGTAGCGACTCTTTTACTCCTGCGCTCTCAGTTACATTCGCCGAGGTGCAAATGGGCCTTTGCAGAAGCGAACCCTAATGAGGCCGCTCAAGCGTTGCGATACACCTCTCTCCTTACGCCTAGCCGACTCTCTCACTCTCTGGTGAAGTCGGGAGGTCGACCCAGAACGACGACAGCATGGATGCCTTTCAGAAGATTGATGTATACGCCGCAAGGCTCAGTGATCCAAAGATTGGTAAGTCGCGTGTCCGCCGCAAGCACCTTCCAGGATATGCTGTCTGACTTTGACATTGTTCTAGACACACGGACAAAATCGAACGTGGCGACAGAACTCCGCGACTCTATCGAATCTTTGTGCACCCCGTCCAGTGTCTACACAAAGTTCTTGACGAAGTTATGGCCTGTCTTCAAGAAGATCCTAGAGGGGAAGCCAGATCTGAACCCGACCTCCTTCGAACATATCCTTCGGAATCAGATTCTCGAGATCCTCCATAGATTACAACATCAGCTGCACGAGGTTGAACCCTTTGCTTTAGACATGGTGGAAACGCTGATGGAGCTGGTTAGGGTGGAAAATGAGGATAATGCTGTTTTGTGTCTGAAGACGATCATGGATCTCGAGCGTCACCAACCGAGTGCCACTGCTTCAAAAGTCCAACCCTTCCTTGACCTCATTCAAGAGATGTTCGAATTGATGGAACAGG